TGACATCCCAGAAAAAAAAAAAGCCTGGGAACCTCTGGTCTTCACGGTTGGCATCTGTGAAATGTGTCCATGTTGTGTTCACACCGTGACGACTAAATGCAGGCGTTACTGAAGCAAAACTTTCCAGCTACTGTCACTCTAGCCATGGTGCCTTGTAATTTGAGATCTGATCTTTGACAGGCTGGGAATTGCTATAGCCTTTTTTTCCCCCCCAAGTGTCTGAATACCGGCATTCCTGGAAAGCCAAAATGAATGTTGAGATTTCGAATGAATGTGAGCCATGTAGTTAAAGAGCAGGTGCTCTTTAAATCATGTAGACTATCCCACATCCATATGCTTCTGCCAAGCAACCTCTGTACTGACAATCTGAAAATAGGCTGACAAATGGCAACATTTCAGGTTTTATAATGAAATCCAGTCATGAGCATCCACGAGATGGCAGTAAACATGTATTGGTTTAGGTAATTGATCTCTGACTCGCAGTAGTTACTATTGTTCACTGTGGTAAACCTGTAGTCCAAAACTGGAATGACAGGAGCTATCAAGTCAGTCACTGCATCATTTACAATCAGTGCTGAAAGCTTTATGCTCAGCTGCATTGATTTATATTTAAATGTTGGATAGCTGCATGATGGGATGGTTAGTAGTTTATTAGTCAATGAAAATGATTACATTTGGACTGATATGGCCATGGCATGGGCTCAGAAAGCGATGTGATGGCCTCATTTCACCAAATAGGAATAAAAATAATGTTTACAATGGAATTCTCAATTCAGATATTACACCAAAAAAAGGCAAAGTGAAAAAATCAGCTGGTCATGAAGCAGCAGGATCAGCTCTCTGATTTTTTAAAATCATATTTGTTTCTTTTTTTTCTTTTTAATTCATTTTGCTGCCCTTTTCAGGTAATAGTGTCTTGAATCCGGTTACTTTTGGCCCAGTGGCTGCAGTTCATGGGTTAATGGGCAGAAAAGGTAAAGTAAGCTGTCATTTTCTGTGACAGTGTGTTGGTCATTGTTGTTGACACAGTTTCAGACCCAGGAGAGCTGAGTTATGTGACACCGCATAAAGTGTTCAGCCCTCTGTGTACGCAGCCACTCCTCCTCAGCCACCAGCGCTGTCTTAGTGGGCGAGTCTCTCATTCCTGCTCAGTCTCCACACAGCTCAAAGGTTTTTTGCTTCTAACTAAAGGCGGGAGTTCTGGGAAAAGATTTAACGTCTTGGGTTTTTTGTCATTGTTTTTTTTTCCTTACATTTTGATAAAGTAAGTACATTTTTAAAGTATTGTTCAACTGGAAGTTGAATGAGGTTTTTGGAGAAATCTTTGATTTCCACAAGGATAAACCATGCCTGGCAATATACTAGAGTGCACGGGGCTTTTCTGTAGATGCCACAATGCTAAATCTACTGTTCATCAAACTACCTCAGCAGTTTGGTTCTGCCTATCCTTAAAACAAGACATAATTTATGTCTAATCTTTGGCTGACATTGAACTAGAAACAGGGAACTTTAAAAGGTGCCATGCGCCAAGATCCTTGATCAGATCACATTGATTTTGGATTTTAAAAAATGATGTGATTGATCGGTCTGGTGATTGATATGATTGTACACGTGAAAATGTAAACTATTTTCATATCTGAATCATAGATTTAGTCATTTGAATAGAAATCATGTTTGTGCTTGCCTCCTTCTGTAATTACCTTTGTCACAGAATATCTTTGATCTTGTTTTTGATGAAGATTTTTTCTGTAATTCTGCCTATTTTAAGGCAAGTAATGACTTTTTGACTTTAGGTTTAGATTTCTTTCTTATCTGTGAAGATTCTCATTCATCATGGTCATGATCAAGCTTGAAAAGTTCAGTTTAGACAAATGGACTTGAAGTTTTTTTGTTGTTTCTACCATACTTAAATGCATTCTTGTCACATATGGCATGCAAATCATTACCGGCCACATTTAAGTTTCAAATGTTGCTCTTTTAGCAGTGGATTTCAGAGATTACAGACTTCAACTTTCTCACATAATGTAGCTTGATGTACCAGATGTATTGTTACTCTTTGGCCTAGAATGTCAGTGTAGTGAGATCTTGTCGCAGTAGGCAGTGCATGAGCAGTTTTGCCTCAGTTCTGCTTAGAGAGCACCTCCTTATCTGTGGTGTGATCCTTGTCACAATCATTTGGATTCTGTGGTTTGCTTGTGCCCATTTTCAGGATTAGAAACATACAATTTATTATTTTATGCTGTTCTTTCACTGTCGTGCTGTGTCCTGGTCACAGTGAGGGTAAATGATATGATGTTTGTTCCTCTAAACTATGATTTCTGGGAAGTTTTGCGGTGGGAGCTGAAGTGACGCTCCCTGGTGTGCCGGAATGCAATCACCACCACATTTACCTAGTTAATATTCAAACCCATGCGCCTCACAGATCTTATGTGTCACCAGCTAGAGGTATCGCACACATCCCAAGCTACTCATCACACGGTATGAGTTAATGGTCATCAACTTGGCAAACTCATAAGTAGACGGTCACAGGAAACACCCGAGGCACAGCAACATGTATGTTCACTCACCCAGTTGGAGACAGTGACGACACCTGTCTGTGAGGTCAAAGAGGCAAGTCACACCTGAGTCACTGCAGCAGCCGGTCACAAGATGAAGCAAGGGCCGCTGGTTAAAGCGCCTGCTGAATTATGTTTACCGGTTTTGTCTAGTTTGTCTTTTGTATTTCTTTGAAACTTTGGCATCTGCTGATGTCTTACTGTGTTATCTTTTTTTTATTTCTCCAGCTTCCATCCAGCTGGCCTTACTGAATCACTTTTGATTCATTGCTACCAAAACTGGGCGTTGTGAAATTCCAGCAATGTTTGAACAATGTGGGCTTGTTAAAATCTCAAAAAGTTCATTGCTCCCGTTTCCCTCGAAGGGAAATTTTGAGGAAGGTATTCCCTGACTTGGAATTGAACGACCGGCTGCTTAAAGGTGTATAAAAAAAACAGCCAATAACAGCATTGGTAGGGGAAATCTGTGGAAGATATTTAGCTGGCTGATTAAATATTTTATTTCTCGTAAAGTAATTGTGTTTTTTCATATTGTCTATTCTTTCCTTGAAGAACGAAGCTGAGAATCAATGTTTCTAACTTTGGGTATTTTACAGGGAATAATGTTTTTTTACCTCCACTGAGGATCAGCAACAAGGAGTCATGGAAGGCACGGGAGAGATCAGCGACACTGACAGTGGCATCATTCTTCACTCAGGTAGAGTCCTATTGTCTGTGACATTATCAGTTAGCAAAATCCTGAAAGATTCCACACATTTAGTCACTCATGCTGTAATTTGCTGACGGCAGGGCTCTTAGTGGTGTCTCCATCTCTCCACCAGGGCTGTTTTTAAAAAATTATTCCATACAGTTGAAATGCTACACTTTTGTGAAACAAAACGAGTGAAAAGCAGAACAGGAATAAAAATGTTTAAAAAGGAGGGGACCAACTGTGACTTGACTAATCACCAGATTACGTTGTGTGTCCTGTGTACAGTGTGAAAGATACAATGCAGCCAGATAAAGAGAACTTCACTGGTTCAGTGTTACATGCTGACAACACACTTAGTCCTGTGATCAGCACTTTAAAAGAGGGATGGAATCAATGCAAATGTACCATATTTTATTATTAAATGTGTAATTTATTTGTTTACTCCTGCAGAGCACTAGGCTTGAACAGCTAATGCAATTCTCTTTGACACATAGGTAAGGCAGCCCCTACTTTACAAACAGTGGACCAAAAAAATGTGATGTTTCAATTTATAACATATTAACAATAAACTATAGCTTTGCTGTTGTGCTACACTTCACTTGTTGTTTGCACTGTCCATCAATTTGTAATGGCTTTTCTGACATTCCTTGCGCCTTAATTGACCCACGTGGTGTCCGCTCAATACAATGAAAAAGTGTCAATCCACAGAGAATGGGGGGATTGTGGCTGGTAAAAAGAGGAACTCCATACTATTGTAGTGCTGTCACACATCTTTTCCGGTTGCACCTCAGATGTTTGTCAGTACCTGCAGGGATTCTTCTATTAATCTCTTTAGGTATGTGCTGCTTAATGCATTTTGTCTTTAGCCACTCCCACATTCCCAAGGCTAATCTTAATGTCATCGGTCACTAAGGCTACAGACAGCACCAGACGAATACTCGCACTGTTTATCGTTACTAAGATCCTGATACTGATTTTGCAGTTTCAGTGTCGGTAATGAAAACAATGATCCTGATGCTGTACAAAAGAAGGATTCTTTGTTCAAACCTATTGACACAACAGTTACAAAGCTTCCTGTACAAAGCTGTTGTGTTTGCAGCTGTAAAGGAAACTGAGCCTTGCCATTGAAATGTTACCTGTTGGCCCAAATTACCGAAAAGGCAATTGCATTTGTGATGGAATATCAACTAAATAATAAATTAAAAGACTTGTCACCCACGTGAAGTACTTTTTTGTTTAATTTTTGTTGTTTTTCAAATTGGTATGTTTTTATTCATTCAACTGGAACCAGAAATGTGACATAAGTGAACTGACCTGTTTGACCACCATGACATTGGATGAAACGACTCAATTAAATGTTATTTTTCCTCAAACGTAATAGATTTTTGTTGTCTTAAGATCAGTTGCATTTTTGTACAGGGACATTGTGAGCAAAAATGCAATGTACATACTGGATTGTCACCACACTGCAGTGCAGTCAAGAGCACCACGACAACTAATCTTAGACACAAAGTCAACAAAAACTGAACATGATAGCCCTCACAAAGGCTTCTGTTTGAGACCGATGAGACTTCAATAGGGTGTGAATAGAGTCCGTTTTATCAGCTTAAAAAGGTAAAACAATTGATTGAATAAGTTCAGCATTAACAAAACTCCCAATTGCTTTTACTGAGATTTATTCATTATTGATCCTTTTTTTCTTTTGATGTGGTCTTTGGTTCAGAATTTAATTATTCATTTTGTGGCTTCATGAGTTGGAGAGGGATCTGCTGCCTGGTGAGAAATTTGGTTGTCATAGTTCTGACATCAATCTGATGATTCAAGTTATCTCTTATTTGTTTTTTGACTCAGGCTCAGACAGCCCGACCACACATACAAAGGATGTGACCACACACACAAGGGCGATGAAGCTCAAACACCAGGAACTGCAAGAGCGGCTGGAGCTCTGCATTCTGGAGCTGAAAAAGCTCTGCATCCGCGAAGCCGTAAGTATTTGAAATAATTCAGCAGCTAGAAACCGAACAAGGCTGCAGTAAAATGTCATTAACAGCAAGTCACAGAACTGCTAAGCCACACAATTATGACCATTTAAGTCCTGTTCATTTCAGTAAAGCTTTTGGATTTGCCAGTCAAAGTAAACCCAAAGAAAATAGAGTGTTATTAACAAAGCTGACCTACACCGTTTTTCTCATGTTTCAGCATCTACAGAGGATTAGATTGGTGGGGCCGTTTTATTAAGAGTGTAGATGACACATCGTACCTCGTGTTCATGATACACAACACTGTGCTGTGCTGCCTCACCCTTAGAAACCTTTTTTAGATAATTTGTTTGTGCTGCATTAACTTCAACCCTGACTTCTGCCTCTTCACTTGTACACAACTCACAACTGTGCTGGGAATCATTATAGGTTGTGTGAAGATAGCAGTAATCGTCTGAAAAATTATCTGAGGATAAGTGTGTCTGCTGGTCAGAGATGGCATCTTCTTTTTGCCAACATTTAAAAAATGTTGACAAAAAGAAAATGCCTTCCCTTTCTATCTCAAATACTTTAGTCAATTTCTCCCTGGAGATCAATAAAGTATATTCAATTCAATTCAATTCAATTACTGATGTTGATATCAACAGACAAATGAAAGTGGGATTTCCACTTTTAGCATCATATCTTACATCCTCTGCCTTCTAACCAGACGTTCCTAACTCACATATCCAGTTATGAGAGTTTTTTTAATCAAGTTGTCTGAAAGAAAAACAACAATGGAAAGGGAACAAATCACGTATACTGATGAAAAGAAAATCATTTCAAAGTGCGTCTTTCAAATTAGCCCACATACTGTGGATGCAGTTACAATTTATTTTCAGTGACGATCAGTTGGGTTAAGCAGTCTCAGTCTGGTTTGAATGCTTAATGTGATGCTTTTGTCAATCAGCATCCCTTTAGCTTTCAGTTTCATCTGAGATTACACATTTTTCCATTCGCTCATAGGTTTCCAGTCAAGGTTAAAAACTGCCATATGTAGTTATTTAGAAACTGGACACAGATTCAGATAAGCAGCTGACACGCATAGATGCTTCAGGGTAAAATCCCAGGACAGATCATTCTTCCCTGTTTGACACAGGGCTTGGCACTCTTGTTGGGACATGCTTAGGTGAACCTAGTGGGAGTCACCATACCTCTCCCTTCTTCCAGGGACAAAAGAAATTAGCCTATTTGTCACACTTAACATTTGTTTGTTTGTGGAAAGGTAACCAACTCTACATAACTTAAAAGTTTAAATTAGCCAATTTTGATTTAGATTTGAACCCAATCTGTTGGAGAAAGTGAAATGAAAAGAATGTGTTATGAAAGAAAATATCTACAAATGCAGAATTGAGCAACCAGTTTTCCAGACCTCTATGTCTGAACATGTAAGAAGATCAGAATAAGATACTTGTACATTTTTTCATAACTGCCATGGGGAACATAAAAAACAAACAGCGGTTAATTGACTGTTGTTTGAAAGAAGGCATTGTTTTGATAAAAATATATAACCAAGCTTGTATCTAACGCCAGAAAATATCAACTTTTGTCATGATCATATTTGTTTGTGGGCTGTTGGATTTCATTCTTTCCTTGCTGTTTAGGAGCTGACGGGTAAGCTGTCAGAAGATTATCCTTTACGGCCTGGAGAGAGGCTTCCACAGATTCGCAGGCGTATTGGAGCTGCGTTTAAATTAGACGAGCTGAACATCCCACGAAAATCTGAGGTAAAGGCTGCATATGGGATCACATGATGGAGTAATGTCCCGTTTCACATGTTGCATGAACCTAAAAGACACAGGACGTTCTATTAGTCACACTGTTGCTCTGTCGTCCTGCTACAGGGCTCTGAACTGAATTTGGTAGATGCTGAATTAGCGCTGCAGATGAAGATTTATGAAGCTGCTCGCAAGCTCTGCGAGGAGGTTCACCTGAGCAAGGCGGTTAAGAAGAGCCGCTTAATGCAGTGCAAACGAGAGGAGAAGAAACTCAAGCAGTTACAAGAAATGGCCTTTCAGTTGCGTCTGGAGCACGGCCGATCATCACCACTCCCTGCTTTTAATATTACACAACCAGGTGAGACTCGTGGCTGGGAGAGGCACTGAAGGACATTTGGTTGTCAAAAGCCCTACATAGATCAAGATATTTTTTATAGATATGTCCAAACTTATTGGTTTGAAACTTGCAAAAGAATCTCAGTGGTGATATTTTTGTTTCCTTTTCAGACCTTGGCACATCAGATGACTGTAGCTCTTTATCTGATTCTGTAGTGCAAGATGAAGGTACGACCCAACTTGTCTCAAATTGTTTTAAGTTGAAGAACTAATGTTGTAAGAGTAGGCTGCAAATAAACTCCTGGAAGTATTAATTTTAAATACCCAAACATTAAGGTTTCCTTTGTAGCTACCGTTACTTCTTGAAATGTTGTTTGCAGTGAATGTGATTCAACACTGAAGGCTTTACTGTGACACAATCTATCTTTTTTTTTTAGAAGTCACAAGCCAGTCCTCAGTCCTCCCATGTTCAGTGAGAGCAGATCCTCCCCAGCCTCCCCCCATGTCCCCACATTCCTCAGCAGACGGCTCCCACATGTCTCGCCCCGTGGCTCCACAGTCCCCCCTGTTGAACCATTGTCAATCTCCCTGTTCTAGTCTTGACTCTAGCTTGAGTTTAAATCCAAGCTCCGTGTGTGACTCACCTCCCATCCAACACTCCCCATGGACAGAGTCTAGTCTTGACCAACCTTACCAGAAGACCAAGAAATCGCGCTCCTCCAGCAAAACAAGGTAACCAAGGTTCTTCATCAGGACTTCCGTCCGGCTCATGAAATGTTTTAATAATGGAAAAAAATACTGATTTTTGAGTGGAAGTGAATGGTGCTGTTAGGATTCTTGAAAGATGGAAATGGGCCAGCCCATATTGATTCTTAGATATTTCCATGCTTCTTTGGAAGCCTGAATGTCCTTATTTGTCATATCTATGATAACACTGTAGGAAAAGATTAATACATCTGAACACCACAGATTTACTCAAGAACAACTCAAATTTCAAAATCCAATCTTGTTACCACCTGTATGACTGCTATGAATCACAGAGAGCAGCAGGAGTCTGCTGTTCAGCGTTGCGCAACACTGCCATCTGCTTTTACAAACCTGCTACAACATTTGTTGGCCAACAAGAATCTTCATATCCATCATTTATAGACTGTGTAACTGTTTTCTATTCTTTTAATGTCTGCTATTGTGTAAAAAAAGACATGAATATATGTATCTGAAAAGAAAAGCTTTTTTTAACACTCTTCAAATGTTAATTTTGTCTTTTTTCAGCAGTCCTTCAAAATCTGAGGTTTTGCCACCATTGGAGGCTTGTTTATCTGCTCTGCCACAGCAGCTCTCACATCTAAAGCTGAGCCGCACCCAGTCAAGCAGTACTCCATCCACACCTGAGATGCGTGTGCACCGGCAGCTCTCCCTCAGGTAGCTACAACTCTACGCTAGTGTTGCACATCCCAAAGAGCAACAATCCCAAAAAAATGAAATAAAATTAAAAAATTCTGTAATGTGCACACTCATATATGTTATTTATGTCCGTGCATATTTAAAACATGCAGATTCTGAGAAAAATATGATTTGTTAGGTTTGCTAAATTTATTTGACTATTTTGGTTCCCACAGGTTGTCCAGTCCTGAATCTTACATCCATAAGGAACGGGGCCGCAACAGGGGCCCGAGGAGGCGGCTGACAGAATATGGAATAATGTCACCAGAGACTCCGTCCCTGCCTCTAAACGGTGCAAACATAGTGAGCTCTGAGGATAGCAACTCTGAAAGTTCCTTTTCTTCTTACAATAGCTCACCGTGTCAGGAGTTACCTTCTGACTTGCCAAAGCAGTATCAGTCTGCATTCCCAGTGTCTAGCCCAGTTGGCAGCTATGGACCGCAAGCCTTTCCACCCGCTAGCTATCACCGCAGTCCTCGATATGTCCTGAGCCCCGGTGTACAGAGACCCTGTTATACTGAAGAAATGATCTACCCAACTGATATGGACATGGCACGGCGCCATTTCCCACAGCAGGCTCCTTGCACCCCTAATAGATACGAATATTGGTATAAAGACGCTGCTGTAACCCATCAGAGAGCACACAGGCCTTTGCCTCCTGATATCCGATTCACACCCCAGGCACAGCAGTTGGACCATCCACTCCTCTGTTCCAGTGGACTACCACGGCAGGTTGTGAATGAGCATCTGAAGTCGTGGCATCGTCGCAGTCAGCTCAAAGCACCCAGGTCTCGCTCTCTGGACAGACAGGGAGCAATCCGACTGAAAAACACTCCACCTAGGGAGCCACCGGGTTACCAGAATCAGAACTATCACAACCAAGTAAGTGTTCAAAAGTGATTTAATGGCTTTTTCACTGTAGATCTCTGGATATGGCTAAAGGTGGTAATGTAACATCCTTTTTGTTGGTTGTTACATTGTCAGGGTCTTAGTCTTTGGTCTGGGTAATTTTGGCCTTAAATTTCAGATGGAAGACAACTTTTTTTGTTTATCTTTGATTGGCTGATTATTAAAAAAATATGGCTCCAAATTTAATAAAACTAAAATGTTGTGTAGGGCTTACAGTAAACAGCAGATGCCTGTGTAAAATGCCAAATTATTCTATATCTTGTCATTTTTTTCAAAGCAATACAAGAATTTCTGATCAGTAATCTTTTGCTAAATTTTAGGTGATTCAAAGAGGACCCGTCCAAAGAGCTGCTACTGACGTTCCTGGGTGCTGGATGGTGGACGATGGATCCCACTTTATGAGCCAAGTGTGAAGAGAAAACTCAAAAATATAGACTTATAGTGGTCTTATACATGTATTGCTAATGCCCGCAGTGGACTGATTTTTTAATTTGGCTGAAGTTGTTTTTGTCACCCTGTCTATCTGTGTGGCCTCATCTGAGCGTGCAAACCAGGCTGAAAAATCTGGAGCATCTCACAGTACAATGCAAAAGTGTACCGAAGAAACCACAGGATGCCACAAAGTCATAAACATCCTCAACACTGTTGACTGCACTGTAGTTTCACAGGAGTGCAGCTGCAAGGCATTTTTCTTTTTCTTTTCATTTAACCACACCGTGCTGGCATGTTCCAACAATTCCAAGCTGATTTTGAAACATAATGCTTGTGGAACTTTTAAAAGTGACAGGAGGATAAATGGAGCATTCCATAGTGGGTGTGACGATAAAGATTTTGTCTGCACTAGGAGTCACTGCACATGACCACGTGATCTGAAAATGTGGATATCTTTACATGTTTAATATTGACCACAAAATAATTTCTTAATGTACTTAAATTAAAACAATAAAATTAAGAGCGTGCTTCAGACAGTGAAGTCACTCCTTTGCAGCCTGGTTGATGGTAAATGATTTTTTCTTCCTCAACTAGCTGTTTGAAGGAAATGAAACCTCTTGGTGATATTACAGATTAAATGCATGTTCCCATGCTAATGAAGCGGCTTATATTCAAGATCCCGAGTTTGCCCGGTGTATCATTTACCTTTTAGAAGCAAATGTAACTGTTTTCATAGGCTTCGCCCATTAACTTTAACTACTAATCGTTTTAATCAGCCAGTTGAACGGCAGTACTAACCTTTTACAAAGTAGCAAATTCAGATTGAAGCACAGCCGTGGGGTTTGGCAGCTACTTAGATGTGAAACTAAAGTAAAACTTTAGCTTTACTCATTTGTTTTATGTGTGTCAGGTGGTGCATGTGTTTTATTTTTAAACTTTTAGTTTTTTAACTTGACACCATCCGTTTTCTGAGCACCAGCAACATTTTACTTCTGACAGAATCTGTATATTTGAAAAAGAAAGAGCAGCTCATCTCTTGATCCAGCTAATACACAGCTGTATATGTTTTCATAAAGAGATTTGATTACCACAGTGTCTCTAACAGTGATATATTTATATGTTAATTTATTAAGATTCACGCCGTTGGATGGATGGAAAGTCAGACTCTAAATCAAATCTGACACGGACCAGATACACAAAACTAGACCCAGTCTAGTTTCAGGTATCAAAACCTTGACCACAATCATGTTCTTTTTGTGCCTTTTTTTCTCTTTTGTATGCTGTATTTTTCTATTTATCTACTCTGATGTTTGTTGGCCTTTTAGTTTACTTTGCGGTTTGAGAAAATCTGTGAAATGTTTACCCTGTGGAAGTAAATAAATAGTGTTGTTTGTATGTTGTTTAGTATTATTTACATGTAAATAGTTCATTTTGAATGAATTCCATCAAATGGATTGTTGTTATTCCAGTTATTCTTTTTCTATGAAGAGAGTTAACTAAATGACAATATGAGTGTACATGCACAGTTTTTGAAGTTTTAATTCCACCAAAATGAGGTATGGACATTATTTGAGGCTTTTTACATATAAGGAGAAAAAAGATTTTTCTTGGTCTCAAAAATAAGCTAATACTTTAAATAACCATAGAAATAACATTATTCCTGCATTGGCTCAAAACTACTCCTGGTTAGGCATTTTTTAAATGCTATTTGGAGGGAACTGTGAAAAGAAAGAAAAATATTTATTTAACTTTACCTTATTAAAATTTAAAGTTGGGTGTTAGTGTTCCCTTAGAAGTACACAGTTGTAAGATTATACCAGCTGTTGTGACTGTGTGGATTTAGTCAAGACAGTGACAAAAAGAGAGATAATTAAGCCTGACAAAGATCTTCACAGAAAGATGTGATGTCTCAGATGTCATTTTGGACCAAGCAGGAATACTACAAAGGACATTTTACACACAAACAACCGGGAGTCTGTCGCCAAAGATGAACGTGCATTTTAAAATCAGTAATTCAGTTCTGACTCATGAAAAAAACATTTTCAAAATATGCTATCTCCATGTGAACGAATGAGGACACCGGATTGTTGTTTTTGTCCACATTTAGGAGCGCTTTTAATCTAGAAAAAAAAAAGAGCCACTGATCCGGTTTTGGCGGAAGAGACTCCACTTCCGGGGAATAACTGGCTTTCGCATTTCGATAAATAATTCACCTTCTAGGTTTGAAGTCTTCCTCGTCAGGTAACTTTAGTGCATTGTGTCAACTGTTCTTCGAGGATGGTGGTACAAATGTGTGGGTCGCTAACGTCGTAGTTTGGTGACGTCGCAGAGACGGTTGTGTTGCTAGCCGCAAGATCATTACAAAACCTGCCTCCAGCGCAGCGTTAGCTAACGGGTAACGTTAGCATTCTGATATTTGGGCTACCCGGGGCCAGATTATCCGTGAGCCTCGTCTGCACCCGCTAGGTTTTAATTCAACAGCTGCTATGAAACGTACCAAACATCACGGTTTTAAATGATTCAGTGAAGCTGTCTGTATGTTGTGGTTGTTTACATTTTGTACTCCGTGTTCCGTCTGACGCGGTGCTAACGTTATTCCACATCCGCCTGCCAACACTTAGTCGGATAAAGGTTTTTTTGTTGTTTTTTAATCACCCTAAGCTCACCTTCAGAGGTCAATCTTATGCTATGAGTCAGACGTGCTGTGTGATGTCCACCGGTCGTGTTGTAACCATTCCGTCTTATGGTGCCCTCATTTTACAGCGTCGTTGAATAAAATAGGCTTACCTGTTTTGCCGAAATATTTTTTAAGTGTATTTTTACACGGACAAATGTTATGTGACGCTGCCTGGGATGTTTACCATTGACAAAATACTGGTAACTGTGTTTGCAACGAGCTTTTGGAGGTAGTAACACTGTCTTTCTGTGGATTATCTATGATAAAGGTGGTCAGTCCTTTTCATCTAAATGAGAGGCTTTTAAGGCCTCTGAAAAAAAGATAAACAACAGTTTTCTCAACCTGAGCCTCTGTTATCTGTAATATCTGATAGCTCTATGTCATTCCATATATGATACATCAAGTTTACTTTTTGTTTAATGTTCCATGGATTTGTCAAAATTGTGGGTACATTTGATCTGCATTGTGGTTCCTCAGGAGGAGATTGCTGTGTACCATCTGAAGCAGAATACAGAGACTGAGTGGGTCATCAGGCAGTCTCCTTATGTCAGGCCGAAACGGGTCTGCCAGTGATGCAGACTGCCAGATCTCTGAGGACTGCCATGTCCCAGATGTTGAGCTGATGGAGCTCGGGCCGCTGCTGGAGGAGGGAGGGGGGCGACAGGTGGCTTCTAAAGGCATCCATTCAGAGGTAGGGCTGCCTTACAAAATCCCCTGAGGGAAGATATTTCAGCTTCGGCTACGGTAAGGCTCAGTAACAGAGGCCTTTTGTGGTGTCTTCAAAGGGAGCCGCTATGCTGGCTGATGAGGAGGAGGAGGACGATGAGGTCGGAGAGGTTCTGACCTTACCTCTTCAGGCTCACCATGCCATGGAGAAGATGGAGGAGTTTGTGCACAAAGTAAGTTTGTGTAATAAACAGAACTTGTAGAGCAAGCTGGATATCAACAACACATTTCTCTTAGAAGTTTAACTAATGTTTGTGATAAAATATACACATAAATATGAACAACTACAAGAGCAGTTGTGAGGGAGCTGAGTTTGCGTTAAAATAGGGCATCAGTAACCAGTTGTTAGTTCTTCTTGTGTAATGTAACCTTGCTCCACTTTTCACCGTCCCCTCTTTTCGCTGTCGCTCCCCCACCTCCCTCCCTCTCTCGCAACTCCCGTGGTTCCGTGTCCCCTCAGGGTTGTCTGACCCCAATTTGAGAGCCAGTAGATGTTCCCTTGCTCATGTGATCGGAGCAGCACATGACTTAGCTGCCTGCCTTTTGCATCGCCTTGGGATTCTATCTTGCCAGTCTCTACTCGGCATTAATGTAGACGGATGAACTTTCCGTTACAGGAAGATTCCTCACTGAATACTGGGCCTGCACACAACATTTTTAGCTTTGAGTTCTTGCTCTCTCAGTAATACGTTAGGCTTGATTCAATAAATAAATAAAGATGTTGCTTCTTAAATGCCTGGTAGTGTCCTCTTACTGTGATAGTTTAAGGGGGGGGGGGGAGTAGAAATAGAACCCCCCATAAAACATGCTAAAGTAAATTTCCTATTTGCTGGTTTGTCAGCCCGATCCTCTTTGAGTCCCATATATCTTAGTTCAATGCTATTCTATAATGACTCATTTTTATTTAGGGCTGCTACGCTAAAGCTATTAAGACTAGTTGTGATCGTTTAAGTGGAAAAAAGGAGATTTTTGTAATAAACTATATATTACAACCAAATTCAAGCATAAAGACTGAATTTCAAGTACAAACAGCTCATAGCAGCTAGTGTGTGAATGAACAAATGCTATGGTTGTTGGATTAAAAAAAAAATCATAGACGGCAAAGTGTCCTGATACTGAGTTATATCCATATTTAAAACGAATCAAGTTTTAACTTCTACATTTTTCTGTTTTTTTAATTTATGAGGAAAGTCACCCTTATACTAAACCTCACAGCCTTTGCTGAATCAGTTGTGTGTGTGGAGGTGACTGGATTCTTGTTTTCAGGTTTGGGAGGGGCGTTGGCGAGTCATTCCCTTTCATGTCCTGCCTGACTGGCTGAAGGACAATGATTACCTACTGCATGGACATCGACCTCCCATGCCCTCCTTCAGGGCCTGTTTTGGCAGCATCTTCAGAATTCACACTGAGACCGGAAACATCTGGACTCATCTTTTAGGTGAGCATGATCCTTCTTTCATCTGTTACAGTCAGATGTATTTCAAAGCTGATTCGTTTTTTTAAATATTACATTTTCAACACCTGATGCTTTGATTTCATCAACATGTATCAACTTTTGTCTTCCTCAGGTTTGATCTTATTCATTTGTCTGGGCACTTTAACCATGCTCCGCCCCAACATGTACTTTATGGCACCGCTGCAGGAGAAAGTTGTGTTTGGGATGTTCTTCTTGGGAGCTGTGCTCTGCCTCAGCTTCTCCTGGCTTTTTCACACTGTCTACTGCCACTCGGAAAAAGTATCTCGCACATTCTCCAAGTAAGGCTGCATACTGTCCCAACACGTTTTTCACCAATGTCCCCTGAATGTTATAGAGGATAGATGGGGCTTCTCTGGCTCATTTTTGTGGCCGTGGGGGACGTCCAAATTAATCCATTGTTTCCTCTTAACAGCACAGAATTTTGAACTTGTTTTCTTCTCCATTCTCTGATCATTGAGTCACCATTGTTCCATCCTGTCTCCTCAGGCTTGACTACTCGGGCATTGCCCTCCTAATCATGGGCTCCTTTGTGCCCTGGCTGTACTACTCGTTCTATTGTTCCCCTCAGCCTCGACTTATCTACCTCACCATCGTTTGTGTTCTCGGCATTGCCGCCATCATAGTTGCCCAATGGGACCGATTCTCAACCCCTCGTCACAGACCTACACGAGCAGGTGAGCACAATGGACTGTTTGCTTAGGTTTGTAATTTCAGTGTTTACACATATTTGTCATTGTGTTTTTTTTGTCTTGTCCTGGCAGCAGAGGATTGTTTCCCTCAGTGTGGGAAAAACCTCTTTTTGCATAGGAAAGAAAACTAACACATTGTCTTTATGAATGACTGCAGGAATTTCTTTGAAGGTGTAAAATGAGAGTCATTTTATCTTGTAGACATGTAGATGCATGCTTGTTAATGAAAGAGGTAACTCAAGTCAGTGATTCTTTTAGGTGTGTTCATGGGTCTTGGACTGAGTGGCATTGTCCCCACTATGCACTTCACCATCGAGGAGGGTTTTGTGAAGGCCACTACAGTCGGGCAGATGGGTTGGTTCTATCTGATGGGTGCCATGTATATCACTGGTGCTGGTCTGTATGCAGCCAGGATCCCTGAACGCTATTTCCCTGGAAAGTGTGACATCTGGGTCAGTACTTGTGTGTAACAATTCTGCTGTTATTATCAGTGATGTGAAAAAAAAAAACGGACATTTCCAAGTAGAGACGGGAATTTGTTTTGTTTTTCAGTAATGATTCAGTTTGTTTGGCCAGATTTCTTGCCAATATGTTTTTGTATTTGTTAATATGATTAATTTCTATTAGAAACTTCTCATAAAAATCCTCTGTGGAAGCTGTTTTTACAGTTCTCTGAGTCCGAGCTACATTTGGGATGTGGATGAATTGTACTTTTTCTGATCAAACTCAAGCCAATGATTGTGAATGTTTTCTGACAGGCTGTGCTTTTTCTTCCTTTTCCCAGTTCCATTCCCATCAGATTTTCCATGTTTTGGTCGTGGCAGCAGCTTTCATCCATTTCTACGGGGTTTCCAACCTGCAGGAGTTCCGCTATGGCCTCGAGGGAGGTTGCACAGATGATACTCTGCTCTGATACACCCGACTGTGACTTATTTTTCTTTACAGCTCCACAAACACACACACACACACACACACACAAACACTCAACACAAAAGCTGCTGCTGGAATTCAGTGTAGTCACTTTCTGCCCCTTCTGTACTTCTGATTTGCTTACTTCTTGTTTGGGATTCATGGTCTTTCTGCTTTGCCTTGTTTTTTTTTGTTTGTTTTTTTCCAGCTCTGGTAAAGTAGCATTAACTAGCCAGTGTACTACAAAGGGAACAGGGCACTACTTATTACAATGGTCATTTTCAAATCTTGGTTTTAGGATTATTAGCCAAGAATTTTTTTTAAAGAAAATGGAATTTGGATTTAAATCATTGGTCCATTTCATGGATAGTCTGTTCTTAGAACTCACTAGTACCCCATCCTTTTCATCGTCTGTTACAGTTGCACAAAGGGTACAGAGAGAACTGTTTGTGCTATAGTAAAAGGCACAAATTGTAAATTTCCCTCGCATGCAGGTTTAGAGGAGGATGCACTGTCCACCAGGAGTGCAGAGCAGTCAACAGTTTAGATGCTTAAAATTACAAACATGTTTATAAAAGTTAATGAACATACACACATTTAGTGTGTATGGATTTCTCCTTTTTGTGTGTGGGGGAGTTGTTTTTCCTCCTTTTTTTTAATTTGAAACTTTACTGATATTGATGATCTGTCCTTTAAGAAAAACAGAGGACCTGCTTAAATCCACATTTGCCCATGCAGCAATAAAACATAAACTGTACTCTGAAAGCCCATTCATGAACAAATCAAATATTCTCATGGTGTTTTGTTTTTTCAAGCTGTTACATTAATCCAGAGACCTCACATGACAAAAATGGGAGCACAACAAGTGCAATCAATGTGCAATGTCCCTGACAAACAAATAAAATACACCCAATGTCACTGAATTACACAAAGGATAAAGCTAATTGCCGTTTGATTGGTTCAAATGCCTTGTTCGATTAAAAAAATAAATAGAAAAAAGGTTTTTAAAAAATGGAATTAAGTGACTGCTTTACCTTGTAATAGAGACCCAGACCTGATTACGTTTAAACTGTGTAATGGCCCAGAAAAGCTGTAAAAGCTTGAAACTGCTTTGAAAAATAATTATCCATATAGTTCAGGTCAAAGTCATCCCTTAGTTCCTAGACTGCGCAAAATATACAGATCAAGATTGGTAAAATTGTGTTTTTTTCAGCTGGAAATTTTTCTTTTGTGTTTGATTTCAGATGCAATGAGAGGTGTAAATCTCAAATGCACCTTAGTTTTTACAATTCAATTTGAAACTTTAAATGACAAGATAAGGTTTAAAATGTGTTCTGTATTATTGGTATAATCTTTTAGTATTCCTGTGCCTTAGGCCAATGGAAATTTTTTAAAAATAAAATGGCCTATCATAATAGTCAAGGAAGCATCAAAGTATTCCTGATATTGACTTGTGTTGTTTTCCTTGCCACACACACAGCTTAAGTATACAATCAAATCATTATTGAACTTACTATTCCATTGATAGATGTACAAACTGCTGTTTAAGACTCCTTTTTCTAGATGAACTTATTCAAGCTTTATTACAAAGACTAAAACAATGTGTGTTCTTGACTTTGTGTGATGTCTTGTGTAGAAAGTGATAAATCATGCATTTCCCTGAAATGTAAACCTGAATATTTATTAACTGTAAACTTGGAAAATTATTGTAATAAATTTTTTTCCACATGTATGATGTGCAGTTTATTGTTTACTGTATATTTGATGGGTCCAACATTGATTGCACTAAAACTGTAAAGACAGCAAGCTTCATTGGTCATTCTTCTTGGTTGTCTCTTTTAATAAAAATGTCCTTAGTCTGAAATGGCAAAGAGAAAGGTTGGGATGCTGACTTTAATGTTATACACTACATGAAGTCAAAACCAAAAACTTATCAAAAAGGTGAAGCTGTAAAATATCAAAAGACATGTTGGTGGCACAAATCCTGATTGTTCTCTATTTGAAAGATGGTGGACACCAGGTGAATGCATTTAGTAATAGTAATATCACATCTACTAACATGGAAACAGCAACCATTTTTGCAACAATTTTTTATTTTTTCATGGTACGTAAAATTTCGCGTGTATGAACATCTTCATGTAGCATTAATATGGTATTTTTCATTTAGAAATAAGGGTCGTTTTTACCAACAGGCCTATTCATGACTTTATTTTTTTCATGCTAAAACCCACATCGAACCTGGATAATTGTATTCACGTCAATTTTTCTGTTTGGTATAAACAGGCCGTCATTTTAAAACCGTCGATTTTTCATGATGAGGAACGTTTCTTCGACTACTTGTTTGTAATCGACACTATTTACTTGTTGGTACATTCCGAGTCCAGCTAGCTAACTTGGTGTGTTTGTTTTGTGAGACGTTTCTGTATTTCAGGAAGCCGGTACGTCTTATATGGCTTAAATCAATTATGTGTGAGCGATTTTTTTGATCAGTCGGTTCAAATCAGTGTTTTGTTTTATATTTGGCTGGAATTACTGATAATGTGGTTACGTCGTTGACATTCTGTGTGGGTTTTAATGAAAAAGCGAATTAACTAGTTTGGTTGTCACGCGCTTCCGCACTACAAAATTCCCTATGGCTTTTAGTTCCGGCCCAATTTTGACGTGCGAGCCAAACCTTTGTTTTCCTTAAGATTGAGTCCATCTCAAGCTTGTGAGTCGTCAGACCTAAGCATTGCCCTTTCGATCAGCCCAGTGTGCCCGGTGAGAGTGATACTCCCTTGTGCCCCTGTGCATGTGTACATTACCGTAAACTTGCTGTTTGGCAGGGTGCGAGATGGACAACAATCAAGAGCCCGAAGAGGCCACCGACCGATCCGAACTGCTGTCCGGAGACGGAAAGAATAGCAAGTCTGTCATGTGTCAACGCTGCGGGTCCAAAGTGCTGTCTCCGGGGATAGCTACGTTTGCAGAGAAGGAGGTACGTTGTTTATTTGTTTGTTTTTACCCCGCAGGCCGCACAAGTAAAAGAGTTTACTGTAAGACATTGTCATACAGAAGTAGTTCAGAATGCTCTACTGGATAAAACAGGAGGGGCTGTGAAGCTAAAGTTACGTTGCAGAATGGACATTCTGAGGAACATTTTCGTTATTAGAGTTTAAAAACATTGTTTTTTCTCCATTAAAGCTGTTTTATGGATTAATTAAGAGATAAGTAGATGGCTGGTTTCTTTATTATCAATAATAATACAAACCCAACATCTCCACTCAGAAACAAATCAATTAGCCTTCTGACATGCACCATTATTATTACTTTAGTTAATTGAGTGAAAGGTATTCAAGACAAAGACATCTGTCATCAAGGTTGAAATCTTTACAAAAGATACAGTGTATTTGGGGAGCTTCAGGTAAGCAGCAGACACTCTGGTGACCAGTCATGTTTGTTACTCTTATTCAGCTTTGTCTACTCTTTGTGTAACTCTAAGTAGATTTGAATTAAATTAATGATAGAATATCCACATCCCTGGCTCATTATGCGATCTGTGCTTATTTTCTGTCACCAGCTTTTTCTGCCATCCATGAGGAAAAAGAGTGGCCTCAGCGCCACAGAGAGCTCAGTGGACGGCGACACTCTGACTGATCATTGGTTAGTCGGGGACATGTTTGATTTTGAGAACGTGGGCTTCACAAATGACGTGGGGAGAATCAAGTACCTCATCTGTGCAGATTGTGAGATTGGACCGATCGGCTGGCACTGTTTGGATGACAAAAGTACTTACTACATTGCCTTGAAAAGAGTGACGCATGCATGATATTGAGCCCAAAAGGACTTTATAAAACATGTTGGCGGTGTTTTATGGATATACACTCAAAGTTGTTCTCTTCTAAATTCATCATATGTTTACGATTGTGTAATGTAATTTTTTTGTTGTGACGGGGTTGTACCTTTGTCCCCTATCACATCCACAATAATACCATCATCCTCGTCAAATAAAAAATACATAAGTCCTTCTGACTCCTAAATTACCTTTTTTCTCTATGACTTAGGTGTGAGTGCATGTTATATCTAATTGTTTGCTAAGTATTTGTGGCGGTATTGGATTCAGATCAAGCAGAACTACCAGTTACGATAGTGTACTTTGGACTTCAACGCAAGAAGTTTAAACTCAAATAAGATGTTATGCTACTTTTCTGAACTTTCTATGTAATAAGTCTGCTAACAAAACATGTATAAAACCTCAACATCCTAAAAGTGGTAAATACAGATCATATAACTACTTGGTGTGCAATCTTTGTCATGATGAAGATGGTTAAATTCACAGGAAACTTCTAGGATGCATTTGAGATGTTTTTTTACTGCATTTATGAAAATGTGACTGAGAAGTGGTGAAAACTTTAAATATTGAGAATTATGAATCTCTCTGTACTGTGAGCAGAGAGCAATATTTAAGAACTGCTGATAATTTCTGACATGCAAACAACTAACAAAAGAACAGCGGAAAAAACAATAACCGACAACATTTTAGCATGAACTCAAATTTATGTCATAATCACCCTACTGCACTAATCACAGAACTGAAGTTATTATTTTTATTTTATTGTATTGTATTGTATTCTACTACCGGACTGCTATGGCAACCCAATTACCCTTCGGGGATGAATAAAATATCATTTTCGATTCCTTTCTATTTAAACCAAGGAGTGTGCTGTATTGTGTGCAATTCTACTCTACACCACTAGATGGCAGTAAATTTTCTTAAACACACATGGCACCGATTTTCTATTATGATGAGTCCATTGTTGCTTTGTGCAGGTCACACCTTTTAACTGAGCCTCTGCACACTCCCAGTAAGGTTAACCTAACCACTTAAAATGCAATGGTGGTAACTAGTTGAAAATACCATTCAGTGATGGCCCAGTGTAGGGTTACTTTTTAATTTGTGCGTTGAATGCACTGTTGTGCTTAAATTGCCATGATAATGCATATAGGAATGTATCGACTTGAGGCAGCTCTACAAATGTACACTTAATTTAAAAACGGGTTAAGGCTGTAGGATTTTCAGTCGTAGGTACACACACCAGGTTCCAAGTTATAGTTATGGAAAATCTATAAAGAATTTTTAAATAGGTACAAAATAAGAGTCTGTCTCTCTCATTCAAATTTGTATCATAAATGTGATACGTAAAAGCTGTAGACACCTGTTACATACAGTTGTAGTGTCTGCAATCCACTACCAGGAAGTTCAAATGAAACAGAACAGGGGCATTCAAATAACCCTGTGACTGTAAACAGTGAGAAACACAGACAGACGAGGGCTCTATTTTCAGCAGATGGAAGAAAGTTAGGATTTTGATTAAAACCAGAAAACCAGAACATTTCTCCTGTTTGCCTAACTGTTGGTACATGTTTGACTCGTATAGTTCATTATGTCACAGCGTTCCCTTTGCTGTTACTCAGTTATAACATACGGCAGATTATATTTAATACAGTGTACAGTAATGTGTGAAGAACTGTTTAATAGTTTGTACACAGAGCTAAATTACTGTGAGTCAAATTATGAATGGATTGTATTCTATAATTCTAGGAGTTATGGGAAGCAAATGTTTGTTCTAAAAACATAAACAGTTGATCTCTCAACATATGACGACTCTCTACCAATCAACGAGCTCCTCTAGACCATTTAAAAACAAAGTGCCGGCCAGCGCAATGATCTGGTGGGTGTGCTCGAATAGAAGATCTCATATCTCTATTCATTCGATGCTGCCGGACGGTTAAAGGACCAGTCAGCGTATTCTTTCATTTGTAAATGTTTGAGGTCGGTGCAGCGTCGGGGCAAAAAGTGAAAATAAGGAAACATGTTGATGGAGTAGGAACTCGTTAAAGACGAGATTGTCAAACCAGTAAGCTACAAAATCCTGATTAACTTTTTCTCAAAGCGTTTAACGCGTGAAGAAACACGGCCACTTCGTTTCTTTTGAACAGGCCTGAAATAGGCTAAATCGCATTCAAACCGTTTATCTGCCTGTTTCGGATATTAAAAGCGTTTTTTCTTTATAGTGAACCGGTTTAGTTATACGCCCTCACTGAAATATTTAAAAATAAAAAATAATGACTAATATGTGTGTGTATTTTTAGAGACACAGCGACGGGGCCCCGCGTGTCTACTTTTTGAAGCGGACGCGCACAGTATCTGACTGTCACCAGCTCGTCTCCAACTAGATAATTCGTCTTTGAGTTGAATGAGTGGAGTGGACATGAACTGAAAGACTGAAATTCATCGCAATTACATTCGGCGTGAGGAAGCCTTTACGGATATTTTCAGCTGGAGTCTTAACTACGATGAAATGATGACTCAACCACAGCTGAATGAGTTCATTCCTCCCCCGGAGTGCCCTGTTTTTGAGCCCAGCTGGGAAGAATTTGCCGAGCCTTTTGCGTACATCAACAAAATACGACCAATTGCAGAGAAAACTGGCATCTGCAAGATCCGACCACCACCGGTGAGCATTTCTTGTTTTTTGACAATTCTTCGGGGCGTTTGCATGGCGCAATAACCCCGTCTGTTGTGGAGGATTTAGCAGGCAAAGTTGTGTTTTTAGACGGGTTTCAACATGGCGGATTGCAGCTTCGAGAAGAATTGTGAGCCTGCTTGAGCAGGAGTGTGTTCGGTTTGATACAACGATAGGAAGCCCTTCCCGACGTACAATTTAAGTGGAAATGTGTGCTTGGTTCGAAATTAAAACTCTAAATACAGATATGTGCATATATATATGTGTATATCTCCACTAAGAGCGGTCAAAGAACAATTCAAAACGTTAAAGTTTGCATGTACGCAAATACAATGTAAATTGTTTACGTTAGCGCTGAAAGAAGTGCTTCCTGGAGTCTACGCACTGAAATAGCTCACCAATATTTGAACTTCTTATTTGACTACCCCAGTTGCATGTAAAGCACAACTTTCTGAGCAGGATTTGACGGATTTAGCCACCGCGAGGGACCAGCCAGCGTTAAGAAGGCCCGTTTAAAGCTGCAGTTGTCCGAACACCGAACACTGGCTAACGTACGTGCTCGGTGACCAACTGTTTATGGAGAAAAGGGTCCTTCAAACACGGCCCTGAGTGGACACTGCTCGTCTCTTTGTAACCTAGCTTTATCTCCAGTTTATTTGAACGGCGAACATCGTAAGCTTTATAATGTTACAAATTGCATTAGACTTTCAGAATAGCCTGGTTTAGTTATAAAAGTTACTCTTGGGTTGACTTCCAATTGATTGTTGGGTTTCGAAGTGTTTAATACCATAAAACACCCACCCATTTCACTGAACACGCATGTTTAATCTTTTGGCGAAGAAAAAATATTAATAAGGAACACAAATTAAACTCACACTGACCCTATTTTTTAAATGTGTGATGGCCCTTATTCAAGGGTGTGTCCATGCATGAATTTAAATTAAATAAAGGACAGATTCCACTGAAATAAACTATCTTCTCATGACGGATGTGTTTTCTGGCAGGTAGCCCCTTTGTCATTCTCAGGTCCTGGGTGGAAGTGGTTTGGCTTGTCCTGTGTGCATTCAGATAACGTGGCATTCGGCTGTGGCAGAACTTATGAGGCAGTAAAAGCCCACTTTTACACGGTCCAGCCCGACGGGCAGGGATACAAGGGCTTGAATTGTTATCAAAACCTGCGGGTGGGGTGGGTGCGTTTTGTGTTTGCTGGGTACTGGCTGAAAAAGCACGGATCATGTAAACAAAAGACAGAGAGAAAAGGTTTGAGCAAAGACTGGCTGCTGATTGGTTGCTTTTTCGGAAATGGAATAGAAATAAAAAACATGGCCAAGTAATTTACTAACCCTTTGTGTTGTTATTACTTGTGTATATGTCAGTAAGCCATTGTCAAATCATGCTCAGAAAGTCTTTGATTGTGTTTATACATGTTTCTTTATCAAGGTTAACCCCTAAATGTACCTTACATGGTGTATTCTCAAGTTATGCACAGGTTTTTTTAAATCACACAAGTCAGACTTGAAAGGTGAATGGTCCAAGCTTTGGTCATGCAGAGTAAGATAAGTCTAAAATACCACCTTCATTTTGAGTGTTTAAGATGCATTTTACTGTGCATATTTACTTTTTCTATATTTTTATATTAAAGGAGATATCCTGGATGGTTATCTCACAGATGTGCACACAATTACCTCATAGGATTCTGTGCAGATTTAGTCTTGGATCTTCTCTTTGCTCCTTTTTGTCTTTAAATTACATTTTTTTCTCTTCAAAAAGACACTTTAGAGCAGAAATAAACACTCTACCACAACCCGTTTTAATCAGTGATATCTATGTGCACAGTATGTGGTTAGAATTTCCTCCAGGGTTCTGTGCAGGTCACATTTTCATTGTAGATCTTAGAAACACACATGACAATGATTAAGTGTTATGGTACTGCTTTTGGTGACATCCTCTCACCCTGTGTGAGGAAAGGAGGTTCAGGAAGGAGGGGATTGGAAATGGTCACACTGGGCTTTCATTCCGTAATAGTGGAGTCAAAAAATTCAGGAAGGACTGTCAAGCACACCTGACACATTTCATGTGTTTCAATGTGATTGTTCTCCCTTTGTGCCCGAGCATTTGTTGGCCTAATCCATCTGGTGGTGATAAGGCGGTGTGGCCACCATTTTCCTAAGTGTGTGTGTGTGTGTGTGTGTGTGGTTGGGTGGGGTGGGGAGGGGAGGGGGGGGGCTCTTATGCAAGCCTTTTAGATTCAATGTTATAGTTTCTACATTAACATTTTATTCAGGATGGATCTAATTAGTTTAAATATTTACATTTTGAAATCTAATTAAATTTAAATAGACTGTTTATAAGACTGAATTCAGTCGGTGGTGTCATTTCTAGGTGCAAGTTTAATCAGAACACATCATGAATTTACATGCAGTATTTCAAGAGAACATTTCCATGGTTTCACAGTGTTCTGGCTCTAACTAATCAATTTAAATAAAAAGTAAAGCAAACCCATGGACGAATGCTTGAATAAAGATCGTATGAAAATAAAACAAATGTATATATAAAGTTAATTTCTATGTTTTACAATTTAGATTGTCTTTTGGGTGTGGCTCTTTCTTTAACGATACTTGTAATCCTGTTCCAACACTTTCTGACGAATGCTATGTTTAAAAGGTGCCCAGTTGAACTGATTTAGCCTGGTATTATGGTAATTAGTAAATGTTAACTTTTGTCCTGACATAGCTACATTTTTGTAATGATTATTATAAATAAAGTTTATACATTTTCCCGCTTCTTTTTGGATGTGGAAAACAAATTAGATTTTTTTGATAATTCCTTTTGTATTTTTACTAAGACAAGGAAACTAATAAATACATTATTCACTAAATCAATGCTTATAATTCATGTTTGTACAAAGACTAAACAAAATAATTTCTGGTGAGACTGTGGATAGTTGAATTAACAGATTTGACCGTATTCTGACGTGATAGACTAAACACTGTACACAAACACAAAATAATCTGTATGTGCAGCTGTGTTAAAGCTCCCATTTTACAGGCTACACACTCTAGTACAATTCTAGTACTGTTTACAGTTCCACTTTTTGGTTCCTCTTTCACTGTTTAAAGTGCAGCGTGAAACCTGAAACTGTCATCTCAAAGATAATCTTTAGAAAAGACTGCAGCCTTTTTGTGACAGTAATTTTATTTTCATACTAAAAACAACTCTTTAAACATTAAACAAACCATGTGATCATTCAAAGCCACAGCAGCATTTACCTTCTCTTCTTTGTGATGGTGTTAGCAGCACTTTTTTCATCACACAGTGTGTTATTTTTTTCCGCTCATCTGTAACTTTGCTCTCACTGCAGGAAGTCGGATATCACATACATTATGCAAAGCAAAGATTACTGATTTGTGAGTCACATCTGTAGGCTCAATACCTTTTTTGGTTTATGTAACAGAGCAGAACAAGAAGTACTCTTAATATTCTGTAACTTAATTGTGTTTATAGGGTCTATCACATGTTGGTCAAGAGTTTTATTTATTTATTTTGTTTTCCTTTTGGTGTCCCCACTGAGTCTCGCTCCGCTCCTGTCTCATAATGATGCTGCTATACAGTTCACTCGGTGTCCTTGTGCAGAGATGTGGCATTTATTTGGACAGACATCTAATAAACAACCAATTAGCCTTCACCTCTTCTTTTCTTGGTCATGATCATTTGGAGAAGGTTTTTTTCAACTCTTCCAGAAAGGAATTAATTTCTGTTTTGTTTGTCTTTTTGAGCTCATATGTCTGCTCAAAGTAGCCTTACCTAACACTTATGAATATACTCCAAGTCTTTATTTGGACCTAATGGATGAAATATCAACTTGCTGATTGCTGTTTAATTCCTATGACGGTTCTTGTTAAAAGACAAATTCAGTGTAATCCCATTTAAGAACACGTGTAGTGAAGCCCGTCACAGACTGACAAATCTGCTAAACATTTTTTTTTTCAGAAGCTTCAGTGTTTCTACTGAAAAAGGATGCCATTTTTCATGAAATGTTTTCTTTTTCTTAGGATTGGCAGCCACCTTTTGCCTGTGATGTCGACAGACTGAAATTCACCCCGCGAATTCAAAGGCTTAATGAGCTGGAGGTATGTTAATTCTTCTTTCTTTATTTCATTCAAGTTTTATTTAATATTTCTGTGGAAAATTTTGGCATTCTGGTCTCTTGTATAGAATATCACTGCTCTGACTATGTACACACTATGCTTTTTTTTTTTAAATGGTTTAAAACTTCAGAACATTTGATTAATGGGCAGAACAGATTAAGTGGAGCATTCATATTCAGAAAAAACTGTCAGGGTTAAAAAGAACATAAGTTAACAATTAAGTTAAGTAAATTCCCTCTAAACAATCTTGATCAGATCGCTATCAGAACCATAGTTTCTGGTCACATTGGAGGATGCAGAGCGTAAAACTACAACTAATCATTGCTTTGTTTCCAGGCTCAGACCAGAGTTAAACTCAACTTCCTGGATCAAATTGCAAAATTCTGGGAACTCCAAGGATGCACATTGAAAATTCCTCACGTAGAAAGAAAGATACTGGATCTATACCAGCTGAATAAGGTTTGCAAAGTTTTGCTAGTTGGATGATAATGAATCGACACACAAAAGCTGTGTCGATTATGAGAAACCCTTGTCCATGAATTAAAAACATTTCTTCTTTTTCAAGTTGGTGAATGAAGAGGGTGGCTTTGATGCAGTCTGCAGAGAAAGGCGCTGGACTAAGATATCTGTCAAGATGGGCTTTGCTCCTGGAAAGGCCATTGGCTCTCATCTGCGGGCACACTATGAGCGGATCCTCTACCCGTATAACCTTTTCAAGACTGGAGCCAACCTGCCTGTATGTCCCATCTCCAGTTGTCTTTCAACAGCAGCAAAGCCGCAAAGTTTCGTTGCTCACAGCTCAGATGAAGTTTAATTTACATTTTGTTGCGTTACATATGACTTTAATGAGATTTGTCAGAGAAAATGTGTTGTTTTTCATGTCTTATTCTAAATTTATAGAATTAATTTTGAGTCTTTAATAATTTTCTATAACTCAAATATTTTCTGAACAAAAATATCAAGAGGCATTTTATTCCTCTTTGGCTTTTTATAGTTTTGACTCTCCATCTCCTAACTTGTTCCTATTTGTTTAGCAGAAGGCCACCTTGACTAATGACACAAAAGACAAAGAGTACACCCCTCATGACCTGCCACAGCGCCAGTCTGTCCAGCCTCAAGAGACATGCAGCATCGCTCGTCGTGCTAAACGAATGAGATCCGAAGTGAGTGTTTGCTCTTTGTTTTGATGTGTGCACATACATCATTTTAGATTATTTTTGTGAACTGCAACTACAGTAGGTAAAAGTTTGGCTAGCTCATTAATTTCCTAAATTTGATGAACATGTCAGGATTTTAATCACTGTCTTGTAAATTAATAATTGTCATTTATTATTTTCAGCAGAGTTTATTTAATTCATCGACTTTGTGGTTATAAGCCACTTTGGAGGCTGCTAACTTTAATTAAGCTAATCTGTGTCCTATGAGAAGGGGGAAGTTATCAAAAGATATATTGCTTTTATCCTCCCAAAAAATGGCAGGCATGGCGAACTGTATAGAAAAATGGCAGATATAAGAGCTGCTTTGCAGGATCGAGTCTGACACAAGTGTATTATTTTGTATCCTTTTTTCATATACTTTAGTTCATTAATGTTGTTATCATGATATCTCTTCATTACAGAGTGGAAGTGAACATCTCCACTTGTTTTAATCTATCTTTCTCTCTGACATTCACCGTAACTGCAGAAAGGCTATTTCAAAAGTGAACCTGAAGAAATATGTGAGAATCGTCCCAATCTGAGAAGAAGAATGGGAACATATGTTGCTAAACCAGAACCAGGTAAGAAACACAATTACAAATAAAAAGGACTGTGTACACTCAAAAATATTAATGGGTGGTCCTATGATGAATGTTGAACCCTGTCTTTCAGTGACAATGGCTGTTTTTGAGGTGAAACAGGAGCCAATTGAAGACATGAATCCTAAAGAATATGAAGAAACTGTAATAAATAAAATAAACAAACCTACGGTGAATAAAGTAAATGGTTTATTTTGTTATTAAGATCATGGAAAAGCTGTCTGACATCGCTTTAAATAAGATATTGTGTGAATAGATTTTCTGCATGTACTGCTTTAAGTTTCAAGCTCCAACTGTTCTCCCAGGTGGACACGTACATGTGCCTGGTATGTGGCAGTGGGAGTGCAGAGGACCGCCTGCTGTTGTGTGATGGTTGTGATGACAGTTATCACATCTTCTGTCTGATACCGCCCCTCCACGATGTTCCCAAAGGCGACTGGAGGTGCCCCAAGTGTCTGGCTCAGGTGTGCTGCAGCATCCCATCCCTCCAAGGGCCAGAGTCTATTTGTACTTGGCAATTAGAGACATAAGCAGTATAATATCTTAATAATGGTGGTCATCGTCTGTTTGTTTTTTTCCATTTTGTAGGAATGTGGCAAACCACCTGTTGCATTTGGTTTTGAGCAAGCAGGCAGGAGCTACACCCTTCAAGCTTTTGGAGACATGGCTGACTCTTTCAAGTCTGATTACTTCAATATGCCAGTTCATGTGAGTGAGAGGGTCCAAATCATGACAGCTGCTGGATGGTTTGATTTGACTTATCCAAACCTGACATCTGTCAGACTTGCACAACAAAAGTAGTGGTTGTTTTCTAAAAGATGTTTTCACTGAACAGTAAGTGTGAAGATGCAAAATCTGATTTATTTTTCTATTCTAATTGCAAACAAACTTCCAAGCACTCTCAGCTTGATTTGTGTGCTAAAAGAATCAGCAGTTGGTCTTTTTCATGAGATGGGAGGATCACAGCTTTAAGGAATTTTGTCCAATTGACGTTGCCTTTGGTCAAACATCTTTTATCCCTCATGGTCGACGAGCATTCTATATAGTAAGTTCTCAAAATGAGTTGAATGCCATTTGTGTTGTGTTGTCTTTTTAGATGGTCCCTACTGAGCTGGTAGAGAAGGAGTTCTGGCGTCTCGTCAGTACCATTGAGGAGGACGTCACCGTGGAGTATGGAGCAGATATCGCCTCAAAGGAGTTTGGGAGTGGTTTCCCTGTGAAAAACGGTCATTTTGAAGTATCCTCTGAGGATGAGGTATGGTATAGCTGTCACAGAGTCCATTCTATTTTGGTCCTTTGGAATCTCACAATTACCTGAATTTGAGAAAAATGCCTAAATTAAATTATATTAAATATGTTATTGCTCCTTTACAACAGTGTATCTAAATCTGTTAAGTATAATATGCATCATCCCAACTTTTTTTGTGTGGCCAGCTATTTCAGGCCAGGTACTAGAGCCAGAACTAGTTTGGTTTTCCACAGCCACATTAAGCCTCTTCTAACGTTCGAACCTCCCACTAATGTGTTGTGAATGCCTGTAGAGGACAAGTTACTATATTTTAAGCAACAGTTTGGGTTTTAACTTTGCTGCAGAAAAACACTGACTGGTAGTTAAAAACTGTTATTCTACATGATCCATACACACTGTTTTGACTAGGATTGATAAACGCATGCAAACACTCAAAACATTGAATGTAGCTGCAACACTGAAACTACTTTGACTGAGTGTTGACACCTGTCTCTGAACTGCAGCATTACCTGACCAGTGGCTGGAACTTGAACAACATGCCGGTCCTTGATGCCTCGGTGCTGACTCACATTACAGCCGACATCTGTGGGATGAAGGTTCCCTGGCTTTATGTGGGGATGTGCTTCTCTTCTTTCTGCTGGCATATTGAGGACCACTGGAGCTACTCCATAAATTATCTTCATTGGTAGAGTGTTTTTGGAAACTTTCTTTTCAGACCAGCCAGTGTAAATTAAAGGTTTACTATTTGTTTTTTTAATAAAACCTTTTGAGATTATGTATGCATTTCTTTTAAATACATTTACAAATGTTACTAGTGCCTCTTAACATAGACTTAATAAAAAAACATAGTTAATTTAAACTGTAAATTTTTAGGTAGGTGAATACAACTCTGTCTTTTATATATCTACAGTCTGTTTTTTATTTTCTCCACTCACCTAAAATGTCTGATTAAATGTGCAGGGGAGAGCCAAAGACATGGTATGGGGCTCCTGGTTATGCTGCTGAGCATCTGGAGTCAGTCATGAAGACATTAGCCCCTGAGCTGTTTGAGTCCCAGCCAGACCTCCTTCACCAGTTGGTCACCATCATGAATCCCAACACACTAATGAACAACGGTGTTCCGGTACAGTGCTCTGTAGATCTGCACAATGTTATGTTATGTTTAAAAAGATGTGGTGAGGGGGAGGTTAAAAGTGTCAAGCATAATACAATGACCACATTGTAATGAATTCTCTTTTACCAAGCTAAATTATCAGTCACCATGTTTAACCTAAGAAAATATTTTCTTTAAAGGATTTAGAAAATTGCATTTATTTATTTTTAATTCTTTCCAATTTAGATCTATCGCACCAACCAGTGTGCGGGGGAGTTTGTCATCACTTTCCCAAGAGCCTACCATAGTGGATTCAACCAGGGTTTCAACTTTGCTGAGGCAGTGAACTTCTGCACCATGGACTGGGTAAATGAATGTCCTTGATCAGATCATTTCTTTACTTCAATTTTTATGTTCAAAGATTTAGAAGAAATTTAGAAACGAGTATAACTACTCAGACGCATTTAACATGGAACAAATAAGCAGTGCTGACAGTGATTAGGAAGTCGTTCTTCTAAAATCAGTGTTTCCTATTCACCTTTTGAAAACAAATGTACCTCCATCTTGTTTTCCACCAGATGCCCAGTGGCCGGAACTGTGTCAATCACTATCGCCAGCTGAGCAGATACTGTGTCTTCTCTCATGACGAAATGGTTTGTAACATGGCCCTAAAGGCAGAGTCCATGGATGTTGACCTGGCGTCGGCTGTGCAGGAGGACATGGCCACCATGATGCAAGAGGAGAAGCAATTACGAGAAAAGATCAGCAAAATGGTGAACGGCTCCTGAGGATTCAATGTCTTTTCATCATTAGAGTTATTAAGAAGTTAAAATGTTTTGTATGAACATGAGGGCACATCTTTGAGGTTTGATTGCTCCAGTGCTTGAAGAAAAAACTATTTAAAAAATATTGATCAAAGACCGTTTATAGCGGTTTAGAAAAGGAGACTTTTTATTGTCTGCTCAGATGCCACATTTAGCTCCCCCACCCTCTCTGTGGCTCTAATGACTGATTCCGTGTCTCCAGGGTGTGGTGCAGTCTCGACAAGTTGATTACGAGGTGCTCCCAGATGAGGAGCGGCAGTGCTTCAAGTGTCGGACCACCTGCTACCTGTCTGGCATCACCTGTGCCTGCAGCCCTGACAAGATGGCTTGTTTGTACCACGCCCAGGACCTCTGCTCATGTTCTCATAGTAACCTCACACTCCAGTGAGTCCTCAATAACTCCATCTGCCCAATATACTATTCCATGGCATGCTTTAAAAACACTTTTAAAAAAAAGTTATAATACGTGGTTTAAGCAAATATCTACGGTTGGAAAAAGCGCTACATTTTCTAAACATAAGTTGCTGTGGAGCTGTGTATTCACCACCTTCTGTCGTCTCCTGCAGTTTCAAGTTTAACTTGGATGAACTGTACACCATGCTGGCATCAGTAAAACTGCGCGCAGAGTCATACAAAGACTGGATTTGTAGTGTTCAGGACATCGTGGAGAAAAAGGAAACTAAGAAAAGAGGTATTAAGACCTGAGTATTCAGCTTCACTCCCCCTCCTCAAGTGACACATTTAAACACTGATGTAAATTGAATGTGTTTTCTGGTCAGGTTTAGAAGAGCTTCATTGTCTGGTGGAACAAGCGGAGACAAAGGTGTTCCCTAAAACCAGCCTCCTGGAGCAGCTGCGCACCATCACCTCAGAGGCTGATAAAGTGGCTGTGATGGCTCAGCAGCTTCTCAATGGAAAGAGGCAGACAAGGTAGTAAAGATAGGGAACTGTGACTATTTTAGCACAATAGATTTGATAAAATGAAGTCATGAGACAAATTTGTGATTATTAGATCTATAAGTTATTGCCTTTTCGTCTGTTTCTTTTTTTATGGCCCAGTGCATTTATCTGCAGTCTTAGTTTTTCTTTTCAACAGAGTTGACCAAGCCTGTTTTGTTGTCTGAATCATTAAGCAGCTTGAATCTGTGTTGCAGGTATCGTTCTGGAGGAGGAAAGTCTCAAAGCCAGAATGAGCTGACCGTGGAGGAGCTGAGATCCTTTGTCCAACAACTGGACAACCTGCCATGTAACATCCGACAGGCTCCTTTACTGAAGGTAAGTATTTGTTTATTTTTTTTCTATTGTAATAATTGAGAATCATGTTATGAATGGTATTAAGATTTTATATATTTTTTTCCTCTTCATCCTCAAACACTTCTCTGTCTTCATTGTCGGTGTAATGTAAAATATATCTTTGGTCCAACAACATTACATGAGTAGACTTTCATTTTATGTGAAGTTACACAATGCATTTCATGACCTCCAGGACCTCCTCACCCGGGTGGATGACTTTCAGCTTCGCAGTGAGCGTCTCCTTTCTGATGAGTCACCTAGCCCACAGGGGTTGCAGGACCTGCTGGATTTAAGTTTGGGCCTGGACGTGGACCTGCCGCAGCTGCCCCTGCTCAGGGAGAGACTGGAGCAGGCGCGATGGCTGGAGGCTGTGCAGCAAGCCAGCAGCAGGCCGGAGTGCCTCTGTCTGGACACCATGAGGAGGCTGATAGACCAGGGCGTGGGCCTAGCTCCTCATAGCTCTGTAGAGAAGGCTATGGCCCGTCTGCAGGAGCTGCTGACGGTGTCAGAGCAGTGGGAAGAGAAGGTGCTCGGCCTCATGGAGGCCAGGTGAGTATGTAGTTTGTCAGGTTCTACGTTTTTTTTTATTTTTAATACTTGTTTTCTATTTAAATTGATGATCAGAAATAATTTTCAGGTCTTTCATATAAGAATCTTGTGATGTACTACCAAAAAACAAATTTAATTTGTCTCTTGGTATAGAGTACAAACATATTTTATTTGTTACAAATGTCAGTCTAGCATGAGCCTTCCTTTTCTAAATGAACAAATATGATGCTGATCTGAGAATAATCTCACACAAGGTTTAGTAACACACTAGAACTCTGTCATTCCAAGTAATTCACATCACGTTGAGTTAGAATGTGAGATCGGCTCAAACTTCGGACGCAGAGAAATGTGCCAAGTTTTTAGAGCAGGATCATGGTGGATAAAGAAGATCAGTGTTGTGACTGTACTTGTATACAGACACTCCACACTCCAAATGATTAGGTTTTCTGCATATTTGTATAAATGAAATGCAATGTTAAGGTGGACAACTGTTCTTTCAACAGTTTTACAACCTCTCTTCTCAGGCCACATCACAGCTTAGATACACTGGATGCTGCCCTACAAGAAGTGGAAAACATCCCTGCTTATCTGCCAAACTGTCTACAGCTGAAAGAGGTTGTCTGCAAGGCCAAGAAATGGCTGCATGAAGCAGAAACCATCCAGGTAACACGGATCCCCAGTTTTGCTCTTACTCAGATGTACATGAGTTTAAACTACAAAGAAATGCTTTTCCCAATTGCAGGTGGGGGGACGTATTCCTGTGCTGGACAGCCTCTCGGAGCTGGTTCTCAGAGCAGATGGCATCCCGGTGAGGCTTGACCCCCTGAACCGACTGGAAGCGCTGGTCAGTGACGTTCAGAGCTGGAAGGAGAGTGCAGCAAAAACATTCCTACTAAAAAATTCCAACTTATCTCTTCTTGAGGTGAGATATTTAGAGTAACTAGCTACAAGACTTATTTTTTAAATGTGGATCTAAATGTTTAATGTTTGGTCCTTTTGTTTTTCAGGTTCTTTGCCCAAGATGTGATGTTGGCTTTGGGCATCAAAAGTCAAGATCTAAGAAAGTGAAGGAAGCTTCACAAGCCACTAAGAAATCTTCGACAAAACTGGAGTCATTGTCTGATGTGGAGAAAGTTCTCTCTGAAAGCAGAGACTCTGCCTCTGCTGTGAGTATACCAGCCCTCATTTTTCCTCTTTGTATAGCTAAAGGGAAGAGGTGAAGCTAAGTGAAGGAAAATAACTTTTTAAAAAAACGTCAACTTTAAAGCTGTTAGTGCAGTGAGATATGAGGTTTTACTTTTTTGTTTTCAGTGAGATGTCAGGTTACATTGGTAGTTTACAATTCCATCTGTTTTCCTCTTGCAGATGGCCACTCTTGCTGAGGTCCGACAGAGGGAGATGGAGATATTGTTGGCTGTGAGAGCTTCAAATGAGTCCAAGCTTCTGCCTGCTGAAAACTGTTCTGCTCTTAGTGTTTGCGTTTGCCAAAAGGCCCCTTCAGGCGGCATGGTGCAGTGTGAGCTCTGCCGAGACGTTTTCCACTGCGGCTGTGTCTCAGCAGCCGAAGACCTCGAGTACGGCCAAGCCTGGCTTTGCCCACTTTGCCAGCGGTCAAGGAAACCCCCTCTAGACAAGGTTCTGCCCTTGTTGGCCTCACTGCAGAGAATTCGTGTTCGCTTGCCAGAAGGCGACGCCCTGCGCTTCCTCATTGAGAGGACAGTGCGATGGCAGCACAGAGTCCAGCAGGCCTGTGCAGAGGGAGTGCTGGAAAGGGTGACGGCGATGGTAAGCAGTTTGTGTCTCTGCATTCCACCTATGAGGTGAATGTGTCCTCAGTTAATGTTGCATTTCATCTGGATGCTTTAGGGGAAAGTTGGGTCCAGAATGTCTTCATATCTGACTCAGGAAATAAACGGATCATCTTTTCATACTAAGCACCAATCTGTACCAGTCCAAGGTCAGTTTTTGTACAGAACGTTTTTTTTTTTCTTTTAAGTTGATCCTCTGACCTCTGACTCCCTGGTGATTGTAACGTTTGCCACAGGGCTCGGTCCTGAGCTGGAGGAACTGATGGTGGAGGGATTCCTGCTACAGGTCACTTTGCCTGAGACAGAGCAGCTGTACAGGTACCTGCTGTACAAACTGGTCCCGCTGCCTTCACACAGCTCGCCCTGTGGGAACCACACAGAAGAGTCCCAGAGTATGAGTCCCCAGCACAACAAGGTGTGGACGAGTACAGTGAAAGCCTTAGTTTCCATTTCTGTCTAATCACAATTTAACATTTCATCATTTAAGTAGATCTTCAAAGTATTTTTTTTTAAATATTATGTTTTCGGCAGAACGGAGTTTCCAGTCTGAAGAAGGAGCCACTGAACAGCCAGAGCAAAAGGACCAAGAGGCGCAAGGAAAGCTCCGACTCTCAGCACAGTGAAAAGGCCAAGAAGTCCCGCAAGAAGAAGCCCAAGAAAAGCAAAGAAAGGGGTGAAGAATCAAAGAGGATATGTTCCCCCACACACACATCAGACCCTGGTCTGTCAGACTCAGAGGAGGACTACTCGCTGTGTGCTGCGCCGTGGTGCAGAGAACCAGAGGGTGATGAGGTAGCGTTTGTCAGACTGCACTGTTTACATCACCCCACCTGGTTTGTTCCATTTGTATGTATATTTACAGCACAACATGTTCCTATGTGTCATTTCAGGTAAACTGGGTCCAGTGTGATGGCAGCTGTAATCAGTGGTTCCACCAGGTCTGTGTGGGACTGTCTGCAGAGCGAGCAGAGAAGGAGGACTATATTTGCATAAGCTGCACACAGCCAGACTATGACAGAGGAGAATGAAGACCAAAAATTGATGTTGGAGCAGTCTTTTTTTTTTTTTTGTAAGCCACAGCACTCAAGCGCACACCTTAACTCTGTGCGTCCTGCGGCTTCTTCCCTTTACTCTCTGGCTTGCCCTCAGTGAACATGGTGCTATTTCCCTTTTTTTTCACCCCAGAGTTACTAAGGACTTCTGTCTCTGTTTTTTGTCACTTGGCTGGTTTTTCAGCTGTCAACTAATCCTTTCTGAAACTTTCCAAGACTTCATGCAGATGTGGTGTAAAGAAACAAAACAAAAAAACTAAAACAAACCAGCGCAGGGATTTTTCAACCAAAAAATGTCAATTTGACATTTCAGAACTGTATTTCGTTGACATGCATCTGAACAATGTGAAACTTATCTTTTTCTTGTAGAGTAAATATTATTTATCTGAGCAATAGTTGAACAGATTAAGTCGTGTTCAGTTTTCACCTGAACTATATTTGTGCGTAGAAAAACTTTGATAAGATGCCTTCCTGAAGCAAAAACCCTGAAGAATTCACTTTATGAATCCTATATTGCAGAGTTCAGTCAACATTTGTGCGCACTGTAAAACTAAATGGATCTATAATCAAAAGTGCAACAGTTTGCACCTGGTTCTTTGCCCATATTCCTTAACAGTTCACTGGCTTCAATAGAAAGCCAGGTTTCAGTTCGGCGCTGTCTACGGAGGAAGATAAAAGTCCTGGATCCCTTGTACCTAGCAGTGAATGAGACTCGGTTGTCCGCAAAGTAAGAATGAACTGTCCGACATTAAAGGAATGTACATTTTGTTTTCGGGTGGGACTTTCCCTTTATGGCTGAGGTTGAAAATGTTGTGTTGGACGTAGATTAAACCAGACTGTGTGATTTATTTGCCACGGGTATATGACCTTTTTCTTGCTCCTTTGGATAAATAATATAATTCATATGTTGCAGTTTGCATTATAAAATAAAATGTTTGTTCCCATACATCTGGACTCTTTAACCTTCTCATAATAGTTCGAATCGAATTGGTATGCTGTCAGTTTTGTTGAGCTGATTTATATCGGGGCAAATTTAGATTTTATCTGACTGCAGGGAAGTTCTAAAGGTGGGTTAGGAATGGCTTGGAGTTTGATCAGATTTTTTGAAAATGTTTAATCTTTTGAATAAGTAGTTTTCAAAGATACCTATGAATTAACAAAAAAAACAGCCTCTGCTTTCCTGCAATATACATTACACCATGTACATTTTTAAGGACTGATCAACCGAAAAGGCAACTTCAAGAACGGTGTGTGGAACAGGAACCCAGTGTAGCTTCTGAGTGATCAAAGGCCTCTATCATACAAGCTGATCCAAATATGCATTAGGAGAAACAAAAGTTTACTTATTTTTTAAGCCCATATATGTAATGGAATGCAATGTTCTTCCAAATAACATAAATCCAACTCTTTGTAAATAATCAAAATAAAATGGGTTCATGCTATTAAATGCACTTTTTTTGTAAATGTGCATTTGCGTAGGTCTCTGGGGAGTCAGCATGCAAATACTGCCAACCTGCAGCTTTCTCACATCCTGGACAGGTGTTGTTAAAAAAACACCTGCTTTGTGTAAAGACACAGCCCACTTAAAGAAATTAGACAAATGTTCCATTACATCAAAATAATATTATGAGGTGGGGGAAACATATTTCAACAGATTTTCAGAAACAGAATAAAAAAATTGTTTTAAAGGAAGGTATTGTCAGTTATGCTGGAGTATAGTTTGTGGTAAAGCTAAAAGGTACAGATTAAAATATATATATAGCTTTCTGTTCATTTCAGGCCTGGTTAATATCAATAGTGCAGTCATGGTAAAAAAAAACAATTCAATTCCCCCATGGTGATGAAGAAAACATTATTTTTCTCTATTCACTGATAAAAAATTGAATAGTTCATAGTCCTACAACATCACTTAATTTAAATGAATATTACATATTATACTATTTAAAGCTATCAAACCAAATTAAGGTTATGGAAAGCTCCGCCTGGCAGTCCATACTCAGGAATGAAAAGAAACAGGTCTCTCTCCGGAGGCGTGGTCAATACGCCATTTTCTTCCTGTTGTTGTTAGCTTGTTAGCCAAACAGGCTAGCCATCATATATCCTTCCCTGTACTGCAGCGCCAGAGGTAAAACAAGTGTCGGAAATATATAAAACGTACTGCTGTTTCATTGTGGCGTCAGCTTTCCCCCCGTCATCATGGACGAGGAATATTACAGTGGCGCAGGAGACTGGGAGGGCACGGAGGGCCACATGGTGAGAGCGCGACTTGTTGCCTTTCGCCGTTCAGAGTGTTGGTTAGGCAGGCGGCGCTGGCTTAGCTTAGCTTAGCCTAGCCTAGCTTAGTTTAGCTATGGAACTGTTGACCTGCTGGGTTAGCCAGCTAAGGCTAATTAACTGCACGGCCAGTACCTTAGGTAAATGTCCTGCTTACGTACCCACTTGTATTGTACTAGTTAAATCATGTGGAATAATTAAAGTAAAATGTAATTAATGTGTTACTTTAATTTTGTGTGACTACCAATCTCAGTAAAATAGTAACAACAAACACTTAAAATGGCAATTGATTCACAACTGCTCATGTTATAGGTCGTTGGCATTTAAAATTAGCCCATGAATACATACCACACGCTAGTTTGACATATGTTCAATTTTAGGATAAATCTCTTAGACCGAGGAACATCAAACTGACCTGTCAGACTTGGTCATATACGGTTATCACTTTGTGTCTGAATATTGTGTCAAGTAATTCACAGCCTATTGTTGCTATATATGGCCATCGATTTCAGTTTCTGTGAAAGGTTGCGACTTTATGGTTAAATATTATTGCAGCACGAGAGGCTGCTTATCCATGTCATCTCATGTTCCATCACAGTTGTCTGTCAGTGGTCAGTGACATCGTCTTCCCAACGTCAGATGGGAGGAGTGGGTCTCACTTGCCAAGTCAGAACATCATTGTCAGTGTGTTTCTCAGGAGGACGGTTACGGTGAAGGAGAAGACGATGGAAAAATTCAGGAGGATTGTCTGAAGAAGTTCTCCAGCAGGGATTACATCATGGAGCCTGCAATATTCAACACTCTCAAAATGTGAGTATCTTGCCTTTAGACATGACACATGTTTGACAATCGCTGGTTGTCCAGCCAAAGATTATTTCTTGTTGGCTCTTCGCATTATCGAACGGCGAAAGACAACCGATTTTGAATCGGGAGGAGTAATTGGTGGATTGATAGCAGTGTTGGTGTTGCAGGTATTTCCAAGCTGGCGGATCCCCAGAACACGTCATCCAGCTTCTCTCTGAAAACTACTCTGCTGTGGCTCAGACGGTTAATCTTCTGGCTGAGTGGCTCATCCAGATGGGTAACAGATTGTTTGGCCTCTTCGTACCTGTGTAGAGTGAGTGACTGTCTCTCATTAACGCACATCAACGTTGTTTTGGCTACAGGTGTGGAACCTGCTCAGGTCCAAGAGCGAGTCGAAAATCACCTCAAGAGCCTCCTGATAAAGCACTTTGACCCTCAAAAGGCAGACTCCATCTTCACGGTGGAGGGAGAGGTCAGATGTCGGAGGGAGCACATTCTGTGCAGGTGAAGCTCTTATGTGAAGCGAAGCGGCTGAGTCTGCTGTGTCTTTTAGACTCCGGCCTGGCTGGAGCAGATGATAGCGCACACAACGTGGAGGGATCTCTTCTATAAACTGGCTGAGGCTCATCCTGACTGCCTGATGCTCAACTTCACCGTAAAGGTAAAGTCACAATGAAGCATATGGAATTAAAATCAATGGTATGCTGCAGACTACGTTTGTTTTTTTTATTGTAATTTGGCCTAAAAAGTATTCATCAATCTAATAAGATAAGGTAATTTATCTACAAACATAAAACCTGTAAAACTGAGCCCATTTTTTTTTTTGTATTTTTTTTTTTTGAGAAGCGGAGAGAAGAGGAAACTGGTTAAAACTTTTCTGTTTTGCATTGTTGTTTTTGTTTTTTTCTTAGCTTATTTCTGATGCCGGCTACCAAGGGGAGATCACCAGCGTGTCGACTGCGTGCCAGCAGCTGGAGGTTTTCTCCCGGGTGTTGAGGACGTCCTTGGCCACGCTGCTAGATGGGGGAGAAGAAAACCTGGAGAAGAATTTACCAGAATTCGCTGTGAGGCTTCTTAGCATGTGATTTTCTTTTTTCGCCCGTGGCAGATTCAGTTTAGTCCTGACCAGGTGAAACAACATCAGCAGCACTGCTGCTAGTGTCCGTCCTTCGTCCTGGCTCCTCTCTGCTCCTGCACACACTGAGGGAACATTGGCTTTGCTGACAAGAGTTTTTCTTTAGGCTCCATAGTTTTTAGTTTTAGCCAGAAACTTTGAACAATTAAGTTGAACATACTGATTATGGAAAATTCCAAATTGGTGAATTACATTTTTTTCAACGCTGTAAAACTTTTTTGCGGCTTGCATTGTGAAAGTAATGATGCCTGCTGAGTTGTTCCTTCATCTCTCCTGCAGAAAATGGTGTGTCACGGAGAGCACACGTACCTCTTTGCCCAGGCAATGATGTCCATCCTCGCTCAGGAGGAGCAGGGCGGTTCGGCCGTTCGCAGGATCAGCCAAGAGGTGCAGAAGTCTGCGCATGAGAGGTAACATCAACTCATAACCCAGAAGCTGTCTGCTAAATGTAGGATCTTAAGTTCTGTTTCTTTCTGAAGTCAGGACCAACCATTTCAGTATCAATGACTGTGTGAGATTACAGGAGAATAATGATTTAGATTATCAGGCTGGGGATGTAAAAACACATAGTTTTATCATATTAGGTGATCCGGCTGGGCTTTTGCGTGTGTACAAACATGTGGTTTGGATCTCAGGGGTCACGATGCCAGTCAGATCACCCTGGCGCTTGGCACAGCGGCGGCGTACCCCCGAGCTTGTCAGGCGCTGGGCGCCATGTTGTCCAAAGGAGCCCTGAATCCTGCTGACATCACAGTTTTGTTCAAGATGTTCAGCAGCATGGACCCTCCTCCCGTAGAGCTGGTGAGGACTCTGCTTCTTTCAGATCCCGTCCACAGGCTGCTTAGTCAGGTGGCTGTTTATGGAGTCAGTCATGTTTCTCGTCTTCAGATCAGAGTTCCTGCCTTTCTGGACCTTTTCATGCAGTCGCTCTTCAAGCCTGGATCAAAAATCAACCAGGACCACAAACACAAGTACATCCACATCTTGGCCTACGCTGCCAGTGTGGTCGAGACATGGAAAAAGGTACAGAATGTAAAATCCTAATTGTCCTTCACAACTGTGGCATTCTACCTTTAACCTGACATGTTTTACCTCCTTCCTATTCAATCCCAGAACAAGCGAGTAAACATCAATAAAGATGAGCTTAAGTCAACTTCCAAGGCCATAGAGACTGTTCACAACCTCTGCTGCAATGAGAACAAAGGAGCTACAGAGCTGGTGGCTGAACTGGGCACTTTGTATCAGTGTATCAGGTGAGAGATGACCACGGTTCCCAAAAATCTCTATATTTTGGTGGTTGTTGCCAAATGAAAATGACAGATCGAGCCCATTACTGGATAATGGTCTCTGGTAAAGAGGAGAAATTTAGGTGGCGGTGTTACAGTTTTATACGAAAAGCTCCTGACTCTGAGTGTCATCTCTTTGTGTTCAGGTTTCCAGTCGTTGCCATGGGAGTGTTGAAGTGGGTGGACTGGACAGTGTCAGAGCCGCGTTACTTCCAGCTCCAGACGGACCATACTCCAGTCCATCTAGCATTACTTGATGAGGTGCGGCGTTATTCCCGAACAAAGATGTTTCCCCCACTCGTCCGGGAAGCGAAATTCAAACAGGACGTTTTCTCCTTACAGATCTGTACGTGCCACCAGCTGCTGCACCCACAGGTGCTCCAGCTGCTCATTAAGCTCTTTGAGACCGAACACTCTCAGCTGGACGTCATGGAGCAGGTGGGTGCCTGTCCAGCTGTCTGGGTCAGCTACACCTGCAGCTCAGCTGAGAACGTGCTGGTTTTGGTTCCAGATGGAGTTAAAGAAGACCCTGCTGGACCGAATGGTTCACCTGCTGAGTCGTGGCTACGTCCTGCCCGTCGTCGGCTACATTCGCAGATGTCTGGAGAAGCTCAACACAGATATATCCCTCATTAGATATTTTGTCACAGAGGTGAGAGTAGCGACAAAGTTTCTATGAAACTGTTAAATGTGTGAGTAAGCAAATTTTTGTGTGGAGTTTCTCCTACCTGCTCTTGCGTGAACACAAATCGATAAACTTTAAAGGCACACTAGGCAGATTTTTTCACTTTTTTCCTTGCAAACACTCTTCATACGGTCGAAAGCTGAATATCAGCAATTTTCAGATTGTATCCAGTCTCTGAGCAATGTGAAAAACTGCTGTTTAAGCTCTGTGCTGTTTTTCTATAACCCAAACCCATCTGTGTTACAAAATGATTGGACTTTCAGGCAGATGGTTGAAGAATACCACTAAACTCTGTCTGGATCATGACTAATTTAGTGAGTCATGGTCTGACCTGTAATGTGTAAATCATGCCTTTCTAAACAAAGCCCAGCATTTATTGCTTCTCTCTCTCTCTCTGTCTCTCGTAGGTGCTGGATGTGATCGCGCCTCCCTACACATCCGACTTTGTGCAGCTTTTCTTGCCCATCCTGGAGAACGACAGCATTGCAGGAACTATCCGCACAGAGGGAGAACATGACCCTGTAACCGAGTTCATCGGTAAGTCAAGAGACAACTAGTTTTCCGTGTCTAAATGAAAAGTTTGCAGTATTTGAAACAAACAGGCCCAGTCTATCAAGTATTTACCCCTCACAACAGGAAGTGCTCTTTAGGTGAAGGGGTCGTTCTCAGGCACTAACAATGTCCTTATTGTTTTTTCAGCTCATTGCAAGTCAAACTTCATCATGATTAACTGAGATGGCAACGAGTGGAAACAGTTTGTGGACAATTACAAACTGAAGGCTGAAAGGAGACTGAGGATCTGTGATCCCGCTGATTCAGACTTTGACACAGACGGCTTGGAGACAAACTTTTTGTTGAAACAACCAGAGCTGCTGAAGTTCCATACCAGCACAGAAATGACAAACTGGTTGAAAGCCCTCTGCAGATGCAGTTCAAAGCATTTAGTTTTTTCTTTTTTATTCCCCAACATGTATATTTGATCCATTTTATCTTTGTGTCATTTTAGAATAAAAAGACTGAAATATTGTTTTTGTAATAAATAAAAAAAACCTTGTCACCACAGAAGTGGCTATTTCCAGCACTTAAAACGCACATAAAAAACACAGGGAACAAATGTTTGAAGTTTTGCATTTCAGATGTTTATTGGCAAACTTCTTTTTCAATCAAAACAATTTTCGCTTTACTACAACCTTTGTGGTACAGATTGTTGAGCATTAAAAAAAGGAAGCGAATCGCAATAAGTTTGACAAAAGGTGCTTATAAGGCACATTAAATTGATAGTTTGCTCTGTAGTGCAGTGTAATCAGCAGCTCACACCACGTGAAAACATTCAGTGTCTGCGTGCTTTGGCTGAGTCTTTAAAGTGAACTGAACTGTGGCTGTTCAGCATGCAGTTTGATTGGTCTTCGGCACTGAACCGATGAGCTTTTAAAATCTGCCCCCGGACTGTAAAAAAACAGCCTGCAGACCCCACCGTGCGAAAATAATTCTCATAGAAGCAAGCAGCTTTGACACCCAGCTGAAAGACCTTGGCATTGAGTTAAAAAGTAAATCTATTAAAAATAAAAACATTAACAAATTCCCTTTTTTTAAACTTTAGACCATTTTGAAAAAAAATAAAATAAAATTTCCAGCCCCAAACAGGAAGACATGAGATAACATCAACAGGTTGATGGTGAGCTGATCTAAAGGTAGGCTTTGGGCACAATGGGGTCTCCATACATACAGTCCTCCTCCAGCGCCAGGTTGTACTTGCTGCCGCTTCCCCCCTTGTAGGCACTGGTCACAATCCTGAGCCAGCCCTTCTCTCCCTGCAGAGAAGGACAGGTCAATAAACAGCCATTCAGACACTTTATTCCAAAATCTCATGCTTGACTCAATTGCAAAGTATGTTAAGGATAAAAAAGTGAATACATTGACAAACATAATTGCATAGAGTTTCTATTCATAACGTATCGTCTAACATTGCAAATAAATTTCTTTAATAACATTTTGTGATTAAGATGTAGTTTCTACAGTGGACATTTCTTAAATCAATTATTCCGATCCTCTGCTTCCTGTTTCTTGTGGACTTACCCATGGCTCTCCCCAGGAGTTGCGCACCACCCAGTATTCCACACCGTCCTCTTCACCCCACCCTGCCACTGACACAATGTGGTTGATGTATGCCTCCTCCTGGTATTCAGAGTAGAGACCTCCAGTGTACGCATCCAGCTTTTCTGTGGCCATAATCCCGCAGCTGCAGAGCACAAAGCGGCACAGTTTTTAAGCTTCAACTCGTACACTGACCGAGGTTTTAAAAGCACCATAAAAAGATCAAATGAACATAAATGAAAAGGTATTTATGAGGACCCACTGATCAGAATGCTGCATGGTAAAATGATGTTGAACATCTCAGAATCTAAGAAACAACTTTTTTTCTTACCATTATTGCATTTCTTATTTGACGTGCATATTTACATGAAGATACATATTCATTTAAAGCATATTGACATTTTGGAAGAACCTTTGATAAGGTTCTTCCAAAATAGGCGTTGTGAAAACTCCAGTGAGCACAATGTACCCCTTTGGCTCAGATCAAAGCTTGCTCCAAGGTTAACATGTCTGCATCTAACAAGACTTAATGCAAGTACTAATGTACACCTGCTCTAAACTAGATGTCTTTAGAATAAGAGAAACGTTTCAGACATCAATTCCCCATTCTATTTAAAGAGTCATCTTCGTGGTCTGAGTCAGGAGATCTGTTTCCATTTGCTAAAGAAAAATTCTAACTTCCATGCTTGTGGTTAGTGGCGCACATTGTCATGTGCATCAAAAGCAGACTGGCTGTTATGACAGCTGGTGTACAATAGAACATAAATAAGACAAACCTGATGGGTCCATTGGCATAAATCTCTGCCATCATCTTTTCTCTCCCACTGACGGAGCCGTAATCTCCCACCATCCACAGGGTGTAGTTATTGACGATGTTGCATACTCCAAAAGTGGTGCAGGTGCCACACTGGTTGAAGGGCTTGCACTCTTTGGGGGAAACACATGCTCTACTTAGACTCATACTGTTTGCACACTTACGACAATTAACCCTGTGCACCATGGGGACACTTACTCTGGTCTTTAGCCTGATAGTTGTTGCAGGTCTCATCGGGGATGCCGTGTTTGTTGGCGTACTCCCACACACCACTGTGATCTCCTCCGTGGCAGGTGCCCGCATCACCGCAGTCGATCACATGCTGGACGGAGAGATAGGCCGAAGGCCATGCTCCGTTCCGCTTAATGTTGATGCGATCTGAAAAGGAGGAAAAAAAATGGCACAATCATAAGTTTCCATTCATTCAGTGAGGAAGTGGAACTGGCTCGCTGGTGTGTCTCGTCATGTGCGCTGTGGCTGGACCACGATGACGGTGCGTTGGTCACACCTGCCATGGCGCTGGTGCTGCCATGGGCCCAGCAGGAGCCGCAGTACTGGGGAATGTGCTGGTTGCGGGTGGTGCTGACATAGTTGCTGCCGTTGATGTTCCTCCAGTCCCACGATTTGGGAAGATCAGAGATGTTTAAGTACTCGTGAGGCCGAGGCGTGGTCCTGCAAGCAGACAGACTGTCAGCATGAGTTAATCTAACGCATATGAAATTTAGACTATTCAGAAAATCTTGATTTCATTTCCTAAAAAAGTTTTACAGTAAAGTCTAAAACTCCAGGGTCACATTTCCCTTCATAAACTATGAGCAAAATATTTTGCATAAAAATAAAGTTATATTTCTGTTCTCAGTTATAGAGTATTAATAACAGTGTTAAGTTTTGGATTTATTTTAAACACTCTTCTTTTTCACTTCCTCTCCAAGTCTACAGACATAGGGGAACAGTCAAACAGTAAATTCACCTTCTCACCCCCTCATGTGCAAACACTGAGGGCAACAGCACAATAGAGACAATAGATAGTTTCCTATGTCAATATGGCATAAATACCATAACTGACACGCACATATTTTTAAAAAAGACCAGACAGGTGAATCTGTTGAACCACTACCCTTTTGAAGGATATGCTGATTTTAGTTTGTCAAATAATCATAAACAAGGTAAACTGTCCAGAGCTGTTTTGGGACCGTTCAGGACCCAGACATTACATAGGCGTAACAGTATCATATGCAGACACGTGAAACCAACTAGAACTAGCACTTTTTTTTGTTATACTTACTGTGACACATATATATTGGACTCTTTAATTCATTGAAGAAATGGTTTAGAATAAACACTGATACAATGCTGCTGCACCAAAACATCGTTATACCGTCTTTCTTCAAGAGGAAAAGTCCAATCATTTTTGCAAGGCACTGTAAATCAGTGCCATGCAAAGACAATAAAGTCAGGAATAAAAAAAAGTCTACTACTAATACACTGGGAAGGTTTTAGTACACAGAACCAGTGAACAGAAATAATCCAAAAGTATTGACATCTTTATAGATAGTCTCTTCAAAGAGGATTTTACCACATTTTTCAAGAGATTTCTACCTTCTAAAAAAAATAATTCGAGTGTGTAAATGTAAATAAAGTCTGTCTGGTCTGATATCTCATGTTCAGGTAAATTTCAGAGCTATAACTTCCTCAAATGGATGATTCACCAAACCTCGTTGTATGTGGTACTTTACCGAGACCGGGGTGAAGCTAACGCAGGCTAGCTCGCCAGTTAGGATTACACACAGTTAAAAATACTTACAGTAAATAATAAGAAGCCGCATTTACCTACCACTTTGCACTTCTTTCTAAACCTTTGCTCTCTTCTACTGACAGTCAGCGGACACGGTCGTCCAACTCACCTCAGCCCGAACTCGTTCGTCCTCGGCTTGCGGACGTAACACGGCTCCTTGTTGTTGAAAAACACTCCGGCCGACACACCGGACAAAACCACCGAGACCAGAACCGAGACTGCGGCCCACCGAGCCATTTCTGAAGAGCGGAGGAAAGCGAAGAGAGGAGAGGTTCGGCGGGACTGTGAGCTGCCGAACAGCCTGTACACTGATTTGCACTTAGCTAAAACGACAGTTATCAACCCGGTAACGAGACTGCCGTCACGTGACCGCGAATTATGTAGAAGCCACGTGTTTTATAAGGAAGTCACGGGACACAAAAACTATGACTGTGAAAAACAAAAAACAAGCAAGGTGGATTTATGAGCATTTCAGAAGAAATTAGCTCTAAAATGTTAGCAGAAGATTATATAAGTTCGCCCAAATGACGATGACACAGTCATACCCTTAAAAGACATCTTTTGGTTCCAAAATACAAAGAGGGGATATAACGCATGCAGCAAATGATCGGTCAGCTTGTTTGGGGGAAGAAAGCCATTAATCTTTTCACAGGACACTTAATCTTTGGTCTTATTTGAAAAATAAATCAATTCTGAATGATCAAATCAAGACAATTACGTTTTAAGACAGTCGAGATATGTTGTCTGACGACAGCCACTATTCAATGAGGAGCTTGAAAAAAGTGCAACACTTAGAAAAGGAAAAAAGAGCACATGATTTTTTATGGATGTTAATACCATCACGTGGAAGTCAGGGTTGTGAAAGATAACCTGTTAAGTACTGAGGAGACAAGTTAATCCTTAATCGGACATTTTTAAAAATCCACTCATTTTCCTTTTTCCCTGCGAACTTGAGCTCTCTCTTAAATCAGAGCTGGCTGTCAGTTTTGGAGAATCACTCACACAGAGGACAGATGGCACCGTCTTTATTGATGGACAAAGTGATTGTCACAGGTGTGGGGGAAAAAAATTTGTGTTTGTGCAGAAGTCTTACAGACACTTGAAACATACAGTAAGTATTTGCATTTGTGTTTCACTCTGAAAGTTGTTTTTTTTTTTAAACTGCAGTGAATACTTGATTCCTTCTCCTGGTGCTGTGATCATTCAGTCCGACTGTGTCTAACTGTGACTACCAGGGTAAATACAAAGTGGTTACCTACAACAACTCTATCATCACTGCTCTAAATCCATTCATTTGTCACAAGGCCTAAGACAACACGTATGGCATCACCTGGTTTTGCATAAAGCCTCAACTTACAAGAAAAGGCAAGCCGATGAGGTGGATGTTTAAAAACAAAGTCTGAGAGATATGTGGTCAAACGTCAATTGCTAATAACTGGACACTCTGTTTAAATGCTAACACAAAATACAGAAGAAAAAAAAAATCATTGCATGTGTCAAAAAAATGAGGACACGCAAGGTCCTGTGTATCATCATAACCATTCTCGCCATATCCGCTTCACTAATCATCTGTTTTATTCACCGAAGTCAAATTTGAGTAAAACACAGCCAACTGAAGGGGTTCAAATGTTTCAACTAACAGGACGAGCTTTAACCATTAGTGTGCACGGTGGCAGTGGTGCCGTGGAGACGTGAGTCGCTGTGTGCTCTACACCAGTCTTCGCCTTTTGCAGTCCCGCTCCATCTGGTCTTCAGACTTGTTGGCGGGCACGCCCAGAGGAGACACCTGGTTCAGCATGGAGTCATCTGATGCCTGACCAAACAGGGCCATGAGCAGAGCGACGCCAAACCCTGTGGCCCGCTCGCCCTGCAAAGACAAAAGTTTGTTCTTAGAAACTCCTGCCCTATCCCACACTCAGCCTGCCATTTACATTTCCGACCAGGATTTACTTCACTAAAACCTTTGGTTTAAGACCAATAAACCAATGTGTCGGAGGACACATTTGAGGCAGAGCAGATTATGAACCATATCACAGGACCAGCACGGAGCTTTAGGAAACCACCAGAGAAGTTATAGATTACACAACCGGCAGCGCACTCAGCTTGTTCTTAGGCTGTTCGGAAAAAAAAATTCTAAGGCATTTGCTACCTATAATCTGCAGTCAGCATGTAAGATTGAGGTGAAACTTCTCTACTTGGCTGAGAGACCAAAACAAAAACGAAAAATAAATCAAGTGTAAGATTTGGGTTTTAATGACCAAGTTTCCAAATATTAATGAGGGGAAATTGGGCGAAAGCAGATTTTTGTAAGCACCAAACTTTTTGTAAAATATTCTTTAATGATAACTTGTCACTATATTATCCTGAAACACTGAGTCTCCCAGCCCTTAAACATGATCCTGAATTGAGCAGGATTTTCAGTGAAACCAGTAGGACGCGTGACTCCTAGTTATGCTGGTACCACTCTCTGCCTGCTTTTTTTTCCAGGTTACAGTTTCTTTAGCCCTATAACTACTTACTGCATGAACAGGAGAAGCAATGTCAACATGGACCCAGACACCAGGCCAATCAAAGCCCAAGTGGGAACCAATGAAGAGGCCAGCACAGGAACTCTGGGCGTTCTCTCGGTCCTGTTAAAACAAAGAAAAGGTGCATCTTAGTTATTCATCCATAAAAACGATTATTTCGATTCGTAAAAAGTAGGAGTTTCAGACACCTAGTTATTCCTCAAAACTTAAAAACGGACTGATGGGTAAGTTTAGCTGCAATTTAAAGTTCACTTCAATTTTGTAGGTACACCAAAAACAAGAAATGTTAATATACTGTCAGACAGGGATTGTTTTTCCATATTTAATATAAAATACACCAAATTCCAGCATTGACCAGCTTTGACTAATCATTTCAATTTAAATATAAACAGTTTGAAAACATGATGCCTGTGTCCACAGCTGTCACTGACTCAGGGTCAGATGTGGCCAGCTGTGTTACATGCTGCATCCTGACTCTTCTAACAGTCATAATTTCACGACTCATAATGAGGAACCTGAAGCCTGTCACTTACAGCCACAGAGTTCTTCATGTCTGCCATGGCCGAGCTGAACTCGCTGAAGTGCAGCTCAGGGCAGTAAACCAGGGGGTGGGCCATATCGCCACTGCTGCGGCCGGCACGCACACACGCAGCCTCCCACTGCTCACTATTGGTCATCACAGCAGCGTGGTACTTCCCTGTGGAGATTCCCTAAACAGAAACAAAGAGGCCGCAGATTCAGAAGCAAGATCTGCTGTAAAGATCTCTACTGTAATATCTTTCGGACAAGGTTTGATAGGAACAGAAACATAAATCCTTTGAGTCCAGTGTGTTGGCATGGATTCCCACCTGCGCTCCTGTCAGTGTGGCCATATCCAGGATAATATCAGCGGACAGGTCTTTGCAGGCGTACACCACTCCATCCGCGAGCACCAGCCTGCCCTCTGCATCGGTGTTGTTGATCTCCACCGTCCTTAAAAGTGACAACACACATCTTACTCCACCATCCACAGACATGGCTTGTAAAATTATATCCGACAGCATGGATGAAACACATGGTGAGCCCAAATCAAAAGGAGCTATTTGATACCAACAATGATACAGTATTTTCTAAAGAGTCTCACTTTCCAGAGTAGAGAGTGTGGATGTCATCAGGCCGAGTGGCTGTGGGTCCAACTGAGTTCTCAGCGAGGCAAAACACTGCATGGAGGTTATCCTTAAAGCCCTGAGGCAAAGAGAAGAAAAGCCTTGATATACAGAGAACTGACAAGGTTGACTAGGAGCTGATATGGTGATATTTAAATGGTCGTCTCACCTGCTTAATGGTGGCCTTAAAACCTCCCAGAATGGCAGCAGCTCCACCACAGTCTCTCTTCATCCCAGGCATGGTGGTCTAACACAGGAGGGACATACTATTAAGATGAGGGATCCTTTATTTACCAGCATCACTGTCATTCACATGGGATGAATTATACCCCCCCAGACACCATGATTTGGCTTTCAAATGAAACAAATGTATTTATTCCACCAAACTCTCCTACAAACAGTCGGATTTCTTAAATTGTTTGAATCTTCTTCTCATAAGGATTCAGTAAAACATTTGCATCGGCATATCCACTCATGGCAGAGTGGGACGTACCTTTCCTTTGATGCTGAGTCCACCAGTGTCATACACAATGCCCTTGCCCACCCATGCAATGGTTTGGGTTGCCCCATCAGGAGTGTGGCTCAACACTGCCAATGCAGGAGGATGTTCAGCTGCTTTCCCAACTCCATAAATACCTAAGTGCGTGAAATTAGAGACAACCAGCAAATATTTGTGACATCAACAACTAATCTGACAGATAAGAAACTTGGCTTGTTCTCCAACAGCAGGCATACAACTGAAAACTTAATGTTTCTAAAAAAGAAAAAGGGGGATGGCCTCAAATAAAGTGGACAATGGACCACCTGTACACACAGTCTGAAAGAACACTGAACACAGATACTAAGTATGTTTACTTGTTAAAACAACAAAAGAAAAATCCATCAAGTGCGTTATCAGAGTCCCTGTGGATCTGCATCTGACCATTATTTTATTAGTCCTTTTAAATAGCTGAAGTGGAAAATCAGAGTCATTTCCTTTAAAATACTATCTAAATGTGTAAGTTTAAACTTAAGTCGGTCTGTAAACAAGGTCATGTTTTACTAGATTTGCAATTCATAGCACAGAGAGCAACAGATAAGAGAGGTGTTGGTCATTTTGGAAATAAACATAAAAATTTGCAGCACCTCCGAAGCCTTTCTGTTTCAGCTCCTCCCCACGAATGATGACTGGAGTGATTCCAAGCTCAGCTCCAACAGCCTTTATTTCCTGAGGAAAAAAATCGAGGTTTGACAAAACATAAAAAATAAAAAATTAAACTAACATGGAGTTCAACATATTTGCAAACCTCTTAAAATCAAGACAGCTGAGATACTCAGGATTTGATACGGTTCTATGTTATAGGGTCTGTTCTTGCTATGAGATCAACACATAAATAATATCACTTACACCAAGGAAGTGGTCTGTGTTCATCTCATTGCATGGCGTGTCCACAATGCGAGCTGCCAGACGCACACTGTCGGCAGCGTTGGAGAGACACTAAACAAGATAGAGAGGCTTCAGAATCAGGCAGACTGCCATAAGCATGCATTATTAAAACATGTTGATTTATTATCCACAAAAAAGGCTAACTAAATCAAAAACAAAATTGCTATGCTCTACCTCAAGTTCGGCGGCATCCAGGGGATTGCTGTCATGCCCAACGATCACAAACTCTACCGTCACATGCTTCTTCTCAGTCCTGCGGGAGGATGAGGAGCGGCGAGAGAAGATGGGGAAGGCCCTGGAGATGGCACAGGCGGAGGCAAACACATCTGGACGCTCACACACCACCTGGAGAGGAAACAACTATGTGTTAGCTACAGTCTTAGTAATGGCAAACTCTTATTTGAGTGCTGTGGGAGAAAAAACTTTTTTTTTAAAAAAGCATCCGTGTTCTGTACAGCAGATCGGTTCTGTATCTAGAGGTGCTCCCTGTCCATGACAAAAATACTGACCACAATGCAGCGGTTGCTCCCTCCAGGAAGGCAGGAACGAACCAGACGGGACACAAAGTGAGCAGAAGATGGGCTGTTGTGCCTGCTGACGCGTGAAGGAAGGGCAGCTACTGCAGCGAGGTTGAGGTACAGCGGGCAACTGTCTGTGGGGTTTGGGTTCAAAGCACTCAGAGCTGCCTGCCAGATCTGAAAAGATATACCTTGTGTTAAAGAAGCTAAAATATCCCTGCTTACAGTAAATCATTCCTTATAGACCAACAAGAAATTATCAGGATATTATCTGGAGTTCAGGATACGGCATTTATATTTGTCCATTCGTTTAATATTAGAAATAATAATAAAAATAATTTCCCTCTGGGATTATTAAAGTATTTCTGATTCTGAGAAGCATAGATACTGATAGAGATATGAATAATTAACTATTTAGGCCTTTGTAACAGCTCCATGCTGTCTGATGGCCACAGACAGCCTATGATCGTGGAAATGGACCTTTTTAGAGCCAGGAAGTGGAACTAAGGGACTTTAGCCTCATCAGCGACACTTCCCTATGAAGCCAACTGCCGCTGACGGTTCTTGGGAGGCGCATTTAACAGGCAACTTGAGTGCAAAGGACAGGATATTATTATCGCTGCTATTGTGCGTCTAATATCGGCATACTATTAGTGGGAACTTGAACCTTTTTTTTTAAGTTCGACAAAAAATGCCAATGTGACCCTCTCTGACCACAGTTAACACAACATAACTGTGAAACCCGTACTAAATATCTCTTTAAACCTCTTACGCGCGTTAGCTTGGTCTATCAGGTGAGCGTGGCACTAACATTAGCCGTCACCTAGCCGTCATTATCATTTGAGAGTGCACCTCTTTGCTGACGACTGGCTGAAGTTTTCCTTTGATCTGGCTCCAGCTGACTTGCTGCAGGTTGGTCTGCTGGCCGATAATCAGGACAGGGCGACTCTGAGGCTCCGAGTCACCGGCGGACGTCTTGAACTCCAGCACGACGTTCGCCATTTTTGTGACTCGTTGAGAGAAGCAGTCTGGTGAAGTTACTCTGGACTGACTGCTGTCTTTCATTGGTCCAGCCCGGACCGGCGACGGAGGCCGGAACGGGACATAAGGACTGTTACGGATTAACAGCGCACTGCGATCTTTAGTAGCCTCTGCTGGTGATAAGCTGCAGCTACACGTCGGAAAGAGTTGGAAAATTTATTTTTTTCCTCTTCCTTGAGCTGTGGTTGACTTAAGCAAATCCTTCAACGTTTTTATAAGACTAAACTTCCGGATTTAAAAGTAATCATTTCTTCCTTAAGTCACTGTTCATGTAACTGTATCATTTGTGTTACATATTTCTTACACGGACACATCTTACTCCATAACATGTTGTACAGATTTACCCAAATACTTCTTTCCACTGCTTCTATCATCTTGTGTTCCTTCTACTCTGAATACTTTGGACTTTTCTTTTATTACAGGGTTATTGTTAAGTAAAATTGTAATTACTTTGAAGATTTCAAATTACTTATTGGCACCTTCTCTTGCTCATCTTTACCTCCCAACATAGTAGAAATGCAGGTTGTGTGTATAAATGAACTCCCTAATAATCTCTTCTCAACAGTATATCATAGGCACAACACTTTCCTTACTTGCCTGACCTTTTCTTACTTCATGATGAAACTTAATGTTTTTTTATTCCCATTTTTAAATTACTTTGGTAATGTTACTGACAATACTTGGAGAAAAATGATTTTTTTTATCAGTTCCCATATACAAGTAGATATAGATACCTAAACTAAAAAATGGATTAATCATACATATTAGCTAAAATAGTACACACGGCCCATAAAAAATCCTCATGAAAATCATAGACATTCATAAAAGATATTACAGTAGCAAATTTTTATTTCTCTTAAGACTCAAACAATTTTACTTTGTGGAGTTTCACATTTAAAAAGAATATTTTATGCTCATGGTCTCAGACTCCAAAAGTCCAAGCCTATTCAATGTGAAAACAAAAAAATGTAATCAACAATTCAAATCAATTTAATTCATTTAGCGCCAAATCACAACAACAGTTATCTCAAAATGCTTTCCAAAAAGAGCAGGTCAGACCCTACTCTGAAGTTATTTACAGAAGCCCAACAATTCCCACCAAGAGCAAGCACTAGGCGACACAGGCAAGGAAAAACTTCCTTTTAAGAGGCAGAAACCTCGAGCAGAACCATGGCTCAAGGTGGGCGGCCCTCTGCCTTGACCGGTTGGGGGTGAGAGAGAGAGAGAGAGGGCAAGAGAAAGAAAGAGAGAGAGAGAGAGAGAAAGAGAGAGAGTGCAAGAGAAAGAGAGAGCGAGAGAGAGAGAGAGAGAAGGACAGAGAGAACAGAGGGAGCAGGGGGAGAAAGCCTACACAGTAACACATGGAGGTAAAGACAAGTAAAGGTGGTGTTGTTATAGACTGGATGAAAAATGGTACAGCTAGGAACAGTAGTTGTTATCTTAGCAGAGGGTGCCGAGTAGGAACACGGAGGCAGCAGGAGACTCCCAACCACAGATCCAGACTCCACAGCTCCAGAACCAGGAACACCTGCAGAAAGTGAAAGGAGAGAGAAGAGAGACGAGAAAGCACGACTACGGGAAAGAGAAGATGTCCAGTTAGTAACGTGCATTAATGGGATGAGGTTGCACTCAGAGGGAGAAGAGGAGAGGGGAGCGGGGTGCATCATGGGAAACCCCCGGCAGTGTAGGCCTATGGCAGGGTAATTAAGGGTGGTTCACGACGCACCTAAGCCAGCCCTAACTACAAGCTTTATCAAAAAGGAAAGTCTACACTTAAATATAGAGACGGTGCCTCCCGAACCCAAACTGGAACCTGGTTCCACAGGAGAGGACTTTGATAGCTGAACGCTCTAGCTCTCTACTTTTGAAGACTCTCAGAAGTTTCATCTGGCTTGACCGATAGATATAACTGAGTAATAGCTGAGTAATGAGGAATAACTGAACATCTGAGACAATGAGCAGGAGAAGTACAGTAGGGTTGGCTACCAGAACTTTTTTTCAAACAACTATAATATAGAACAGAAACAACTATAAGATAGAACAGCAGGCACTAAAGATAGGAATAACTGTGGGTGCTTGGGCAAACTTAATGTAAGAATAAGTGTTTAGCAGACAATTGGCCGCTGTAATGACACATCTAACAATTGAATCTGGTCATCTGGTATTTAGCGAGAGCAGCAAACATGCCAGCACCACACTAGCACCGGAATCTGAAATGATTTAACACGCTTACCGCAGTACGTCAGTCTGCCAACTCCAACTTCAGCTGATGCCCCTTTGGTTTAACCCTGGTTGAATCGACAGCATGCTTTCTGTTAGCTGTGAGTGTTATCCTACTCTATGGTGTCCATAACACACACACTCGGTGAGAGTGTGTGTGTACAGCACGTCAAGAAATATGCTTCAAAATGCATTTTTTATATCAAACAAATCATTTTAGTGACATTTATCAAATTTTCATGTTAGCCCTTTATAGAAAATGTTTTTGTTTTTTTCCATGATATTTTTCCTTTTTTTCCATTTCTGTGATTTTTCCGTTTCAATGCTTACTTAGCGTTTCCGTGGACTTGAAAACTGTACACACAAGTGTACTCTGGATGGCCCCAGTTGCTTTCTATCTTCAGCTTAACAAACTTGTAGATGTCTTTTTTTTCATCCTGATGTGAGATAAAGAGACAAAAATCAGAGGGAGTGGGAAGATCAGTTACACAATAACAATTAGTGACATTTAGTTAATGTGTTAATGATGGCACATGGAAAGGGTTTCACTTTTGGCTGTCTATAATGTCAGTAAGTGACAGATTTAACAGTGCTGTTGTGAGGGGTGTCATGGTGAATGCTCACAGGCAGTTCAAAGGTTTGCAGGGGCTCTTGATTTGGATCATACTCAAATGTACTGAGATGACTTTCCTCACCATCTATAGCTTTTAATCCCTGAAAGAGACATAAGAGGATAAATCAACACTTGTTATTTTGCCTGCTGTATGTTTCAAGTTCACTTGATTCTTCCGTATGAGACATGAACATTTTCTTACGTACATAGACAGAAAAGTTTCTTGGAGCACTGTATAGGAATCCGGTGGGAGATTGCATTTTAGATATGTGACCCAGTGTTACATGTGTGATGGTGATCAGGTGAGACAAGGAGATAAATATGTGGCCTTGGCTTCCAGAAAAAGCCCAGCAGCGACCAGGACTCAGAGGGTTCCCTTGGATGACACTTCGGGGAGTAAATGGGGGATACAGTATAGGTATTCCTAACAGTGACAGTAGTGGGGCTTGGGAAGGGTATGTTTCTGAGGAGAGGCGCTGAAGGATCCAGGCCCCTGCAATGAACACATTACACACATTTAGGAAAACTCATGGTGAAAATCCTCTGATAAAGATCACCGATGACAACAAAACATGAAGATCAATTACCCTGCGATTCCAAAGCAAAATTCGGCATGGTTTGTGCGTTAGGGATAAGTCTGGACTTCAGCTGATGCAACTCTTCCTCCATATTTCTGATCCTAATCTTCAGGTCTTTGAAATCACCCTGTACCTTTAATGTGGAAAGTGGCAGAATTAGAAGTGAGGAGGTCAGAACATAATTTGAATATTACCATTGCAAGGGGTAAGAATCTGAGAGGAACAAAAACGTTAGCTTTCAGCACAATTTTACTGTACCATTTTCTCTCGATCTTGGATGAAAACTTTGAAAAAAAATCCTCCTGAAGAGAAGGAGAAGAGGAGCATGTTTATGAGTACAATAACATCACCAAAACTATGACTATAACTTCTCATCAAAATGAGTGCCAGGTCATGTATTGGAGTTTATTTCTGAGTAATTACCAAGAAAAATCAGGATAATCAGGAGGGTCGCCGTTGTTTTCTTGTCAATCGTTGTCCAGGCTGCCCACATAAAAAGACAGTTATACACTGGTGGACAGAGTGGTACTATTCAGTGTTGCACTTTTAAGTGAATTTCCTACATGTGGTCAGGCTTTCCCTCAGGTTGGTAGAAAGATGGTCGGGGTTGAAAAAGGATATGGTTGACATGTTAGAGATAGTGCTGGCGCCAGAAAGTCGCCGTCCCCTCCTCTTTCGAAAAACCCTAGCAGACATAAAAAGGTTAAGATTTATATGGAGCTAAATCTAACCCTTGATACTTACACACTTCCAATGACAGCAGCTTGGAAGCAACACTCTCTAAACAAGCAGAACACACTTTTTGGCCTACCTGAAAGGCTGCTCCTTATAGGAAATCATCGGTTCATCATTGTCATAGTATCCTTGTAATCGCAGGCGTCCACTTTGGCGTGACATGATGTGAATCTGAAGAAGACAGAGGGAATTTGTGATCAAAACTACTTATGAATAAAAGCTTTGTATTGAAGGGTTACCCCTGAAACATGAATTGCTATCTTGGTAGCAAATAAGTTACATTAACTTCAAAAAATTATTTTTAAGATTCTGAGCATCTTTGAGGTTTCTCTGCAGTTTCTCTGAAAGTATAACGAGAATATAAACCCATTTTGATAACTGGCATTCACTGGCAAATGATTATAAAGCAAATGTCTACAGTAATTGTGAAGGAAATGTCCAGAATAAAGTCACAGGTATGCAAATGACAACGGAAAAGTTAATGTACTTTTTAAGTCATTCCATATGGTTCAAAAACTGCATTTCTATTCATGCTGAAAACTACATAGTCACGTAACACAAAAAGACAATCACCTTTTGTAGCAAGTAAATGATCTGAAAACTGATTAGTAGATGCCCAATCTCACAGATCAGTATGAAACTACGGCTATAACATGACCAACCCATCCAGTGCTAGTGACTAAACCTAGTTAGTCTGAGGCAGACAAAGCAGGTTATGTCTTTGCTTTCTGAAAAGAAAAATCTGATTATAGCATTTTTGATCAACTAAGAGCTCAAAAAAGTTTAAGAAATTCAAGTGTACACACACTGATCTGTAATAATCAGTAACATTTGCAGTTACTCAAAGTTACCCGGAAACTGTTAAGCACATTTGTACTTGAATTAGATATAACTTTGAATCTCAATGTCTTTAGTCTTTGACTTAAACATTACTCTTTTCAGTTTCGTTTCTAAGGCCAGCTGTATAAGGGCAAACCTACCTTTTTAGTCTTTATTCACTGGAAAAAAAAGAAAGTGGTTTATTTGTCCTCTTCACACTGTGAAATGACCAAAATTCCACAAATCCAGTTCTCTAGAATTTGAATGTTAACATAGAATCATAGATCATAGAGTCTGTTCCAAAGTGGATCAGAGAGAATGATCCAACGTTCCAAATTCTAATTCCATTTGAATGGTTCATGGTGGCATTCAACAACAGTAATAATAATAATTATAGGGAATGTAGGAAAGTATTCATAATTATTGTGGATTATCAGTAAGATGCACAAAAAACACAGCACCACAAATAGTTAATACATTTTATTAACTTGGAAATCCAATAGTTTCTGTCATATTCATCTTTTTGAGCATGTTAAATGACAAATAGTTGTACGGAAATCAGTTTAACTGTTTTTTAGGAATCTGTAGCTTTTCTAAACCATTCTGTTTGAAGGCAATTCACAACACATACAATGGTGTTAACTTTTAACTTTTCATTATCTTTGTTTTTTTATATTTGATTTGTACTTTTAATCTGCTAAAATAATTGTGGTATATACAATAAAAGTTTGGATGAATCATAGGTTAGTTCAAATAGAAAGCTCTGTAGCTTGATACTGGTAAGTAAATAATGTAAAAATGACATACATGAAAGATATTACACTTAAACACTTAGCTATTTTTTTCACTTAAACCTAACTCTTAAAATTTTTATGTCTGATTATTGGTTCAGTTAGGTTCATTGCAAGAGTCCAGTTAGCTTTGCAAATGCTGAAAATGATTTACCGTTTGTCCAGATCAGTAAACCACCAAACTGAGACTGTTTTTATCATTTACAAACAGCTATTTCTATTTGGGTCACTGTTTTGTACATTCTAAAAAGTCTTTTGGGATTTGCATCGCCAATTTCTCGCCTTCAAAGTTGTTAAATGGTCCAAATTTACTTTCACAGGACACATCAGATTGTTTGATGGCAATTGTTCAAAAGCAAGGTCACAAGAGACCACAAGCTGCCCTTTTTTGGACTGTGTTGTACACATCTGAGAGGATAGAAGTTTAAACGGATGCTTACAGAAAACCATACATACAGAGTAGGACCCGCTTTTTTGACATTTGTGAAATTCACAGGTACCTTAAATAAACTTTTGGCAAGCCTAGACGACTCAAACCTCTAATTAATGTCTTTAGGCATCACCAGTCTGATGACAGGCGTTTGTCTTTCATCAGATTATATGTCAAAAATCCAAGAAACACTGTAGACCAACGCAAGAGGCTCTTACTCATCTAAATGTTTGCCTAAATGTTAATCATTTTAAACATGGAAAAAAAAAACTTCAGAAGGCTTTGAGACGTTTATTTCCTGCCATTCGAGTGGATATCACAACTAAAACATGGAGAATTCAAGTAATTACAGCCTGAAATCTCATATGACATATAGAAGGTTCACACTGTTCTCATGAAACACTGCAACAGGGTAGTTTCTGCAGACAAACATTACTCAGAACATTTTCACTGCACTTTGAACTAAGATTTGTCAAAAGGTTTTCCTTTTATATGCGTTTTCTCTTCATTAAAGACATGGAGGAGTACATCCTCTCATGAACCTAACCTGGATATCCTACTGCAAGATGTAAACGTTTGTGTCCGAGTGCAAATTCTTTAAAGCCATTAAAACTAAAAGTACTGAGAGAGCGAAAATTACACCGTCAACAAAAACTTAATGCCAACAGAGAAGAGGCAGCAACCAGCTTGTGATAGTGCAAATTTATCTAACAAGTTAGCACTGACGATTTAAAATGCTTTGTAAAAGTGTCAATTTTCTTTGTTTCAATCCTAAAAGTCAAAAGAAGATGAGTATAACTGAATGTCAAACATAGAACACATCAGTCAGTAGCTGTGGGGATTCTTTCTCTACTAGATCACTAAACAAAATGTTTCCAAAAATCTAAAATGACTTTTTATTTGCCTTTAGTGTTTCATAAAGACTCTAAACGTCACTCTACTGAACAAACAACAAATATTTTTTACTATTCTCCCTAACCAACCAATATCAAGAACATAAAATAACAAATAACTGTCATCAGCAGCTTCTTTAAATAGCTGCTTCTCCTGTTTAAGTGAATCTAAATATTGTCTTTGGAAACTTTGAAGAAGATTCAGTATTCGATAGAAGAAAAATGTCTTATATTCCTTTGACCTTTCGCTCTCTGGAGTAATTTACAGAAAGATGCTGCTTCTCTGTTAAGCTACACTTTGCCAGCAACATCCAGCTCAAGATGTGCTTGTTATTGCACCTACAGCACAGTACGACTGACCTGAGGTTGTTCTTAATAATTCTGGATTTTTTTCAAGACAGAATGAGAAAAAAGTTAACTTCATTTGAACAACTTTATAAATACAAAAGACTGTAAAATATACGATTAAAAATATGGCCACGCTTGTAGCTTATTCTTCTTTTTAGTAAACTGAAATGTAAATCATGATAATATTAGAGTAATAAAGTTATTTATGTAAGTGCAGTGTTTACCGCACTAAAAGCAGGATAAGAAAATAGAGTCTCATTAATTGCATAAAAGGCTTTTAGCCTCTGTTAGAAATTCTGCTAAAGTATATTAAGAGGCAGTAAATTACGAGAAAGACAAAGATCCAAGCTTTCTTGCACAGCTGAGGACAAACACGAATATAGGTTTCACTGGTTAAAATAAAAACAACAGGATTTTTCATCCTTGACCTTATTGTCCACCTTTTTCTACTGTATATATTCTCTTAACCAGACCCATGCTGAGCCACACCTGTGACAAACTGTAAAAAACCTGTACTTTAATGGAGAACGATACTTTGACAGAATCCCTGTAAAGATGTCGCGAGACATGCAGCAAATAACGTTACGTTCTTGGCTGTGCGTGCAGCTACTGCCAGTCAAAAATAAGGACCATTTTTAGACTACAATCCTCTTTTCAGCCTGTCAAAAAAGCCAGAGGAGGTCCAACAAAGTTCTCAGTATTTTTATTTTTTGCAAGTCACGCCTCATTTTTTTTCCCTCTACAGGCAAATTTCTTTTTGGTATGTTTTGTAGAAGCAGAAGATTTTCCCATTAATTTCCTTCTCTTAAGACAGGCGAGCCGAAATATCCGAACATTAAACTTTAAGTCGTAGTGTTCCAGTATCGGACAGCCTGGAGGTCAATCTGTTTCTTAAAGTTCACCCTCCAGTAGCTGTGTCTGCTCTCACTTTGCCTCAATTTAGTGGTGCTGCCTTATGGTGTTCTGACTCAATATGGGACCGACTGGTTATTGTAAAATGGCTGAAAAATCCCCAAATTTATCTTAAAAGAGCTTACAAAAAAGGCTGAATTAATACTGGGAAGGATTCAAGGACGGAGGCTTGTGTAGTGTGCTCACATTAAATCTTCCATTCACATCTCAAGGTTAGTATCATAAATCCAAACAGCGGACGTTACATAATGCTAGTATTAGTAATCTGTAAGACTAGAGAAGCTATGACAGCTAAGTGTGCATGATTATATTATGTGCATCTGCGCTACATAGATGCTCGTGACCGTCAGCTATTTGAGGGAGAGCTTTCCCTCTGCTGGGCCAAAGTGTCTGTGTGGTCCCTGATTTAAGCATGACACAAGTTTCCATTGGAACCACAGGTGGCAGAAATACCACAATTCTTCAAGATGGGGCTGAAGTGGGAAGCTGTGCTGGTGTCGGCCTCTTTGGGAGGAAAAGGCTTCATGGTGGAGAGGATGAGGGCCAAACAGTCTGCTACGTTTTTGTTTGGGGCGCAGGCCAGAGCTGGTGTGTGACCTACAGAGGACGGATCAAAGAGCAAAGGATTAGGACTGTTTCAGTGTTCTCTTAGAAATAGAAAGAGTCCTGCTTACCTTCCACGTCTACGGCCATGACTGCTGCTCCTCTGCTCAGTAACACCTGCACTACAGTGGCCAAACCTTTTCTTGCTGCAATATGAAGGGGCCTGCATGATAAAAGGAGCCATGACCACAGTGTACTGAGAACTGTGTGAATAACTCCCATGAATGCAGCTGCATGGTCTAGCTTTTGATCAGCACTGTTGCCATTTAAATGTCTGCTGTAACTCACATCTGGAGAGTGTTGTTTCTTGCATTGATGAGGGAGGAATCCGTGATCTCTCCCAGGATCAGCAGAGCACACATCTCATGACCCTGCAGATTAAAGAACAGTGTGCTTAAAATGAATTCCTTAAAAAGTTAAAGGAAGAATTAAAAAAGTTTTTTAATTTGATCTTGACTCAAAGAAAGGGGTTAATGCTTTCAAACACAGAAGTTAATTGTGACCAGCTCACCCCATCTTAAACCTGATCTACAAACATGGTCTTTGTTATATACTTTTGTCAGACTTTTACCTTATTCGAAAGATGTTAGAATTACCTCCTGGTACATTTGATGTACCATTACATGCTTACAGTAAATATGTTAATTGGTGTGTTTATGCAACCTTGCTGCAGGCTAAGTGAAGTGCTGTGTTATTATTAACATCCACCAGGGTCAGGTCTGGCTTCGCTGTGTGCAGCAAGAACTCTGAAATGCAGAGAAAAAACATTCAAATGACAAAACCTTTTAGATTTTAAGTCTTTTCCTCGTGGGTTTACGTGGAGACAACACTCAAAAATCAGTGCAAATAGGTCATCAGTATTACCAGGGAGTAATACTGTTGGTAACAGTTAAATAAGACTGTGAGGGTCACAACCACAGAGAGCAATGATTTTAACACGTTTAATATGTCATCGGTGTGGAGAAGAGTAACATTTTAAAGCACAGTCGCGTACCAACAGCATTGGTCTGTCCACTGTCAGCTGCAACCATCACAGCCGAGCATCCATTGTTGTCCACTGTATTGACCTCTGCTCCCTGGGCCAGAACCAGCTGTAGCCCAGCAACACTTCCTGAATAAGCAGCTGCATGCAGTGGAGTCCTGGACATGAAAACACAAGGTGAGCAGACAGGTCGATCTCCTCTGACTCTGAATCAAGACATTCTCAATTTGACATTAGATGCCTAAATCGTATGATTTGTAATTTATGCAAATTATGCTGGCACTGCCAGACTAAATATCTATTTTGAACTTGAAACCCACCTTCCTTTGGAATCACTAATGTGAATAGTTTGAGGGCCTACAGTCTTCACCAGAAGTCCAGCGGCAGCATCGTGTCCATTGACTCTGTGTGGTGGGATAAAACAAACAACACGTTCAATTTTCTATGCAAACTGGATTTAGGTGTAATCTTCATTAGGATTATGATACTCACAAAGCACAGTGCAATGGAGTAAACAAATTTCCTTCCTGGTTGCTAACAAGCTTGTTTTCAAGTAAAACGTGTAAACATCCTTCATGCCCTGAGTAAAAACACAGAGGGGAAATGATTATTATTCTATAATTGTACAGCTGCCTTTATGAAGACATACATTCAAATGCACTTTATGTGTAGACATTTCAATGTTTGGCCCATTCAACCCTGATCTAAACACTCCTATAATGTAAAATGAAAAATGTCATCTTCTTACCATGGTAGGCTGCCCAGTGTGTGGGCGTGTAGCCTCTGTAGTCTAACATTGAGTCCAGAGGGTCAGCTTTCTTAGCAGCCATTAACAAAGTGTGGAGTAAGTTTGTGTGACCACAGGAAGCTGCGAGGTGCATCGGTGTCCTTCCCTGAGAGTCTCTGCACAGAGCAGAAGCCCCATGTTCCAACAGAGCAGATACACAGTCCTCACTGCCCAACATGGCCTGCAAGGAGAGGACACGAGCCGTAGTGTGAGAGGAGAAACCATCTCTGCATAAACTAACTGTCAAGCCCAGAGAAAAGATAAATAAATAAACTCACTGCTCTGTGCAGAGCAGTAAAACCCTGTTTATCTGCAGCATCAGCATTCGCTTTTTTCTCCAACAGGATGTAGATGCAGTCAGTGTGACATCCCAGAGCTGCCAGCATGAGAGCCGTGCTAAAAAACAAAACTAGCAGAATTGAATCCTCTGGATTGAGAGCAGAAGCTCTTCCTTAATTCTAGCAAAAACAGGCAAATAGGCCTGTCCACCTTAAATTAATTTTGTCTGAACAAATCAGACGATAAGACTTACTGTCCCTGTGTGTCCTGACTGTCAATGATGTCTTCACTTTGATCCTTGTTGACCAATAAAAGCAGACAGTCCACGTGACCTTCCGCAGCTAAATGGAGAAACAAAGATTAAGAGTTAATGTTTCTCAGAAATCATACAACAAATCAAAAAGGAAACCTATGTACAACTAGAACTGAACAAATGTGTCCGGTGAACCACACCTACCTGCAGCATGCAGAGCTGTCTGTTTGTGCTTGTGATCCTTCAGCGTGTAGGAGGCTTGATGCTTCAACAGAACCTCCACACAGTGGGAAAAGCCTCTCTGAGCAGCCAGGTGGAGAGCAGTTTGGCCTTTAACGTCCCGTACATCCAGACTGACTAAAGTCTCACAAAGCAAGCGCAGTGCCTCACAGTGGCCATAATATGCCTGTAGTAATGAATGCATAACAACAGTTGAGGATGGCAATCAAGGAGGGTTTTATCTAAAAACAAAGAACATTTTTTTATTTTTGTGTCATACTCACAGCTAAGTGCAAAGGACTGACGGGAATATTACTTTCAACCTCTTCGAGACAGTTAAAAGAAATTTCCAACAGCTGCAAAAAGTAAAAGAGAACTTTTATATCTAGTTTGCAGTAAGTGTGTAAGAAAAGAATAAAAAGAAAGTCACAGAACAAAAGAAACAACTAACCAGTTCAAGATGCTGTTTGTTTCCATAAGCTGCAGCGTAATGGACGGCACTGTAGCCCCTGCTATTCTTCAGAGTTGGATTTGCCCCATTGTCAAGTAAGAAATCTAAACAACTGAGCACAAAAGTATTTGAACACAAAAGTATACACACACAAACACACACAAATAAATGTGTATATAAATATACACAAGCACACACACACACACAGAATCTCCTGTTGATGTCTTTGGGCCACACATTTGAAAAAATATTAAGAATGGTCTGGATTGTGCCATACTTGCAACTTGCCTGACACCAAATTTATCTTTACAGATGTTTTATATAGAAAAAAGTCATATAAAACATTATACAAGTTACAGCTAACTGCCTCACAATTGTCACACGATGAGCAAAAGTTTGTAATAACAGAAGACTTACAGAGAGGCTTCATGTTCTTTTTCAACTCTGAGGTCTGGCTCAAAGTTTGTTCCCTCCCTGGGTATGAGGAGATCAAATGTTTAATTCACTGCTTAACAATAGCAAGTAAAACATTAAAAAGACAAAAAGGCCCTCACCCGTAGAAGGTGTGTGATGCAGCAGCGTAGTGCAGCGGGCTGCAGCCCGTCAGATCCGCCTCATTGATTTCTGCACCCGCTCTCACCAGGGAAATTGTGCACTGGCTGTTCCCATTTGCTGCAGCATAGTGCAGAGGAGATCTGCAGGGAAAAACAGGTTTATAATCAGAATTGAACAAAAGAAAAAAACAAGTAAATTCTAAAATGTAGCTGCTAAGCAATGCTCACCTTCCCAAATTGTCCTTTATGTCCATTTCAGAGCCACAATTCAATAGCAAATTTAAACACTCAACATTTCTGCAAAGCAAAAAATAAATAAATAAAGTTATTAAAATCATAGCTATATAGGTCAAACAACAGATATCTCAGAAGCAAATTTACATAATTTATTTGAACCTCACGGACAAATATAAATTAAACAAGTAGTAAGGAGAACTCTTAAATGTTTAAAGAGAGAGGCGGGTCCAGCTGACTTTTTGAGTCAGAGGCATTAATGTGTATGTTCAGCACTCACCCCCCAGAGGCAGCTGCATGCAGACAAGTCCTCCCGTGATCATCAGTGAGGTTAATATCAAACCCTATGATTGGTATTTGGCCACATGTCAGAGCGGGCATGATGTTGTAAAACTGACCTGAGAAAAACACAAACACCTCTGAACTTTGTGCTTCAAAAAGGAGAGACGAAATTGAAAAATAGAACTTGAGGAGTCAAAGTGACTCTCACCATTAGACAGCAACTTGCGACAACAGTCAGGAAAGCCATAGAGTGCCGCCAAATGCAGTGGAAGCATCCCGTGAATCCCCTGTCTTTAGAGATTAGAACACTTTAGAAACTTTAATGAAAATCTAAAAACAAATCATTCCTATTTATTCATAGCTTCCATCAACTTTTCTATGCTTTTTTTTTGGATCCAAGCTGTTTAAACCCTATATAATTGGCTGCTTCATAGCAAAGTAGTGTATATCAATACTCATGACTTATAATAGTAATAAAAGGAAATCCAGTGAAATAAGACAAAAGTCTCTCCATAGCATTTGGATGCTGATATCAATGTAAAGTCAAAAGTTTGTCATTAAAACACTTGAACATTGCAACAACAATTTGAGAAAAGCTCATAGTGTCATTTGAAATGTGTTACGTTGACTGTTTCACTATAGTTATTAATCAAGAGATTTCACAAGACAATAAGACGTAAGTTGAGCTCTCACTGCCACAGATCTTCAAATGATTCCATCAAAAGAAAAATGCTTTTTGAGGACTTTGGAGCCAAGAATTCTAGCAATTTTAGTACCAGGACCATTCAACACTGGTATTTTCAGACAGACTCACCTGCCTTTGTCAGCACCGTTTGTCAGCAGAGTACTTAGCAGTAGCTCCTGACCATATCTGGCAGCAACATGAAGAGGACTGTTTCCATCAATGTCAGCACAATCAATGTCTGCACCTGAGCAAAGAGGAGAATATTAAAGGTATGTCACACATGTTATGTATAATGCTATTTATCCCTCATCATGTGCCACAAAATACAAGCAACATGCATTAATGTTTTTATTTGTGTTACCATTCTGGATCAGAATCTGAGATCCTGTGAAGCGTCCCTGCATTGTAGCCATATGTAGTGGGCTCTTCCCTTCTTTATTCTGTTAAAAAGCCATAAAGTACTTCAAAATACTGGCATAGATTCAAAATATCCCAAACCATCCTGGAATGTATAATGTTATTTTAAATCTACCTTTTATAGTTATTTCCCAATCCACAGAATTAAAAACTGCTTTTTTATACCTGCACGTTAACATCAGCACCATTGTTGACTAGCAGCTCGAGGCACAGGACCCCGCTGGAGGAGGCAGCAGCCAGATGCAGCGGTGTGTTGCCATGGTAGTTAGGCTGGTTGATGTTTGCACCACAGTTCACCAGTTCTGTAGCTACAGTGTCCTGCCCTGTGTGACAGGCCATGTGAAGCGCTGTGTTCCCATAAATATTGGGCTCATCGGTCTGAGAAACAAAGAAGATATTAGACTTACACTAAGGAAAAGCTGCTGTAAATAACATTTAAAAACAAGTACTGCAACGGCTGGAGACACCACGAGACAAACCCTGAAGCTCTGCAGACACACGTTGATGTTTATGTGAGTATGACTGAGAAAAATCTTATTAATAACTTTACATTTAAAAAGTGCGATTAAAATACTTAAATATATGCAATCTTGTTGCTGTGACTCCAATGGAGAATGTGCAATACATAAAACTAATTATCAAAAACAATAAAGCCACTTTACCTCTACCCCGAGTCTTAACAGAAACATTAGCACATCTAAGTGTCCGCCGGCAGCTGCAACATGAAGCGGAGTGTAGCCACACTTGTCCCTGCTCATCACATCTGAACTGTGAGAAATGAGCAGCTTCAAAACGTCCACATGTCCTGGAAAATGTTATGATTACTACAGGTATGTCCCATGCTCACTCACTGCAATGCGCATAATTTGTCTGAAAGCCTGTAAACAAACAAACTCAACAAAAAACACTAAAAAGCTGACAAAGGAAAGACCACAATAGACAACATATTTATTATTAATTTTTCTTATTCCTTAAGAAAACTTCCCAAATACATTACACTTAAAAAGGAGGCCAAATCATTTCTGATTTTAAGAGGTGGTTGATAGTTATCTTTTTGATACTGGGTGAAAAGTTAAAAGACAGTCGTGTGCCATCTTGTGCCATTTCGTATTTGTTAAACTCACCAAGGTGTGCAGCCCAGTGAATGGGCTGCCGTTCTTTCTTATCTTTGGCATTTGCATTGGCACCTTTAGACAGGAGTAAGTTCACCATCTGCAGAAACACAAACTAAGTGAAGCAGTGTGTCTGGGCCCATCTCCATTCGTACTTGCAGTCTCAAGGATATTATACAGACACCAAGGGAGAAAAACACTTTAATGTTTAGTCTAGTCATAGTCACACAATATAATAAAAGCTGGTGAAAATACAGAAAAATAGGTAATTACTTTTTTAAGCCTGGTTATTAAAAAGTTCACTATACAGAAGGACAGTGGACACTTTTAAGGAGCCAGAAGACTAAATCCAACTTTACAGGGTACCTCTCTGTGGCCACTGTGAGCCGCGTGATGTAGTGGTGTCCGGCCTGACCTGTCCGTGACATCCAGGCTGCAAACATGTGGTATCAGGGCTGCAGCACAGCCTTTGGCCCAGTTTGCTGCTGCCATGTGTAAGGGTGTCTGCCAGAATTTGTCTCGTGCATTAACCTCTGCTTTATGTTTCAACAGCAGTGCTACAGCCCTCTGTAAGAATAAAAGGTAACCAATAAGATTTGGGAGTCACTCATTTTTTTTCATGATATTTTTGTCTTTTGATAAGAGGACTGTACTTCATTTCTTGAGGCAGCTGCACGATGTAGAGGGGTAAGCATCCCCTGGTCCTTAGTGTTAACTTTTGCACCTTTAACAAGACATAAAAGGAAAAAATTGTTTACTGGGTCTCCACATTCTCTGTGTCTTCTTTTTTTACTCTGTTACTGACTTAATGGATTCATTACTAAACTACTAATAGACTTCCTTAATTTTAGTCTTACCTGAACTAATAAGTAGTTCCATAATAGGGACATCTCCTAAATATGCAGCAGCATGAAGGGGTGTGCTTTGTTCTTGGTCCTGAGATGGGTGAAAAATAAAAATTATGCAGTAAGAAAACTTATCATAATTTAGTGGGAGCTAAACTATTCAGACGGGCCTGTCCAGGCGTATCCTACCAATTGTCATAGCTATTCAATTTCCAGTCATTTAATTTGATATAACAAGGAGTCATTAATATTTGTTATCATTTGTAGACTGAGTCTAACATACAATCAAGAATACTTAAAAGTAACTATTCAATAACAATTTAAAAACAAATGTTACATTTAACTGAAAATGTATTAAACTTTTAATATGTGTATTATCACTGGGTCTATGTTTTACTTTATGCTGGATGATACTACCTGTGTATTGACATCTTGGTTATGGGTCAGCAAAAATGTCACATCCTCTACATTTCGGCTGAATATGGCCTGGACCAGTGGAGACTGAAAGGTTTTTTGGCAGACAGTGCAATAAAACATCATCAGTAAAAACATCTGATTCAAAATGGTTTCTTTTTTTTAAATGTGCAACCTAACCTATAAAATCACAAAGAATTTAAGATGTTACATTAAAAAACAAATATTTTGTCATTCTTCACTGGAGAAAAAAAAGTATTATAAAGGAAGAACAGTAGCTAAGAGTATATTTCATACATAACGATTAAAAAATTGAAATGCATATACTATTTCTTGCTAGCTTTAAGTTAATAAGAGCCCATCTACACTATCCACATTGGAACATCCAATTACATTTCAAAGTTGAAATCGCAATATTAGTTACCAACTAACTGTGCTAAGCTCTAGCCCAAACTAAGACTTTATTAATTTATCAGTGATAAAGAACAGTTACATGACCAAGCATCGTAGAAAACTTTCTCGTCAAGTAGCTAACATGTCACATCTTTTCCTAACTTACATTAGACCACAGCAAAAGTTTTATTTACTACCTGGTCTTTAATATTTCTCAAATCCATGTCCCAATTATTCAGGAAGCTCCTTAATTGAGACTTGGTCTAAATTTGACAACATGACACTTTCTTACAGCTAGTTAGCCTAGCCATAGCTACTTTAGCAACCGAATGTGTTGTTCCAGTTGCCAGAACATCGCGATACTGGTGAAGGAAATGTGATTTTGAGATTTTGTCATTTAGTACTCTGACGTACCAAATATTTGATATATTTATGCTTGCGCATGTTTTGTTTCGCAAAAAAATTGAGAAATTATTGTGGAGATTATTTTTTAATGGAATGCTGTGATATGAAAAATAATTAACACCCAGGTTAATCATGTTGATAAGGATAACAAAATCAGAAACTTTTCTTTGAGTATTTTCTTAGCTATATAAATGGTTCATTTTACTATTTGATTTTTAGATGTTCATTTTATTTTTTATTTCCATTTTTGCAAACTTTCGATTTTAAAAAAATGAAATACCAGTGTTGTCCTAAAAAAAAACTTGATTAAACGGCCGCAGAGGCGCCCACATCCTGTTAAATCAGTTAATCTGCGTTAATTTCGATGTCTCTGATTTGCGTTTGTTCTGCTTCAAACTGACACTGACATGCAAATGAAATTATATATAGACATAGTAAGAGAACTGTGTTGTGAAACGTTAGTGCCCTGACATATTTTTTAAATGGAGGTTTGCTGAAACTTGAAATGGTATTGAAAAGTGTTGCTTCGTGACTGTTTTGGCTGCCTCTGAATGCTTTAAGTAAAATTAATCCAACCATGACAGTAAATCAGCATCCTTTAATAGCATTCCAAGTTAGAATAAATATTTTCATCTGCATAGGTAAAACAAAAATGTTGTTGAGCTTTACATTACGAAATTAGTTTATAACGTGTTGGAGAAATCACTAGTGAGAGTATAAAAAGAAAGATAAACTACAGCAGAGCAGAGGTTACATTAAATTTGACAAATAACTGATTAAAACAGCATTGGATATACCCTTGGATTATCTGATCGCTGCAATTAGCAAGATGTAATATTAAAGGAAGATGGTGGATCATGAAGTTAATAGTTGAGGACTTTAAACAAAAATATATGTATGAAGTAACGCATTCAGAAGTCATCCCCAACGCAACCAATTTGCAGCTACCGTTATCCACCAGGCGAAGAAGAAGATAAAGAGGGCAGAAGAAGAAGACCACCACCAGTCAGAACAGATCGGTGGTGTTGCGCATGCGCTGTGCACCTGAAACCTACAGTTGACATGAGCACATACACGACTCTGCCGGGACTGTAGCCTTATAACGTGATTTGCCACTATTCAACTGAAAGAAACGGTGTCAGTTTAAAAAGGTAATTTTATCTAAGACACAAGCCATTAGTGTATCCTCACAGAAATTACAGAGAGGTAAGAATGATCTTTCTACTTTGGTTGAGGTTAACGCCATCATAGCTAATGCTAACAGCTGGATTTGTTAGCTTGATCACTACATGTACTGTGTAGATGTCTTTGCACCAGCTTTTACTATGCAGCGAATACGAGAAAATTTAGTGAGGATGAGAGGGAGGGTTGCTCTGTTTTACACACCTAAAGGCTTAAATAGTCCTATGTTGTAGTTTTAGCTCGGGTTTGTTCTGTGAAGTAGTCATGACCCTTTTTTTCTAACTGTAACGTCTATGATAACATTGCATTCAGTATATCGTGTTGTTATAAAATCCATCCAGATATTTAGCAGGTTTATGATATTGTTAAAGGAGAAAACCATTTGAATATGATAATGCATTTCTTTGTGAGTGCATCCGGATATGTATACTGCAGGTATAGTTGTGTTGGATTCCTACTATAAATGATTTAAGTTTATTAACTTCCTTTTCCTCCATAAAAAGATATGGAAGGTGGTGAATGCCAAATAGGGGGAGTTAATTTCAAACGCTCTTTTATAAGTATTTCATAAGCGTTTAGTAAACTGTCCTGTGACAGCCATGACTATTACAAACAGAGTGACCACTGATGAGATGTTTCATTAGGTTATTTTTGTAGAGGGACACTAAAATAGTTGTGTTTTTAAAGTTTGTATTTAACTTGTGACTAACTGAATTTTAGTAACTGATACACATTTTATATATGGTTGGACCTTTGGATCCCATGACCAAAGTCTGTCTGGGCAGTGCTAAATTGGGTTATATACGATCACAGGAAGCCTTGAAACAGTTATTTGATGGTTATCATGTATGGATGTTCATGACTGACAGCTGTTACATGTGAGTACGTTTCCCGTTTATTTGTTGAAGCTGATTGTTGATTTGATTTATTCAAGATGTATTCATGTTGGTTGTTGTAACCTCATCATCAAGAGATTCTGCTAAATTTTTATTTTAATAATTGAAAGAGAAAAAAAATGCTACACACTAACATTTATTTTTATTTCAGATGCCATTTTTCTCGGTCTATGATTTCAGCACGTCTTTTAACAATATTTAGCATTTTATATATATCCCTTTATTTTTAAATTCTAAACATGGGGTGACCACAAGGTATGTTACACAAAGGGTGGGACATTATGTGCAAATTGACAGTTTGGGAGTTGGTGTAGATAGTAAGTGATAGTAAAAGCTGACATGTGCAGATTAGGTTTCATTAACATTCCCCAAAGCTTTGGGACAAAACAAAGGGCAAGGTTTTTTTATGTGCTGTTTAAACATAAACTTTCAGGTGTATTCAAATTGAAACAGGAAAAACATGTATGATTGCTGTGAGGCTGCTAAAAGGCTTCATGAAGATATGTGAGGAATCTGAGCAAGACAAAGGCAGTCAGTTGAAATCTCCTCTGTAGTCTTTATCAGGAAACCTTCCTTACTTGCAAACAGTTCCCAATCATGCAAAATTACTTTAAGGCAGAGCTAAGCATGAAAATATCCGTCTTTGAGTTGAGCTTCATTCTAAAGTACTACAGATTTTTATGTAATTGAAAAACAAAATAGAAATGATCAGATACAACCAGTACACCTGAACCCTGTTCCCTCATCCGAATGACAGCAGACTCAAAACTACAGGAAATTAACTGCTGTTAGGGATCTTATTTTGTTCGTAAATATTTGACAGTGCTTGGGCAATTACAGTATTTAATACTAATGTCTAATTATATAGTGGAAGGACATTTTCTTTTGTTTTTATCTCTTTGTGGTGTGTTTGGTAACTGCTTCTGCCAACAGTGGTCATATGAGAGCACATGGCTAATAGCTTGGTGTCAGACACAGAGAGTTGACATTTTTTATGGCCCTGCTATCAGTTCACTAGCTCCAAAAGAATCTTAACACACCACCTACTTTGAAATTATTTTCCCCCATCTGACATAGAAATGGCAGATGAGGTTGTCCAAAAACGGTCCGAATGGTCCACAGATGTTTAGTGTCTAATAAACTGCAGCTTGTCAACAGAGGTGGAGAAACCGTTACGATCCTGAGTCTTGTCTATGGCAGCAATAGGGGGCATTTACTTTCTTCTTTGGTTTAAATGTGACTACATTTCCTGATGTGTTAGGTGAAAACTACCCTTTCCCAGAAATATAAACTCAGGCTCGCCGCCGGTCCTCCTAAGAAAACAGCTCATGTTATACAAAGCTGACATTAGGAATCCCTGCATGGTCTTGCTTCAGAGAAAAGAAAAACATAGATTTTGTAGAGCCATTATAAGGTTGCAGTTATTTTACATTGATGTTTTGCCTTTATGTCGAAATTTCCATCATTTTAAGCATCAAATTTCTTCCAGTCACCATGATCTGATTCCTCAAATTTGAATATTGCTTGTTTGATTGTTACTTTTGAGGAATGATATAAAGAATACACATTTAACTCAGTGGCACACCCTCAAAGTATTGACTCTGCTGGAAACCAGGACTGCTCTGTCTGCTACTTCGGCTCCTCTTTTTTTTTGCTTATCCTCTCACAGTCATGTGTATATAAAAGGACCTGTGCTCTGTGCCAGAAGACATGGTCGTATGAAATATTGTTGTTTTGTTTGACTGACGTTTACGGTTTCATCAACGCTATCATAAGTGTGTGGATGGTTGGTTTGTGTCCCTTCAGAAGGAAGGATGTAAGACATGGAAGTGAAACAGTGGTTTGTTTGGTATAAAAGGCCTCCTGTGAAAGTTCTCATCACTGTAGGGCATTTGGCATGCTTTAAATGTTGCTTAGTCATTAGTTTGACTGTGAATATAGCAGTTTTTGTTTTAAAAAAGAGGAAAGGATCACAAATTGTTGCACAGTCATGTTAGCAGTGCAGATTTATTTCAGTGTGGTGAAGTTCATCAGTTACACACAGGCTAACACTTTCTCTCATTGATGGTTCTTTTTCAAATCAAAGCCTGATTAAAAAGATAACATTTGCATACTTCATTCTTGCTAATATGCTTTAACTGCTGCTATACTATTGCAGGAGAGGTTAATATTCGTCCTTTAAATTCCCGGGGATCCTTCAGCTTGCCCTGATGAAGGCTGAGCCAGACGGAGACCTCCTGGAAGGTAACCTTTTCCAACATCACATTAAATCCGCACTTGCTTCATTTTGTCTTATTAGACTCTCCAGCTTCAAAGCTCACAAAGTTGAGCCGGTATCATCAGTACAGATGTTGGGCCTCAACACAGCGGCCACGGTTTGAGTTCCAGCTTGTAGCCTATTTCTGCTGTTATCACTGGCTTAGCAATTTTCATATAACAGGCATTTGATGCTCTAAAAAGAAAAAAACAGTGTGCAGTATATGTAGTAACTACACCCCTGGGATAAAACAAGTAGCTTAACTTAATGTGCGCAAAGTACCATTCATACTGCCTGTGCAACATCTTGAAATATGTTCTTAAAGGTTGTTGCGTCTAGGCGCTAAACACCATGAATTGCAGTGTTGAGTGGGAGGGGGTGGGGATTTGTGTTTTAACCGCCGTCACATGTTTACTGTGTGTGCTGGCTTTACTTCTCTGTCTGTGTGGGTCATTTTAAAGTTGCACACCGGGATGTCGTTGTGACATTTACTGTCCAAAAAAAAGGAAAAAGGAAGGGAGAGACAGAGTCATATAAAAGCAGAGTCAGTCTTAGGCAACAGTGGACTTTAGGACCAGCAGTGAGTTGGAGATGAAGGCAGAAAACAAGGAAAAGTCAGGGCTCAGTGAGTAGCAGATTTCATTTACACACAAAAAGTAATTATAGATTTGTTAGAAATTGTAAACAGTAATTAAAGTTTGTGTTCCTTTTGTTTTAATCCTTTATTGTGTCCTCATAAAACTGGGTTTCTGAGCCGCTGGGTTCAAGATGTGTGAGGCTAATTAGAGGTTGCTGCTGGCGGAGTTAAGATGTGTAATTTCAGGTCTTATACATAATCACTTCTTTGGCAGGTTGGAGCTTTTTCCTTAGCAATGAGGTTTTATTTGATTAGGATTGAAACTTTGCATTGTTGGTACAAACAAACTGACTTCAGTGGGGGCAGGACATTGATTGACAGTAATTGATTGTAAATAGAATTAATCCTCAGCTTTGAATTTTTCATCAGACTTACTTAAGTGTACACTTTGGCATAAAATTGTTTAAAAGTCTCATGTGACTGTATTTCTGCTGTAGAGCTATTTGTCATCCAGTGAAACAGCAAAAACTCCATTATTAGTCACCTCAAACTGGCTGGGTTTTTTTTTTTAGCAAATGACTTCCAACATTGAGCCTCTTCAGTTGCACTGATATGAAGTATTTGGATTCAGATGCTTAATGTCTAATAAAACTCTGTAGTTAACGGTTAAATTGTTAAATTTGACAAACTGTGGAAAATGTTTTTCTATGCCATCCTTCACTTCTTCATTACTAACAGGAGAACTCCGTCGCTCTTCTTTCCATTTTTATTCTGTTGTTTAGCTAACTCCCAGCAGGAAAATGGAGTCCAGACAAACCATTACAGCTCAATCACTCCTCCTTCCTCACCAGTGGTGCAGGAAGAAGCCTTTTCCACCTACTTTGAGGAAAGGGTACCCATTCCAGAGAGTGCTAACCAGGTACTGTTCAGCAACCACTGTTTCATGTAGGATGGTCAGAAAATGTATTTATGGGTTTTAAGATGTTTTAAGATGGGTTTCAGATGTAATTGGAGAGTATTTTTTATTTATTGATGTAAAAATCAAATAGTAAAACAATTTTTTGTCCTCTGATCAGTTGTTCAGTTTCCGTAAACTCTGGGCCTTCACTGGACCTGGGTTTTTGATGAGCATTGCTTACTTGGATCCAGGGAATATTGAGTCAGATCTGCAGTCTGGAGCTAAAGCTGGCTTTAAGGTGATGAATGAACCATTTGCATGCTGATATTTCCTTGTTAAAGTGTGTGTTAGCCTGAACAAATGAAAATCACATTTGTCTGGTCATTTTGATGTGAAGCTCTGACATGATGCAGGGGCTTGTGCTGATGTCCTCTCTCCTTCTCAGCTCCTATGGGTGCTCCTCGGAGCCACCATCATTGGGCTGCTATTACAGAGATTGGCCGCACGCCTCGGGGTTGTCACAGGGATGCATCTAGCTGAAGTCTGCAACCGCCAGTATCCCACTGTAAGTATGCACTGTTTAATTAGTTTCCAGAACATAGGTTTTCTTCTTGACATTTTTTTTTTCTCTCAGGTTCCCCGGATCATCCTTTGGTTGATGGTTGAACTGGCTATTATTGGCTCAGACATGCAGGAGGTCATTGGATGTGCTATAGCTTTCAACCTTCTATCAGTGGGCCGGTAACATTAACACTCATATGTAAAAACATTTTTGAAAATACTGGCTAAAATTTTATAATGGGGTACATTTATTGTTTTTTTCTTATCTCATTTTCACCCAGGATCCCACTGTGGGCTGGAGTTCTCATCACCATCACAGACACAATTGTGTTCCTCTTTTTAGACAAATATGGTATGTGTCTAACCTCCATGGATTCAAATCCCTAAATGCCATTTGTACTAGTTTTGATGCATTTGTTTATCTTTATTTAGGCCTGAGGAAACTTGAGGCTTTCTTTGGTGTTCTGATCAGTATAATGGCTATTAGTTTTGGTTACGAGGTAAAGTTTCTTCACCTTCAAATTTAATTCAAGTGACGTGTTTGATAGCCATTTCACACTTTCTGACTATTCATTGTTTCCCTTTAGTATGTGCTGGTGAAACCAGACCAAGGAGAGCTCCTAAAGGGCATGTTTTTACCCTACTGTGCCGACTGTGGGCCTGTTCAGCTGGAGCAGGCTGTGGGAATTGTAGGTGCTGTCATCATGCCCCACAACATCTATCTGCACTCGGCACTGGTCAAGGTCAGGAGTGTTTATGTAACAGGATAAAAACCTTAATGTTTTTGATACCTTAATACAAAATGGAAAATGCTCTAACAAGACAATTCATGTTTTTCTGTTTATTCCCTTCAGTCCCGGGAAATTGATCGGAAAAATAAGAAAGAAGTAAAAGAAGCAAACAAGTACTTTTTTATTGAGTCCACGATCGCGCTCTTCGTGTCCTTCCTCATAAATGTCTTCGTTGTGGCAGTCTTTGCTCAGGCCTTTTACAATAAAACCAACATGGAGGTGGTGAGTCCAAGATGAAGAACCCACTGTTCTACTGAGAACTGTTGCTGCTCTGTGGGTTTACACCTTGAAATAATCCTAACTTCATTTTGTTTCTGCAGAATGCTGAGTGTAATGCAACTGGAAGTCCTCACACAGACCTCTTCCCTCTGAACAATAAAACTCTGGAGGTGGACATTTACAAAGGGGTACGTCTGCTTCGCATTACTACAACAATAGAGCTCAATGTAAAGCTTTATTTACATTGAGTCCAGGCACTTACTCTGCACAGTAATTGACGATACTGGATGAACTCACGCCTTCCACTGGTAAATAAAAAGGTGTACCAAGCGTCCGCTTTTTATATGAGCCGTTTAAAATATTAGAAGGCTTACAATCTTTTCACATTTTCATTATTACATTACTAATTATTATATTTAAAGATCTTACCTATGCATTGTTTAGATTTTAAGAAACATTCCTCCAGGCTTTTTTCACTGCACTGACTTTTTTCTACTCGTTCACTCATACAACATTGGAATATTGGGAAAAACAAGAAAAGCATCTACTTTCGAGGAAGACACATTATTTATTATTTTGTCTGAGGTTTTTCACAGCTGATCAATATTATCTAAAAACATGCACAATTTTGTAGCTTTTAAACCAAAGGAACTGAGTTTTATGATATCATTCTGTTTTCTCAAGTGCAATTACTGTTTAATGAAATAATAGAAGAAGATATTTTTTGGCCAGAAGAGATATCTTTTTATTCATGGTCCTGTTTCAGTGTTCAAATGAATTACTTTTAAATAATCCTAAGAACTGTTAGAATAGCTGATTTCTTAAAATACTAGTTGGCATGTACTTGAAAATTGGCATAAAATTGAACTAATTCCATGACAGTGAGTTGTCTTATTTGCAGGGATGGCCCTGCAGCAACACATCTTTGCACAAACCTCGTGTTTACACCCTTTAAACAGCCAGTAGGGCTGCATTTCTGCAAACTCTTATGTTACCACACTGTTATTAGTTTGATTGTTATTTATCCGACATGCATCTTTGTCTATGTATTATGTCATATGTTAAAAGTGTAAAACTTAGAACAGAGCCAAACAGATGCAGACTGCTACTCTCCAAACGCAACATCCGTTCTGAGAAGAGCTAAATCCTGCTTACAATAACCTTAAAAAAACAGAAATAAAATTGAATTATTTTTATTTATTATTATATTATTAATTATCTGCTTGTCTGACAGGGAGTGGTCCTGGGCTGTTTCTTTGGTCCTGCAGCTCTCTACATCTGGGCCATAGGGATTCTGGCAGCTGGACAGAGCTCCACCATGACAGGCACCTACTCTGGACAGTTTGTCATGGAGGTAAGAATATCTACCAGATCTATGTATGCAGGCTGAGCTCCATTTTGACTTATGGATATGGATGCTCGTGTCGCTGTGTATTTTTTAAGGGATTCCTTAACCTGAGGTGGTCTCGTTTTGCTCGGGTGCTACTGACTCGCTCCATCGCCATTACACCTACACTACTGGTGGCCATTTTCCAAGATGTTCGGCATCTAACTGGAATGAATGACTTCCTCAATGTGCTTCAAAGCATGCAGGTGAAGACACATTGTTGAGAATCGACTCTCTACTGAAGCAACTGAAATGGCACAAATAACACTTAGTAATAATTATTTACAGTAGCCCATTTTCTTCCTATTCAACAGCTTCCATTTGCTTTGATCCCAATTCTGACTTTCACCAGCCTGAGGACCATAATGGACGACTTTGCTAACGGACTGTGAGTACTGTATATGTTTTAAATTGATATATTCTCTCTTACCCCTCAAATAAACACAAACTGTGTGTGTCTGCATTATTAATTGACCAAAGTTATGCAAATTTTCTTTTGCCCGTTTGGGTTTGGTTTGTGATAAATAAATATCCAAATCTGTTTAGTCCAAAAGAGTTGACCAAATAAGGAATTTAATCAGTAATCTGACATTTTTATTGTTTTTTTTTGGCCAGGTTTTGGTTAATTTATCAGAACACAAAGTGTTTTCAGACCGTTGATTTAAAAAAAAAAAAAAAAAGAAAGAAAGCTAATGAAATGTCTGTTTTTGCAAGGTTTTGGAAGATCAGTGGAAGCATCGTCATCCTGGTTGTTTGCGCAATCAACATGTACTTTGTGATCGTGTACGTGACAGCGCTGAACAGCGTGCTGCTCTATGTTTTGGCTGCTTTCCTCTCCCTGGGCTATCTCTGCTTTGTGGGCTACCTGGTGAGTCTGTTTTTACAGTTTGGAAATTTAATTATTTGTGATTTTCCCAGTCTCCACATGGACACCTGATTTACAAAAAGCAATATAAGAGATATTGTTATGTTTACATTTTAGTCATTTTTGCCAGTTTAGTCAGTTTACTCTTCATTTAATCTGAGATTCTATTGTTTATGGATTTTTTTATATTCTTATATTTACAGTGAGTGCATAAGAAAAAGTCAGAGTGAAATTTGAAATGGCTGTATTTAAGTAGATAAGAAAGCAACCCAGAAGAAATCTTTAAATTTACGAAAGAATGAAAACGTGAAGATTCACAAACTTGCTTTTCTCTCGTCTTCTGCAGGCATGGCACTGTCTGATTGCTTTGGGGGTATCCCGTCTGGACTTTGGCAGCAGGGTAAGCAATCCACCCGCTGTGTTCATAGAGGAGCAGTCTGAGTTCGAATCCTAAAGCTGAACACGACAGCAACCACCAGCATATCTCTTTCCTGTGGAAGAGCCATGTACACAACCAGGACTTTTTAAGATCATTTAAGATCTTGCAAGCACATTTTTCTGCTAATGTCTCATTTTGTTTGGGGTTGGATATTACTGCTGCTTTTTAGGCACATCTAAAAACAACACCAGCATTTTGTATTAGATGTCAGTAATTGATTATTGAGCCAACTTATGAGAAAAAAACCCAAATTGTTTGAAAATGTTTGAAAATTCAGTAATAGTTGAAATTCCTGAAGAAAGCGATGGTATTCAGATTTATAAATCTACTGTCATGTTGGCACCAGCCAAGTTACAATCAATGGACTTTGCCTGTATGAAGTCACAGATCATTCATTAATGCTTATCCCAACAGCGCAACTCAAACCTTTTTTATACACAAACACTAGAGAATCCACCTATAATCAGGTGCTGACTTTGTTCACAGTTGTTGATAAAACACACGGCGACAGGAAGCTCTCCATAGAGCGGGTGTTCTCACAGCTGGAAACACTCATTGTGGTGCATTCATAGACCATAATGCTTTAGGTTTTCCATGGGAGCTGCAGTGACTTGTTTGCATTACAGACTCCCTGTTTGTCCACAATGATGACTATTTGTGTGCTGATTTCTGTGCAACATCCATGTGTAACCACAACGCTGATGAGCAGGTAGAACACCAAATAAAGGTGTAACTACTGCATGTCAGCAGAGTTTTGTTTTTTCCCACAGTTCACTAGGATATTATCCAGACTCTGTTAGAATGCTAAGGAGCAGCAGATGAGTGAACATGGCTTTGGACTTCAGCACTGTTGAGGGTATTACTGTGAAAGTTTGATAGAGATGCTAAAAATACAGCAATACTCCCACTGGTTTTGAAGTACATCAATTGGATGGTTGAGAGAAAAGTAAATACCACAGAAACTCCTGTTCGGTTTCCCACACGCTAACAAAATGACATGCAGACTTGAGAAAGTTCTGATTGTTTCCTGGTATTGCCAACACTCTTTTGACCCAGTAAGCAAGAATATACCAGCAGCACCTCTCAGCACAAAGATGAGAGGATGTGGAGAAAACACATTATGAACTAAGAAAACTTTAGCCGTTGGCTCACATGAGCTCCCTGTTTATATACGCGGAGGAGCTAGTGTCCCATTTTCTTATCAACAGTATTTTCCAATAATTCAAGGCAGTATAAACTTTGTGTGGAAATTTCTGATTACATGCAGTTCTTTTTTTTTTCTTTATTTAAAAATTGATCATTACTTCGGCTCTGTTGTGATTCCTTTTCTTTTAACAACTTAAGATGTTCAGTCCAAAGAACACATTCCTCATTATTGAATATTTCCTCCTAATCTACCTCAGTTTTCAGCTGTCTACTGAGCCCCATTGTAGCAGTCTGACTTACTGGATATAGCAGTAATTAATTATATGTTATCATTTATAGAATTCATTTTCACATCAAAGACTATACATTTTCAGTTCTGTGTACTAAAAAGCTGTATATGATATCCAACCTCAACTGTGTGTAAAATCTATTGTTTTCTTATCTTTCCTTAGTTAGATAGTTTTTTGGGTGATTCCATTCTAACAGAGATGCCAAATGAGTTGACCTGAGTGTTATGCATATGCTGACCTGTAATTTCTGTTGAAGGAGGGGAGATGTGATGGGAAAATGAACATAGGCTGGAGGACAGTGAATATGATTAATTAAGAATGATCATTATTAGAAATGATATTCCTGTCTGAAAGTCACCATGTAATTTACAAGGAATGTTTCATGAAATGCATTCCTGGATTTCTCTGATGAGGTTTACTGTTGAACTGAATCAAACTGACTCCAGGTAAGACCAGTGAAGCTTTGTATTACTGCACCTTTTTCCTCAAAGATTATTTTAGTGCCTCAGTCATTAAAGATGCCAGAGACATGGTCATGACCTCAGTTAAACCATACATGGGATCTATCTTATAGTATACAGAACATTATTTGGCTTTTGGAACATCTCTGAAGGCCCTGGACACACTAGTGAAATTCAGTGAGTCTTTTTTAGTAGCTGCTTCATTTTTTCTTAGTTGTCACAGCTTTAGTGGATGTTTTAGCAGTTCATTTCTGCCTGACAAGGCTTAACCTGTTAATCACATTTTCACTCTTTTAGATATGGATGTTGAAAATGTATTATTGTGTATATAAACTTTGTAAATGCCTTGAGAGAAAATCAAAACAAGTGCGAAGACGACCAAGTTTATTTATATATCCCACAATGACTAGTTGGTCTCTGTGGGTCGGCCTGGCACACTGGCCAGTCTGTGGGTTAAAACTATTTCAAAATATCCTCAGACTATGATACCGTCCAGTTAGGATTATTCAAAGCTGAATATTCTCAGAAAAGTAGTTTGCAATTACAGAGTTTAAATCTTTGCCAATGAGTCCTCAGCTGTAGCTGTAAGTAGTTGGATAATAACCATTTGTTGGAAAAAAATTCTGTCAAGTCATTTGTAAGAAGGAATATTGTTAAGCATTAAGCTTTGAAAAATTACATCTGGTATCGTTTCAGTGAAAGGGAAAGAAGTATTGATAATGTCTACATTCCCGTGTCTTTTGGGCACACTTGCTCATAGAGCTGTGTGTTACACCTTTATAACAACTCTGAAAAGCTTGTTTATCCTGTTTGATTTGTCTTCAGTGTTGCATAGAGTGTGTTTCATTCCATCTGTACACCTGAGGAATAGAGCAGTGAAGACTAAACCGCATGTTAAAAATGAGTGTAAACTGTATGAATGCACCAAGTGGAGCCAAATTCAAGTGAGATGTTGGTTTTAACCGATGAAGTGAAAATATGCAGCTCGATGTTTTTACAAGAAAACACAGTCAAGGTCTCAGGTTTCCTCGAAGGTTATCGTCACAGGGAGTGTTATCTTTTCTGGGAGGGGGTCAGTTACTTCTATGGTTCTCTGGTATAGAGTTCTCTACAATTTCTCGTGTGATATAGACTTGATATTATTCATGCAGCTATGAGTTCTTACATTGTCATAGGAATACCTCACGAACATTCACAAAAAAACATTTCAGGAGAAAACCTCAGATTAGTCATGTCAGCACTAAGGTAGTCATGTGATGATTTCATTTCTGCTCTTTGGGACTCAATGAAAAACTGCCTGTTATTTGCTGCTGAATGAAGCACACCATGTGTCCAAATAAAAGCAGATTGTGGATATATGGACATTTGTTGTGTCTTCTGTGTGAAGGTCGAAAGAAAGACTCACGACGATTTAAGTAGAAATCTATGTGAATGAGCAGAATCATATTAAAAAATTACATTTATTTTACAGGCACACAAGTGCAGATATACAAATCATAAAAAGCTCTAACATATACATATCTTTCAGGCAAAATAATTCTAAAAAACGTGTTAGACACAGAGCTCCATACGCATATTTATAACCAGATAGATCAGATCAGATCCCACTCATGATGAAAAATGCTATGAGAGTGCATTGAGTTGCCTTGCTGTACCATCAAAGTAGGCAACTTTTTCAGTGTTCTGTAAACAATATTACCTAACACTATATATTGTACCTTTAAGACCAAATATATTTAAAGGATAGAAGCAATATAAACTAAAGAATATTTTGACACATGCACACACACACACACACACACACACACACTTATATATAGCATTTGTAGATGCCTTTCTTGGCACTCAAGTTCACCTTCCATAGTTTAACATAGACAACGGACACAAAAATAATTGAAAATAAGTACAAAAAAGGATCTAAATAAGAGGCTGATTTAAACAGATGAATTTAGAGTTTGGATTTGAGAAGTGGTAATGAGTCTGTGTTATGAGGGTCCGATGGCAGTAAGTTCCAGAGCCGGGGAGCAGAGCGGCTGAGTGCTCTACTCCCCACAGTAACAAGACAGGCAGGGGGAGCAGTGAGATGGATAGAAGAGGATCTGAGGGTGCGAGCAGACGTAGCGGTGTGAAGAAGATTCGAAATATATGGAGGGGCAAGGTTATGGACAGCGTTGAAGGTAAAAAGCAGTATTTTGCAATTGATGCAATATGGGGTGGGAAGCCGATGGAGCTGTTGTAGAACAGGTGTGGTGTGATGGATTGAGGGGGTCTGAACATGCAGCTGAATTTTAACCAGTTAGAATAGATTGAGGGTTTTCTGTGGTCGGCCAAAGAGAAGACATTAACAGTAATCTAACCAGAAGGTGACCAGACCAGCAACGGGGTGAGAAGTGTGAGAAGGACGTATAACATATAAACATAAGACATGACATAAAATATTCAATGCATTACAATATTCTATTCGTTCATCTTCCCAATATTAAGCACTTGAGGGGCAAAGTTATGGCAGAATAAATGCTCTTTTTTCAGGCCTTTCCAGGTTTAAATGAGAAAAGATGCGTTTGGAAATTACACATTAAGCCAAGGTGAGCACCCATTATCTGTCATTACAAAATCAGCAAACTGGGAAAAAATCTCACGCTCTAATACAGACCTCTTTTCAAAACACACAGTTGATTATGATTTTTTTCCTTTTATTTAAACTAAAAGTACATGTCATCTAATTGTCATGCAGTAAACCACTATTGGTGTATCTATATCTTTATCTGATTAAAATGTATTTAGTTCAATTTACATAAAGTATTCAGAGCAACTGGGATTACTCTACAAATGTCTATAATAGAATTAGCTATATATATATTTATACAGAAAATAAAAAGGAAGCTTTAATGACCTAGTATTACAACTTGTAGAAAATAATCAATTATGTGGTTTTCTTAATTGTGGTTGATTGAGAATAAAATGACTGTAAATTGAGGGTAAAATCATGCTGTAATGATTTATTAGATGGATTCAGAATCTGACAATTCCTTTCACTCATGGTAGAATATCTGTATCTTCTGTGTTTCAGGTGCCATGGGGACTATCTCGTCACACGGACTTGTACTTACTGAATGATATGGACTCAGATACGATAGATGAGAGATAAATAACTCTCTGATCGGGTGCTGAACTCTGGTGATGGCAGACAGACGGCCTAGATGAAATAAGGGACCACTGGAACCAGTATGATTTTGTCTTCATCTCATGGTGCCTAATGGGGTTAAAAGTGTCCTTATAATGTACCCAGAGACATCAGAATCTGAAACATAGATGTCCGTCATAGCAAATTTCACAGCAGCCTTCATGATTATTCTGGGGGAAGAGTGAGATAGCTAATCCACAGAAGTAATCACAACTGGCTTAGTACTGAAGTAAGATAAATGATATCTTTATAAATAATAATAAAAAAGAGTAAAGGTAGTGACAGTTGCCAAGCAAACGCTAACTGTACTTGGACTGAGAATGATCAATTTATAAATTGCCTCATGAGTAAATTACCAAAGCTCTAAGTTTAGAGAACCAGTAGTGTACTGTTTTTTAATTTTGTATCTATTGAGTGGTTTCTGATGCCACATTCAGGATCTGATAGATTTTTTAAAAACTTTTTATGCTTTTTTAACCTATATATTATTTTTCTTTAATGTAGCTTGACATAAAACTATGGGATTTTTGTCCTACGTCCACACAGAATACCAGCAAAAAACATGTATAAATGTGAGCTATGTATAAATACATATCATGAACATCACCATTTGTTCCCAATCTTTATGTCTTTGTTGGGGACCAAACGGCTTCCCATCATTCTGCTAAATATTAAAGTAAATTATACCTTTAAGATATTTGTATTAAAATTTAAACCTATTTCCTGATTACAATATTTAAGATGTACATAACCCCCTAGATTTATGCAAACTATTTATGTGTGATTGATCACACTTTATTCCAATACAGCATATAAGAGATGGCAGTTTTATGTCAGTCTCAGTTGTAGTTATACAAAATATTTTAAAGACCTGTTCACTTCTCAAGTGCAAGTTTAAGGTTTATTCTCAATTCAGTGTTTAAAACACCTTTGTTTTCTGGCATACTCTATTTCTGCCGGCTGCAAGCCTCATGAGAAACTCGGTTTGCTCTGATTACTCAGAAGTAGTTGAGCAGGTGAGGAGCTGCTGATTTGAAAAAAAATGTTTAGCATTTTTGTGGAACACCTCATTAACCTCTATGCATTCTTTATGCAAATGAGTTTCATGGTGATTTGCACACACAAGTGAAAAAAGCACAGACTCCTAATGTGGGAGAAAAAAAACTAACAGGTGTTAAAATTTTCAAAACATGGAGCAATATAGCTTTAAATCACCTTGAGAGGAAGTTAAAAATCCCAAAAGCAACATAAGTGAATTGCAGTTTTTTCATAGTTATGTATTCTGTCTGTAATTCCAAGTTTTATTAATGTAAGATTATTGTATGTTATTGCAAAAAAGAATGGAAATCAAATATTTGCCGTTTCCTTGCTGTAGTGCAGCAGACAGAAAATGTAAAGGGTCTTTAAAGACGAATTTTTCTTAGAATATTAAGTGCTGAACGTACAAGCTGGTGTCCAATCATCCTTCACATCCATCATTAATGAGTTTATGCACATTTGAAAATACTGTTTACTAAAATCTATCCCTTCTTCCCAACCAAGGTCAATTTGCTTTAAGATGTCTTTATTCGCTGCATGTATCTCACTTTTCTAAATTATCATTTATCTAGTTTGTAGTTTAACTACTACTTTTATTTGAATTTTTCATTTTGTTCTGTTTCTGCTTTAAGATAAATATGATTATAGTCTTGCTGAAAGGACGCCGAAAGTATGCAGATGGACAATTTGTGTGTGTCTGTGTGTGTGCAGCACAGCACGTCATTTCTGTAATGAATGTAGAGGGAAAAAGCTGGCAGCTGAGGTGAACCCGTGAGGTGTATATATATATATATATACTGTATGTTAGAGACAGGCGGCCTCACAACTTACATGCAAGATTCCTGTAGCCATTACACTTCAATATATGTCCTATGGTCTACTTGAATATTTAAACTACTACGGTATAAATGTGTTTGTTTTTCAGTACAGCAAAAGTTGAGATAGGAAAATTAGCCAAATTTCTCCTTTAACTGGACATGAAAATGAACTGATACTGTAAGCCATAGTTATTCTGCAATGTCAATGCCTCCTGTGCTCACCGAAGTGCCTCAATTACTGGGTCACCAGCATATATCTATATTTGAACAAAAAAAATGAATGACGTTATTGGAAGAAGTCTCACTTAAAAGAACTTAAAGCAATGTTACTATTTGTTTTATGAAATATGTGCTGTATGTTTATCTACATGTGAAATTTGGTCGTTTGCATCATGTCTGCCATTTAATGTATTCTACCATATTATATATATATATAAATATATATATATATATATAGGGAGAGAGAGAGAGAGAGAGAGAGAGAGAGAGAGACTATGTTTATTATTGTTATTCTTGTACACAGGCTGTCAATATTGTTCCATAATAAATAATTGTGCCTACAGTTTTATTGTGTCCTCCTTTAAATAACTTTTTTTTTTTTCTTTAACTTTACCCGAAAGTGTATAGTGAAGGGTTTGAAATTGTCTTGGTTTTAATCCCTTCCTCTAAGAATGGGTATGATCCACTGGCCTGTGTTTGGTTTTCTACGCTCCTGTCTGACAACAGACATACATGATTTCAAGATTATGAGCAACTTAAGAGCCATAAACCCCAAGCCCTGGTTTTACACTTGTTTTAACAGTAGCTTCAGACTCCTGTCTTAATTTTGTTATTTCAAATATATAAATATGTTTAAAAAGAGGATGAAAATGCAGCTGCGTTAAAGCAGTTAAGAGATTAGATGTCTGAACAGATGTGTGGAGATGAGAGAAGCCATAAAGTATACAGTGCTTGTTAGGATAGTACATGTTACTAATTTGAACAAATAAATAGATTTTTTTTTCAAAAGAACAAGTCAGGTCATGGCTCTGCCAAAGGAACTTCAAATAGTCAAGTTATATGATAATGAATACCATTGCGGCTTTAAGACCAATTTCATGGCATTAAAAGGAGTATCATTAAAACCCTCGTTTCCATATTTGCCACCAGGTCATCGCTGATACTGTGCTGACATATATTAAAAGATCAATTTAAAAATAAAAACTCCATACCAGCTAAGGAGAGAATTAAGGTCGACATGAACATGGGTCGTTGCGCATGCCCTGTGGGTTGCCATGGTTACACCACAGCGGCTTGCGCAGAGCTGCAGGAAGCCTCCTGACCACGCGGGGGCGCTGTCTCTCCGGCCCCGAGCTCCACATCCTGCTCAGCGGCTGCGCTGCTACGTCACCACATTTCGCCGAATGTGATGGAACAGCGTGGAAAAGCGTAAAGGTGAGCAGCGGAAAGCCGCCACGGACACGTAAGTTGAATGAAAAAGTTGGAAAAAAAAGTGCTTTAAAAACAAAAAAAAAAAAAGTCTTCTTGTTAGATACGGAGCAGAATTAATATCGGTAACCAGGCGACTGAGAGGTAATCAGCTGTTAACTTATTAGCCATTTGAATGTGTTTGTGCCAACTGATGTTTCAGTTTGCTTTGCGCAAATGTTTGCAAATAGGTGCAAAATGAGGGAAGCTGCTATCCTGCTTACAACGTGTGGGGTCGTGTGTCTCCTCCTGAGCGCCAGCCATGCTGCCAGGCCAGGACAGGACGTGAGATGTGGAGGTATGTTGATGTCCTCTTCATCCAGTCTCCTCCGCACGTTCAGAAAAGGCCTGAGGAGTCTTGTGTTCTGGTGTTGCTCAGCCTGCAGGGCTCTGGTCGATGAGATGGAGTGGGCTATATCCCAGATAGATCCCAAGAAAACCATCCAGGCGGGATCCTTTAGGATCAACCCAGACGGAAGCCAGTCCATTAGAGAGGTGAGAATGCAGCAGCAAAGCCACGTAGCATCCGTTCTCCCTCCTGTGGCTGCATGTTGTTTTAAAACTGGGTCTAGATTTATTTATTTTGTACATTTGTATTATTATTTTTTTTTACTGTAGTTCAAAATAGTGGCAACCTTGAGGTCAGACTTTGAGTTATCTAAATCTTCTTATCATCAGGTGAGATGCCAGCTGAACTGTCTGTAGCAGGGATCAGATCAAATGTGGGTACTTTTTATTCCTCTGTCAATTTTTGGTAGTTTAAAGCAGTAATTCATTAAAGCAATCTGTATTACTGCTTTCTACACATCACCAAACTTGAATCATGTTGGACATTCGGCATATTTGTTAGATACTTTGCTCCAAAAGACAACTGAAATGCATTCATGTATCACTACAGTACATATTTAAGGATGGGATTCTATTTGAATCCTTTTTATATTTGTGGGTGTATGAGATCTCTATAGCTAACATTTCTTAAAACAGAAGATTTGTATCCTTACCAGAAGCAGTTTGCCATACTGTTCAGATGCTATTCTGTATGCAGCTTGTTTCAAAGGTTTAACTTTCTGAAAAGGAAAGTAGTTGTGCTTTTATGTACATAATTGTAACAATCAACAAAAGTTTCTTTATCCCAGTGAACCTTGTACATATTGGAAAATAATGCAGCTTTCAGTGTTCAGTGTGACCTCACTTTACCTTTTAAGATATTACCAGTTCTTCTTTGCACAACCTTGGACTGTTAATCAGGGATCTGGCATGAGGAATGCCTTTTTTCTTATGTGCATTGGGCCTATCGGCTCGAAAACATCCCTTTTAACACAACAGACCTCTGGCAGACTGGACCTAGAAAAGTTTTCCAGTGAACTGCTATCTCTTAGAGGGAAAAACAGTTTAAAACAGAGTTCATGACAACTAAACACAGATCTTTGTCAAAATAAAAGGTTTACAGCTTATCTTTGAAGGGAGAAAAGTTGGCACTGGTTTTTGGAATCGTGACATTTTCTGTTATTATAATGCAGATTAATGCAGATAAACAACATAAACTAATTGTTTTATGATGATGATGTTCGCTTACCAGCATGCAAACATGTTCAGTGTTGAAGTAGAGGATTTTCATCAATAGCTTATAGTGAATAGGATTAGTCCACATCATCTCTGTTTTTTTTTTGTGGCCACCAGATTCCCCTGGCACGCTCAGAAGGAAACCTCCTGGAACTGATGGAGAGTGTGTGTGAGAGGATGGAGGACTACGGTGAGCGCATGGACCCTTCCTCAAACAGGAAGTCTTACATCAGGGTCAAGTCTCGGACGGGTGAGGCCATGGACCTCTCAGAGGCTTCCCTGGACTCGAGGGTTACTTCCAGTTTGAAATTTGCTGTGAGTTCAGATTTCAGTTCAGTCCAAAAGAATACTTGAAATTGATTATTTTTGAAGGTCTTAGATTTGTTTAGATGTGCATCTTTTAACCATTTGACTTTTTTTGGTGTAGTGTGAAACAATTGTGGAACAGCATGAGGATGAACTCATTGAATTCTTCGGTCACGAAACAGATAATGTCAAAGACAAACTCTGCAGCAAGAGAACAGGTATCTTTCAGCTCATTTCTGCACATTAACTCTCTGTTCCGTTTCACCACTCCATTGTAACCGGTTGTCTTCCCATTTTTTCTTGCATCCTGCAGACCTCTGTGACCATGCCCTCCTAATGCCCCATGATGAACTTTGATATCCTCTTACCAGCAGAAATAGAGGCACTTTTTGCTGTAAAGTTGTGCAGTTTTCCCTAATCAACTATTTATGTAAGGGCAGTAGTGGAAGATGTACACAAATCCTTATGTGAAATATTTACATAGAAGAAAATCTACGCAAAAATGAAAAGGTTTCCAGAGATCATGTAGAATTAAGGACCACTTTTCCAAATGTAGCCTTGTCACACTGTACAATTTGGTCAGAAGCTTCACTAAATGTATCCAATACTCTGTTGTTACTGTGAAGGCTCACGCCTTCAAATGCTCCTGATTGGGTTAAGCTGAAACAGTGAAACTGCTAATTTGATGTTTGACAGGCCTCTTGATGCAGGCTTTCTAACCGAAGGTCAGGTTTACTGTGGGGATGTGGTCTTTATGTGATCCATGTCAAATTTCTCTTCAGAAGCGGGTAAATCTCCATTCTTGTCAGTGAACTGAAGTCCATTCTGCCTGCACCAGTGAAAGTGTAATTTCAGGTTCCATTATGATTTTGGCTCCAGGTGTGGGACTGTTATCATGTCCCCTGGTATTTGTTGTCCTGACAAAAAATAACAGGACTGATTCATGCCAGTCTTCTCCCCTTTTTAATAGATAACTATTCAGTAGCATTCTTAAAGTCAACATATAAAATAAAAACGAGCAAAATTATGGGCTTATTTAGATCCTCAGTTCAAGTGCGAGCCACGTTTATCGTCATGAATTTAGATGAAAATGCAGTTGTTTCCCCTTATGGAGTTTTTATTCCAGCAGATTAAATGTTTCCTGGAATTTGAGGAAATTCACTTAAACATTTGTGATGTATCTTGCTCAATACATTCTAGCCATGAGTTAAGTCACAGGATATGAAAGATTTATTTACATTTCTGTCTTTCCTGAACTGTAGATTATAGCAACGATTTAAACGATTCTATTAAACACTCCCACTTAATTTTTGCCTCAGTTTTTGATGGTGATGCGTGGAGTACATGAATCTGTTTAGTTTTTTGTAGCTGCAGACATATTTCATTACTAAGTCTAGAATCAAATAGTTTTCCTTAAATAGTTCTTCACATTCCAGATTTCTCAAACAGAGAAGTTAAAACAAGACTCGGCTGCTCACATTTTCACATGTCAAATTTTGCTCACTTGTCTCTTCTGCTTTTTGATCAGACATACTTGCGTTGCGATGTTTACTAAGTTAATTTACACGTGAAGTTTATCATGCAGCTGAGCTGAATTCTCCTGCAGCCCCAGCAGAGTGTGCTGTGGTCAAGAGTGAGTTTCTGTGCAGAGCTGGAGGTATTTCTGCTGTCAATTATGTGAAAAATATGACTGTAATGTGCTGTGAGCATTCTTCAGGAAATTCTCCTTTTGTATACATTTTGTACAATTTCACATGTCTGTCTTCAAATATATTTGTACAACATAAAAACGTCATGTTTTTTTTGTCTTTTACAGCCAATATATTGGCATAGCTTCATTTTTGCATTGTTGTGGTGATTAGAGTACTTCTTTATATCCTTAAACACTGTCTTTTTATGTGAGAAGACCTGTTTAGGCTTCTTAATTAGGTCATATTTCTTTTGGAGTATTGTAAAAAAATATGTGGCAGAGTATTAGAAAAAGAATCTGTTAACAACCACTATAGTGTTGGCAGCATCATATCTCATTGGTACATTTAGCATCTTTTCCAGATATAGTGCTTGTGATGCAATGATTGATCATTTGCACATCTTTTATTTTAAATCCAATTATCATTAAAGTTAATGATAGACATTCATATTTCAATGATTAAAAATAGAAAAGTTGGAGACAGAACTCTGTCCCTGTGAGAAACAAAGCCTTTGAAATGCACACAACTAATTTTAGGGTAGTTTTTATGTACTTAGTTTTTTATTTACATGTATTAGGAAAAATACACTCCATCTGCTATTAATATCTCACAGCTGCAGACAGCCTTCTGCTCTCCCGAACAACAGTAAAACAGCTATGCAACAAAATCCTCAGGAATATGGCTGTATGAGCTATTTTAAAGGTCACTGGTCAGAATTTTACATTTGTTTTTTCCAAGGCTAAGTCCAAAAAAAAGAAAGCTCTGAAATTACAGTACCACTAGAAAACATATTAGTGTTAAAAAAAAAACATCCAACACATTGTTTCAATTTCATTTCTCACACATTACATATTGGACCCGGTGAGGTTCTCCTCATTCTGATCCAACTTCCTCGTGTCGGCTTTATCCTCCTCTTCCTCACGACTTCCTTCAGCTGGTGTTTCATCTTGTACCTCACCATCCACTGCAGCAGACTCCTCATCTCCCTCTGTCTTAACAGCAAAACTTATTTCCTCTGCTCTGTCCTCATTTGCCACGATAACTGTGTTTTCAGAGCTGCTGCTGCAGCACGACAGTGTATCTTCATCCGCGTGACCCACAGGCTCTTTGTCAACCTGCTGCGCGTGTCCCGTTTCAGCACCGTCCCCTGAAAGCTCCTGCTCTGCAGCTTCATCAGGGATGATCTCCTCAGATTTTACATCTAGTCCAACATCTTGACATGTGAGGCTTTCGCCTACACTCTCCGGATCCGAAAGCTCACACACCTCCTCCTCTTCATTCTCAGAGTCAGGTGCTGTGTGCTTCCTTATGCGATTCACCACATCCAAAAGCGACTTTTGATACTGGAGCTCCTCTTCCTGGGGAATAGATTGTGGGGAACCAGGAGAAAGGTTTTCTTCTTGAGGAATAGTGAAGATTTGTGGTAGAACAAGGGATGAATCACATGGAGAGGAAAATGAGATAGGGGATTTTTCACCAGAGTCCAGTTGAAGAGGATGGGGGGAAGTTTCCTTTATGCCAGCAGCAGCTTGGTCAGGATTTAGTGGCAAAGGGCAGTCAGGGTTCATGCTCAAAAGGGGATCTGACTCTAAGTGTGGGGGAGATGGAAGTTGAGTGTTTGAGAGCTCATTCAAATGTGATACCTCAGAGTCTAAAACTGTGGAGTCAAAAGAGGAATTACAAGATTCAAGTTTTGCTGCATGGTCCAGCAAAATTTCAATTTCCTCTTTCCTTTGTGAGTCTGTCGAAATATTTTTGCCAACAGTGTCTTCCCATATACTTTCAGCAAGCTGAGTTGGCTTAATTTTCAACTGATCTTCATTAACATCACTCTCTCTCACAGGGGAAGCATCGGCCTGTTGGCCAAAATCAAACTTCTGAGGGAAAAGTTTGACTTCTGTTTGACTTTCACTTACATTTTCTTCACTCTCTCTATTTGTTCTGGCTGCTTGTATTTTAGGCTCTGTAGGATCCTCATTGATTTTTTCAGGAGTTTGTTCTTCAGTTGAATTACTCTCCTTCAGATGAGTAATTGATTCTGTTTGGGTAGATTCAGCTGGTTGAGTCAAATGATTAACATCTCCAGGCTTGTCTCTGGTTGTCTCAAGTATTTGTTCTAAAATACCTGGTTCCTTGTCTGACTCATTTGTTTGTCGCTCATCAGTGACACAGGTGGCATCGGTTTCTTGGTGAGATTCACCTTGTGGCAGTGAGATCACCTCCTCTCTTATGTCTGTTGCCAGGGACCCACTGTTGACCTCTTTTTTAGGTAAATGTATCATTTCATTGTTTTCTGTCTGGCCTTCAGTCCCAGAAATGACATCAGTGGTTTGAAATACCAAATCAAGGGGAGGAGGAGGGCTTGGGAGGTGGTCTGTGTCTGGTCTGAGAGTTAAGGGAACGTCGGTTGATCCAGGAGGAGATGGCAGTTGGTGCGATGAAAGGAGTAAGGTGTCAGAATAAGGGGCGAGGCTTGCAGGGGGAGACATTTCAACCAGTTCAGGATTTGGACTTTCCTGTGGACTCAGGTCTAAGCTGTTAAAAGGTGGGGTAAGATCGTTAAGGGAAAGGGAAGGGACATTGGTGAGGTCAGGAGTTTTAGAAGGTGTAAAAAATATGGGCTGAATGTCATCCTGTCCCTGTTCACTTTTCAAATGTTCCAGCTGAGGAACCTCTGTCATTTCCAAATGGGAGTTGGTTTCATACTCTTCAGACATATCCTCAGTGTGTTCATTTGTCACCAGATTTGTGATGTCATCACTGTCATTTAAATGTGCTGCTTCCTCGGCTTCAACAATCTCCAAGGGTTTCTTTGATTCTCCCTCCTTTGGCGTGACCTCCTCAGTTTTATCCATTGGAGGCTGTTCTGCCTTTTCATCCTGCTCATCAACACCTGATTGGAGAAATGACTCTGTGTCTTTAGATTTCAGCTCAGTGATATCATCATGTAGAGAGATTCCAAGGATTCTTTCAGCGCGCTCCTCCAGGGTTTCCATCTCAGACAGTGGAGATGGCTGAATGCTGGGGCGATCACTTTCACTGTCTGCATTTTGCTTCTCATGCTCCAAAAGCATAAAGTCAAGATCAGTTGTGATTCCTTCTTTCGTTTGCAAAAGAGTTGCCTCTTTACTCTGGTCAGTCGTAGCCTCTTGATTAGGCTGGCAGATTATTTCAGAGGAAACAGTTGCTTGATCATCAGAGGGGATGGGTTCAATATTTTCTGAGTAGCCTAAATAGTGAACATGCTCTCTCTTAGGTGATGGAATCAGCTCCATTTTGACAACAACACAAGTTGTGTCAATAATCAGGAGACCCTTTCCCTCCTGGGTGTCCGCCTCAGTGGCTGCTGTTTGTGTTTCCGTATCTGTTGGGTGACCACTTAGATCAGTGGCATCATGGCTTGGAACACCATCTGCATCCTCTTCTACTCTGTTTTTTGTTAAACGGCTTTCGTTCTCAGCCCTAGAGGTGTAAGTTGGTTCCCTCCACAAAGGATATCTAACTGGCACAGGTGGCACTAACTGGTCTGTTTGTCTTCCAAATACACCAACCTCTGTTTCTGCTTTTCCTGTAGAAACACTGTCTGCCTCTGATTTGTTTGGTACGTCATCTTCAGGCATCTGCATTTCTGTGCAGGACAGAGTTTGTTCAGCCGTCTGTTTTGTAACGTCAGAGCTATTGAACTGCTCTGTAAGACTTGGTGCCTTGAAATCCACTTCGTCCGCTTGCTTGTCCATTTGTTTGACCTCACTTGTGCTCCCGAGGACAGTAGCAACCTCTTCCCTCTCTGTGCTCTGTGTGTTCATTTGTGGTGTGCAAACTGGCAAAGATGGGGTTTCTGAGGCACCAGCTATTCGAGACACCAGGCAGAATATGGTCATCCCACCTGTTTTTTTGTGTAATCTAAACTCTCTTCCTTCAATGACCTTCGAGGCAGTGTCCTGGTTTATTTTTGAATTCTGAACTTCTGGCGGATGTTGTACAGCCAACGTGCTTTCACTCTGTACGTTTGTGCTCCTGGTCCTGATGGGACCGGCTGTACAGGTTGTCCTCTCAGCTGGCTTTCTGAAGTCCTCTTTCTCTCCCTGGCTCTCACCTTGCATTTCTCCAGAGACCTCCTGCACCCTGAGATTGGTCAGTGGCCTGTCAGCTTGTCTGTTTCCGCCCTGCTCCCATACGGAGTCATAGCGATGCATTACAGCTGAACTTTTATGAGGGCTGTTGTAGGGTGGAGGAGCAATGTATCCAGGAGGTTGGCTGAACATCCTCCTTTGGTCCCTGGTATTCCCCGTTATATTCAGCGTGAGACTTTTTTCATGGGCAGGAGCCTGAGATGTGTAATAGGTTGGAGCTTGCTGTCTGTCACCTCTGTCCCACAGCCCTGACACCCTGCTGTTAGGATTTTGTTGGAGAGGTGGCGGTGTTGCCACATGTGGGTCTGTACCACTTTTGCAGTCTCTCTGTGGAGCTCTGCTGCTCTCCACGAGGCCTTGGAAGGTTCCCCGTAACTCTGCCTCCGGACGTCTCCTCCGTGGCAGTGAGTGGCTATACCGAGCTGCCCAAGCCTCCAGCTCTCGATAGCTGCTGTCGCTCCTCTTAGCAGAAACTTCCCGGTTGTAATGGACAGGACTGTCGGCCTCCCACCTCCTCTGCCACCCCTCTCGCAGAAATCCTCTCTCATACTCTCTTGAAGTTCTGTGAGGTAGTGTCCACTCTCTTTCACGGGCCTCATGCCGCTGATATTCTCCCTGGTTACGGAGATGAGTAGGGTGGCGGTTCAGGATGAAAGGGAAATGGGAGGAAGAGGAGGGAGTCAGCTCTGGCTCGGTCCAGTTGGTGTACTCCTGCGGTGTTCCTCCTGGTCTGGATTGTGCAGTCCAGTAACTGGACTCCCTGCCATGATCCTGCTTCTCTCCATAGTACAATGGATAAAGGGCTGCCTGATGTCTGTCAGGATGGCTGTGCAATAAATGGAGGGAAAATTTGTGAGAAAGTTCAGCCAGGAATGAAAACTAGTACGCTAATATTCTATTCTACAGATGTGCATATTCCCTTGCAAACCTATTATTTGTGTACATTTTTAACTATGCTGTAATGGTAATAATAATCTAATAATATGCTGGATGGTCATTACTTTTTTTGGTCTTATCAAGTTAGAATGTGGCAGCACGTTGGTGTGGTGGTTAGCACCATCGCCTCACATCAAGAGCTTCCTCCCACAGTCCAAAAACCTGCATGTTAGGTTGATTGGACATTCCAAATTGCCCTTAGGAGTGAGTGTGAGTGTGCATGATTTTTTGTCTTTGTGTGTCTCTGTGTGGCCCTGTGATGGACTGGCGGACCATCCAGGGTGTACCCTGCCTCTTGCTCATTGACTACTGGGATAGGCTCCAGTCGCGACCCCATTAGGGAATAAGCAGTTCAGAAAATGGATGGATGAATGGAAGATAGAATTTGAAATTATGACATTGTCCAGAAAAAATGTTTGCGCACAGATCAGGTCTACATTATACAATATTAATTCATAATTAAGAAAAGTATTTAGAAATGGAAATACCACCATCTTAAACCTTAAATTGTTCAAATACTCAGAATGGTTCACATTTTCCATCTTTAAGTCACATCTTAGCTGCTTCTAGTTAATGTAATTAGTTGATCAACGTTTTTACGGTACTTGTTTCATTAAAGTATTTACTTTTAGGCAGCATACTGCGGGGATCAGCTTCCTGACAGCAATATTTAGAAGAACAAAAAAAAAGGCTTTCCTATTTTTAACATATTACTTTTCACTCATTTCATTGTAATAATAAAAAAAAAGATTTGTGAGTCTAGTTATGCACATTTCAGAGAGCATCAAATTTTTCCAGAAAAACATCTTTGTAATTATACTAAACAGCCTTAAAAGAAATCTGATTATTCAAAACAAGTAGTTTAGGTTAGTTGACAATTGGACAGTCATCTGCAAACTGTCATTTTCCAGTCCACATTTATGATGGATAATCAACTAAATTTGAATAGATTAATCAAGCAAGCTCATAAAATGACAACTTGGCGTTAGAATAATCAATTTACTTCAACTCACTTTTGTGCGCAACTTCTCCCAGGAAGAGTGCCATATCTGGAGTAAAGGTGTGCCTGACCCTGATTCTCAGACCAGAACTCCATCGATTGGTGTCACACAGCAATCAAAAGCCTGAAAAAAAGCTGAACTTCAGAAGATTTTCTTACACCATCTAAAAAAATATCTATTATCTAAAAAAAACTAACACAGATTGTAATGATGATATGATAATGAAATATATTGAATTTGCTGATGACAAACCTTTTCCAGAAACTAAATTGATTTGCATCTGATATGGTTTCATATAACATGTAAACACATACCTTTAGCTGCAATTTCCAAATGCTTGTCCCGGCTGTTCATGAGCTGACATGAAGTCTAATGAAGTCCAAACAGTACAACATGTTTTAAGAGGACAGCGGTTTTCAGACGCCCTCCCACTCTTTTATCACACTCACCCACACGACTCTCATACCACTGAAACCCATCCTCCTTTCACACATCTAACATATTCAGTTCAAATTTGTACAGAAGTTTTGACCGAGGTGTTTCAGAAATAACATTTTCAGCTATAATCTCAAAACCTGTGCCAAACCAGGGGACAAACCAGAATTTGATAAATTCATAAAAGCAATATGGACAGAAATCAGTCAAATGTGAACACAGGGTAACAAGAACTATCATGTTACTGCTTTTAAAACACTCTGAGACAAATGCTTCAGGTAACAGAGTTTTAACCTTTGTTTAATTTGGATTTATGCAAAGTTGTTCAAATAAAGCAGTTAATGAAAAAGAAAATATCTTAAATCAGATAAAGAAAATTCTATTTAAGTGGACAGTTTTTGGAATCTGGTCGTGATTATCAAAACACCAACACTTTCTAACAACTCTCAGCTTGCCAATACAGAGATGAATGTCAACAAAACCAGTTTTCATGTTGCACACTGCCGCGTGCGTGGGAGACGCTGGACAGGCCTGATGGCAGGCAGACTGAGCATGGAGATAGGGATCTGTTGTTTTGTCGGCTGGATTGTGGCAGAGGGAGCGACGGGCGGCATTCGGGTTGTCTCCCTTTCTTTGAAACTCTCCAGCGTAACAAACAGGCTTTCCTTTTCTGAACAGAAAGTCTGTACATCAGCAGTGTACAGAAGAGAGGGGATGAAGGACAGACGGCAATCTGCTGCAGTTTGACAGAATAGTTTGGGATGGGATGCATTTTGTTTTGGGTTTCACGTAAATCAGTGAGAACACGTGTAGATTTTCAGCAAGCAGCACACTAAAACCAGGTGCTTTAAAAATGTGAAAATTTAATCAGATATACAATTGCAAAAATGTGTTTAAGGTAAAGCAAGTGATTGAGGTTTCTGTCACGGAGGCCTTTCTCAAGACATCAAAAGATAAAAATGCATGAAATGCATAATGTTTTTTCTTATTACAATCCAAAGATATTATTAAATAATATGAATATATTACTTGACGATATCAAATAAATGTTGGAATGGCAACAAGACCTCTGAAAATTTCACTCAGACATGGTAACAACCCCTGATAGATGCTTGTGAGATTCTGATTTAATCAGATAAAGGATGACAGGATTCATTAATAACTATTTGAAGTACTGATTATTTTAAACAATCTGCCACAGATCTGGTTGATTATGATATTGATTTTGTTTGCATATAATGCTTACGATGCAGAAGGTGGTCATCCTTGTCTGGGTCTTTTTATTCTTTTCACTGTTGCCTTGTGCACGCTCAGTATGATCAATCTGTTGATTACCTTAGCTTGTAGAGTCGATTAAAAAAAGTTTTAATTATATTTCAAAAGTTAATTTAAAAGTGGACAATGTTTGGTCTAATGTGGTTCTGTATAAATAAACCAAAATTATTTGAAAAAGGGTTTCTTGAATGTATTCATCAAAGAGCTTTTAACCATTTGTTGCATTAAGGGTGCTATTAGGGTTTGTATGGAAAAACCTGACCACATCTTTATGATGTCTTACAGACGTTTTATTTTCAAAACAAAAAAGAGAATGCCAGAAATACAAATATTATAAGCCAGCCCAACTCCTCTGAAGAATTATGCTGGATAGTGCCTCAATTAGAAGTTGTGCACTTAAAGAGTTGCATCTGTTCGATTATTTTTCAGAGTTCTTCCTCCTTGAATGAGTTTTAACATCACACTTTTTGACACTTGTTGAAGACAAGATATGTTTTTTAAAAGGTTTGTTGTATTCTTATCACAAGAAACTTGTAAAAACTGCTCAGTTGTAACAAACATAAAAGTCAGGGAAAAAACAGGCTATAAGAGATTTTTCTGTTGCGGCTAAAATGTCAACATAAATACATAAATAGAACAGGTATATAACATATTTTTTATCCATACGACTGCTTCCACTTCATTACTTTTGAATAAAGGGACTACAGAAGTTATGACCATCACTTGTGTCCCATCGGTCCTTTTGCAGAGTGTCCCTGCCGTCACTGCTCAGCTCTTAAAGATGCTCTGTAGATGTCGTTGTTTTGCTTATCATCACGGTGCACAAGCTCCACATCAAATCTGCTCGGTAAGTACTGCTCATAGAACGCTGCAGTCTGGTGCTCCTTACGCATTTTGGATGACAGATACACCACCGCGCCCTCTCTGCACAGATGAGCTAGTGTTTCCACCAGCCCTGGGTATGTCTCTGGGAGGTAAATGATATCTGCACAAAGCACTAGATCCCAGTCAGAAGAGAAGTTGATGTGGTCCTCACCCCAGGACAGAGGGAGGACAGAGGGCGGGGTGGAGAGCCAACCACCGGGGGGCGTGTTAGCTGACACATTGGCCCGAAGCTGAGGAAGAGCAAGAGGAAGGTCTGTAAGGGTCACCTCTGCACCTGGAAGACGAAAGACTCCATGAAACCACCAGCTGCTTTCAAACTACTGGTTCGCATGTGTTCTTGTTGCCTTATTTGTGGAGGTGTGTGTGTTGTTCTGTTTCAGTAATCTCACCCATTTTCAATGAACACTTCACTAGTTTATTTACTGCTAATTTGCATATCAATAAACCATTTGCAATGTAAATAAACAGGCATGATAATGCACACGGCATTAAAGAGGCACAGTTTTAGCAATTCTTTGGTTTTTGGATTGTTGATTAGTGTTTCTGTGAGGTCGTTTTACATTTCTTTCTGGTAACCAGTACTATAGTTTCTGGTTATTTTTGTACTGCAGCATGTTCATCTAATTTTGCAATGATTTCTTGACATTTTTTAATGCTTTTATGTGTAGATGTATTTATTTTTGTTTTAATCTGTTATTTTGCATTTGTTAATATGTTATTTTTCATTTGTTTTCTGACCAGTTCTATCATCAGTCATCTATATCCACTTACTGTATGCCAGTAGTATGTTTACATGCATGTCTCATTTGTCTGTTGCCTTTCACACATTGTGATGGGGATTTTAAAAAAAGACATGAGCTTCACTGTGCTTGTAAGTGCGTTATATGTTTTTAAAAGCCTTCAAACGTGAGCGTACCCAGACGCGCAGCCAGAATACCGACCACACCGGTTCCTGCTCCCAGCTCCATGACTCGCCGCCCGCGCAGCTCCACGGAGCGATCCTCCAGGAAACGGCACAGATGCAACGCCTGCTCACACACACACACACTTACACAACACACTACCTAAAGAAGAAAAATCCCCATCCAGCATAGGATTAAGGTGCGCTCTTACAGCCTCCCAGACCGGAGCAGCCACGCCGAGGCTGGCCCCGAACAGCTGACAGATCCTCAGCTCCTGCCCCATCAGCCGGTACACCGACTCCTGGGAAAAGGTCTCTGCAAACAGGCTGTCGTCCACCGGGAACGGGTCGTCTTCTTCCCGAGCGCAAGTCATGACTGATATTTAACCAAGCGGGACAAACGGAAGCTCCTCCTGGGTTGAGCTGCTCGCTCCCCAGGCCTGGTGACATTAAAGAGAGGATGGCTGCAGTTTTTTTTTGTAAGGATACAGCACAGACTGAGCCAAATCCACGAGCAATACGATGGCCAGAACAGTCCGGTCAGGAGAGATTCTGAGGCAAGCGGGCCGATTTTTTCAGCTTTGGACGTGAACTTAAACTGAGACAGTGTGTTTCCGGGTCAGAAATCGTGACAGATCGGGTCAGCTGTGAGGAAAAGCTGCTGACTCAGCAGAGGCAACTCTCATCTCCTCAGATATCACTGTGTAACACAAAATGACCCCAGAAAAAAAGGGGGAATTACATTAAGTAAGGGATGCATTTAAAGTTCTTAACTTTATTTATTTTTAAAGTTAAATGCATTAGTGTGGTTTGTGTGGTGACCACCTACACATGATCCCATGTTACTGGATGGTAACAGTTTGATTCATGGTGTTTGAGTGGCCTTTTTTATCATTACCTTCTGTCATTTTTCTTTCTACCCCCTTTCCCACTCTTTCTCTTTCACACACACACACAGATACAAATACACAAACACCATATCATAGCAGGTTTATTATCTTTTTATTAAAAATGTTGCCATCTCATCTCTTTTTCTTCAAAGACCAAAACATACACATGTAGTACCTCTAAGACAGCCATTTTCACATAAAACTTCACATCAATGACAAATATGATTTAACAGGTGTACAAAGTGTAGAGTTCAGTCCAGATAATAAAGCTTCACCGGTCTTTAAGGAGCATACGAATGTGTAAAGAATTTCCAAATGAATATAACGTGTCCAATCTTGAATGAAAAAAGAGAATAATATAACATTGTAAGGCTGTCTTCAATCATTTGCCTGCGTTGGACAACATCACAGTTCTCAGTTCAGTGGAGTGGACATGAACTGGTGGGCTCATTTTACACACACGCTCTTCTGAATATACAGCAAATCTTCCACAAACACAATAGCTCTTGATCATTTGAAGTTATCAGAAAATAAATACATTTTTAACCATATAGATGACAGTAGTATAACATCCAAACATAACCCCACCTCCCCATCAGGCCTCAGTATGTGCAAACTGCAAGAGTTTAAAAAGGTAGCACTTTATGCAAATCCCAGGACAACAAAATGAGTGTTTCAAGATGAGTGCTGCAAGGAAAAGTGCAGCGAGTGTGGGACAGACTTTAAAATCAAGGGATGAAGGGATGGAGGGTCATGGCTGTGTGCTGCCTCCTCCAACCAGCAGTGGAGTAACAAGGACCACAACATTAAAACAAAACACATGGTCCTTCAACCAAAGGAATATTTTTGGTACTAAATAACTATTCTTCTCTTACTTTGTGCAGCTCTAATACAGGACATTGGCTTTACATCATTCGAGGTAAAATACTGAGTCAGAATGTAAATGTAATGCTGACCTGAAGATCAATCTGCAGTAAAACTGGACATACTGCAACTCCTTCAATGTTCACTATTGTCCCCGACAGTAACCGAATGCCTCAGTGATATTAGATGGTAGTTAAACGTCCTCAGATATCACGGGTCGTGCTCTTAGTTTAGGCAGGAAACGCGTCACTTAGCCGTTTAAGATTGATAATTCATTATCAAACGCAAAGTATTTTTGCTTTTGTTAAGACACTGATATGTCAACAAACCAGGGGCTCTGCACAGTCTTGGCTGTTGATCGATAAAACAGTGAAACAGCCACAGCTCAACCCGAGTGCTGATTGCTTCTTTGAGAAAAAAAAACAACACACAAACAAAAAATCTCCACGCAGCCTCAAAAGCATTTGAAAATGCTTATGATGTTTCTCAGTCGGTAGGAAAGGCAGATGCCTTGGTTTGGAGAAGAATGGAGTCCATGTCCACGCAGATGCACAACAGACACTCAGACAGGAAATAAAAAGCCAGAAGAATGCATCACTAAAACTTTGTTCCAAAAAGAATAACAATTAGAACTAAGACTATGACAAAAAGGATCAAAATGACCAGCATCTTCCGGTTTTTCTTCTGATACTGTTCCGCCTGCAGAGAAAATGACGACAAGTCATTAAAAGCCCACTTTTTGAATGAAACGAAAATTATTTAGGGTGACAATTGAAATACTTCTCATCATTAAGCACAACATATAGTAAATCATCTTAGCTGATATCAAACTTCTTCTATTTTTCAAGTGTGATAAAGGATGTCCACTTATGTCCCAAAGAGAGAACCAAGGTACCACGTCAAGAAGCAGTTACATTCAGATTAGAACATGCTGTGGGTTTTTACCTTTTGTAGCTGTTTTAATCCATCTTCTGTTTTAACACAAGACTGCTCCACATTGAAGTCAATTCTGTCCAGAACGGTGCCCTTGATTTAGAGAACAGGGACATTCATTAGCAGATGAAAACCAATTCCGTTTATGTTCTTTGTTGTGCACTATGTTAGCAGTTTGATGTTACACTATAAAACACCTCTCAAACCTGCATGATTTTTCCTAAAACCATTTTTTTAATTAAAAAAAAGTGTGCTTATCTCTCATATCTAATCAAATAATTTCAAGTCATATGAACACACACGAAAACAATTCTAATCATAAAAATGTACCATTCAAAAGGTAAAAACTATATATGTATGTATTTACAACGAAATGCCACAATTAGTCCAATTTCCTTATTGGTTCAGATAGCATTATAAAAAAATAAAAGCTAATACAAAACATAGTTTTGATTATTTTTTGTCAGATTCTTTAACTACCTGCTCCACAACCATTCCAGCCAAGTCCCGGAAAATCTCGTTCAGATCTGAGATGGACTGCACTATCTGTCGTATCTCTCTCTCCCGTTCTTCAACCATAACCGTGTTCTGTTCCACCAGCACCAACTGATCGTCTGTGAAGCCCTGAAAGACATCCAGGAGTAACAGTAAACAGGCTGCAGGGATATAAGCGTGCTTGTGTATTTCTTTACCCTAAAGCTTAGTAAATAGTATCAGATCACTGTAAAAGTTAAATGAAGCTAAACGTATTATCAAAATGTTTTTCAACATGTTAGTGCTTTTTTGTCTTGTGTCTGGTTGAGGTTGTATTTGTTCAGGGAATATATGAGCTGTTTGAACATTGACTGACCCGAGCACATGTACAGCTGTGGAGAGATAGCTTCAGTAAAGTGAATCTGAGGTGATAACTTAATTTATACATGAGCTCAGAGCTGAAGAATATTCGCCCACACCGGCTCTTCAACAGAAACAAAAACAAACAAAACAAATGCAAGCAACCGAAATTGATATTTGGAGAATGCTCTCACCTTGTCATATAGAGCTAAATCTTCATCTTCTTCCATTAAAGGCCCCGAGTCAAAAAAGTGCTTCGATCTCTCCTCGCGGTTCTTCATACCTGATGAGAAAGGTGATCTTTAGATGGCACTGAGGCAGCGCCGTGACCGGACATGGAGCCTTAGGGGCAGCATGACAAAGTGAGCCTCAAATGAGAGCGGAATGGTAAGGAATTCCTTAAGCCCAAGGTTACGTTTTAGGTAGCTGGACTGTGTGTGCCGGAAGTTTATGGAGAGGTCCTGCAGGCTCTGTGCCAGAGAGGACACCACGTTCCTCAGGAGTCTCTCCTCCTGCTCCGTGCAGTGACCACAGCGAGACTGCAAACCCGTCACAGCCCGCTGGCATCGATGGAACATCTGCAAGGGAGACAGGACTTTGAGGAAGACAAAAAGCTCTCCTTTTACCCCACTTTAAATAAACAAGTGTATGTATATACACACACACACTTATTTCTGCTAAAGGACGGCACCTGAGTAATCTCCTGCGTAGTGATCTCTATGGCATGCTCTTCCTCACTGCTGTCGTCCAGTGTGGGTCGGTTCATGTGCTTGTCGTGAAGTAAGGCCAGTTCCTTCATCTTCTCTCGGATCCGTCTGATTTCATAATGGATCTAAGAGGGCCGTGAGGATACAGTTAGAAACCGTGATTTCACTTTTACCTCAGCAGCCGCCATTTGCCACAACAGCCTCTGCTGCCTGCTGTTGCCCCTCCTGTAATACTGTCCTCCATGCACACAGGCAGCTGCCCTTACCTCATCCACCCCCTCGATCCATTTGGGAGGAAGTTTTTTGGTGACTCCGATGGCGGCTTCGGGATCCAGACTGATCCCGGACACCAGAGCCATTCGGTCATCTGCCAACTAAAAAAATAAATAAAAAAAGTTATTATGAAATTTTATTGTGATGATCATGGTGTTTGATTTTTGTTTCTTCCATGAAATGAAGGAAAGCCGTGACAGTACCTCATCAAGCTCCTAATAAGATTGTGTGATAGCAGAGGGGTTCCATCCAGCAAAGAGCAAGGCAGAGGAGAGAGAGGAAACATCACACAAAGTGAGATGCAGAAAATCTGAAGCAACTCACACCAAAATGTTTCTGCATCCACAACTCATTTATTTGAAATAGTCAGGGGGATTGGCTGCTTTTACCAATTTTAAACAGGTACAAAGATGAACGGAGTGAATGCAGAAACAAACTATCAGGGGCTTTGCAAGGAAATTATTTTAATTTACAGTAAAGCAAAATCAACATAAGAGACAGTGAGAATTAAAAAAGGAGAAATGACAGTGACAAATGAACATCTGATTAGGATTGAAATGAGAATATTTCTAGCATTTATTCCAATCATCATGAACATTAGCAGATTGGCCACAAACATTTGTAGATAGCGGTGTATGTCTGTGTTTAGCTTCTAACAAACAAACAGAACTTCTGCCTTTTTGAATGGTCAGTTTTTCACAATCTGAGTGCACAGCTGCATTACAGAGCTGAATGTTCAAAACTACCAGCAAGCAAAGCTCTTTCAGTTAGCAGAGCTTTATAGCTGGTTGATGCAACAAAACAACCGGGGTCAAATCATTTTAACGGCTTTAATTCGATAGCTGGCAGACCGCTCTAAAAATACAGAGGCAATTCAATCACAGCTCATCATTTTCCCACCGAGTGATTTCCTTCTCTGTGGCACTGCCGGACAACTGGGTGGAATGTGCCACATGTACAGCCAACACCGAACACACACACGGTGAGGCGGGAGAGCCTGCAGGCTGGACACATGACTTTCTGAGGACATGTGACGCCTTCATTTGCCCTGTTTTGGACACGGTACACTGTTTGTTTGGAGCAGCATGAAAATGTGTCCAGCAGGAGAGAGTTAGAGTGTGGACAGCTCTTCATCATTGTCCGCTCAATAGCATCGCTTGTGGATTTGAAGTGAGCTTTGCCTTGTGTTGATTCCAACATCCTAGTCGTTATAATGTGTTATTTTTAAAAAATCTTTGTCACTCCGGTTGGAAGAGTCCTGCTTGTCAATTTTCCTTAATGTGATACAGTGCATGGAAATCTGAGTTAAAAAAAGATGGACCACAGAAGGTAAACTGTTCTGGAGGAAACCATCACAGTGATGGCAGACGAGATTAGAGCCATTCAGACTGAGAGCAGACTCTTCTTTTAGGTTAAGATTCTGCAGAACACACTTTTTGTTGATCCAAGACAACTATGTCCAAGTGAAAGTCGATCTTGACTCGGCACAATCAGGAAGGGCTACGAGGCAATTTCAGAAAGGGAGACCTTTTATTCAGTGGCTTATCCTTAATGTTTACCGTCTCTTTCTCAGATGAAAAACTGCCCCTACATCAACCTGCAGGGAATGAGTGACTAGGTTGACAGCAGAGTGTGAATGGTAGCACGTACACCACACCTGTCAGCTTCCAACGGCTTAGATAAAGTGTCTGAGAGGAGACAAGAAACTCCGTTTTCATATATTTTCAGAAAATCTAGGTGTCTTGTGAATTTAGGTTGTTGTTTTTTTTAAGGAGACAGAGTAAAATATTTGCTAAATTGACAATATTTTTAAGTCTCCAGGTTTGATTGACTGCAACGCTTTCTTTTTTTACATTGCCAGACAATGTTTGAGCACTTTCTGAGAGAAAGCAATGCTTTTTACAAGAAAAACCCATTTAGGATATAAGTATCCTCCTAAAAAGAGCTCTCTAACAAATATAGAGCTGTTTGCATTCAGCCGTGTCTTGAATAAGGAGCAAACTCAGCCAAAATGAAAACAGTGTACAAGGGAAACATGTAGGTCTAGCAATGAAGGTGAGGAAGCTTCAAGGGTGAAAACCCAAAGCTTCGACAGAGAACATTAAATGGAAAAAGAACAAAAATCCAAAATGGATAGAAACAGGATGCACATGTTTCACCAAACAGCAAGAAATAGGCTGAAGCACATAGGATTTCCAGCCAGAAAATGATCCATATATATATATATACAGAACTGCAATGATCAGAGTTTAAAACTTAATTACTTTTCTACTCCTTTATCATCTTGAAGTGCTTCATAAATCTTTGTACAGGGGATTATCAACTACAGTCTACTTCAGTCACAGGTCAGATAAACACTTGGATCTAGACTACACCACAGCACACATGATGAGGACGTAAACAACATGCTTTAACCTTTGCTCAATTCATGTTGGCAAAAATCTATCATGCTTATTTTTAACTCTCCGGATTAGCTTCTTAAATTGGTAATTTTTTTAAAGTCATGGGTACTGTGAACAGAACAACATGACTTCACAGTCCTCCTCAATCAGCTCGCAGACTCATCCGCCAGCCCGAAGGTGAAGCTACGCTCCAGTTCAGCACAAACAACACATAATCATCTCTGGTTTATTAAGGGTATCTACCAGTACAGTGACGGGTCTAACTACGGGGGCTCTGAAACTGGCTATATGCACACACACACACACAGTAAAATGTCAAAACGATGCAGACCACTCACCGCAGCATTGCTACGTGTACTCAGACGAGGGTCGTATGTACTCACTTGCTCAGCCAATATCTGCCGGTTTTGGATTGCATTGTTCCGCATTAACAAGAAGGCATCGGTCAGACGCCTAGTGGCCATGACTGCCTTGCTTGAGATTTAAATTAATAGAGAGCAAATTGCGGATCAGCCTTTGACTTATTAAATTATGCCCACTGACGCGCTGCTAACTTTACGCTAGCTTTAGCTTCGTCTGCGATGAATGAGCAAAGCTCGCGATAAAGCGCTAAACGTGGACGTTAAACGACTTGAATCATATTGATCTAAGAAGCATCTCCAATTTGCAAGCTGTAAATAGCAAACACAGGCAAGAATGTCCTTTCAAATTCTGGATTTAACGTCGGACTGATAACGTTATTCCGATTTCACAGAGCTACGGAAGTAGCAGAACGTAAACATCTACGTAAACCCCTGCTTCTTCTTCTACGATTAAAATGAGTTGAACTGGCAGTTGTTATTGAGTGTGGTATCGCCGCCCTCCGTCTCGTGGAAGAAAAAACAAGATACAAAATTAGATGAAAAATTATTATTAAAACGTTTATTTGTTCTACTTGGAACACTGCCATCTGACATACATTTAATTAGATATGTAAAATAGACTTTTTGCAAACAGTTTCATACTTGTCACTGTTGTATATACTTGGGATGACTAAACAGGATTCTCTCAGCAGTGGGAAAATAAGAGTTTTTATCATGTAACAGAAGCAGTTTGATAATCTAAAACCTTCAGAACCTCAGGTCAAACTGAGACAGTTTTTTTTAACAGTCCTATGGCTCAGCATTAACCAGACCACAGTGCTGAAAATAATCTGAGGATTATTCTATGAATAACATGCAATTCTAACCATGCATCCATCCTTACTTAGCAAAAATATCAGTGGAATGTGATTGAAATAGAAAACCACAACAACTCATTACATAACAAAATGTGTATTCTGTACAGCCAGAAGTATTAACTATCTGTGAGCTGACGGTAATATAGGACAAACTTAAAAGTGAATTATGACCATAGAATAGTTTTAAAAAAATGTTTTACCTGTGTTATTTCCCAATTAGGCTGTGTTACCGATCTATTTGTATGGATGAAAGGTCAAATGTTTCAGTTTCCTTTTGTGGGGATTTTGTCAGATTTGGGAGCTGTTGTGTATGAATAGTTCACTTTTATAGTAAAGACTCAGCTGAATTGAAATAAATGTATATGATTGAAGTCAGTTTTTCAGTGCAAGCATCATGTATCATCATATTTGGAACCAGAGGTCATGACTAGATACCAAAATCTAAGGGAGGAAGTGATACTTCAGTCAATGTCGCACGTTTAGTCTCTCACAGCCATTTTACAGCACGTTTGCATGTCCTGGATGTGGCTTGAACAGAGTTTCCAGGCTTATAGCCATCATTCAAAAAAACAAAACGTGCGCTCTAGTTGGATGGGTGCAGATGATGGGACAAAACAGCTTTGACTGTGTTCCTCTGTGCGGCTGGGCGCGCCACTAACTGTAATTATGTCGCAAAAAGCTCCTCCTCCGTCCACTCTTAATCCCTTCTATCCTCTAATACTGCAGCAGACGTTCACCCACCAGTCGCAGGCGGCTAACATTTCAGGGCACCACGTCGTGCTCATCTGAACTCGGGACAGCTTTTGGCCATTCTTGCTGCGGCCTTCAGCGGCAGAGGCAGGACCAAGAGCGACCCCAGCGGGCAGCCTGCCCCCCCACCGGTGTGGACACCCGTGCAGCAGCCGGACAGCAGAAGCACGGTGAGTGGAAAGGTCGTGTCCATCAGTCGGTCAGCAAAGGAAAGTGGTTTGACACTAATCCTCTCGATGGATGTGCCTTTTAAAAGATGGGCTTAATTGCTGATGTTTTAGTTGCTTTGTCTTGCTGTTTAAGCTGATGGGACATTACCGGGTTACAATGCTATTTGACGCATTTACTTTACTTTGCAGCATTACTCTGTGGGTTTCTGTTTTATTTTCTTGTTACACTTTCGGTCATTTCACCCAGTTGGCTTGTTACTCGTGGCCAGACTTTGAGCACCTGTTAATGTGAGCAGATCTTTTGAAACCTTTGACCCAGCTCCATAAACTGAAACATGTGGGCAAAGTTTTGCTTGATGAAAATAGTTGAAAATACAGCTACAGTTTTAGTTGCACCGGGTATTCCTGGAAATCTCTACATATCAGGAGGAATCACACTCTGTTGGAGTTCAGTATAAATCACAATAGGCGTGTTTCACCTGTTATGTGTACTTCAAAGAATGCAGACAAACCAGTTCATGTGAGTCTCAGCCAAAAGAGGCGGCCCGCCTCTTGGTTTTAGAAACCTTGCCGGTTAGTGGTTGTCATTGTATTCCCTGTCACCTGTCGGGCTAATATTTAGTCTCCCCTCTTGCAGCTGATCAGCATGGCTTCCTCTGACGATGTGGAGGGCTCTCTGACTCCTGTGGATTTTATCCAACTGCAGCATTACATGGAAGGTGAGTTCTCACTTTTGAACTCTGTATAAATGTATATTTCTGATTCTGCTGAATTGATCATTTTAAATACAATCAAACTATGTCTTTAAAACAGTCATATCTGCAAAAATTAAACCACATAATTTAGTAAAATATTTGCTCAGCTAACCAAACCTGGGACAAAAATGCAAGTTATAAAACTCCTCACTACATTGCATTTTATTAACATTTCATCATTTCACCATATATACTTTGAGTATTATACTTGTGTTTTTAGATATATGCAAAATAGATATATTTAAACTGCTCTACATTATCTCCACATAAGAGCCAGATTGAAATACTTTGCAAGAGTGTCTTGTTTATCTGCCAGTAGTTCGGCACGCCTACCCAATCATTTACAATTACTAGGTGTGTCTAAATTTCTACTTGTACTGTACTTTCGGAGAATCACAAGAATGTGTAATTGAAAGGTTGTTAAATGTTTTATGAATGTCAATAAATTAAGCCAAAGATCAGAAAATAGGCCCCTGTGAAAACAGTCAAAGTTCAGATGGAGCAACAACATTTCAACCACCCCACATCAATCTTATTAGTTATCAGTATTCAGTATTGAGGGTGAAAGTGTTTGTGCATGAACTCCTTATTACTCTGAGGCTGAGAGCTGCCATAATCACTAAATAGTTATAACACTGTAAAATGAATGGCAGAAGATGCTTATAATATCTTGAGGGAACCATTAAAACAGGAACTATCAACAGTGTGCTCTGGAGAAATCCTCATCATCCACACAGAAAAACAGGAAACAATGTCTCACCACTGAAAGTGCTTTCTGATGCTCTGTAGTGCGGGGTAATGCGGAGGATGTGTTGACAGAAGACAGAAAGTGGCACTGGACTAAAAATACTCTGTCCTATCAAAAGCTTTGAAAGAAATGAAATGGGTCTGTAGGCTTTTAGTGTTTTGGGGAGAGAGTATTTGCACATTGGATAATGGATGAATAGATAATTACATGCACATGCACTCCTGTGTGGATGCAGGACACATACTGTTGTGTGTTACATCAGACTGCGGGAGCCTAACCCGGACTTAATCTTTGATACACACTTTACATCCACATCCATCCGAAATGATCATCTCCCTTTAATTTGCTGTTTCTGTAAAAGCATCAGTAGAGAATTCCCATTTTTATCTAATATTTTTATTTAGTTTATTAGGTTTTATATCATTAATGAGTCCATTGTAATCCTTTTTACTAATGCCCTGATATTCTGCCCCCACAGAAAGCAGTTTGAGAGTGAAAGATGTGATCAAGGAGTTTCAGCCTGGAGGTCGTCTTGCCCAGCACAGTTTTGGAGAGGTAACCTCAGAGGACTGATCATTTCGGAAAAATGTGTTTTTAGTACCATTTATTACAGAAGTGGCTAGATGGGAAAACATCTGGGATACTCATCAGTATGCTTTGTCAAGCCGCCGCACAGACTGAGTCCAGCTTCTAACCCTGATTCTAGCAGGAAGACTCCCTAAAGAAAAAACATGGTGTTAACGATATTTTATTGTTTATATGTATCACACCTTTCCCTCGACAGTGCGTCGACGCCCTGGGCTTCTGTCTCTTCCTGAAGACCTACCTGGAAGTGGATGACTTCCCAGAAGATTTCTGCCAACGGCTGTTTCGCTACTTTCAACAAGTAGAGCAAGATGGAGCCACAAAAAGCCCTTTGCCCAAAGGAGGTAGAATACCTGTTTCAGGAAGTGTTTCGAAAAAATATGCCTGGGGAAATTCTGCTGAGGGCTACCTGTTTAAACCTGTAAAAAGAAAACAAAGTCTAAATGCTACTAAGGAATGAAGAAATAGATCTGAAGTTGTAGATGTTTGGAGATTAGTGCACCTGCTCCCAGAACTAAACTACAGAAACATTTAGAATTAATCAAAGACTGAACCCACTGCTGCTTTTATTTTCAGTGTTATATTTAAGGTTTGCCTGTGTTTTCAGGTGGGGTCTTTCTTCGTGATGTGTCCTGTTACTTCTCAGTACTGGAGGAAGCGCAGCCGCGAGAGAAGCTCGAATGTTGGTTCTGTTTATGTCCTCATCAACATTTATCAATAACCTTTATCATATCTGTAAACTGACTGTTTGGAAGGTCCCTGATTGACTTTGTTTGGTTCTAGTCACCTTCAAACTTTACGACAAAGATTGCAACGGACTCTTGGACAGTTCTGTAAGTTACTGACTTACAGTTTTATGTGAAAAAGCCATTTCAGCAAATATTTTGTAGAAATAGAAGTAGAGCAATCTTACCAGATTTCAGGAAAATAGATTTTTGTCCAACTCACAGTTTATTAGCATCATCCTACTGATTAACATAGACTTATCCATTAAACACATAGCAGTGATTTATGCAAAGATAAACTCCAAACTTGGACTACATCCTGAGTTGTAATTTCACACTACCCTCATTTTTACTATTTTAAGTGCCATCACACATGCAACTTTCATTATTGTGTGGAGTTGAATGTATGTACTTAGTTCTTGATGTCTTGACTCTCCTGCAGGAAGTGGATCGTATAATCACACAGATGATGCGGGCTGCTGATTACCTGGGCTGGGACGTGACTGAACTTAGACCAGTAAGACTCTCTTTACCTGCTTTGCCTGTTTAAGCGTAGCAAAGTTCACTCCATAATGTTCTCTTTTTAGGTTGAGACCATAACCTGCAAGGTGTTATGCGGAAACATGTTTCCTTTGGGCTGGTTAGAAATTTTCTGTTTTATTTTTTTATTTTATTACAGGTGCTCAAAGACATGATGACTGCGATTGATGTGGATGACAGTGAGACCGTCACCTTGGAGGAGTGGGTGAAGGGAGGCATGAACAACGTGCCTTTACTTGTGCTGCTTGGACTTAAGGTTGGAAAATACATGTTCTACCATGTCTTCCTTCTTGCTAGTGTAGCTATGAGTGAACTCAAATCTATTCAGTTCCTTGGGAAAACATTTCTGTGCTATTTTCAGCGTGACTAAATCTGCGTTCTTCACTCTCTCATCACCCACAGATGACGGGAAAGGATGGGCAACACATTTGGAGGATGAAGCATTTCAACAAGCCAACATACTGCAGTGTGTGTGACAACATGCTGGTTGGCCTCGGAAAACAGGGACTCTACTGAAACTGTAAGCTTACTGCCTCCATCAGGGGGCAGCCGTGCACCATGCAGCCCGTACTGATGAGCTGCGTTAGACAAGCCAGTTCCACTTAATTTGTTATGTCTGCTCTCAAATGGCATTGGTTATTTTTTTCTTAATCTGAAGAAAAATTATTTTTTTCTCTCTTTTGTGTTCTTCTTCACCTAGGTTGCATGTACACTGTCCACAGCCGCTGCGCAAACAAGAATCCTGAACCCTGCGCTCGCACATTTGTCAAATCCAAACAGGAAACTGGTGTAAGGAACACAGTGATCACCTTTTAGTTCTAAGTTCCTCTCAGTGGTTTTTTTTTAATTCAGCTTTCCCCATTCACAACTGAATTTGCGGTCAAATTGATGTTGCTTTCCAATCAAGTTAGAGATGGGATTAAAACAGTGCTGTCACTTCACTTTTCTTCTTTAACAGCCAAAGACAAATAGAAGTGACAGTAAACACTAGTATAGGTAACATTACAGTGATTTAGTCACTGAGAGCAGACTACCAGTGTTTTAGAAGTGCAGATTACTGCTGCCACTGTCTGCCCTGTTAACCTGGTTGTGCATAAGCATAGTCAGTGATAACTTTTTTTTTTTTTCAGTGTGCGATGACCACATCTCACACTTTACAAAATACATATCTGAGCACATCAATTAGCTAGTCAAATTTCCCTTGCTACCAAGAAAGGTGGAGGCGCAAGTGTCCAATAGAGGTATTTTATCTAAAGATGCCCTTCAGATAAGCAAATGTTTTTATCTAAAAACTGTCAAACCTGAAGCTGCTCCTCTGCTGATTTTCTGAGCAGGATGTGGTCTTTGCTTATTTTCTTTAGAACTGATATTAGCGTAATTTTTTCCACAGTTTTTTCAGAGATAGGTTATTTTAGTTCAGCACAGCACGGAAGATAAACTAATAACTCTCTGACTTATCAATAGCAGAAAACTGTACTGTCCAATTTAAAGTGAGCTTCAAATGCACATCCCCTTAAAAAAACACAACGGAATAGATAGCAGTCGTGGGATAACACCTTTTTTTTATCTCTTGTGTGCTTCAGAAAGCAGTTCATGACTGGATCAAAGCTGACAGTAATTCTAGCAAATGTCAGGTCTGCTTCAAGAAGATCAAAACTTTGGCAGGGAGGCGTTGTGTGTGGTGCCGGGAGATGGTGAGAATGACCTCTCTGTATATTATGTCCATTCCTTACATGTGAATCACTGCTTTCTGTTCTCAATGAGTTGTGTTTCTTTAAAAGCGCCATGAGGACTGTGTTCTGTCCGGCCTAACGAAATGTGATTGTGGGCCACTGAAAGACCACATACTGCCTCCATGGGCCATTTATACTGTCTCAAAGGTCAAATCTCTTGATCACAATAAGAACATTTGAATCAGAGCCATTGCATTTTTGGGATAGCTGTTATTCCATTGTCTGTTCTTATTGCAGGAGGAGGACACCAGTCTGTTGAATGTTACTCCTGATGGCCACATCTTGCAGGTTTGTCTTTGTGTTAATTTTCCATATACCTTTTCCCTTTCCTTGGTTTTTCCTTAACTCCCACTTATACTTTAGACTACAAAAAAAGTAGTGTCAAATTTTGTGTGTTGGTCATGACAAAATGAAAGTTTAGCACATCAGAATTTATAAGATGCAGAATCTAATATCCTGCTGCATTCATACTTCTTCTTATTTTTTTAAGATTGTACCTATTCCAGACACCAACCCTCTGTTGGTGTTTGTAAATCCTAAAAGTGGAGGAAAGCAAGGTGAAAGGTAAGCAGCACATACTCCAGTGGGGTTTAGTGATTCTGAGGATGTTGGCCCATACTGTCATTGTAGTGGTGTTATAGATTTCCTTACAAGTTTTATGAGGGTTTTTGGGGTTTTCTCAGTTCTGTGCTGGGACATGTGTCATGCATTTATGATTATCAATAATTACTGCTAGTTGTTCACACCTCACTTTTAAAATCTTTTATGTTTCTCTGCAGAGTGCTGAGGAAGTTTCAGGGTCTGCTGAACCCACGTCAAGTGTATAACCTGTCCAATGGCGGTCCTGCTCCAGGGTACATTGCTAGTTTGGAGCTAAGAGACAGACTGCCAAAAAATAGACATCATTTGAGTTACTGTTTATTAATGGAAATTGTGCTTTTTCAGGCTACACTTCTTCCGTAGTTTGCATCACTACAGGATCTTGGTATGTGGGGGGGACGGCACAGTTGGCTGGCTCCTGGATGCTATAGGTGATACGCATTCTTCTGAGATTTTAGAGGGACAAATTGAGATTATTCCAATTTGTTAACTTGAACGGAATAACACTTTTGATTTTAGACAAAGCAGACCTGCAGGTACACCCTCCTGTAGCTGTGTTACCTCTTGGGACTGGGAATGACCTGGCTCGCTGCCTACGCTGGGGAGGAGGTACAACAATCCAATATTTTTTGTAATACAGAATGTATAACGCAGGTGTCATTGCACACACTGTGAAACAGTAATGTTGTTTTCGCTTTATTTGCAATAAAGGATACGAGGGCTCAGACTTGAGAGAAATCCTGAAGGAGATCGAGGTAGGCAAGGTGATTCCACTCGATCGCTGGAGCATCCAGGTGATACCAAATGACCCCCAAGAGCCATGCGACCCTGTTCCATACGAGATCATCAACAACTATTTCTCTATTGGAGTGGTGAGTCACAAGCTCAGTTGGAAGGATGCACATCACACGAGGTTTTTCATTACCGGTTCTGATCTATTAATACGATCACACCTATGTGGATTTTTGCAGGATGCCTCTATTGCTCATCGTTTCCACTCCATGAGAGAGAAACATCCCCAGAGGTTCAGCAGCAGGTAAGGAATCACATGAAAGGCATTGTATCAATGTTTTTTTTATTGTAGATCTCTACTATAATGGCTTTGCATGAGTCACAGCTCAAACATTCCTTTACTATCTTATAATGAATATAGTACAATCTTATAGTAAAGGACTAGTTTTATTTAACTTCTTAATCTCTTGAATGAAACCAGATGGTTTTGGCCCATTTGCAAGCACTGCAAATGCGCTTTGGATCAGAAAATGTACTTTTGCTAAACTTTGCCACAAATATTCAACAGTATTACATTAAAAAATATGACAGAAGTAAGAAAAACTGTAGTGACTGTTTCGGTATTGTAAGATTCCTGAGCACATGTAACAGTGTGACAGTGATGACCTTATTTAACCAAAATGTGAGTTCTTGTTCTCTGCTCTTTTCAAGAATGAAAAACAAACTCTGGTATTTTGAGTTAGCCACTTCAGAGTCCATCTCTGCCTCCTGTAAGAAGCTGAAGGATTGTCTCACAGTCGAGGTGAGAGTTTCTACCTCATTTGTCTTGTGGTTTAAAAAATGGAGTAAGTCTGAGGAAATGCTGAATTCTTTTTTGGTGATAACAGTGCTGTGGAAGACATCTGGACCTGAGCAGCTCGTCTTTAGAGGGTATCGCCATCCTCAACATACCCAGCATGCATGGTGGTTCCAATCTCTGGGGTGAATCCAAGAAGTCGGACGGGTTAGCGGAACCGGGGCATGATGAGGTCATCACCGACCATGAACTTCTCAAAACGGTCACACAAGGTGGGTGAATATCGTCTCCATGAATATCATCTATAGTACATCCGTAATAATAAATCGAACTCTTAATAAAACTGATCTAATCTTTTACTAAACCTCCTCTGACTCATCAGATATAAGTGATAAACGTTTTGAGGTGGTGGGACTTGAAGGAGTCTTAGAGATGGGACAGATTTACACTGGACTGAAGAGTGCCGGGCACAGACTGGCACAGACCTCTCAAGTCACCATCAGGTCATGAGCTTTTACCTTTGAATTCAGCGTAAAATTATGTAAATCCCACATCACCCTCTTGAAAATAAATACATATTAAGCTATATCACTGAATGTCACTATCTTCTGTGTCCATGCGCAGGACGACCAAAGCTCTGCCCATGCAGATTGATGGGGAGCCCTGGATGCAGCCTCCATGCACAGTAAGTATTACTCAACAGGCTTTACCTGTAAAAATATGAAGAACACATTTTTAAATCCCAGTTTAACCATTTTAATGCTGTTTGATACATAGATTTCTGAGATTTATGCATCATCCTATGGTCCAAATGTTTGAAAAAAATCCAGTTTCCTTCGATTATTAACACCTCTTTACAGCTGCAGCTGACAGCAGCCACCTTTCAGTTAGGCAGTTTGTGATTCTTTAGGACTCACAGAGAACATGTCCTACTGTATGACCCACTCAGACTAGCAGTATACAATACATACAACAGAGCAGAATGTTTGGTTCAGGGAATAAAGCCGAGCATTTTTTACCTTTAACCAGGTTATAGAGTATGCTTTACGACTGCTTCATCGACTGTGTTATTATCTTTAGATAATAATTATCCCAAATATTTTGGTAAAATAACTCCATAACTAAAATGAATGTGAAGTAAAAGTTGCTATCTATCACTAAACTCTATGGGGGGCTTTTGTTTATGACCTTTTAGTTATCACTACCAGGAAATCCAACTAATAATCTGGAATTATCATTATTGTCATTGCATGCTGTCTGCATGTCTGCTTATATTTTCAAATGATGTAGTAAACATATCAGTAAACATGAGAAAGGCCTACATATATTAAGGAGTAAAATTAAATGATATAATGTTTTTATGACAGAAATTGAAGAAATATCTTTATGAAACAGTATCAGTTAAAAGTGAACTTTCCCATATACCAGTGAGGATTGTTATGCTGGCTTTTGGCAACAATTTTCTCATAAACCAGAAACCGTTTGAATGAGAAGTATTGATGTTATTTTGTGATTTATTGTAGATCCACATCACCCACAAGAATCAAGCGAACATGTTAATGGCTGCACCAACAAAACCATCAGGCTTCTTTCACCTCAAGTAACGGTCCCCCATGTCCTCCAGTCTGCCACAGAGGGTCACCGTGGAGTATTTAGGGAAGTCCACTGCCAATCATCAAACTGTGTTTTATTATGTATGTCCTTTGCATTTGAACCCTGACATAAGTAGACATTTTTGCTTGAGCTTAAATGAAACCAGCAAATATCAATAAATCTGATAGCTGCTATTGTGTGCCAACTACAATGTGATGCAAAACATGTCTGTTAACTAAACAGCAAAGATTGGTATGCTTCAGCAGTACACTAATGAGGAGTAATACCCACCATATTTGATGTTGTGACGTTATGTGTGGCAAATCATGTTTACATTAGTATTCTTTTGAGTTTCATGCTGCACTAATGCAGTAGTAATGAAGGTTTGTTTGATTTCCAGATCAGCTAGGTCACCAACTCTGTTCCTGCCAAATGTCTCTTTTCATCTACATCAGTTTTTCCTCCATGTGAACACCAGTAGATAAATATGCCAACATGCTTCACTGTGAAACACTTTGACTGCATGTGATTAAATGTGGCTTAATAGTGAAGTTTAGCACGATTAATAAAGACAACATTCCACTCAATTTAGTAGGTTATCAATGATATTAACTTCATGGAAGATGTGTCAAACATGTTACCTTTGACAAATAATTAAATACTTCTGATATTTTACTCAAGCCAAAATGTTTTGGAGGCAAGCCAAATATTCTGTACTGCTATCCATTTTTTGTCCATTGATGTGCATTGTTTGTCTTCAGCTTTCAGAAGTCCATCCCTCAGAAGGTGTTAAATATTTGTGAAGATACTTATGTTCACATTCAATATGCTTTCACGTTCATTATTTGTCTTCATGTCAAATTGTGTATATGTCCTTCGAATGTGTATTTTGACTGTATTCAGAGAAACTCATGCAACAACCCATTGACCAAATATATTGAGTTAACCCAAGATGGATTACTTTGCAACTGAGAGGTTAATGGATTTGTTGCAATCTAATTACCCCTCATGAAAACCTACTGTGTCATTATGCTTCATTATTACTGATTTTATGATGTATATTTTCCTCACTTTCTTTCTGAGCATTAGAAAATGTATATCAGAATTGAGAAATCCTTAAATACATTTATTCATAGGGGAACATTTAAAAGAAACATTCATTTGTGTGTTTACCCAATAAATGTACTTTTAAATTTGAGTTTATTAAATGTTATTGCCAATGTGCTTCAGCCCGAGGTGAAGCAGGTTTTGCATAATTGTGGAAAGATTCAGACCCTACATGCATGTCTGTGACTCACAATAAAGTTCGCAGATAAAAAATTAGTAGAGTGAAATGTCAACAGGGATTAAGTTTAGTAATTAAAATGTAGGAGAACAGAAAACTAGAGTAGTGTTAAATCTAAAACTGATTTTAAATTTATTGGATAAGAAAAATAGTAAAAACATTAACTTTACAATTGGTGGACAAGTCAACCCCTGTCTGGTTATGTGTCACTGAGATCCATATATTCTCACAGTCAAGACAGAAATGAATGAATACTCCAAATTAAGAAAAGCATTGTGTTAAACATTCAGTATGCACTATGCAGGTAAAAATCTCACAGTCAGCTCATTAAACATACTTAGTGTCATTGAGAAGGCTAAAACTGACGTATATTTGACTACAGTTACTGAAAAATGATCTGTCCTAAAAGTACATGATCTTGTGATACACTTAATTAGAGCAGTGCAATGTTGCAAAAGTGAAAGCACACTGTGCCCCTATTGGAATATGAGTCAGGAGAAAAGAAAGACTAAGTGTCAAGCGTGTTTTTGCTTACATGCTTACTTAACAGAGCATTGATCTAAAACCTCTGTGATTATCTCTTGTAATTCCAGGCTTTCTTTGTGGGTTGCAAGTACCAGCTTCTTCTGAAGGACAGCAGCGTTGGTGAAACTTAGTTTGCCTGGTTGTTGTAGAGCTTTTATTACATTGGGTCATATTAGGTGATGCATAAATTGATGCTGACAAAAGGATATCAGCAGCTGCTGCCCTGACATCCAGAGTGCTAATTCACTGATGATGGCATTACATAACAAATGGCATCTCTTGACTCCATATGTGGTTCATAGTTTTAGGGCCTAATCAGATATCTTTATTTCTATTGCTCTCAGTCTATTTTACAATCGGTTTCACTCTCATGAAGCATCCAGTTAGAAGCTGCTCTGGAGCTTGGTTTCATAATAACTTACTTGATCACGTCTTCAAATTTCCATTTGTTTTTAATTGAATACTGATCCTCAGTATCATGCCAATTGGTGAGATCAAAAACTACATGGGCAACTACAAGTCCTGATGGACACTGTATGAGATCACTGAGGCGCTCCAGAGAAGCAGTCACTACATCCCGAAATAAGATTATTTTGTCAATAAAAAAGTTAAGACAAGCAGACTGCTCATGTTGTTCGGAAATACCGTTTATTAACCGCATATTATCATACTCGATTTAGTTAATGATATGGGTAGTAATGTATCATATGGATTAATTTAATCTTTCTAAAGTAGACACCACTTAACCTCTGAAGTAAAAGAAAAAAAATACTCTAAGAACAGGACCAAAGAAATAAAAAGAGATGACACGGAAAGGGGGGGGCAACAGGTGTTTTACGATTTGGCATCCTCGTTGTCTCAACCTTTTATATGTTCGACATTTCCAGTCACAAACCACCGCTCCTCCAAACTGCAGTTATTTTTAGCATTTTTCATTCAGTTATTGCCTCATGTGAACGGGGTTGTCTTTGTCGGGATATATTTAGAACAACGCCCGGCGCTTTCGTCAATGGAACCCCGTGCGTGCGTCATACGGAAGAACGTCTGCGTTTGAAACGCGAAGCTGATTGGCTAGTGACCCGGAACGTTCCACCGCCTCGTTCACCATTTTTGGGCAGAGGTCCGCCTTTTTGTCGATGCAGTCAAAATAAAACAAGAGTGTGTGAAACCTCCTGCGTCGGTCTGACCCAGTATGTGTGTGTGAATGTGTCCGAATGGGTGTGTGTGCTGTCAGCAGCTGCCATAGGTGAATAAACATCTGTTTGTCTGGTTTGGAATAAACGAAAAGCTTCAAATTCCGGATATTTAACTGAAACAGGTGAGTGAAAGTTGACTGCTCCTAATATTAGTATTAAAATTAATGAATAATACTAATAATTCTGACACAGTGATTAACTGTTATTCTACATTTTTAGCAGATGAATTGATGGGGAATTTTTAATTCATGTTGATATAACTATATCTGTTAATCGTGCAAACAGAAGTTAGAAGAATAATAAAGAATATTACAGTAATAATAATGCAACATGCTTTCTAGGCCACAGCTTCAGCTGTAAGGCACAAGTTTGAACTAGTTCAGAGAGATACCAGACACCTGAAATTTAAACCAACGTGACGGAGCATTTAATATATCATGTCATCTATAGTATTTCCTAAAATTTGGCTATTATAGGTACATCTGTGAATACTAGGCTACTATTATCTATTCTACAAGTCTGTCGCCATTTGGGATTTAGTTACTTGGTGCCACTTTGTTTAATTTTTTTTGAGAGGTCTATTGCTGTTGTCATACAAAAGACTTCATTTTAAGGTTAGGTTTAAATTTTGAAACATTTGAAAGAATGTTCATGTTTTCTCTTTCAATGGGCTTCACATATTTGTTTAAAAAGCCATACATGTAAAAGTCAGTGGACCATTTTAACTATCCAGCCACACACACTCACACAAGCATGTTGTGCCACCCTGCAGCTGGCATTCAGCCCACTCTGAAAGACAATCTGCAAAACTCCCCTGATACAGCCAGCGTGAAAGAGGGGTGCCCTCCACTGAAGGAGGTTTTCAAAGCATTAACAGCTAGTAACATAATATCTGACAATATCTGAGTGCTATGCTAGATCCCCATTGCATTTTCCAAAGGAGACTGACAGGACTTGAAATGGTATGTAGGTTAAAATCAGACATTACACATTCATTATGTTAACACTGGCTACTGTTTGCATGGTTGCAAAAGAAAGACTGAACATTTTCAGATAAATTACTTGACTACTATTTACCATACGGGTTAGGGAGTTATCTTAAGACATTATCACTAACTTCAGTGACTTTTATTTGAAAAGTAATATATTACATGTGATAAGTTCATATTTGATATAAATGAATCGTTTAAAGGAGATTGTTAAAATTAACATTGTTTGAATAGACTTTATTTCAAATGTTAAATTTGTCATTTGATATAAATGAAAACAATGTTTGTTAGACTGACAACATGGATTTACTGTCAACTTTCTCCTCTCTTAGCAATGCCCTGTGTACAAACCCAGCATGCTTCCCTGCCTCATGACAATTACTTCAGTTCTGAGTTCCTAAATCCTGATCTCAGTGCCAAATTGGTGATGGACATCAGTGGTCAAAAGGATCAGCTGTCCACATCTTCTCTCCCTAGCATCAACACATTGGTTGGAAATGGCTATGCTGGGGAGTTTGATACTTACTCCTGCAAGATTACCACCTCTCCTCCCACCTCCATAGTTTCTTTGAGCCACACTGCAGCTGCTGAAAATCCCAGCCCACAGATGCTGAACCAAGCCTTCAAGCTGGATGATCTCCAGGTGTATGGCTGTTACCCAGGATCCTTTGCACTCAGCTGCCTTGATGAAACACTCTCATCCTGTGGATCTGACTACTATGGAAGCCCTCTTTATGCTAGTGCTTCTCCTCCAACACCAGGCTTTCAGTCTGCTTCTGTATGGGATTCCCCTTTCAGCCCCTTCCCCCCAGCTCCACCATGTTCTGTGGATAAGGCTGCCATGGTCCAGCCGCTCTCCTTTTCCAGCTTCAATCCGGCACCTGAGCAGCACTCTCCATTGGGGCAACATCAGGATGCTCTGCCTGGTCCGGATGACCACTTCTTCCTCTCACCTCAGCAGCATGTCTCCCCACTTCAGTGTCTCCCAATGTCTCTGGAACTGGGATCTATGGGAAGTCCTCAAATGGTGGAGGGGGCCATGATGTCTCCAAAACCCCTGAACACAGGATCCAGTGAGGGACGCTGCGCAGTATGTGGTGACAACGCGTCCTGTCAGCACTATGGAGTGCGCACCTGTGAGGGATGTAAAGGTTTCTTCAAGGTAAAAAAGGACAAAGAAAAAAAGCACTCGGTTGATTAAAAAAAATACAGTAAGAACAAATGTCATGTATCAGTATTAGTCACATGCTTAAAAAGAACATCTCAACCAGAGTGCACCGATATCAAGAATGGCATTGACACAATACTTGCCTATAAGGTTTGTAAAGGCAGATTTTTAGTATTGAACAAACTTCATATGTCCAGACACACACTTACAGTCAGATTCGGCCTGGTTTTGACTAACTGACATCTGATTCCATCTTCAATAGTCTGATCTGTTGAAAATCAGAGTTAATTTGACCATATAAGAAGTTCATATTTCGACATTGATCGTTGGAATTATCAATACAAGAAAAACTGTCACTGGCTCACAAATTGTAGATTTTCTATTCTGCACTGACACAGGCACACTGGCATTTTTTAAAAAGCAATGCAATGTTAGATTAGATAAATCATATTTTTCATTTTTCTAGATGTTGATGTCTTGTCTAGTTATAAGTTTGTATCATTACGATTCCATAATAATGTTGATTTTACTGTATTTTGATAGCGAACTGTCCAGAAAAATGCAAAGTATGTGTGCCTCACCAATAAAGACTGTCCGGTGGACAAGAGGAGAAGAAACCGATGCCAGTTTTGCCGTTTCCAGAAATGTCTTGCGGTGGGAATGGTCAAAGAAGGTAAAGCAATGTCAGACTCTCTTATTGCCTTTAATGGCTAATTCATAACGATGTAAAGCTTGGGTTTGTAATGACAGTCTTGGGAAACCAAAGCCTGGAAGCACAGACATGTGTAACCAGAGCTTTTCAGTGCCAGCGGCATAAAAAGGGACACTGAAACTGATATGTCAGCTGTTTCTTTAAACTGTGGGATGCATCGCTGGCCATGTAAGGGTCATGCACATGTGTTTGTCTCCTTGTCCTTCTCATAGTTGTTCGCACAGACAGCCTCAAAGGTCGCAGAGGTCGCCTGCCCTCCAAACCTAAGACTGCGGCTGAGGGGTCATCCACCACCCCCAGCGTCAACATCATAGCTTCTCTTGTCAGGGCTCATTTAGACTCCAACCCAACCATCGAAAAGCTCGACTACTCCAAGGTATCACATATGACTTGCAGTCTCCCACTGTTTCAGTTAGACTGCTAACATCGTGGAGAGTGAAGGCGGACGTTGGGGGAAATCTCTTCAGTCATACTTACTCCTCTCATGTCTCTCTCCTCAGTACCAGGAGATGGTGGGCAATTTGAAAGAAAAGGAGGATGCTGGAGATATCCAGCAGTTCTATGATCTGCTCTCCGGTACCTTAGATGTTTTAAAAAACTGGGCTCAAGCCATCCCGGGATTCGCAGACTTCTGCACGGAGGACCAGGAACTGCTGCTTGAATCTGCCTTTGTTGAGCTCTTTATCCTCCGCCTGGCTTACAGGTCATTCCTTGATCATTCTTTTATTTTTTTTTAAAGATATCATTTGAAAATATTTCATACCATCAATGTGAACCTTTAAGTTATCTAACAACAATATTGGTTTAAAATGATACAGGTCAAATCCAGAGAAGAACAAGTTGATATTCTGTAATGGCGTAGTCCTGCACCGGCAGCAGTGCACTCGCAGTTTTGGTGGCTGGATAGACTCAATCATGGATTTTTCCCAAAGCCTTCATCGCATGAACTTAGACGTGTCATTGTTTGCCTGCCTGGCAGCACTTGTTATCATCACTGGTATGAGCGTTTTTCCCCCTGTAAATTTGGTTTGCTATGTTTATGTTTAGGACTGTGTTTTTGATTGGTATGCCTTTTGTACTTAGATCGCCATGGACTGAAGGAACCCAGGAGAGTCGAAGACTTCCAAAGTAATGTCATTACTTGTTTAAGGGAACACATGAGTGGAAATGGATCAGAACAAAGCCGGACGCAACCCAACTATCTTTCTCGTCTACTGGGCAAACTCCCTGAGCTGAGGACTCTGTGCACTCAGGGCCTGCAGCGCATCTTCTACTTGAAACTGGAGGATCTGGTCCCACCCCCACCAATCGTGGAGAAAATCTTTATGGATACGTTGCCATTTTGACAGAAATAATGCAAAATCTATAAAACGTGATGGACACAGGAGAGGTGAAAACAACATACAGAATGATGTTGTTGACTGAGCTCTGCTTTTGACTGTAATGACTTGTGTGCTAACAGGTGTAAAATCCTTTGGGAGACTTTTTATATGGCATACTTTTAAATAGAATAGTTACTTTTGATAGCACCACTGATTTCAGAGCTAAGATTGTATATAATTTCAGGAACATATATTCTGTGTGCATTTTCAAAATGGATATATCAAGCGTTTGAAATGTGAATTTTGTCCTGCACTGCAGCTTACAACATGCTGACATTTGGATACATTTATCATCATGTTACAGTAAACACTCACAAACACACTAATTTCTTGAAAAGCATTTCATAAAATGCTTTTGACCCAACTCAGAAACAGTTTTTGGTGGAAAAAAAGAAAACCAGTTATAGTGATAAAATTAAAAACATTTGCAGCACTAATTTTTCAGAAAGGAAAAGTTGCTAATCATTCTGTCATATTGTTGTGCTCCTGTGGAAGGTCTTGGACCAAAGTTTACCAAAGATGTTATTTTGATACTATCAGTTACAAACCCTATCACCTTAAGTTACAATAAATAATTCTCTGCAGAAATTTTGCTGTAGCCTTAAACTAGTTCTGCTAGAGCTACTGTTCATTAAAGTGCTTCTACTTTGGAATTTAAGATAAAAGTGGACATGAATGAAAATGAATGAAAATACAAAGTGCCTTTTATGAAGACTTCTACCATGAACCACACTAACTGATACAAATCCAATTTTCATTCCAAACAAAACACTGAGAGAGACCCTTTTATTGCAGATATGAAACGTAGAATAATTGCACAGATGGATTTGATATCAGAGACGTGGTTTCTTTTTATGCTGTACTACATATAAACATATGTGCTCACACTGTTCAAATGAAAGGCCATCAATACTTTCTTGCGATCTGTGGAAATTCAATCCTGTTCACGTGCTCCTGAAGTAATAAAAGTTTAAATTAAAGGCAAGCTCTCCATTATAAGATCAAAATGGATCCAAGCAGATGTTAAATTCTTGAATTAAGACAGCCTACCATTTCTGCAATTTGTATTAATGTAGACCACAGAATGCCCGGGATAGAAAGATATTTTCAGTTTTTGATATATACTGGTTTCTTGCTGCATATGTGCCTGAATATCCTCTTCTTCCACATCTGTCTGAGTTGCATTTTTCTGCATTTTTTCATATTTGTGCATTTATTTTGTATTTCAACCTAAATGATATTTCTTAAGGAATGAAAGTGAAATGTGATGACAAGAAGAGCAGCTATGAACACTTCACTATTTCGACTGTGTCAAAAACACTTTGTTTTCCTTCTTTACTGTTTTGTTTTGGACATTGTGTGTAAATTGAAAAGACTGCCAGACTTTTTGTAAAAAGGTACAAACATGCTGAGATACAGCAAACACTTTATATTAAATTTTTTCTGAAAATTCACCACTGGCTGAACTATATATATATATATATATATTTGAAATCATTTTACATATTTTTGTCTTTGTTTCAATCCATTTTTCCAAACATATGTGTATTTTTTTGGGACAGTTTTTCAATTTGAAATTATTTACTGCTGCAGAATATTGTATGTAGAACAGACATGGTAAAAAAGGGATACGTAAATATGTTGGAGAAAGCCCCATTTACCATGTGTCAATTTTTTACACATCATTGGTGCTAATGTTGGTGACATACTTGATCGGACTGGGTCGCTCTCAGCAACAGCAGACAGCAACACTGACTGCATTGAGCCGCTCGACACCTGATCCTACTGTATGCCATGTACCAGTCATCTGGATTTAAGTGCTGGCAGGGAGAATGGAAAAAGGGACAAGGAGAAAAGACGAGGAGGCTAAATGGAAGCTAGTCTGCTTGGAGGCGTTCATCATATTCCAAATTGAAAATGCAGTGCAGTTGCAAATGAAAATTGTCAACAAATACAGATGAACAGGTATTTCCTTTGATTTGAAGCAAAGGCATCTTCTGAGTTGTTTAAGAGGTGTTGTGTGAATGTAAATGCCTTGTGACTGTCACACTTGATTCTTTATGGCCATGGATCCATAACTACCCAGGCATGTTGCCCCTTCACATCACCTAAACCTAAACTCAAAATACACTCTCATGTCAACATATGTCATGTTTAGAGTTGCAGTGCTTCTTGACACCCTTTTTACAAATGAAGAGAATCACCATCTGGTGCAGCAATTCACTTGGTAGCCTTTGACCTGACATACAACACTTTGCTCTGGCCTTCCACCCATCATATGCTTCGTATGTTCTTACAGCTAATGGTGTATGGGGGTCACTTCTCATGGTGATTTGCAGGGAAACATGACAAACCCTTTGAACTACTTTTGCACACACTGCTAGAAGGTAAAATAGGCTTAAGAACTGGTAACAGTGTGAATACTTAAGTACTTGCATCTTGAAAAAAAGGGTTTGGTTAGACGTTTCTACTGATAGTAAACAATTAAAAGCCACTGTCTGAAAAAAATGCTTTACGCAAAAATATGTGAACTCCAAAATCGTTGAAGACTTCATGCATGTTTTTATTTGATTAAGACAGACAGTACATGAATTCCTGATAGTTAATCCTGTCCCTAGCCAAAACAAATACAAGTCACAGTGATACCTTTTATGAGGCCTTCCTCTTCGATGATCATTTTAGATGTGATTACAATAAAAAAATTACAGGTTTGGTTTTCCCAGTCCATCAAAACACTCATTTTCAAGAAAAAAGATAAGTGCAACCAACACATCCATTCTGAATGTTGGCTTCATCCTATTCAAGCAGGCAAAAAAATGGAGGAAGATGGGATTTAAGAAACAAATAAAACTAAATCATAACAGCAATATTACTGCCACGCTGCAAGAAGCATGCTGTGTGATTTATATATAGAATACGTGTCTGCTGGGTTGTATAAATATTCAAGTGACAGGTTGTTATGAGAATGTAGTTTAAGCAACACAGCAGCTCACAAAGAAGCAGCCGGATAATTTGGCAGTTCAGGGCCAAGGCCAGTTGTTATTGGTTACAGTTATAAATAAGCACACTACAGTCAACTTAAATAGTCATAGAGGCAAAAAATGGAAGTGAGTAACAATTGTATGAATACTGTAACATGAAAAAAGCAAATTCTTTGTCAAATATGTTTGTGTGAGCAGGGAAAGCTGATGATTGCCAGAGATAATATTGTTCCAGGCAGGAAAGCTAATAGGCCTGTTCGACGGGATGCTGCACCTGCTGTTTGGTGATGGACTGATCTGTAAATAAAATTGTGAAGCTGCATGGTGCTCTGCGGGGGCACCAGCATTTCTTTTTCCTCTCGTGTTTCTGGACAGCACCTATTTTCATAGTAAGACACACATCAATACTAATGCAAATATAGCTCTGCTAGTTTTTGTATCTGTTTTTCATGGGAGACTGTCTCCCATGAAAAAGCATGTTGTATGTACGTGCAGCGGCGTTAGGTTAAATGTGGGCTGTTGAGTGTGGAAACCCTCAATGAGTGTATTTTTAGCAGGCCATTGTTGAGCCCACAGAAACCTTTGTAATTGGATCTGGTCTTTCTCACTGCGTGTCTGGTGATAAATGAACAAGCTTATGTCATTCCTCATGCTATCCCTGTGATAACTCTATGCTCCACATCACTGTCTTAAGCTCTTATTCCCAGTAGGATTACATTCATAAGTGAATATTGAGCTGGGTGAATTATCATTTCAAGTGTGAGAGAAAAGGATGGTGGAAATCTGTTTGCTCTATATGACTGTTGTGTCCTTGGATTAAACTTTGCAGGGTGGACACTCGAAAAGGTGAAAGACCTTGAAATAACCTTGAAATGATTATTTTCCTAAATATTGAATTACTATAATTTTCTTTTATGCTTGAAACAATAATCACATTTTCTTCTACCATTTGACATTACATTCTTTACTATAAATGCTTGGGAGATGAGGAGACCCTCAGTTGTGGTTTTGAGTGTAAATGTTTAGTCAGAAGGATGGTAGGATTTCAGCCTCTTAACAGTTCCAGGGCCTTCTTGCTCGTATTTTTAGTGAGCCAAATGTTTTCAGAGGGTGAAAGATCTGCACCTTGTTTGCTTATGTTGTTGCGAGAGGTCCAAAATGTGAAATGTCCTTAAAGTGTTTTTTCCACTGTCTTGCAAAGTTTCATTGGATAACATAAAAGCTTTGTGCTGATCTAATTTGTTCCAAAAACTGAATGTATCATTCAACATGAATGATAATGTCAAAATGTAAGCATTTTACGAATGTCTTGTACAATCCGTTACTCCTGAACCAAAGCAGACATTTTATCCTTATATACATCAGCATACAAGCGTGTGAGTGAAAAGATTTTCCAATTTTTCATCATCCAACTCCTGAAGCCATTTTAGATAGGTTGAAGTCATTTTTAGCTGAGGCATTTGAAAAATCATTGGAAATGAAGATGTCACATAATTTTAAAGGAATGTTGCTACACTTGACAACTAATACAATAAAAAGAATAAAATAGGCCAAAGGTTTAAGGTCTAAAACGTTTTTCTTGTTTGTTCAAATATAATTCCTAACAAAAAGATACATTTTTTAGAAAAACAATCTTGAACTTTTTCTCAGACTAACCATTCATTATCTGCTTTCTCAGTTCTTCGTTTGATATGGTGAAAAAAAATCTCTGCAAACCTATAAACCTGTTAGGTGCAGTTTTGAGTTGATTTGAAGATGCACGGTTAACAGTATGTGTGTGTCGCTATGTTGGAAACTTCTCTCTGCCCAGCTGGAGAACATGAGAATGTTACAATTATAAAATAAGATTGACAAGATGGATAGTGTTGCACTGGCAGATGACAGACCCTGGCTGCCAGCCTGGAAGTTATTCACAGCAACACCCCCACCCCCAGCACACATACAAACGCACACACACACACACACACACTTCAGAGAGCCCCAACTCAGGGATGGAGTGGTGGTGGAGAGGGGGTTTGGTGGGCACGGCGTGGTGTGGGTTTGTGAGGAAGTGGAGGTTCAAGGTCAAAGCAAACGCATGGCGCAAACCAGCAAACACACTCACCCAGGCAGGTGATATTAGCCACGGAAACATAAATTACAGCATCAGTCAACGAGTCCCACTATAGTGTCTGAAAATGAAGGTTATGAAGCTTCTTTAGCTTTTTTTCTCATATTTCAAGACTTTTGAAAACATTAATACAATAGTTTTGGAAACTTGCAAGACACTGCAAGTTTCAGAAGAGATAAAACATAGACACATGAGCAGCTGTCAAAGATAGGAGTGAATATACTAACTTTCCCACAGAGTAAAGAAAAAGTCCAATGCGTCTTAACTTCTTCTCAGTGCCCACTGTCTGAGTCACCTTTTTTTGGCTTGAAAACTGCAGTGGGTGTCTTTGTAAGCCTCTTGACACTTTCTGATAATCTAACACCATTAACGACCAGACTTAAATGGAACCTTAGGAAATAAATCAGTCACGTGTTTATTAATCATAATGCAGTAGGGCAATTTAACAAGCTGGGAAACTTACTGACTTGCTTTTCTTGTTGTTAGATGAGAAGTTCAACGACACTCACATGTCTGAGACCGCTGCCAGTTAGCTCATGTTTACAGTGATATACGGAGACACAAGTGGCTCCATTCAAATGTCAGACATTATTCAATCTTTTTTTCCCATTTTTAATCCATACACACAGAAACGTAAAATAACCAAGATGTCATTTAAAAAGGATGATTTCCAGGAGTGTTATCACAGGGCTTTCCCAATGGAGGTAACCACCACTCATGTGACATGACAATTAGGTCACAATAAAAAGGGACAATCCAAACCTTGATGCTCGGATTTATTTAGTCCTGCAGTCAAAAACCACGATGGATGGACATCCCGGCAGGATTATATAAACTTCACACCAGAAAACACAAGGACAAATACAAAGAAATAACCGTAACTGATCCTGTTGTGGGCGAGGGGACATGACAAAGACGTGACTCCCTCTGTATTACCGAGATGAGGACTGCTAGGCCCACACACAGTTACATAACCAGTCTGATGTAGCTGGCACCCCACGAAAATCACAAGGTGTTGGCTGGGAACCAAGTTGTCAGGTGTTGACACTAAGGGCAAAATTGGCATCTCCTCCTTCGTGCATAGATGGATTATAAGGTAGTGTGCTTCTCCTACAACCGCTGCCTTAATGTAGGGATATTTATAAATCCATATCAGCCACACTCAACACATGACCAAACACCCGGAGTGCCTCACTCACAGTGAATACTCTCCGGAGACACACAAGCATGACTAAACATTTTTTAAAGAGCTCTCTTAACAGATGCTCCAGTTATCACACCAGTCCCTTACTGGTTAGACAATGTAGGGAATGTCATCGAACACCGATGACTGAAACAGTTTAATAGCTGGGCTGGACACCAGGCTTCAGAGTTCCATTTGAGTTTTTATACTTATTAACTTTGGGGTTTCCCCAGAGAAAAAAACAAACAGAAAAAACTATCATGCAGCCTTGTGTTTTAACACTGCAATGCTAGACTTTAGACTTAACTTTTCTTGGCACTTCCCAATTAAATAAGAACCATTTTCAAGTGAAGCAGGTGTGTGAAGGTCTGATAAACCTGGGTAATACTATACACTGCTGGCTCAGCACAGGCTCCCCAACAGGAACATGAGGGGAGGCCTCATTCACAGACAGCTGCTGTCATTCAGCAGCTAATGCATCATGCTCATTAAAGTCATCATGTTCAAAGTTCTAGCTAACAAAAACGTCAAAAGTTAGTATTTTCTTTTTGTGGAAAATACACAATTGTCAAAAACAAACACTTAATATTCAGAATTATCAAGTTGTTTTGACAAAAGGCAGAGTGGGAGGAGTAATGCATGGCACTGCGGAAACGTTTTAAAAAAGTTATTGAACATAAAGGAATAGCACAAACAAACAAAACTGCATAATAACGTGTTTCAGGCTCTTTTACTTACTTAATTCCTTACTTGTTGTCGTAGTTGGGCCTTTTATGTTGAAGGCAGCCTCGTTTACAGGAAGTGACAACTTGGCAATTTGTCATTTTCTTTGACGCAGGTGAACTCATTTTCAGGTGAGCTGACGTCATGGAGCGGAAACTTCGGACCGTTTCCTTCAATCCGGGCGTGGGTGGCCTTAATTCCTGCCGGGAATGATCGAGCCCTGATTGTGTGAGTGAATTCATCTTAATCCCAAATTCAAAGTCACGTGATTGACGGCGAGTTAAAGAAAGAGACAGAAATCTCCATTTATCCTGTTTTAGTTCTGCATTATTTAGAGAGGTGGAGCAAACTGGCGCATGGCATGTACAGCAAGTTACCCAATCTCCAGGGTAAAGGTTCATTCTGTAGAGTATTGCGTTCATTCTGCCCCTAAATGAGTGAATCAACAAATACAACAGTAGGAGTTCATTCCGGGGGGGAGTCACAGGAGAGGGAGTGGAAGAGTTCACAGCAACTTACATGTTTGGGTCAAAAGAATGGCGAGTTTCTTAAATCGAACTTTTAAAGTCCGACCTAAAGTTAAGGTGTGGTGCTGATATTAACAGAAGCTTTAAAACATTCAAATTAGCCCCCCCAAAAGACACTAATTCCTTCCTAAACCACCAAAGCAAAAACACATTCCTCAGGTCCCTCTCCTGACATTGGGAAACTTTTTTCCCCCCCTTTTCCATGACAGTGTTGTTGCTCAGCAGGTTTTCTGTGAGATCAAATACTGGAATTTCAGTGAGGCAGGCTGCTTGTCTGAGCCAGCCAAACAACTGGGAAATACTAAAGCTGTGCGCCCTTCCTTAAAGTAAAGTTTGAGTCAGTGTGAAGATAGTGTCAGCCTTACTGGGAGATGTGGCAGTTCCTTTTTTATACTCAAAGTTTCAGTTCTCTTTTTGAGTTACTTCCTTATGTTTAGCACTGTCCACGCCGACTGGGCTTTTTGAGTAGATGAATATAAAACTATTTGTTCAAAAAGAAGACAAAAACCTTTAAAAGGGATTGGTTTGGCTTTAAATGAATACAGAATTTTAGGAATGCAAAGATTCACAAGCAAGGTAATGAAAGTGGGTTTTGGATTTGCGTTTAAACTACGTTACAGCTGTTGTTCCTCTGCAACAACAGGTCACCTGACTGAAGCTCAGCAGGAGAAACTTCAAACTGCATCTTTTGCGATGATAGATGAGGACTCCTAAATTTGTTTTGAGACCGGTAAGTTAGCTTATACTGCTATGCAATATCAGAGATGCTTGAAGCATGAACTGAAGATTAAAAGTCTCCTTTTTTGAGTGCGTGTCATAATGCTGAACAATGTGGTTGATTCATTTGATCTATTTGGTTATTTTACTCCCACTCTTTTAAATGCAAAAACCAGTTTCTTCATCTGTTTTAAAAGCCACTGCGGTCTGTATCACATTGTTTAGTCATCAGAAGAAAACCTGAAGAATAACAAAATCAGAGTGCTCTATTATCCTGTCACAAAATCTGGCATTTAAATGAACTCTCAGAGGAGATTATTGACTTTCTGCAGGATTTTAACATCGTAGGAAAATTACTTTTATTAAACTCTTTCACCTGTTTTTAAAAATGTATTTCTGTCTCTCGAGCAGGTTTGGCTTTTACCATACAAAGTAACTGTTATCAGTTTAACACACTTTCCAGAAAGTAACTAAATAGGAAAACACTATCTTTTGCAAACATTAAAACTACAAATTAAACTAGAATGAGGATAGAAACTATCAAATGTTTAAAAGTTGGAACAAGGACAAAACACACTGGAAAAGTGATAGAAGTGAAACAGAATGGAACACCACACAATATTGTTTATTGGCAACAGGTCAGTGAAAAGAAAAAGTATTACAAGAATGAGTGAAAGGAGAGAGTCAGCTGAACCCAGACTCTCTAGTCTGGTATGTTATCTGTGTGTATTAGAGCATATTACATGGCTAAATTGCACATTTCTGCCCATTATTCATGCTGTATGATATACACTAAGGTTGTGTAGTTGCTAACTTTTGGTGACCACAAAATCTGCATGTGATTTAGTTTTAACTGAATGAGCTCTGTGATATTTGCTCACAGCAGGTCCCTGGACTGGTAAGATGGAGGAGGCATATAGTGAACTGTACCAGCAGTTTCTACACCTGAGGTCCCTTTGCCTGAGGCAGGCTGCGCTGCTGCACCAACTCACAACAGCCCTCCAGAAACAGCAAGGTCTGCATCGCAATGCTCCTGAAAAGCATGTCCAGCATTAGACTTTAAATACGTGGTTAACCGTTTTTGTGCAGGTGCCGCTGTCCCAAATGGAGACCTGAGCGCCATGGTTTCCATCCCTGTCCAGTGCTCCCATGAAATCCCTCTGTGTCTGTTGGAAAAGCCTCAACCTCTAACAGCTGGTGCACCGTGCGGTGTTGATTACCCCTTCGGAAATGTGGGCACTGTCGCTGGGCTTGCTGAAGATATGTTAAAGCTAAGTGTGGATTTGCCTTATCAGAGAAAGCAGGGTGTGATTGGGACTTCCAAAAGTCCTGGGCAGAATCATCCTGCTGAAGACAGCGCTCCACACACAGCGACGGTGAGTGTCTTTATGAGAGAAAAACCCACTACGATATGTTTGTGCTCTTCACAGGGCTTTGTGAAGCTTCCTCCTCTCTTCTATGGTTTCATCAGATGCCAGCGAGTGACTGCTCCTTTCTGGCCGCTGGCCTTCCCAACCAGTCTGATGAAGCACTGATGTCGGATGTGGTGCTACAGTCTCATGTGTGTGAGTTCTGCCAGGCGGTTTTTCCCAGGGACGCAGCCACAAGAGGAGAGTTCCTTCGCCATCTGTACACCCATGTAACCTAGAAAAAAGACATTCTTATTCGTCTTCTCTTGACACACATGACCTTTGTTGGGATGGCTGTTAAATGTTTGTGGACTGTTTCCAAATTTTCCAGCCAGCTAAAAAATGTTTCCAGTTTAATTTGTTCAGCAGAGCTAATTTCTGTTATTTGTGTTTGGTGCATTTGTGCCATTCAGGATATACAATATAGTTTAAAACAGTTTCTTATCTGAAATAACTGACAGAAATAAAATGTGGCATCACCTCCCCTCTAATGTTCACTTTAACAGTACTTATAAAATCAGGTTGAAATGGATCTGACCATCACAGATCAGTGAATATTACACCCTAAAATGTTTTCTTGATTGTGGCTTTTAGATTTGAAGATTGTCATTTGAATGACCTTTATTTAAAAGCAAAAGACACAATTGTTTCTTTCTAAAGAAATCTACCATTCAGGTCTTGGCATTTCGTATCAAGGCAACTTTCATTTTCATAATTCTACAAAAGGGGGTTACCTTCATCACCTATTATGTTTGCCAGTGACTGCAGTATTTGTTTTGTAGTAATATCCGTAGCTTGTTCGAGAGAATTCCAATTACTCATGTGAATCTTGAGTTATTTATAAGACTTGAACACAGACTCGATGCTTTCATTATTTGTAACAGTCCTTCTGCTCTTTGCCGTCAGATCAGATGTCTGCTGCTTGATCTGTTTCTGAGGAAAGAACGAGCACTAAGAATAGACTCAGAGATTTAACTCCCTAATTAGTAGTGTTGACAGCTGGCCGATGATGGCAGTTCCTTTATCTGTTGCCACACTGCCTGTCATTCACATAATCACAGCAAAAAAACTAAACAATTAAGAAGCACTAACTTGGTAAAAAATAGGTCTTTGTCTTTGTTTTTACACAGGTGTGGATATATATATATATTAGATAAAAATGACATGGACTTTAAACAAAAACTATATATGATTTACCATTATTCACACAGGATATAGAATTAAGTAAACCAAGAATAATTTACAGCACAAAATAGTTAGACTAATTTAGTCTAAAATGTCTATGGTCTGGTATGTGCGTCTCCAAGATCTCTAGTGTCTGTGTGGATGGACGCTGATGACATCACTGGTACTGGTTAGTCATAGCAGACTCCAGGCTCGACTCCTGAAGCGTCAGTGCAGAAACAAGACTATAGCAGAGGTGTTGCTGGCTTTGTGACGCAGCTTCTGAAGCCTCTACCACGCATCAAAGCTGCCAAGAAAGAGATTACTCCAAGTGGAAAACAATGCAAAATCAGTAAAATAACATTTATTAAAATGTAACAAAATAAATAATCTGTTTTGCAACATAATAAACTTAGGAGGTAAGTAACGTTCAAGAGACAGGCGTGTGTAACTGATGCACAGCAAGCTACCTCACATACAAATTTTGTGATTAGTCTACAAAAATCAAGACATATCTGTATACATGAACTGACTGAAAACATGCTTAAAACTTCAGGGAGGGGGGGCTTGAAGGGGCTGCTGCATCAAAAATGAAAGCACCAAGTTTTTAAAAACTTCAATGTGCTTTTCTAAAGATAAAAAGAGAAAGTAGTCACTACTGTTGCCTATATCTCAATAGTTAGAAAAACCTAAATAAAGTTAAGCTTAGACTACACAAACATTACACATTAATCGACTGACTTTTCAGAAAGCTTGGGAAAAAAATACAATTCAACGTTTTGAAATTTCTGAACATGGTGTGTCTAGGAATTTTTTCAAATATCTATTAGAATTCTGAATTTTGCAGTTTAGTTTAGAATTAAGCTTTGTCGGAGAATCTGAAGGCCCTCAAGTCAGTCAGTCCACACTCAAACTAAAAAGCATTTCTAAATTCTAGCGAGTCTAATAGAAAAGTGACTACATTTTCACAAACTTCAGGAAGGTAAAATACCTTCAGTCAAAAGCCTGAAACTATTAATAAACAACACTATATCAGTGATTTGTGCAGGAGGAAGGTGGGGACAAATGAATAGTGTATATCTCTGTCTTCATGTCTCATACATGTCAGTCTGCTCCGATGGGGAGTGCAGCTAAGAACGCATGACCCAGAAGATGGTGTTTATGCACATGCTCTCCGACATCGTTAACACATGCTTTTTTTTAAAGCTACCAGACAAATATCAATCAAATCGGAGTTGGTCTGAACACGATGACCTTTAAAAAACAGAACATCCATATATTTCCTGAGGGTGAGGAGCTTTAGAGCATTATGCAGTAATTTGCTGAGAGAGATGACAACTAAAAACACATTTCCTGTATGTCTGAGTAGAGGAACTTCAGTCGGTCTCCAAACTTGCAGTGCCCCCTGCTGTGCTGAGCCAGCTTCATCGGAGACTGGAGGAACCTCTGACACACAACGCTGACAGTTAAATAACTCAGCTAAACGTGACAGGACATGTAGTCCATGTGGTCAAAAACAAACAAATGAACAAAAAAGGTGACTTTCCTTTCTTTTGCATTATAAAAACCAAACTAATTGGAAATTAATTTACAATTGAGGGGTGAGTAAGTTAGGGCAGGTTTATAATATCATCTGCTGGTAAATTCTTGCATTTACTGTATTAATCATGTATTCAACAAGAGTCTTCTTTCCATCAGCACTTGTGACATGTATAAAAGACTCAGGCAGGAGTTCACAGGTGGTCTGACCACATATTCCCTGATAACCACAGAGAGTTTCATTTCCCCCGGTGGTTGGGGATGGTGGCTGGATCTTTGGTGACACAAGGGCTACTGCTCCTGTACGCTGATATCAAGCTATGCCGCTCCACTTTACTGTCATGCTCTGTGAAGAGATGCAAATTTTCAAGTGAGAACTGATAGTAAAAAATGAACTTGGGAGTTCCCAAAGAAGGAAAAACTGGTAAGAGAGACAATGACAAGCATGTCAACAGGACTTTGAAGATCCTGTTAAACCTTTAAATCAACCATGTTTGAGAAAAATGTGCATTGTACAGTTTTAAAGTGAGTCATTGTAAAGTAGAGGATAAATACCAGCTCAGAATCTCAATAATTAAAATGAAACTAGTGTTTTAGTTTGGGGAATTCAGCAGGAAACTCACCCACATGGAGGGAAATCATCATGGTTTATATGACCAACCCAAGCTGGTGAATTACAGAATATCCAGTACTGGGCCTTGAGTTTATTTTTTTTGTGATAAGGCAACATAGAAAATAAATGTAACAAAAGTTTGTACTCAGAAGTTATTTGTAACGGAGCTAATGTATGGATCTGTCTCATGTTTTTTCATATGGATCTGACAAAACACATATTGCATTATCATCTTAATGTTTGAGCTCTTAACAGCACCACCGGATCTTTCTGGAGCTTATTTAGTATGTATTTGTTTATTGACCACCTTTTAAAATCTTGCATTGTCTATATGGTTTAATGCCATGGAGCAATATTAACGGAAGAACAGCGTTTTGTTCTAGTAATACATAATATGAATTTGATCTATGGTTAAAGTTGGTAAAAATTACATTCTGTACTATGATTTATGATCTTTGATATGACCTGATGATAAGAAGTGACAGCAGCGGATAAGTCACAGAGAACACGGGGGCGTCAAAAGGAAGTGAGAGAACGTTCAGATTAATGAGAGAACCACTGAAGGAAGCTGGGATGAGTGAGAGATAAGGAAGCACAGTGAGGGAGATCGACGCCAGAGATTAAACATATGTCATTTTTTTTTGTTTGTTTCCGCAGTCCTTTTGGTGGAGAGAGAAGACGTATAAAAAAAACACTGTGCCATTTCCCTGCCCACAGGTTTTATTTTTGTACACTGTCGCTTGGTGAGTCAATGCAACGCCCCTCCAATTACCTCCCACTCCATCGCCCCCACGCCCCATCCATCCCGCCCTCCAGCCCACGCACCTCACACACTCTGACGTCAGTGCCTGGGTTAGTGGTGGTGGAAGTGGGGGGGGGGGGGCCCGAATTTGTCGCCCACAGAGTACTTCCTATCCCCCCTCCTCACCCTCCCCGCCCCCTCATGTCTTCGCTGGCTTCCTCCACCTTCGCTTCATCTCTTCAACAGGCTATCAAAGCCCAGAACGTCTAACTTGCCCAGATCAGTTACTTTTCTCCTTCCTGTTGTTTGTGAGAAGCTATGATGCATAAGAAAAGCAACAGGGTATTAAAGAATAAGTACTGTAACAGTGTAACACTAACCCCCCCCCCCTCCCGCTCTCTCTCACTCCTCCTCACCACCTCCTTCTGTTTCCCCTTCTAACTTCTATCCTCTCTAATTTACAGTCTGCTGAAGTTCAGCTGCGCATGGTGGGAGGCGTCACCTCAGAGAGATTGTGACTCACAAGGGTTCAAACTAAGAGCTATAAAATATACATTGTTAGGGGAGGTTAGGGAGTCTGTCTGTCATTCGCAATTTCGCGATTCAACCCCAGGATCACCTCAACCATTTTTTAATAATCTATCCACCTACACCAACGGTTTGACATATAAGAAACTAAATTGATTTGCTGCCTGTGTGGTGAAAATGATTGATACCGCACTCAGCCTTTTCTGTCAAATGTGAATAAATCTACTGTAACTTTAGTCAAAATGATCTACAATGTGCTGTTCTTATTCCTTCGTATAAAGAAAAAAAGCAGAAACCCCCAAATAGACTGTAAATGTAGTAAGCATAGAAACATCCCAAAATATATGTTTATTGTGAGTTCATCCTTCAATGCGTATTATGTGTAAGAATTTGAAAAGTCACCTGCAGAGTGAGTCCCTTCTGAGCCTAGACCGAGCTTTCCTGCCCGATCATGTGACACCATCCGAGCCAGTCTCAGCCCTTCATCCATTAGAGTTTGTTGTATGAGATGACGGCTCCAGCCGGCAGGGTTGGAGGCGTCGGTGTTGGGACGGGGGGATGGAGCCTGGTTGCACTGTGAACTGGTGTCTAAGAGAACAAACACATATGAGTTTAGACCAAGTTCCTATGGAAACAGACAGGGATAATGTCTAGCTTAGGGGAATGTGACCTAAAAAAAAAGAGACACTGCTCATTTTGAAAAAAATGACCTTAATACTAAATTCAATAATTTTTCAAATCAATATCACAGTGTTACCGTGTGATACACTGTCGAAGCTTTCTGCGGACACGCTGTCGTCGTCTGCTCTCTGAGTGGAGCTCTCAGTCGCCTCAACTCCGAGAAGTGATGACACACTCTCAGGCACGATCATCTAAAACACACCATCCAAGCACACCGATGAGCCACTTCAAACAGAGTGACCTGAGCATTGCCCGGCGGAGGCTGTGAGGACTCACCTCGTGTCTTGCTCTCTTCTGCAACACACAGCTGTTTTCATCAGCATTCGACCTGCAAGAGGGGAAAACTAAGGGTGAAATTTGTACTTCATCTATGGAACATTATTTTAAGAAAAAAGGAAGAAAAAGAGGGTTGAAGTTGTCTGGTAATCTTTGGAAAAAAACTATCACATGAGCCATATTGTATGTGAAATCAAGAGAGGGTAGTTAAACACTTCTGCTTTTTTGGGATTTAACATTAAACCAATAATCAGTGTCAATTCTTAATATGAATAAGTATCATTATATTTAAAAAAAAAAAGGATAAATCAGACCCTTTTGGACAACCACAAGACAACTTAAAGGCTGCTTTTTGTGAACTGAAGATTTTTTACATTTTCCTAACACTAATGTGATCATGTATATTCGAACAAATCTGAATAAGAATAGCAAAACTAATAATTGTTTTTCAGTGTTTTAGATTAAAATGTCCGATACTCACTACAAAGACGCATATATGGTTATGACATGGGTGTTACTTTCCTATCAGTGACTCACTCTGAGATTTGTTTGGAAAAAACAGCATTAGCTCATTTGAAGGAAACTACAAAGATTGGAGATTATCAACTGATGACACATACGAACCATCTGGCCTATATGACACAGTCCAAAAATAATTATTCTGATTTATTCTAACCCATGTCTTGATGTAACGTCCTAAACATGCATCTAATTCAATATGAGCCTCAAACTGCCCAAAGTTTGTTTTCCTGACACAAAGTGTGTGAGGTGAGCTGTTCAGTGAATGCTGCCCGACATGTGCCTCTCGACCTAACCCACCACCTTTACCTTGCATGCTTCAGTGTAGAGGTGTAGGCACATTTTCTGGCCACCTGCCGAGCCAGGGAGAAGAGCTCCACTCGTCTCAGCAACAGAGCATTGTCGCGCATGCAGAATTGGGCTGCCGCTTCATTGATGATTAGCTGGGTTGGAAAAATACACAGAATTAAAGGACAACTGGACAAAACAGAAATGACGCTCAGGTTTGAAGTGATTTACACATTTATTTAGGCTTAAGGCTGACATGTTGTTTGTAGTCCCTTTGAAAGCAGGTCTTTGTAGATCTTTGATGCTTTTACCTCATGATGTGTGAGCTGCTTGCCTTCCCTCCTCTTGGAGTCAAAGCGTCCATAAATGAGACTGTATTTACGGATCTCCTCTTCCTTGTTCGCATCCTGGGAGCCCATTCTGAATATGTGCCCCACAGTCTTTGCCATCTTCTTGTTCATCCTCAGCAGAGTCTTCACCTCTGCTGGATCGGACCTGGGCTGGGTCCTGAAGAGCCGCTCCACACTCTCCACCACTGCCCTCGCTGTTTCCGCGTCCAGCTGTCCTCCGGGCCAGGCGGACAGAGAGGTGGGGGCGAAGGACGCAGAGGGGGCCGGAGATGTGGAGGGACCAGGAGGACCCGTCGGCAACAGAGGTGGGCTGGGCGGCTCCTCTTCTATTCCAGGTGCGGAGGCCGAGGCACCGTTCCCGTCACTCTCCGGGCTGAGCCAGTGGGGATCCATGGGCGAGAGCTTTTCCCTGTAGTGTGTGTCGGGTGGCTGTGGGGAGGCCTGGGAGCAGGGGCTTCTGGGACTCCCGCTGTGCATTGGAGTAAGACATAACCGATCCTCTCTTTCACAGGGGGACCCCGGCTGCCCGTTGCTCACGGGCTTCCTGGGTCCTCCCGCGGAGCCACTTGCCCCCGTCCCATCGACTTTGAACAGGGGGATGCCACCCAGAGGGACGTTCGCAACAGGCTGGCTAAAAAGGGCAGGGTTCGCCGCCCAGTCTCGGAGAGCCTTCTGCAGCCTACGCACATGCAGCGGCTTGGTGGCCATGCCAACTAGTGCCATGATTTCCAGAAACTCCTCCTCCGCAGCCTCGCAGAGCTGCTGCACGTCGTCCCCACCCTGCTGGATAAAGGTTTCATAATAGGCCAGCAGGTTGGCTCTCTGCAGCACCCGGTACAGTTGCAACTCCCCAAGTGTGCGTGGCAGAGACATGGCACACTGCACTGGAAAGTTTAGGCAGGAGAAAGGAAACACATGAACCTGCAGGTGGAGAAATCTGGTTCAGGTTCATTATTTTCATGAAGACTTCGCCATCTGCTCCACATCCACAACATTTGTTACCATTTCTACCCTGATTTGTATACTTAACAATAACATTCTTTAAGTAGTCTGTGCATAATGGATTCCAATACAAAAATACGTTTTCAGAAATGTTTTTACATGAATGAATACATGTGTATACATAAGTTTTCTTACCTTTTTCAGATCAGTTGGAGAGTTGCTGATGTGTGGAGAGGAAATTGAAAAGGATCGTAATTCGGCAAAGGATTTTGTAATGTTGCGATTCGGTTCTGACAAAGAGATATAATTACATGAGATCACTCAAAGGGTAGCAAAAAATACGATCAGACAGCAACTAACTGGCTCCAATCAAAACACGCAAAACCAGCGACTAGGATCAGACACTCTCCAACCGACAGATGTGAAAGGAGGGCACCCTGCGCGCAATTATCATCCTATTTGTTTCTCTTACCTCTCGCCGTCAGCTTCTACGGCGCGGATTGCCGTAGTAAATCCCCTTTGCGTATCGCTCCTCGTCTGAAATCACTGGCAGAAGTCCTCCTCCGGCTAAGCGTATTGGTTGCTGGCTGTCTTTTTGCTGTGTGTGTGGGTTGGAGAATGACGGGGGCGGACTGCAGCACGCCATCTGACCGAAAAAGAGCCTTCCTCTCCCGGTAGAGAGGCGGCTTTCAAATTGGAGATGTGGGTGGTGGGTGTGGGGGCTTGAAATTAACCCTCTGCGTCTTCAAGATTAATCCATCACGCAAAAGCTTTCGGGGATTCCCAGAATTTAACCCTCTGTAAGACCCCCAAACAAATGGTCAGCGTACTACAGTTAGACTTGATTTGAAAGACCAATAAACTCTAAAATAATCAAAACATGAACAAACTAATTTGGTGAAAAAGATTTTGCTGTGGAGGTATTGACCCTTTTCATATGTATGGTGTGTTTGAATGTGTGCAAAACTATTTCTTTGATCGATCAGCACTTTTGAATAGTTCAATTCAGCAAAAGAAGTTTGTCAGAAGTCACATGCTACATTGAAGTATACATTGCATAATTATGGTTAAATCGGCCATTTTATCCGTTACAATTATTTTGCAGGGTGACTGTAATGTTTGGCCAGTTATACATTACTGTCATTCGCACGTTATTTCGACTTGCCTATCACGGGTTTACAAATTAAAAAAAAAAAAAGAAAAAAGAAAAAAGAACACAATGACTTAAACTATAAAATTTGTTCGACATCTGTTCTTTAAGGCAAAAATCTGCATACAACCTACTCATTATGCTCTCTGTGGGGGCCTAAAGCATATGATCAATCAAGTAAAATGGAAAACCGTATGACAGAAAATAATGTACAATAGAAAAGCTTGAGAGAAATAGAATGACATATATGCTGCTGTAGGTTTGAATGGTTGAATGAGGACATAAACAGTTTCTCAGAGTTCATTTGTGACAAACCCAAGAAGTAACTTTAAATTGTTTTTGTGATCAGATTACATAGCTAGAACAAGATATTAATATTACATGAACTTACCTTTCAGACTGATACTTCTAAAATAAAGATGACTGGAAAATATACTGTAACACACCTGAAGTCATGTTTTTGTAAGTGTGGTTTGATATCTGTAACTTTACATCTACAACTTAATTAAGTTCCACCTCTCAGCTCCCAGCAGCCTTTGAAGAATATCTTCTGATATATCATGTCTATTTTGTAGCAATGCCATTTTCTTACAACAGGCAGTAACATGTGTAGTAAACACACATGTACATACACATATAAGTCTGTGCTCTGCAGTGCGGCCAGTAGCTTTTTATTTGATAGTATTGCAAGGAGGTGTAAATAATGCATTTTATTGTAAAGATTACTTGGAAAATGTGCAGGTGCATTTTATTTATATACTTTTTGAGGAATGGTCATAAGATTTACATTTATATTCAAATTATGTTAACTTTTCTGATGATAAATAACAAAACTGACGTTTAATCCTAAATGACACAACTGTTTGTCAAAATGATGAGTGCCTCTCCAATCAGAAGTCACTGCAACATTAGATGGCAGTAGCGTGCCTCTGTTGTTTATTTATGGTCGTGCAAGAGCGAAGAAGAGTTTGGAGGAGGAAGAAGAAAGTTAACCGAAGTAGGGAAAGAGGCAAAAGAAGAAGAAGTGTGTTTAAAAAAAACAACACGGGTACTTGGCTGTCTGTTAACAAACAAGGTTACAGTTATTTTTAGTGTTATATATTATATCTTGTTTGTTTGAATGCAAAACAAAAAATAATCTCTTTAAATGTTGGAGTTTGTCGGTATTTGAAACCTTTCTTGGTGCACTCGTGAAACTCTACAGGAAGAGGAAACAAGCGTTGATAGTAGCTAGTCCAGTTCGTTACTGTCACTAGCTAACAGTTAGCGGCTGGATTGGTTGCTTGAGAGCTAAAGGCGTCAATGGTAACAGTACATGTTTTTGCCATCGATTTATCTCAGTTTGACAGGTTGGGTAGTGTAAATATAGCCAGGTTACCCAGTAATAGATGAGCTAATTTGAGCTATATCTGTCATCCTGCTTCCTCATGCTAACATCCAGTTTACGTTAGCCGACATGGACAAAACAAAAGAATTCATTGAAAATTCATCCTTTTGAAATTCATCTGTCAATGTGGGCTGCTTGTCTCTATTGATTGGGTTTGAACTGTTTTAGCCTTTGCTTGGTTCACCGGGAATTTGTTGTTATACTTTAGCTCCACTTTGGTGTATTGCATCATCAAGCAAAACAGTGTTGTTAATTGAGATTTCTTTAGCATTTAGCACCCGCCCGTTAACAAATTCTGTTTTTTGTTGTCTTATTTGCACCTCTGCTGCAGCTAAATGCAGTAATGTGGTTACCTCCAGTTAAACATTAATAAATAACAGTGTTCCTTCCTTCGTTGGCTACTCTTAGGGGGAGGAAGCCTTCTGAAGTGAACGCTGATTGCCAGACATGAGTCTCATGAATGGGTTAAGGACGTTCATATGTCAGTAAAAATTACCATTAAATGCCATAAAGTAAATGGTTATATATTTTTTCTGCTGAGATGCTAATTATTTGAAAGTGGCATAGAAAAAAAAAAACATGCGATTTTCTTTTTTTCCCCATTCCACTTCTGCTCTACTGTAGAAAACCTTGGGAGGCTGTTGTGGTAGATATGAAGACTTTTGTACAATTCTGTGCTAATTTATACTTATGTGTTGTTTTCAGGTTACCCAGTGCATCATGTGAGCTGTGTAAAAGCTCTTTAACACCTCAAAGTAGCCACTAACATGGTGGTCCTAAATCTGGCTGTTGGGAACCCTCAGTCTCACTTTTGAATGGGACTTTGGGGGATATGTTGCTACAGATTATGGATTTAGGAAATCCTCTTTCTTGAGATTCAGACTTAACAGCTCTTCACTCAGAAAGCTGTAAGCAACATGGAGAAAGACACTGCAGAGAAGGAGATGGATGATGAGGAGATCTCTGACGGTGATTCTGCCTCAGTGCCAGAACCCAGTCTGTGGCAGGGCGGAGAGAAGGATGACGACTGTGAGCAAGATGACAAAACAGACGTTCTCCATTCTCAGGAAATCCCAACTCCACCTATTCCTCAAGACCCTGGAGCCGGTGAAGCAGACTATTGTGGATCCACGGAGGTTAGAGAGGATGCTGAGGAGGTTTCAGATGGGATTGAACATGATGGTAGTGCTGATCATGAGAATTCCCAGGTTATAAATCAAGAAGAGGATGAAGGTGCAAAGGAGCAGATCATGAATGGAGAGTCTGGCTGGAGGAGCTTGGGAAGTGGAAAAAAGTGCAAGTTAAGAAGCGGTGGATCGGTGTTAGAGCCGAGCAGTCAGAGTGCTTTTTCATCCTTTCAGAAAGGTAATGTTATCTCAAGTGGCGGTCGCCACAAGCAGACCCGGAGACGCAACCACCACCACCATCAGCAAAACAGGGGCAGGCGGCGGACTGGCAACCATCTTGTCTTAGCTTTCAAGGAGATTTTCTCAGAATCTCTGTGCTTCTGGTGCATCTCATGCATCCGCATGTTGATTGAGATTATTGTGACCTTAACTCACAATTGTGGCATTGGAGTGGAAACTGGTGTTGTGAAACTTTACGACTTTGGGCAGCAGCTTCTTTTGAAAATCACAGATGTACCGGGAATGAAGGCAGATGTTAACCGGATCCTGAAATGGACAAAACGCACAGGAGCTAACTTGCTGGATAAAACTGTGAAGTCGGTGAAGTGGGTAAAGACAACAGTCTTGTCTTGTTCCAGAATTTTCTGTGCTTTAGTCATTCTCAGCTCTCAGTGGGCAAAGGGGATGTTGGTCCGTATTGGTGGAGAGAAGGGGAAACGCTACTGGACAGCTTTCCTGGAGTCAAGGTTTTCGAAGATGGTGGCGTCCCTGCTGGAAAGAATTCGAAGCAAGTTCAGGAGGGATCGTCGCACCCCACCATCAACACCTGAGTCTCCCGGCAAAGCAGGAAGAGGTGAGCCAGTCGAAGAGCTGGAGAGGCTGCTGGCACTGGCGGAGGTACCAGAGGATGAGCTGGACCCCTTTTTAGTGCTTGGTGTGGAGGTTCACGCAACAGAGACTGAGCTGAAGAAGGCCTACAGACAGCTGGCTGTCCAGGTGTGTCTGGTGGAGAAAAGAGAATCAGAAGTGTAGCTTCAGTGTTCTGATTGCCTGCAGTAAACACTGATCATCAGCTTTTTTCCTTGTTTTTGGAATTTTCAGGTCCATCCCGACAAGAACAAACACCCTCGAGCTGGAGAGGCTTTCAAAGTTCTCAGGGCCGCCTGGGACATTGTCAGTAACCCTGAAACCCGACGAGAGTATGAGCTGTAAGTAGGCAGAAGGTCCTCAGGAAACACTAATAAAATCACTCAGCATATCAACATTTATTGGTAAAGCCAAGCCTGCCTGTGTCTTCCACATGATTTAGTTAGCTTTGTTTTTGCTTCTGACAACATGACTTTCAACAGCTGGCCTTTGATAACTGGTTGTTGGTACCTGACTTCTCAGATGTTGTCTCATGTGAGTTGTTTCATTCTCTTGCAGGAAGCGGATGGCAGCAACCGAGCTCTCAAAGTCCATGAACGAGTTTCTCACTAAACTGCAGGATGATTTGAAGGAAGCCATGAACACCATGATGTGTACCAAATGTGAAGGAAAACACAAGTATGTTTCTACACGCCGTGCATGATGGTTACAGTAATGGTCTAGTGAGCGTTCACCACAGTGCTGTTTCTGTAATGTGTTCCATATGTGAAGGCGATTTGAGATGGATCGTGACCCAGCTGAGGCCCGCTTCTGTGCTGAATGCAGCTGTTGCCACAGCGCTGAGGAGGGGGACCTGTGGGCCGAGTCCAGCATGTTGGGCCTACGCATCACATACTTTGCTTGTATGGAAGGAAAGGTGTATGATATTACAGGTACACATGATCTGTTATTTACAGATTGTCTGCCCTGCTCAATCATTCAGCACTAGTATTTTTTTTTTTTAAAGTTTCGGTGGCTGTTGGGAAGCCAATTTGAAAAAACATGCATTGCAAACAAACAAATAAACAAAACAAAAACAAACCCGTATCGTAGTATTGGCAACGTCTTGCATAGTGGAAATCAATCAAAACCAGTCGACTTGGCAAAATATGACCAAAAGGAAAATATTTGAGCTGGCTGTATCTGGACCAGTGTTTTAGTATGTTTGTTCTTCTGAATCTGGAACAGCCGGTCAAACATGATGAATCATTAGTGAGGCACCTGCTGTTTCCTAACTTTTTAGCTAAAGTATGTAACACCTTTATTGAATGCACGGAAACTTTGATAAATGCAGAAACGTTTTAGAGAAACTGGAATTTGACATGCCGATGAATCTCATTTTTGAGAATTGTGTTGCTCTCATGTTTCAGAGTGGGCAGGTTGCCAGAGAATTGGCATTTCCCCTGACACGCATCGGGTTCCTTATCACATCTCCTTTGGCGCAAAGAACAACAGCAACACAACACGACACAGGTACGTCTTCACAGGTGTTGTAGTCTGGGATGTCAGGGGAGCTCAAGTTCATCTGTTTTTAAAGAGGCTATTTCTCTGACTGTACAAGTGAAGAAACACTCCCTGATGTCTGGCTGTGTTGGACTTTGGCTTTATTGGCAGCTCAGCTCTGCAATAACCTCCAATAAAACTGCACGAAGGAAAAATGTGACCTTCAGCCACTTACACGATGGTGATGTGTAGTCTGCTCACAATGCGTGTCTGTTTTATGTTAGCTTTCATCTCTAAAAGTGCTCAATTATAGTGTAGAATTGCTTTTCTTTTGGAGCCATTATAGATTTGCTTCTCTGATTGCTGCCTGCCGTCTATATGGGTAAGGCAGTAGGCGTAACCCAGTCCATAATTGAGTCATTAACGACGCACACAAACATCAGGGGTTAATTGCAAAAAACTGTTGATTTCGGACATTTACCAGCAGCCTGTTTGGTCTGGAGCAGAAGGAGCTCCCCCTTGTGTTTGGACGCTCATGTTCAGAGAGAACAAAGTTGCATTTTAGTTTCCTACGCATTTCAGCCAAAACATCTCCACTTCACAAATATCTAATTCATTTGGGCTGAAAGTATAATCTGAACTGATTCACTACCAGAAAGTTTTATCTCTACAAGCAAACTTTTTATGTGGCTTTTTTTAAATGACTTTGTGGCAAAACATTGTCAGATGATTACCACTAGAAGGTTTAAACTCAAAAAGGTGTCGACAATGAATGTGTTTCTTGTAGCTTTGAGGTTTTTCTTTGCTGAAAAAAAAAAACACATGAAACTATTTGTACTCTGCTGCTATTTGCGGTCAAGAAAAAGAAATCCCTCATCAACCCAGGGTGAGGTGCACCGCTATATGCCAATAAAATGTGCATGCAAAACCAAAAACTGTTCATAGAAAACAAGTTGCTCCCACATGCTGAGACCAGGTGACTGGCTCTTGCCAGTAGCATTCCACTTCTTTACCTTAAAAGACTTTGCCTCTTGAGGTTTTCTCTTGGGGAGATGGAAGGGTTTTAATGTGCAATAGCAATGGTGACTATCCACCCCTTTATTTCCATAAACACTCAGGTTTTTATGAGAATTGGTAAAAAAAAAAGTCAAATATTAGATCGGGAATATTAGATGTGTGTACATATCGGTGTTCTTGCTAGCACCCGGTTTATTCTGCTCATAATAAAACAAAGACAGAAGAGCAACAGCTCAGAGCTGAAAATGGGATAAACAAATAAAAAATCTCGGCCCATTCTTTGTTGTCTTTCAGGACGCCCTCAGAAAGTGCCGCAGGTCCCACAAACCCGGCCGATTTGCAGGACTTCTTCAACAGAATCTTCAAGGGAGGACCCCCTAGTGATATGGCTGCCAACGGGAACTTTTTCCCCTCAGGTCCGCCTCCTCACCACCCCCCTGGTGCCGGAGCAGCTTCCTTCTCACCTCCACCAGGTCCCACAGGCTTCTTCATGCCGGGGGGACACCGGCCCGAATCCAGCGAGTCGTGGACTGAGAGCGGCAAACCGCCCCGAAGGAGGAAGAAGGTTCGCAAACCCTTCCAGAGGTGAAGCCCGCTGAGCCGTCCGAGCATCGACCTCACCAGCGCAGGGACTCGATAAATAACGCCCATGTTCGTCTCCCGCCTGCCTTTTGGCGCCACAATCTGGACTGGAGAGGATCCCCGGGTGGAAGGCTGCAGTCAGATCGGCCAGAGCAGAGAGACACTGATCACAAAGAGGACGCAGTTGACTTAATTAAAAGCGTTAGCGAGGTGGTGGTGATGGGGCCTGCACCTCATTTTGTCACCGGTCTTAAACATGACTGTAGCCTTTGAAACTGAAGTCATTATCAGGATGCTGCAATGAAACATTTTTTCTTTTCATATTTTCCTGCCAAATCCTTCGTCTCTGCATGAGTTATTCACCCGCATTTTCATGCTTGGGTTTTGTTGTTTTTTTTGTTGTTTTCTTTTTCGGCTTTGTTCTTGCTTTGTGTGAGGTCGCTCCTAACACGCCGGCTCCTGGCAGAGCGCCTGCTGAGGAGTCGGTGAGATTAATGGATCACTTAACTGAGCTATGAAAAGGAGGAGCTGCACAGCCTCACTGCGTCTGTGTTACGGTTAATAATGATGTTTGGACCTGCCTCTGGAGCAGAGCCAGAGCAGGGCTCTCCATAATTCAGGAGCTGATCCAAACCGGCCAAGCTCCACGCATCTGAACCACATTAACCAAAAAACTCACACGTCAGTTTCTCAAATCTGGGACTTTCCCTTACAGTCCAAACAGTAGGAATCTGCCAGATTACACAGGAACAGTTTTTACTTGAAACAGATAATTGACAAAATAAAAGAAGTTTGCAGAGCTGTTTTCTGCTCAGAAGGATGTTTTCATTTGATTGTGGTTACGATCTGATTCCGGTTACGCACTCAGTCATATTTTCTTCTCTGTGTCTGCTGTCTCTTACAGCCTCTTCAGTGTTAATGTGGTTCAAATCTGAATGTCGCTACTTGACAGGAAAGCAAATGAAAGCTAATTTGGTTGTAATCTCCACAGTGTTGCAGCTCGTAACATCAGTCGGTGGCTTTGTTGACATGGGCCTTGCATAGAAAATCCACTTTAATTTTAACCTTAGCTTCATTTACAAAAGAAGTAAAAGCTCTTATTGTTTATGCCTGATGGATTCTGAGTGTAGTGGTTTGGCATCAATCGAGGCATTTGATAAATGCTTTCTTTAAAAAAAAAAAAAAAAAAAAAAAAGGTTTTTACAGTATCTTTGCGTTAATTTCTTTTAATTTGCACACCCACCTCTGTCATAACAACAGTGGGTTACTTGAACCAGACTCCTCCAGCTGTGTGCACCGTGCTAAGTGCATTTGCAAGTAACGTTTAGGGTTCTTTTTTTGGGGGGGGGGCTCAAAAGCTTAAAAACAAAAAAGAGACACCCTTGGATTGCACAACCATTAGACTCTGAAGAAAACACGGGACCGGAAGAATTTTTCTGTAAAGCAACTTGTGGAAAGAGGAATTGTGGCAAGTTTACCATGTTTCTGTTCTCTTTCGCTTTGTCCGACCAGTTTTCCAAACATGGAGTGAATCAGTGAAGCCTCAATGACCAGTTTCATGTAAAACTAGTCCTGGATTGAGTTTGTTTTGGTAAAAAGCAAACCAAAAAAAAGCAAAGACAAAAAGAGGTTCTAATAATAGTTAAATCTGGGTTAATTAGAATGGGATAACTGAAATGATTGTTGTTTATATGACAAAATCATATTGGCTCCAAATCTGCAATTATTTTGTCTAACACATACTTCTTTTATACCATTGTAATTGTAGCCATGCTTTCCGATCATAATAAAGTTGCAATGATCAGCTTCAGCCCCTGTTTTGGAAACTTATCGCAACCATGACAACTTAAATGCGATGCTTTGTTTTTCACACTTTGTGAGCTGAGCTGGCACCGAGCTGTGTCAGAGCGGCAGCAGAGTCCCAAAAGAGCCGGAGTTTTGTCCTTTTTTTTTCTTTTCCAAGTTTTTGACAGGATATGCAGAATTATTATTGCAAAAAAATATATCAGACAATCATCAGGGTTTTTTGTAGGGCATCTAGAGGCAAGTTCCGGGCCGGCGAACAGTTTCAAAATTTCACTGTTGGGTTTATTTTCCCCGCTTTCTAAAAATAAAGATGATTTCATATACGCAAAAAAGTTTCTTCCAATTTCTACTCAATGTTTGCGCATGGTTTGGCCACTTCAGTGTGTGCGACTCAATATAAGCTTAGTCTTTGAATACATTTACAGTGTAACAACCTGTTCCTGCCTGCACTGGACCCAGCCCTACTGGAGGCTTAAGATGCTTGTTTTATCTGTTAACCCGCAGTGAAAAGAACTTTGTGTCATTGTTCTACCTCTTTCTTTTTTCCACTCGCTGACCTTTAACCGCCTGTCATGTCACAGAATGTCCTTACAAGGAGTCTTAGAAAAAGCTGCCTGTGATTGTGGACTTTGGAGGTGATGTCATCTCATCCAAAAAGATGTTTAAATAGACAGTTTAAATCCTGATTGGGGGGTCTGTCTGTGTGGAGTTTGCATGTCTTTCCAGGTATTCAGGGTTTCACCCTCCATCCAAAAACATGGATGTGAACTTAACCGGTTATTCTAAACTGACCCAAGGGGTAAGCATGAGTGTGCAGCGTAGCTGGACGTGTTAGCCCCGGGTGCGTCCTACCTCTGGCCCAAGAGCAGCTGGGACACGCTCCACCCCCCCACTTGGAACCACAAATTAGATTACTCCAGAACAAATTTGATCAGTGAACACGTGGAACAAATTTTCTTTTACATATAATTTTTATTGTTTCGTTTCTCTGTTTTTTGGTTAAGAACTGATACTCGACTTCCACACATATATTTATACAAATTCATAAATCTGATTGAAAATAAAACCTTTGCATTTCTGGTTAAAGATTTTCACCTTGATTTTGACCCATCAGTCTTGACTAATATAGAAAACATTAATATGATCCCCTTTGTAACGTTAAATGCTTGTGGTTGTGCTGACTCCCTCTCTTTCTCCTACAGCGGGCCTTTCAGAGCACTGACGATGCTGCGTAAATGAGAACAGTCCCGATACGCCACCAGTCCGCCTCCATTAGCCCACCGGTTGGCTCCCTTGCAATCAGTGGAAGCCTGGTGGTAGGTCAGTTCCGTCTGGTGATCCCGAGCTCCAGAAATATGCTGCAGACTCTGAGTCAAGTCCACCACACCCCCTCCGAGTGCTCTGAGCAGAGCGTGAGGGGCGCAGGAGTCCCACTTAAAGGTGCTCCCCTCTGAAAGCACATAAGCATCCGCCAGACCCAGGATGACGCACAGGATCTTGTATCCGGCTCCAGACGCATACATCAGCCTGTCAGGGCCACACAGCGAGGTCAAAGCTTCTTTTACCACCTGTTTCTCACTGGAACTGAGCACCACGGATGGCCCGTGCTCCCCTTCTGGTCCAGCTTTGGGCAGGGACACCGAGCAGACGTTGACACTGCCACAGCACACGCCCCAGTAATGCTTCCCCCTCCAGCTGAGAATGCAAATAAACTGGTCAGGTCAGATGGCCAAACGTCATGCTGTAAAAACTTGCAGCTAACCACAAAAATCTGTGAAAGGAGGATGACAGTAGGTAGAGCACTGGTCATGAGCTCATTACCAACGTTTTTAAAAAAGATGGCAAGTTGGGTATGTTGGATATTGTTTTTAAAAAGCTAAAGGCTGAAGTAACTCAAGGTAAAAGCTTTGAGATCCTAGATATTCAACTATTAAATGATTAGGCTCACCTACAGGTAAACATTCATAAGTAGGGGGATGGGTTAAAGAGGTGGCTGAGGAGTTTTTCTGGTTTTTATCGTGATAAAGTTATACGCCCTTTTGAAATCAATAGTGTCTTAACATGACGAAGACGGCTCTGATGGATATTTTGGATGTTCTGATCCCTACTGATGAACTCACCCTCCACCCGCTGGATCTTTGTGGTTAAAGGGCTGGTTGATGACGCCCATGACGGGCTCGCCTGTGCTCCGGAGGTACGCCCCAATGAGAACCAGCGCACAATGCAGACCTGAAGGGGACAAGTGACCCTCCTCCAGCACCTCCTCGCGTCCCTTTATGTACTGACTTGTGGCATCTAGGCAAAATAAAGATGACACAGTAGAAACATCAACGCACATCAATATCAGCTGGACTCCCAGGAGTTTTTCAATGTTCATTTAAGATCAAAAGTGGGCCTACCTATGGGGTCGATCCAGATGCCCAGCTCGGCGGGGCTGAGGGGAACGGCGAGGCCATCTGTGCTCGCCTCTATGGTTGCCGGGTCTTGGTGGATGGCTTGAGCTAGCAGAGAAGCTGCCGTGTGGTCGCCGTCCAGCACCGTGGCCAGCAGTTTGGCAGTGTCTGCCTCCGTGCTGCACACCGTGACTGTCACACTCTCTCCTGGTGGCACACGGAGACTTCATTTACTCTATGAACCACTTGAAATGTTTATACTGTGCAACGGGCCGCGTGTTGAAATGTTTACACAGTGACTCCTCTGCCTTTTCATTCCACTGCACCACGTGCTTATAATTATCCCAATTATCCTATCGCTAACTGGCATTCACTTAACATGACTCGATACGCAGTGTGGTGTGTGTAATACCAAGTAATTACCAAGCCCGTTTTCAAACTTGTTGGACTCTTCTCCGTGGATGAAACCCACCATCTCTGGGAACTGTTCAAAAAGCACCACAAGATACCATGAAAATGCAGTCCAGTTGTAGTTTGGATTCTACTGCTTCACATAAGAAGTTTCTCTAACCCGAGCGCCGACGTCATGTCTGATCATCTCCTGGATCACCACGTCGGCCAGCGTCTTGAAGTCCTGCACAAACTTCTTGTTCTTGTCCTCGCCGGTCTTCTCCTGCACCAGCAGCTGGAACAGAGGAGCCTCCTGCCTGCAGACGCGAGCCACGTTGGCAGCCTTCTCAGCCACCCGCAGCAGCAGCCTCAGCAGATCAGCCATTCCTGGACCAAAGTCAGGCGGGGAGGCTGCACACTCTGTGTGAGGGAGAGAAAAAGAGATAACGGAGGTCCCACTGGTACATGCCGGGCTAATTATAGTCTCAAAATGAAAACAGGGCATATCTGAAAAAAGAGATGTGGGGGAAGGATGTGGCTTTAGGCTTTTGCATCTAAACCAAGGAAACGTCAGTATTTGTTCCTACTGGAAAACTCTGTGACACAGCTCAATAAGACATAAGGAAGAATAAGGATAAACAGAACAACGCAATTAGTTCTATTTGACTGACACCTGGGGATGTCAACACCGGCCAAAGAGGTCCATGTAACACAAATGTTTATGTAATTTGTTCACTGAATTTGTTTCCACTTGTAACCTGTCTGCTGCATTATAGTCCGTAGCCTTAGCGAGACGTAATACAGTAAAGGGGTGATATTTACGTGATGGAAAACCACCGGTGAAATGAGAAAAACCTTACAAACTGTATTTATTCTCCTCTTCGCGTTTTCCCCCGTCAGAGCAGCAGACCCCAAACGCGGATGCTGCAAATCCACAGAGACGGTAAAAAAAAAAAAAAGGGCGTAAACTTTACATGAAATAATTACATTAAAGGTCCAAACTGTGGCTGAGATCTGGGCGCTCCGTTTTTCACGTCAGCCTCGGTGAGCAGGAAGCTGGACGCTCCACCCACCCCACGGCTGTAAAACGCAAGGTCACGACATGAACGCAGGCAGAGAGCTCGGTCGTTAAGGTAGAGCTAACGGGAAGCGGGCTGCGGTGCCTTCAAGGCACATTGGAAATTCAAGCATTTTCATCCGGAAATGTCAGGCGTCATACCAGACAAGTTACATGCTTGACTTTTTTTTTTTGTGCCCCCTAGCATAATATAAATATTACCCTGGTATGTTTTACTGAGGCAGAAGTTTCCGTTAAGGAGCAGCAACGTTAAACCCAGGGCAAAGACTATGTCTTTTCAGCTGGATGGTTTACAAATCGCACAGCAGTCGGCGTTCGGTTGTGCATTTAAAGTAGTCTGGTTTATGACCTGGAGATGAAGCAGTACTTCACTTCTTCAATGATCTTACTGGACTATATTTGGCTTAAAATGAATTCCTTGCTTACGATAGAAGAAAAGTTTGGGATGCCCAGAGAGGAAAGTGACACATTTAGACTGTACTATCGAGACTTGGCTTTTTATTATTAATGAAGCGGTGGAGGTGACAATACCACCAAAGAGATCCACAGATATGAAGAAAAAAAATCTGATATTTTAAATTGATTTTCAGTTTCAAATGTTGTTTTTTTTCAATTTCAGCCATTATTTTTAGTTCAAAATTAGTTTTCAGCTGAAAATGTTATTAGTTTAAAATAGGTCTTTCAATTTCATTTTTAGTTTGTATTCTTCAAACTGATTTTATCTTTTGTATTTGATCTCCTCTGAACTTGTAGAAAGCTCTCCCTCTGCTCCGCTCCTCGGCATGTCCAGGCCTGGCTGTTCCAGCTCGATATAACACCTCATCCCCTGAAACACACATTTCGGGTCTGGCTGTAGGTCTGGTGGACATGTCTCTAGAATGTCATGTTTTGTTGGCACACTGATGTTTTTCTATGAGGGATTCTACATGTCTTTCAGCATGTCATTTTGGACCTTCTATCAACATGATGAGAGAAATTGACGATGAATGACACAGTTGCCTGTGATCCCACATGTCATTTGTCATATTTAAAGTTTGGCTCATTAAAAAAAGAGGCCTGACAAGCTTATCTTAAAATCCTGTTTGTCTATCGTTACCCCTACCCTATTGTGCTGAGCTAAATTAAGGTTTTAAAACCCTTTTTGTCACAGAAAGAGTTTTGGATACAATTTGGAAGCTTTTTTTTTTTTTACAACAAGCTGTACGTGAGAATGAGGATCTAAGGCTTTACAAAAAGCAATGAGTCAACAACAGCTTTATGAACATCCTCCCTAAAATACAGAAAGCTGGAGCCTGAATGGCAGAGCTGGGAAGGAACATGGAATATGCACACATTAGGCAAGAAGTTACACACGAGGGACAGATAAACAGATTTAAAAAGCAAATTGCTTTTCATTGATGCTCTGACAAGTGGTGTCCATTAGATGTGCATTATGTGATGCTGGACGGTGAGAGGCTTTCATACGGCTGAGCGATACAGCTCCGTCTGCACAATAATCTGGGCGAGGTCAGTAGCCCAGCACCAGACCAGCGGTGTGAGAGTGTTTAGAAACACAGGAGCTGCTACACATGGCGGTAAGAATAATCTGATGCTGCTCTTCATAAAGAAAACAGGGGGATAAAAAGACTTTGTTATTAGAAAACTTTAAAGATAATAATACAGAATTCAATGGTATTTATATATTTGCATATATAAATATGTATTGATATATGGATTCAGGGGGGAAAAAAACACAAAAACAGCCTTGTTTAAAATAGGAAATGTTTTAATTTGTTGTTGCAGGTCTGCAAGGAGCGTATGTCAGACCTGGAGAGTGGCATGGCCACAATTATTAAAGTTTTCCACAAATACTCAGGCCATAAATGCATACTGAAGAAAGCGGAGCTTAAAGCACTCATCAACAACGAGATGAATCATTTCGTAAAGGCAAGTGTTTCTCTACATTTCAGCATGCTTCATGGCACAAGTTCTCCTAATAATTCTTTTAGTAAGTTGTAAGAACAGCTAAAGGCAGACTCGTGATAAGCAGGTTTTACGTTTTTTTGCTCCAAGAGGCTGGTGTCATGCTGTTTAACAAAGACTGAATTCTGAAATTGATATTATTTCAATTAACAGTCTCATAAAATATTACAGAATCTTTAGTTTTCCCATTCCCACATTCCATTTTCTGTCAATTGTTAAGTTTAACGTAACTTTCCTTTCTGAATAGAAAATTAAGGAAAATGACACTCTGGATGCACTCTTTACGGATCTCGACCAGAATGGAGACCAGGAGATTGACTTCAAAGAGTTCATAGCCCTCATTGCCATGGTGACTTCAGCATGCCATGACCACTTCAGAGTGACCTAGCATGAAAAGGACTCAACATGTGAGCAAATCACTGAATTAAAAAGTGTGAGAAAAACTGAATCAGCATGTCTGCATTGTAATATAATTGTTTTTACAGTATGGCTGAGTGATGTGACTATCTTTAAAAAAGTTAGATGCTAAATCAACATAGTTATTGCATAGTCACACCCTTATTGATCATTGTTAGATCTATATTTATTAATATGAACGTTTCCTGGATGAAATCAAATGCATAAAACATGGAAATGTGAAGAATAGCGTTTTGTTTCGGATTTAAATTACCTTACAGTAAACTTGGTAAGCATAATCGTTCGTGTGAGGAAAAGGACACAGAAATGGACCTGGATACATAACAGGGTCCATAGATTGCACATTAAGCCACATCGTAATGGTCACACAAATATCTGTGGGTTGGTGCTGCTGCTATGAGAGCTTTCCTCCACACTTCCTGGGGCTGAATTGACAGGTCGGACACTGACCACAGGCCTACTTACTGTGGATAATTTTCAGTCTGTTAGATCAAGACAAAGGCATCTTCTTATTTTTCTCCCTTGGCCCTCTGTATGAAAGGCTCTCCTCAGAATTCAGAAGTTCACTGTTCAATTTTGTGATGCTTTACATCTTGAGATTTCCTTCTGACAGAGAGTCAACATCTCAAATTACTTTCCATAAAATCCAGGATCTTCTTCCATGAGTCTTCCTGTGCAGCAGCATGGGGTGCAGGGTAACCTCCCCACAAAGTGACCACTGCAGGGGGAAAAAAGCAAACACTTAGACATTCTGTGGCCTCGGCCTGCATATAGTAGCACTGAGTGAAGTGAACCACAGAAGGGAGCTCACATTTCTTTGGTTTGATGGACCACATTGATGATCTCGAATTGGGGGAATAAGGAGGCTCAATCAGGTGACCAGCACCAGGGTACGACAAACGGGTGAACAGCTGGGATTTACCTGCAGCCCTCAGAGTCTCCTCAATCTGTTGATACATTTATTAAATGAATGAGCAACATTAGGCATGAACATTGACACAAAAAAGATTTATTACTGATGTGAATGGAAATTATATCATCCCTGAGCACAAAGTCATGAAAATCAAAAGAACACCTTCTTTTTACTTCTATGGTTAAATGTGTCAGGACCTTAAAATGCAAAGAAAAAAAGAGAAAAGTTAATGCTCCAGACCAGCAAGCTCTCACATTTGCTCGTAAAGCTTTTGCATGCTGATGATCAGTGTATTTGCAGAAGATGGCTGTCATGTACCCTCTAAGTCATGCAAAAAGGCTCTTCTCAGTTTTGTTCTGCTTTTTGGTTACTTTTTGAAAGACAAATAGTAAAACTATATGTATTGTAATGTTGTTCATTCCCAGTTGTATTGACTTAATTTAAACATTGTAAGGACCAGGTGACCTAAACAAATAAACAAATGATTACGCCCTCATATGCAAATCCTTGGAATAACAAAAGGGAGCAAACCCTTATATAAATGCAGGGTTTTACACGGTTTGTATAACAAAAACCTCATATATAAAGCTTGCAGACTGATTGTGTCAAATTAAAACAGCAATCAGTCTTTTCAAAGTAGTTGCACCTGATCCAGACTTAAATGAGACACTTTACCAGATCTGCAGTCTCTTTGCTTGAAGCACTCAGGTCATCCTCGCCCACTATGTACATCAGTGGACAAGTGAGCTTCTCCAACTGTGAAAACACAGGAGATCACAGATCACAGTTCGTGTAAATTGATAGATGGAGAGAATGATGCAAAAAGGATTCTCATCCACGGGATTGTGATAGACAGACACATGGCATTTGGGTGAATCCTGGCTTATTCTGTCAGATGTGGAGAAATTTAAGTGGGTTAAGGTCTCACACCCTCCATCAAAGTAGGCCTCCACGTGCATCTCAGCTCACTGCTTATGACTGCCTCTTTTACAGTATTGTAACAAACATCTCAGTTGGCTTTGTTCAGGTATAGATACAGCATGAGACAAAAGTAAACTAAGTGATGGTATATTGTCATTGTTAGTATATACTGACTACAGACGCAAACGGATGCTTACCACAAACATAAAGCATGTATAATGCTGCACTCATTAAAAAGTTAATGTAATTCCAAGGGTTGTATTTTGTTCTCTGTGCACAATAACACATCCCCCTATTGGCTACTAAGTTTCTTATGCACCATTCATTGTTATTTTACTCTCAGTAGAGTAAAGCTTTTAGCATACAAAAAGCACAGTTTTCTGACCAAAAACCTGCTCTGGACCTCACTCCTGACATCAAAATGGAAAAAATTCATCATAAAATCATAACATCTTATTACTGCTAACATAAATCCCATAAAACTAAAGTCAGATGAGTTTGTGGTCCTTCAATTTATCCCAGGACATAATTCTATAAGCACTGTTAAAAAAATGTCACCACATAGCATATCCCACATCACCTGTGTCCTGTATGAGTTTATGAGTTGATAACCCAGGAAATGTGTTACTATAGGATTAGACTGTTTATGTCTCGTTACCTTGACGATGCTCTCAGGGAAAAGGTTGGCAGGTAAGGAGACCTCTTTGAAAATTACATGTCCTTGATCATCATACGTCCAATATTTTTGGTCACTGAAATGGTGGTCATTGGTTAATTACCTGAGTCTAAATCAATAATAACCTCAATAACTGAGAAACAGGTGAGAAATATGATTGGATACGAAAGTAAGGAGGACTGAAACTGACATACATAAAAATGAAAGACGAAATACAAATAAATTCTAAGGATATAAATAATAAAATATTCAGATCCAAACAAATTGCTTAAAGAAATAGCATGTTGAAAATAAAGAGAGAATGACAATTTCAAGAGAAAATGTAGAAGCTGTAATTACTAGCTTGAAAATAAAACAGAAATAATTTAAACCAAAATGGTCACATAAGTCACTTATAAAGCATGTGATAAAACAATAAAAACACAGGTTTATTTACTGAGATATTCATATATTTATGCTTCAGTCTCCATACCCAAAGAGGCCTGATCTTTTACTTTCTTGATACAAACTTTTTCCAACTTCTTTTGGTATAGGGGGTAAAAATGAATTATTTGATAAATTCAGAATATTCACACGCGATACAAAAACATGATGGCAACCAATCAATTTGAGAAATAACTAGCCTTCAACACCAGTCACTAACCTTTCAAATACTTCTGTCTTGCCACTTGCATCTCTGAGTGGAACTGTACTCCCAACTGGGCCATTGATGCATATCAAACAGGATGGCTGTGGGAAAATATCTATGGAAACTTAATTCTATTAGCTAATCACTCATAATTCATTCATATATAAAGTAATGAGCAGACAGCTGATTTAAGAACAGACGTGACCAACTTGAACTCCAATTCGAGTTGCGATGCGAAGCGTCAGGTAGCATCCAAATGAGAGGCCAATGATGCCAATTCTGTCTGCAACGACTTGACTGTGATCTTGAAGTAGGTGGAAGGCTGCCTGTCCGGACACAACAATTGGGAAATTTTAGGAACATTGGAAACAGGGCAATGATTGTCTCCTATTTTAAAGCAAAACATGAATGCCGTGCAGAAATGGACTTTCTCCTACCTTAAAATAAGAATCCCCAACATTGACACGTTTTGGTGGGCCGGGCAAGTCTTTGTGCCCTATATAGGCAACAACCAGACTGGCGTACCCTTTGGATGCAAACAGTGAAGAGCGATACTCTGGAAGTCCTCCACCCATGCCCCACAGATCCAGCATGGCTGGAAACGGGCCTGGCCCTGCAGGACGACACAGCAATAGCTAAGAACTTCCTTAATGCGTAAAGCTCAGAACAATCTTATGCTACATGTGAATTACAGATCTGGAAGGGCAGTAAAGACTGCATCATTTTAACAGATGCTCACCAGGAGGTAAAAATAACGTCCCCACAACTCCGTTTTGACGGATCTCTGTCCTCCTCACTCCTGGTGCCATGTACCAGCGCTCGGTGGTCACAGCTGCCAGCTCTGGCAGCGGCCCTTCATTCGGTGAGACGTGACCCTCCAGTAAGGAGATATTAACCATAGAAGGAGTCTCCACATTTTTCTTCCTTAGCCTGTGAAAAAAAATTGCCAATAATTACGTAAAAGGTGGGTGGAAAATATCAATTTAAAATGACCACTGCGTTCAACTTCAGCACCCTTTAAGTAACAGGAGTTATTGCATGGGCCCGGTTAGGGCTTTTCACCCCGTGTAAAGAGAAACCTGCTTGGGTCTAATGTCACAAATTAAATTCTGCAGAGCTTTCAGGACGTCTGTTCTCATCATCATCTACCTCAAACCCTCTCTTGCTCCGGGAGCAGGCTGCATCCCCCAAAAAAGTCCCATTGGCTCACAGCCCAAATAGGAGCCTCCGATCGAAGCCTCACGGGTCACTGGGACATGGGGCAAGGAGGCGGTAAGAGGAAAATAAATGGAAAAACTGAGTCGTTAAAAAGTTGGCTCCACAGTAAATAAGTACATAAAATGGCAATCTGAAACTTTAATGAGTAATGTTTTGTGACAGACTTGGGAAATTAAACAACAAAGTCACAGAGCAGATCTTTGTAAGTTTTTTAAATGGGTTTACTTTACTCACTTTTTCACAGTGAAAAATGTGTTTAATCCAATCATAGAAATCGCTACATAATCTAGTTAGCATTTTTAAGTACCAATGTTTACTTTTAGTCCCAAGTTAAAGCGGCATTCATTTAAAAGTGTTTGATGCAGACAGTTTTTACACGTAGGAATGAATACATATAAATAAACACTTATGCATGAAACCTCAGCTTCACTTACAGCTAACAGTGCCGTCGGCATTAGTGTTATAATGAGCAAATGACTCCCACAGGTCCCCATCATCGCTGTGCAGTCGTGCGCACACTGTGACTGGAGAATGTGGAGGAAGGAAACGGCCTTCAATGCTGATCTGCTCATCAACGAGGGCACGAACGGGAGCAGCTGTCAGTAGAGGGGCTTGTCTAAAGCTGCTCTTTAACCGAACTGGACCTGTAGGGTAAAAGAACAAATTCCCTGACAATAGAGGAATGATAAACCAGATGATTGCCAAACACAAAGGGTTGTGAAGTAAGACAAACTGATAAGAAATGGAAATTATGGTTTCCCTTTTGATCATCAGACTCAACAAAGAGATTTACAAGCACTGTAATGACAATGACAATGTTGGAGCGTTTCAGTGAAACCACATTTATGCGCGGTGCAGTAGTCGAAAAATTAGTCTTCCAACTGGTTCTTTTTGTGTGGTAAAAGTTCCACTGTATTGTTTTCTAATCATTTCATTGGCTACAAGGGAAATCTTACCTGCAAATGTAGCTTCTGTAGAGGATTTCAGTTACAGAAAAATGACCATACTGTGAGGCAGTTCTAAAAAAAAGTCTTTATGACTACACAAATATTCCACATTACATATTTAGAGGACAAAAAAAAACAAATAACTTTACCCACAATCCGCTGCAAACTTGATAGTTTTCTATAGCCACTGGGACTTGGTGTATGATTAATTTCCATGAGCTGCCATATTGTCACACTCACACGTACTCTGAACATTATGGCATCTGTTGTCTGGCCTGCAAAGAGAAAAGATTCAAAACTAAAATTCACAAAGCCCTTTTGCCATGTCTGTTTTGTAAAATGTAGATTTCTGTAACCAGTGAACGGAGTTGTAAGGCTAGTTTAAAAAAGAAAAATACAGCTGGTCAATGGCTGAAACAAACACACTGCTCACAAACTTTCACTGCCTGAGCCCATGTGTTACAAATTATCCTTCGACCTTTGTACGGCATAACTTACTAGTGCAGCTTTGCTTTAAACTATCTTTCAATATATAAACTTAAGGAACTGGTTAAGAATGTGAAATCTCTATTTTTCCTTGTTTGCCTTCAGGTTTTGATCAGCTGGAACGACCACTAACCAGCACACCAGCAGGCAGGCTTTCCCTGCACCAGAGAATAGAACACACACTGCACTGGAAGAATAGGAATCACTAAGGCGGAAAGCTTTAAGGCATTTTGATCTATCATGCAGCAGTAACACATGGATTGTGCCTTTTTGGCCAAGGAAACAGATTTTTTCCCTCTAGCCTGATGTAAAAAACAAAACACTGGCAATGTCTTATAGACAGACTTGCATGAAGTTTATGTAGACACATAAATCAGATACAATTTAATACCAGTACAAAATTCAGATCTACCATCACTTGCATGGAAAATGAGTTAGCAATAACGTCCCCAACAAAGGTTTTAAAAGACTCGAGCAAATCAAACAGAAAAATGCATATGATCATGTGATTTCAATTTGCACCTTTTCCTGTTGCTTCCTGGCCGAATTAACTTTGAACTCTTGGGTTCCACGCATTGTAAAGCCTGAGTGTTCTTACCTGCTCAGTTTCTGCAGAGGAACGGGAATTTCCACGGAAATGGTCTCACTGTGGAGACACCTGTGGGTGGGGCAATCCACGATACATCAATCGTTAATCCTTTTTTCGGTCTAATCTGTTCTCTCCCAGTCTCGGACTTTCCCCCCACTTCCTTTGTGTTTTTACTGGAGAGAAAGTGTGTAAACCTGTGTGTAGCGGGACCACTGCCAACTGGGAAGGGGGCTGTCCTTCCTGACGGGACTGAAATGTACTGAAAGGGGGGGGCACGGAGTCTTATTACATATATAGACATATAAATAAACATAAATAACGATAACTTTTTAATTTGAAAACTTCAGCGTTTTTAAGTTGAAAGTACTCCGACTGGTCATGTATTTACTTCCGGTCTGTGGAGGGATCAGCGTTTGTCTATGGGGTGCCACCAGGGACATAAATCAGAATTAACATCCATACACACATATGAAATTAAGCTCTTTCACATACTGTCTGCTCTGCTGTCTACAAACAATATTTTTATTAATGGTTCCCAGTTATGCCCCAGTTACAGCCCAATAGGAGGAAAAGCTGTTTCCTAAAGTTTCATATAGCATTATTTTCCTCAGGTGGATGAAAACTGACCTAGCGATAAGTGGTCAGCTAAGAAAAGTGGGCATTCGAGATTGCTGCGAAGACACTTTTTGGTTACTATAGTGCCCCCAACATGAATCTTTCCAACAAAATATCTGATTATCATTTTGTATTTCACCCCCCACAGATCACAGTGGATGGACCAGCGGGCAGCACTCAAAGCCAGTTGTTAACATCTGTTGGGCCTGGATGTGTAACATCTGTCAGAAATGGCCAGCAACTTCCGCAGCTACATCTGGGACCTGGTCTTTGTCTACATTTTTGCAACCATTCATCTAATCTGCTTCAAACATTGCAGCTTTTTGGCTGCTCATTCTATAAAGAGAGGTTATCTTATTTTTTGGGGTTGAAAATTACCTTTGAGCCCTGATGCCCTGTGTCAGAAAGCCATAGTTTAAGTAGATTATAGTTTTACCTGTCAGTTTGGTATAAGAAGGATATATGTTTGACATATCTGATAATCATCTATCATAACTTTTTGAGATGACTTAAAGCGTGAAACTGCAAATATGATCTATTCTGATTTGCGATACATAGACAGAAAGCAGAAGAAAATGAGCTTTAGAAGAAAAAGATTTGCCCTTCAATGAGCGGCAGTAAATGTGCATGTCTATACATCCCTGAAAGTTTTCCACCTCAGGCCACAATTCCTCAGTATCTACCACCACTCTCTTGGTAGGAGGTGTTCAGGTGGAAAGAAGGAAGATAGGGGCCACTAATGGGAAGGAAAAGGCAGTTGAGATTCTCATTAGCAAAACTCTGCTTTAGGGAATTTAGGGAAAACTAAAAATAACATCTGTAGCAGTCAACTTTGGTTGGAAACTATTTCGACATTAAATCCAGCAGGTGGCAGTAAAACAGCTTCACAGATACCATCTGCCGTAAAACGTCAAAGAAGAAGAGGCTTTTCACTGACGTGACGTTTGTGTTTTCATCATGGTTTAGCTGTTGCACGAGTAGCTCATCTATGGTTCACAACGCCAGCTAAAATCTGACAGAGCTTTAAATACATTAACAACCAAACAGACTAAGGTTAAAAGGCTTCTCAAAACCCCACAGGCCCTTTACTCAGGTGTGTATCATCTTTTACTCTGCTTTGTTGATGCTCTACATGCTAAAAACATGCTAGTATTATCACTTGTTTTCTTCCGTAAGAAACGTCAGTATTCTGAACAAGTATAAGAATAGTCTGTATTTTATGTTTACTCGATCTCTGCGGCTATGTGGAGTTTCTGAGTGAGGTTGTCTCTAACGAAAGCCGTTAGCTACACGGCGCGACATGAACTTCATGCTAATCTGAGTGTGTGTTGGAGGGGGGAAGCCAGTTGTGTCTTGGAAACTACCTCGGTGGAATTTTTTTTCTATTCCTGGTGGAGCACAATTTTTTTGTGCAAAAGCAATGGGATCAATCGCAGTATGAGTTGTCTATTAACATATAAATGAGTTTGTTGTCTTTCTCTCATTTGACTCTATTGTAACATGCCTGTGTTGCTTTACTTTGGCGCTCTGCTGTTCTCAACTGTGTGTTTTACCTCTTGCTTAAATCCATGTAAGAGGTTATCTCAAAAATGTTCCTTATATACTGTAATTAATCTTTTTTAATTGAAGCCCATTATTGATCTGTAACTTACTATCTCCAAAGTCCTTGAGGAAAAAAAATGTTCTGACAACAACTTATGTATTTTCAGTGTGCATTTAGACTGGAGAACAGTACCGCAGCCACTCACTTGACTACTTTAATGCTATATAACTTTTTTAATAATGATATTTAGAGCTGACTCTTTTTACAGTTTACATCTGTTTATTTTGTAAAGCAATTAAATCAGAGCTGCCGTTTGCATTTTGCTCTATAAATGTTGTCTAATATTCAAAACCCACAATCTGAAGTAATGTGTTGCCATTGCCTCTGCTTTTCAGATCGTGCCACCCCCCACAGTTCACAGTGGATGGAGCGGGCAGCACTCAAGGCCAGTTGTTAACATCTGTTGGGCCTGGATGCGTAACATCTGTCAGAAATGGTCAGCAACTTCCGCAGCTACATCTGGGACCCGGTCCTCATTGTGTGTCAGATTGTGCTGATGCAGTGCATCTACTATGGCTTCTTGGGCCTGTGGTTGGCTGGAGTAGACAGCCTCGTACACAGCAGTCGTTCACTTGATCAGATCTTCAGTTATGAAGTAAGTTTTCTGGCCTGTGTGTGTATGTTTCTCTCTGTGAAAGTTCTGAACTCTTAAAATGATTTTTACTTGTTTGTGGCTCTCTTTTGTGTAGGTCCTTGGTTTTGCAACTATGCAGGGCAGGCTCTCAATGATGGCGTTCATCTTGAACTCTCTGACCTGGTAAGACATGGCCTCATTTCTTTTTTTTCTCCACAAATAACTTTAAACACTAAAGCTGCCGTTTGCTGTGTTAGATTGTCTTCTTTCACATGAGTCTTTTTCTGGTCTAATTGTTCCTGCAGCGCTCTGGGTCTGTGGTTCTTCATCCGGCGGGGGAAACAGTGCCTGGACTTCACAGTCACTGTGCATTTCTTTCACATGATCGGCTGCTGGATCTATAACGCTCACCTTCCTTCTGCCCTGTCCTGGTGGCTTGTGAACATCGCCTGCATGGCTCTGATGGCTGTCATTGGAGAGTACTTGTGCATGAGGACTGAGCTCAGGGCCATTCCAGTCAACACCGGACCCAAATCTAACCTCTGAATTTTCCTTGCATTTTTTATGGATTGTTCTTGTAAACGAACTCATCGAGAAGGATTTCCACGCTCTGTTAACGGAGAGGAACATGATGAATTATCATGCCTCTTCTCATTAAGTGACTCGTCTTCATATTTATTCATTGCTGCTCGGTAAAGGTTGGACAGTATTAACCCTGTAGTATAATAAAATACTTCACAATGCTCTTGAAAGCAAACATCAGTTCACACCTTCACTCTAATGGTAATAATAAGAACATAGATTAAAACATCCTATTTGCTAACTTGAGATCTATTTCTGTCTCAGCTGCATATTTTAAGTTCCTGCTTCCTCTATTGTATATTTCTGATGTAATAAAATCACGTTTAAAGACGAACTCCGGGGATTATTGTCATTACAGTGCATTCATAGTCTGTACTGCATTTTACAGAGCTGGCGTTTCACAGTCTTCATTTCAAATCTAAAAAATCAGTTTGAGTTGTAACATGAAATTTGCCATCAGTATTGTAAAACATGATCGATATTAGCTACAAATATTGTCTGCTGTATAACCAGGAGATTGCTGCAATGGTTTCTTCAAAGAAGAAAAATGAAAAAATGACGTGTGTAAACTTTCTTTACGCAGCTGCTGTTTGGGATCCGACACAATCGGGCAATCACTCCAGTGAAATGAACAACGTCCGCTTCAAAGTATACATCCCAAAAAAATACCACTAACTGAGTGTTTTCCAGGTTACATGACAAACTGACGGGACCATAAGGGTAAAACAATAGCTTTCTATGAAAACTAGGCATCAGAAACCTGAATCCGTCAAACGAGAAAACAGACAAAGTCTCGCGACTCCACGTTCCATTTTCGGAGGTTGGCCGTTTGAGAACACGAGCTCAACGAACCTTCGCGAACTTTTGCGAAAATTCCTCGTTACATCCAAGCTATTTGACGTCAATGGTGACGTCATCGTTCCATCACCCCAATGACGTCTTTGTGACACCTTTTTGACGTCAAAGCCCCTGTCTGTATTATACCCTCACGAGCTATCTTTCAGTTCACATCCACACCAGTTAGCTGTTCACATCATGTCTTCAGTCTCTGAAAGTTTGGAAGATAACATGCCAGAAGTAAATGCAAATCCCTCCACTGAGGAGGAAATCGAACAGCTGAGGCAAGCAATGCAGAGTCTTGAGTTCAGTAAAGAAAAATTGCTAGAGGAGAACAATAAACTTTATGCCGAGGTGGCTCAGCTGGAGTCAGAATATAATGTAAAAGAGGAGGAGATCAATGAGCTGAACGCTAGAGTGTATAACATGGACATCCACTTAGAAAGTTCAACACAAAAGCTCAGGGATCAAGAAGAGCTCTTAGATAACCTCGCCCAACTCGAGCACATGACCAGCACCATGAAGTCCAAAAACAAAATGATGACAGCAGAAATAATGGATTTACAAAAGTGCGAGGATTCTCTGAAAGAGCAGAACCAGGGTATTCGTACCGAGCTGACCCTGATTAGAGACAAGATGGAAACGAAGAAAGCATATAACAAACATTTGAAAGAAGAGATTGCAGCTCTGCAACAAAATATAGTGGCTCTGAATGAGAAAATCCAGAGCCTGACGGAGGAGCTGGCACACACTGAGACTGTTAAAAACAAGAAAATCAAAGAAAATAAACAGCTGAAAACTTCCATTCAGGATCTCCAGTACCAGTTGGAGGATGTGCAGGAAGTGATTCTGACTAAGGACGAGCTGATAGCTAAACAGGGCAGGGAACTCCTCCATCAGACGGAGCTGATAAACGAACTTCACGAAATCATCAAAAGTTTAAAACAAGCGGACAGAGATATGAAAAGGAAGCTTGAGGAAACTCAGCAAGAGCGGATCCTCTGTGCTGATTTGTTCCTCTGTGATCCGTTTCTCAGATCCGACTATGAGGATTGTGTCACACATGTGGAACAACCCCTCACGCCTGGGACTAAAGACCACGAGCCCCCGTCTGAAACCCCTGTGAGAGCAGATGAGGGGCTGGACACGGGTGATGCGGAGCCACAGCCCCACACCCCCCCGGCTGCTGAACCTCAGCACCATGACGACTCTCCCATGGAAACGTCCACCACTGGATCCCAACAGCTGGAGCCTATAGCCGATGACTCTCAACACCTGGAGCCTATAGCTGATGACTCTCAACAGCTGGAGCCTATAGCTGATGACTCTCAACAGCTGGAGCCTATAGCTGATGACTCTCAACAGCTGGAGCCTATAGCCGATGACTCCCAACAGCTGGAGCCTATAGCTGATGACTCTCAACAGCTGGAGCCTATAGCTGATGACTCTCAACAGCTGGAGACTTTATTGGATACCTCAACCTATGCAACACAGACCACATCTTGGTTGCGCTTCTTTACCAAATGCGCATTTCAAGGAGCTAAATATGCTCTGATTACCGGCTTTTCTTGTTTCCTCACAGCAAAGCTCTATAGCCTCCTGCCGGACTGCAGCTCACAGGGGCCACTTATATTCTGAAATATTCAACATTTCAGAAACACCAAAGACAAGTTTAATGAGGACATGGACCTGTTTATAAGACCCCGCTCTTCAGAGATAAAATCCAACCCTAACTCTTACCCTTTACCTCCCTACCCCCTCTGCTACTTTAATAATTCCAGCTTTTTTACAAGTCTCTTCATGATCTTGTGCGATTATCTGAACTTTTTTACTTCAGATTTAGTCAATTTAGTTTAACCTCTTTTACTATAACTTATTCTTAATTTCTGCTTTCAAAGTCTTACTTTTTAAAGTAAGACTTTAAAAAGTGGCCCTGCAATGGACTGCCGGACTGTCCAGGGTGTACCCCGCCTCTCGCCCATTGACCACTGGGATAGGCTCCAGTTCTACCTGCGACCCTATTAGAGATTAAGCGGTATTGATAATGGATGGATTGATGGACTTTAAAAAGTAAAGTTAAGCTTTACTTTACTTTTTAAATTTTCTTCTTTAACCTTTTATGTAAAGCACTTGTATACGAATAATAATAATATTGCCTTATGCATGTGGATTGTGCTGTACAAACAAATCTGCCTTTCCTTTCCCACTCTTTCTGTACTTTGCTCTATCTTCACGCTATCCCCTGTTTTCATAAACTATGGGTTGGTAAAGGGATCCAAAAGCAGGGACCAGGGAAAAAACACAGGGGTAAACCAAGGAAACTAGGAAAACCTGAAAATTCACAAGGGATAACAAAAGGTGCAGCTGAAGCAGAATAAAGACTTAACTGGGGAAAAAAATTAAACCTCGAGATAAGAAGAGAGTTGAGTGGGACCCGAAGTAAACTCAGAGATACAAGGGGAAGACACAAAAAACCCAAGATACATACTAGAATACAACAGGAAACTTAATACATGAAACAACACAACTTACAAAAACAGAAACCACAAACATGACAACTGTTTGTGGCTGATTGTTAGCCTGATGCTAACAGTAATGTTGTTTCTGCATTCTATCGCTTTAGATAAAAGCGTCCCCCAATGCAGAAACATAAGCATGCATTCAAATTCAATACCAGCAATAAAAACAACCAAATCAAACTCTCATGTTGTTTGACCTTCTGTAGTGTACTGTTTTTATTCAATGTATATGGATTGTATCTGTATTTGCTGTTTTTTTCATCCTTCTAATTTTTTATGCTTTAGAATTTTACAATCACTACGGAAATAAATGCCTTTTCATAAGCTAATTAAGTCTTAAGTTCTTGAATTTTTCTTGAAATCAGCAGGACTGTGATGTCTACCTTTATAAATGGTAACATGCCTGTGATAGCCGTGCTGTGCTGGTGCAGCTTGGGTTGATGGGAAAAAGACTAATCCTTGGACCGAAACCGGGAGTGCAATTATAATTGGCCGTGCTTCAGAGGTCAAAGGCATGGTCTTTAATGAGGTGCACATCAAGTGCATGTCTATATCTCTACAAAGGTTTTCCACCTCGGGCCAGGATCCTTCCGTTTCTTTCACCACTGCCTCTGCAGGAAGTATCCAGGTGGAAAGAAACAGATGGGAGAGCACTAACGAGCAGAAAAAGGCAAAGCTCTGCTCCAAGGAAAACTAAAAAGAGAAACTCTTGGTTAAAGATTTGGTGTAAATGCATCCCCATTCAACGTTTCTAAGTGCTGCTCTTCATTTTTCTGTTAAACACACACAAACACACACACGGTATGCCTTGAACTTGCCTCCTTTATTATTACAAACACTTTACTTTTCCGTGTATTGCTTTACAGAGTTATGTCAATAGTGCACATGGCAAATTACCACTGATTCTGAACATGTTTTTACATTCAGGAGTTATTTCTAGGTTAAACTGTACTCAGAGTTTATTATTATGTCGTAATGCTCATGGTCACAATCGTTTTCATGCGATCTGTAACAACATACGGGAATAGAAGGGCTGTCTCAAAAGAAGTTACTGTACATATTGCTCATGCTTTGAGGACATCATACCTGCTTTTTGTATGTTCACTGCCAGGCACACAATAGATGATGCGTTGCTACTACTTTGAAACGAGAAATAAATAGAAACAACTAGAACAAACATGCTCCTGGGGTTAAGAGGCAGGGACTGTGAGAGGAGAAGATTTGCATAACAAAGGTTGCTTTTACACAGACGAGTTAGCCTAAATTCATGCACAGATCAGGACCACTGTACGCCGTCAAATGTGAAATGAACACCGCCAGTTTTCCTGCGGCATTGTCCTCAAAAGAATCATGCACTTGAGAGAAAATATAGGACAGAAAGTATATACCTCACATATATATACCTCACATTTTGCTAATACCAGTTACACTGTTAGAGAAAATGTGCACAGGATGACACCTTTGGAAAAATACAACATAAACACGTGATAAGCACACTTATAATTTGAATTCACTTGTGCGCCAATTTGGAGGATGTGGCCCTGACATGTTTTCAAAGAATGGGTTTTTCTGCTGTTTATTATAGATATACAAGCTCATATAAGATAAAACGTAATAACCGAAACACCTCGCTAAAAAGGCATAATAGTGCTGGCTCAGAACCATTTGGGTTGCTTTTCCGTAATCCGTATCCTGACATGGCCACTGTTATCTAATCTGTGTTCATTTCAGGTGAGCCTTTTCACACAGCGTTTGACAGAAATCTAGTTAATAATTTTCTAAATTCATATTTCACTTATTCTTTTCGCACACACACGCACACATGAACGGGCGATATATTCAAAGAGGGCTGTGACTTGACTACAGCATGAACTTGTGTGTGACAGAGGTGTCAGGTGTTTATTTTTGGTGTCTTTATAGCAGCCGTGCAACATCAGCCAGAGAAAACTGAGGTGACATAAGGGTGACCAAAGGGTTAACATTTGTATACATGTTGCTTGATTGTCGACTGACAACATTTAAAAGGTCTATCTAAAACAGGTAAATGTGCTTTTTGTCTGTAGCCTGTCTGAACATTGATTTTGCCACTGTGTTTGACTGTTGTAGCTGACAGTTTTTGTATTAACTGAGGGCAAAGCTTTACTTATTATTGATATTGCTGTTGTTCATGATCTTTATTGACCATTTTGGTTAAGATTACTTGGCTGTACTGTGACTACAAGCTCACAACAGATTAAAATAGCTGTTTGGTCACTAAAACACACTAAATAAGCATTTTACCAATATATGCATTTCAAAGTCTGACACTCCTCTGTCTGCACATTAAATATGCAACGCACTGGGGAGTTTGTGAATAAGTTGAAAAATATTATAACCCATGCTCGTAGAAATTACTTTTCCCCTCAAGTTCATAGGCATGAAAAATATTACAGACTTGTTGCCATTAGCTGAGTGGGAATAACCTCTTGTTTGAATGAGATGATCTACCATTTCTGTTTTCTTCAACTTGTTTGTGGGGTAAGGTTTGAGGTAGGATGGAGCCTAAACTGCAAAGGCACTCTTATCTCTTGGTCTTGATTGGTGACCTGTTATTGTCATCTCTGTGACCGCAGGAAAATGCAAGGCAATAATGCCTTTTTTGTGCCTAATTTCACTGTTCCACTTGTTGTAAAGAAAATCCAAGTTTGTGTAATGTCAGTAATCAACAGCAGAAGCTCTCTAAACATTGTTTTCAAAGTTGTTGCAGTGAATGAAAATGTGCAGAGCAGTCCATGCAACTATGTGGCAGCTTGTGTTATTAACCGGCTCCATTAATTATATTTCAATACACTGAACCAGATACTTTGCCTTTTATTACAATCTGTTGGTTTTAAAGCTTGTTTTCAAGTTGCTTACAACAAGTTAAAATATTCTGAGAAATGGCAGCTCTTCCTCCAGTCATTGCAAAACTATTAATGTCTCACTGGAGGTGCAAGCTTTAAACTTAAGTATGGTCCATCAAGGCGAGGGTTCAAGTCAAGTGTATGATTCTATATTTATCTTGGTGATTCTTGGTTTGAATGTTTTGAACATTTTAGCAAAACACAACTAAAGGTACCAAAGTAACATCAATAAAAGGCACAGCAAATCCTCACACACTACAGGGAGCTTTTATCCCACCACACGACACGCTGTGACATAACTTCACTTTTTAACAGTTTTCGACGCCCACCCAAAGGAACAGCCTAAATCTAACAGGTTGGTAAAGATTTAAATCAAGACACAGGTTTCATGCACTAAACAGAGCAGTCATTGACATTAAACTAATTTTTGGGAATGTCATTGAAATACGATTGTATCACAAAAATTTGTTAAGATTATCCTCTGGGCTACTTTTTTATTTCTGTAGTTGGGTGTACCTTAAATTGTCAGCCAAACAAACATGCATGAAAATGTGCAGCTTTTACTTTCAAGATGAGGCTTCTGACTTATTTTTGTTTTTTCCTATTTGCATCAAAACATTTACTAGATTTAGGAGGGAAAACTTCATCAAATCTGCTCCCTTAGGTTTAGGACTAAATCATAACTCTGTATAAAATAGCATAATACCTGAATTAGAGAGCTATTTTTTCTTGTTATTCCCTCACTTCCAACAGGTTGTGACTATGCCAAAATGCGCAATTTCAAAGGTTAAGATGAAGAGCATGATTAATATTTCTATATTTTGTTTCATGACTAATTGATGTTTTTGCCATCAAATGGAAACATGAAACCACAGCTTGTGGGTGGTTAGCCTAGCCTTGCTAAATAACTGACAAAGGGAGGGAACAGCTAACTTGACTGTAAATCTAAAAAGCAAAAACCACTCTCAGCACCTTAAAAGATCTATTGGTATCTGTTTAATGAGAAATAGAAAAAAAAACCCTCACCTTATATGTATTTGATTCAGTGTCATCTACCAACTTTAAGCTAAATGACTTATTGTGGATGTGCATCTGTTGAAAGTGTTAATAGTTCTTGCATCTACCGTACTTACCAAATGATTAAATTAGTCTGATAACAATCATAATATATTCAAACTATAGACAAAACAGAGTAAAATTCAACCTTTAGGGAGTTTAATTGAAATTGCTTTTCATCTTATGTTAGACTGCATTGGTTCATGCTTATTTGTGTTAGTCATGTGTCCACCTCTTGAATAGTAACCCAGACCTACAGTTTTCGTGACAATAATATCCCATGAATGCAACAGAGTGTTCTATTCCACCTCGACAGATGGATTGGACATAAATATTATTCTCCACCATCAAGCATATAGGAAGAAAAAGGTTTTCAAATAGTTGGAGAGTTTGAAACATTACTCATTAAAACAGGCATTGATTGTCTTACCACAGACATCCGTGGCTCTACGTCAAACTAATCCTTTAAAACATTTGTCCATCCTAAGTCCTTGGCTTTTAAAGTTGAGTATAGATGGATTGAAACTCAGAGAATGGGGACTCCCGAGAATCCCACTCCTAACCCATCCAAACGGGGTTACTCCCCGTTATGGCGAGCATCAGTGGCAGGGTAAGGACAACCGTCGGCAGACTGAGGCTGGGAGAGGAGCTGGGGCTGCACAGGTCAAACAGACTTCCCTGGAAGCGGATCTTCCGGGAATCCTGCCTCAGAGTCTCCCAGATGGAGCTGACTTCTTCTTGGCAGTCGGACAGGGCCGTGAGGGCACACGTGTGGAAAGCTTCCCAGTGGCTGTGGCAAACAGAAAAACCAGCAAATGACATCAGACACACTCAGAATTCACCCCCCCCAGCATGCCTATTTGCACTAGCTGTCACAGACTAATTATCATGCCAATAATCCATCACTCAGATGGCTACACTGGCCTCAAGCCATGTAAGTCAAACTGAGCTTTAATTACCATGGCAACTGCATCAGATAGTGAAACAATATCACAGACGATAATGTAAGCCAGCAATTTTCAACAGAAGGCTTAAGTGTAAATCTTTGCCTCCAATCCAATGTGCCCGGGTTGTGGAATGTGTGCAGAAACAATGAGATTAAAGGAGAGAAAGTGTCCCTGGAATTTCATTACTGCTGCAGCAAAGTCATAAATTATTTAGTACACTGGCTCAGAGTCTCAGCATCATTTATTCCTCTAGTCTCCCCCCTGAGAGTATGTCTTCTGCTCTTTTCTCTCCGCTATTTTTCTCATGAGATAAAAATATCTGTCTGTATTATTGTACACAACCATACCATACAACATACTAATTGAACAGGAATACGGTGCCGCGAACAGCGTTTTAGATCTGTTCTCTTCCCTCCACCTACCAAAGCCGGTGTCTTTTTTACATTTCAATCATTTGTTTTTAGAACAAAAAACACACAGACTCGACTGTGAGCGTCCAGCGTGCACGGATTGATGCCGGGATAAGGTTGCCATCACCTGCACACGGCTGCCACTCCACTCTCACTGGTCACGTTCTCCTGGTAGTTGTCCATGCTCTCTCCCAGCTCCAGCACACAGTCAGAAAAGTCTTTATAAACGTTCTCACACCTCACATCTGCAGGGTCCCCCGGGGCCAGGAGGGACAGGAGTACTGCAACATAGAGAGAGCGCACAGCTGCACCACGCTTGCCATTCTTTCTCATTGCAAAGTACAAATTAGAAAGAAAAAAAACAACACAAAAATGAACGACTATGGGTTTGATGCATCATGATGCATTTGCATACAACTTTGGACAGTTATCGGATTATACAAATGCAAATTAGAATACATTTGTGAATGCAAATATCTGTAAGTCCTGCCATTTGAAGTTTTCTTAAAACAACTACTTGCACCTGGTGGGATGTAAAGCTGATGTTTCTTATCAGTCCATGCCGCCCATAGTTCTATTTTCCCTCAGGGTGTGCAACCTTCCCATCACAGATATTTGAGAATCTAATGATAGCACAACACTTTTTTATTTTTCCCAATGCAATGTAAAACGGACAGAACTACAAGCGGCACAAATGCAGAAAAATGCCTCTCTGTTGTTAAAAGTTATTGAATTTTTCATGTCCCAAAGCTTTCATGTTAGGCATGCTATAGATAGATGTATCATCGCTGGTTGTACTACAGCCAGTTGGCAGTGGTACAGGTCTCACATAACCATCACGCAATCCTGATGGAGACAGATAAAGACAACAGCCCCAGCATCCACGGCGTGATGAACACATCCAGGAAAACATCCCTTAAAGCTGCTTTACTGCTCAGAAAGGAGCCCGAGGACGCGCAGCATCGAGGAAAACGCCAGAGCTATCTTACCAAAGGCAAACGCAACTATCCCTCCGATCTTCGTCGACATGAATAATCCCATGTCATCCCATCTCCAGCCAGGCTCTCTGGCGGGAGGAGAAAATCAGACGCTGACTCCCGGGGAGGCGATCAGGATCAGCCGCCCATTTTCCCAGCGAGCCGGTGCGTTCCGTTGTTTTGAGCGGGGAGGGGATGGTTAGTAGGTGCGTGTGTTGTGCTCACTCTTTCCCTTTTTCCCCGCTCCGGCCGACTGCTGACGTTACCTGCCTCCCGGTGAGCGCTGAGCTCATCTTCCCCTCCTCTCTCAGCCCCGGACAGCTCTCACCTCACAGCCCGAGGACAGGGAGGACCTCCGGCACCTCCCTCACGCGCAGCTGACGCCAGGAAGCACTCTGTCTGCACACCAAACCAAACACTCAGCTCTCATCCCGTCCTCAGCCTCTCAAGGTGTCCTTTTACAACGCTGAGAAACCATGATCGTTTCCATGACCTGTTTAACTGGCTGATTTAAAAAAAAAAAGGAAGAAAAAAGTTTTTGTCTCATCAAAATGAACGGTCACTTGAAAAAAAGGATACTGATTTTTTTTTTTTTTTAGGGTTGTCATTATGTAAAACTTTTGCATATGCATTTGCCTGAAATGAGTGCAACATAATCAACGATGTAATGTTAATTAATTAATCACAAGATCTTTGACAGAATGAAAAAAAAAGCGTTAATTATGACTGGCTGTATTTTAAACAGAGCCAAGAGTGTCAAAGACCTCTGGAACAGCACATAGGAAACTGGAAATAATTCAATCATGTGGACACCGAAATGATTAGATCATGTCTGTTAGTATCTAGTTACTCTGAGGTGAACATCACACCATATAACACTACCATAGGTTCCAGTAGGTTTATAAGAATGCAACAATCAGGAAAACAAAACACCACACCTTCATCTTTTTATTGTTTCTTAAAAGTAATATCACAAATTATGTCAAACCGCCTGGACTTTTACCGCTCTGTAAAAGCCGCAACGCTTCACGGCCTCCTATGATCAAAGAGGGGCTTGTGTTTCTATCTTAGAAAAAGAGAGGTGAGCCTGAGACGAACGAGCCTGCAACACATTGAGAGCTTTGTTTCAATGCTTGTTGTACCTGCAGCTGCCATATTAAAGAAACTGCCTTCAAAAAGGGAAAGTTTTCAGACATGGATTAAAAAGAGAGGGATCCATTTCTTCTCATTACGATTTCCGGAGCACCACAAGTACAGTGCAGATAAAGCACAATGGTGTTAACCCAATGATTCATTCTAAAATAATGGTTTTTGGTCTGAAAGCATACACTCCGTTTCATTCTGATACTTATGGTAACAAACCTCCACATAAAAATGCACTACATCTGACATTTGGATGTTTTGACTGTACTAATGTGAAGACTATCACAATTCCTCAAACTTTAAACTCTTAATGGTGTATTTTTTAAATCACATTTTCACATAACTGAAAAAAAAAGGAAATTAAAAAATGATATAACAGTTAAGTCCTGTTAGTGTTTAAATGGCGACACTCTGATGAGAGCAGTAGATTCAAGGATGCCCCTCGGACTGAAAGGCAGGGATCTATAAAGACATCTTTAACACATTGCTAAGGCTTAAAATGGCAATCCTTTGAGAACAGAAAACACAAGGTTTCGGTGAGGAGCTCTGAAAGTCTGATGGACATTAAAAGGAGAGCTTAGAGCTGACTGAAGTTTACTGGTCAGTGCCAGCTGCCCTTTTGGTTCGCTTCCTTGGAGAAGTCTTCGGGGAAGCCTTGTCTGAAAGTCGGAAGGGAAACATCAGATACACAGGACTACTCGCTACATAGAATAAAACATAATATAATTTATAATAAATAGCTGAAAATGGTTCAGGATGTTTTGGCAGATGGTGCTAAAGAGGAACATACTCATAGCATTGAGAGTCTCCTGGGGAATCCAGCTGATGTCCACGTCGTTAATTCCAACAGTGCCTTTCTCCACTTTCACAGAAATTCTCCTCCTCTGAAAAACATGTTTAAGGACAACTTTAATTTCTGAACCATTTACTGCATTGCACAAATCAGAGTTCAGCCTAACTGCAAGCGAAGGACAGACAACGTCCCCTTCCCTGTGATGAGCAGATGACAGCATCGCTTCATTTTTAAAGAAAGACTAACCTCTGAAAGAAAAAGAGCTCTTCCCTGATGCGTCACAATATGAAATGCCGGGCTTGGGCCGAGAGGATTATTCTGGATTGGGCCAAATTGTCTTCACAGGAAAACTGCCCAACTAACAGAGGACACAAACTTACCGTCCTCGACTCCAGAAGCTGGTATATCCCAAAGGCCATCAGAGCCACCAGTCCAGTGAGGAACACGTACAGGAACATTCTGCAAATACAGCTAAAATTAATTACAGGAACACTGGAGCACAAATGCACTGAAAATGAGGGGTTGTACACCTTCAACAACCTCAAAAGCAGAGGGTAAAGTTAGATAGGGAAAAAAAAAAAATCTAGCAAAAGTACTTATTGCTCTGAGAGTTTAGAAAGGATTGCACACTCCATTTCTTATTTAATTAGCTTGTGAAAATCTGTGAAGGTTGCACCCCACCCCTCCCTCCCCATCCCCCTTTCAGACGGTTAAATACTGTGTGGTTTTCACACCTATTTTTACAGCTTTTTACAAGTCCCACTGCAGTCTGGGAGAGCTGGCATTGTGACTCATCAGAGAGCTGAATAAGATTTAGAAACCAGAACAAACAAGTCAAATCTTAGCAAAGTAAACTCTCTTTTCAGAGTTCGTTTGTCCAGTTTTCCTTTGATTTGACACTTTTCAGTAGGTTCGTCTGCTTTTTCATTTTTGAATGTAGAGGACAGGATGGAACAGGGACGCAGCTGAGGGAGACCTTACGTTTCTCCATCCAGTCCCTCTTCTCGCTCGATGATGGTGACGGTCTGGTTATAAATGGCTGTCTGGAACGTACTGCCCTGTTGAGGGGAAACGTGCCAAATGACAAGTTAGGCGTTCAAGAGATGAGTCATGTTGCACATCCACTAAAGAGGAAATCCTTCAAAAGATGTTACTGAAAATAGACCATACATTTACAAGGGAAACTGCTACTGTTCAAAATAGTTGAGCAATCTTTTTATTTATTTTTTTCAAATTCAAATGAACATTTGTGCTTTATTTGTCATCTTAATGGAGTTTACATGAAAACCCTTCATCCAACAGTATGTTCTGATTGTCTTTAAAAAAAGTGTGATTGGTTTGTGGGGTTCCATTTTAATTGTAAATTTTAGCTTTACATTTGATGTCAATTGAATCAATTGGAAGCCAGAATAAAGGACTAGGGCCTCAGAAAACTGAAGTCAAAGCTCAGCAGGAAGAAATACTGATTGTAAAATGCAGTTATGAATCTATTGGACCCCGATATGAAATCTAAATACATAGAGCTGTAAGTGCAGCTACAAATGTAAAGTACAAGTCAGCTATCTTTATTGTCAATCAAACATATGAATGAATACAAAGATTGACAGTTAAGTTTTCTAATGAAGTTAACTTTGCTCAAAAATAAAAGCTAGAGAAAACACTGACCAACAAGCATTATGAAAGTGTCTTTACAAAGATGGCAGTATTTAGACTAACATCTAGTGGTAAGGCTGCATATTGCAACAGATCTCAGTTTCCAATGTTTTGAGTCAGTTTAGGACAGTCTCTCCTGTAGATATACAATAATGTACATGTTGGACCTAATGGAAGAGGAATTCGGTATGAATTTCATATTGCACCACTTCTGCCAACTGATGACCTAAATGTCTATACTATGTACCTTTAAATGATTGATTGAACCGTTTCAAACTTACCTCTGTGTCAATATAGCTGAGGAGGATAACGAGACCGAATGGACGGCCGGCCATAGGTTGTGCTGGGATGAAAGAGTACTCGAAAGAAGCCTGTGCCTGAGGCTGGACGACGGTGTTCAGGGGCAAAGCTGTGAACTATAAAACATACACACACTCCTAAATACCGGTTTCCTTAAATTAGGACTCAGTGGAGTTCACTGCAATAAGTAAAGAACAGAAAAAAAGACTAAGATCCCCAACAAGTAAATAAAATTCAATATTGTGACAAATATGAACTAAGCAATATATATGTGCCACAGTAACATAACATGCTCATTTAAAAAGTATTTCAGATAAACTGTACTTGAAATAAAGTAATCTACTGTAAGCAAAACAACTACACACTACATATAAAACCACTAAAACAATTTTGACAGGGTAATTTTAGATCACACTTACGTTCTGAATGAAGAACTGGAAGTCTTGTGGGTAGCGGAAAGAGGCTTCGAGGGACTGAACAGTGAAAGTCTGACTTCCCTTGTTGGTGAAACCCACCAGGAACCTCACAATTTCATTGGCAGGGAACTCTATATGTGTAAAATCATCACCAAAATAAGCAAAAAAATAAGTGGCCAAAACAATTTTTTGCATATAAAAGAGTAAAAACTGAACCAACCTTCTCCGGTGGTGAAAATGATGGTGGTGTCAGCATCAGGGTGAGAGGTCACCAGCTTATCCGCACCTTCGTCAGTGTCATCCTCCTCTGCCTCCTGGTGAACAGAAACCAGTGTAGGAAAACAGCCCGTCTGGTAAACTGTATTTTAAAAGCACACGCTCAAAGATGGCGTACGCACCGTGTTCTGAATCTGATCTTCCTCAACGAGCACCTCTTCGTCATCTTCCTCCTCATCTACAGCATCGTCAGCCTCATCGACGACGTCCTCAGCAGAGTCAGAATCTGCCTGGACCTGGCCTGCCGGGTCAGAGCAACAAGGAGAGCACGGGAGACGACATACATGGTTAGCATTGCATTAAAATACATAACATGATACAGATGAACCATGGGCAACAAGCTGATCGGCGTTTGACTCATAATCAGAGACTCTGGGATCATGTAGATGGGCGGGTTAAAAGTGAATCCCCATCACAGACAAATGCAGGTACAGTTTTGGATGGGAGGGAAGGACGTTGTCAACACACACTCTGTAAATGACAGTAAATGTGTGTAACGAATAATACAAATGGAAAGTTTCACCATCGACCTCAACTTATGTTGGTCTACCGAGTAAAATCTTTACGTTTACGGTTAGCTGATGCTTTCTGGTTGCCAGTGTCTGTGGTAATCTGTGGTATAAGGAGATTAATCTTGTGTTTCCCCCAAATTCAAAATTGATACATTTTTTTGGGGTGATTGTAAAAGAGTTTGTTTATCTGCTACTGGCAGTTACTATGAATCCAACAATGCATGGCATCAGCCAACAAATCCATCTGGAGGTTGTGTTTTCCGCACTGTGCGGCACAAATGAGGCACATTTGCAACATTGCAGCTCACGAAGAAAAACGAGAAGACTCGAGGGCCCAAGTTTCATGCAGGTCAGCGGAGACAAACCGAGCCCAAATAGCGGTTTCCATCTTATCTGTGGTGACGTGTCCCAGCAGGAGGGAGCTGTTTCAGGTCGTTTCCCCCCCAAAGGCTTCATACATTTTTAAAAAAGTCACCTTTGCTATGACTGGTGACACAAAACGTCACACCAGATTATCTCTTTAAAAGCTTATCAAAAAGAAAAAAAAAGAAACAGCGGTTCGGATACGACCAGCCACACTTCTCAGTGAGAGATGAGCGACCACTTATTCTTCTTACTGTGGATTTATTTACGATTTCAACGTGAGTAGAAGTAATAAAAACACAGCTTGTCAGAGTTGCTTGTTCAGAGCTATGCGACTATGCCACGTCAATATAGGCTCACAACTTTTTAACTGTTCGTCAAGGGAGAAGACAAAGAGAGCCGTCAACTTCAAAGTGGGCGACAAAACAAACTTACCTAACGACATCAAACCACACGGGAAGGCAAGCAGAAAAAGCAGAAGCCATTTAGAGCCGAAATTGAACATTTTTGCAGACTTGAGGTCTCACGCTTGTAACACATCAGCGTTTCAGGGAGAAGAGGACAGGAGCCGAGCAGGGGCGGGGCTTCAGAGGGGAAGCCCCGCCCCCCAGGAAGCCGTGCTGCATTCCTGAAATTCGGAAATTTAAGAAGCCAACCAAAGGTTTGCCAAACCTCATTTTGCGTGTAAATCGTTGCAATACTTCAGCTGTTCAGAAAATATTATACAAATACTTAAGATAGAAATTGTATGTCACTATAGATTTATTTGAACAACCAGCCCACTTTTAGACCAAACCTTGCAGATGTTCTTTTATATTCTTTAGTGTGGACCTCTGACAACACATCAGTGGAAACACATGATCAGAGGCCAGAACAGAATCACACCCAAACTATGTTTTTATCTAAATCTTCGTGTTTTATATATACAGGCAAAATAACAATTGCACTTAAACAAATACTAACTCAGCCATACCCACTCATTCACACCTCGCTTCTTTTTAAATACATACACAGCAAAGCAATTCTACTGTATGTATTAGATGAACACACAGTTGTTGTATTTCTAAGATTAGAGTTTTTCAGCTGGAGTAAAATAAAAAGGATGTCTTTCTCTTGTAATTTGATTGCAAAGGTTAACATAAGCCTGTGGTTAAATGTTCATGAGTGTGCAGTACTAAGACAGTGATTGCAGAATTTGAACTGGTGCACCTGGCTGATTGGCAGGAAGCATGGCTGCAACAACAGAACTGTCAGTGGTTACGCTGAGAAAGATAATGAAAATCCTTCAAGAAGGTTGTTTAACTGTGTGACAAATTATGTTGGATGTGAGCAGACAGCATTTTCTAAAATATGGAAAAACTACAAACCAAATGAAAGGTTGTAACCTACAATCTTACTAAGGAAGATGTCAAAGCTGTTGGACAGAAAACTCAAAACATAAAGTTGTGAAAACAAAAAACAAAGGGTGGAAAGAAGAGTCTATGTGACAAAACTGTAGGAAAATCTGCTGTTGGGTATTGGGATTATCAACATTGAAGTCAAATGTAAACCATTTCTAGTATTTCAACCCTAGAAAATAAGATTATTCTGGGCCGAAAAGAAGCAGTCATGGACTAAGATTAGAACTACAGGAGGTAGCATTAATTACCTTTACAGTAAACACACAAGTGAACAGTGAAATGTTTTACATTTACTCATTCCATTTCTAAAAGGGAGGTTTGAACAGTTGTCTTCAGGGGAGACTCACTGACATAGTGAACAATGAATTCAGATGTCAGAGTGATGGGAAAAGCTTTCATTAATGCAGAAGATGTAAAAAAAAAAGTGTGGTAATACTCGTTAATGATTCAGTATTTTTCTCCACTTACTACGCAAAAACCTGTCTAAGTAAAGTATATGCAGCGTTTAACCAACCAGAAAACTAAATCCTATCACAAAATTAATTAGTTTCATATCTAAATCTTAATTTAGACAAAATGAAATAATTCCATGTTTTGCTATTTCACAACTTTGGGGTTTAAAGGTCATCATGATTTCACTTCTGAAGTAAAAGTGTTAGTCTGACTGAACATGCAATGGTTGCTCTCAGGTATTGGTATATTTTTGTTGAGCCACTGTTCATTTGACCAAAAAGGTTTAGAAAAAGATCTATGGTTTTACACCCCAAATCATTTCAGTTCCCTGCTGCATTGCTCTATCATTTTTTGGTCATGCTGAATATCCTGCTTTAAAGTTTGCAAGGAGATTTGGACTTAATCGTGACTGATTCTTCACCACCCATTTTTTCCTAATTCAAGATTTGTCCACGTTCTCCCGCAATTCAAAATTTTTCTTCAAATAAGAAGCTAATAGCCATGTCTTTTAAAGGCCTGAAAGTGACGTCATTAAGCATCTTTAGATGGAGCATGATAACTTTTCAACCCCGTTAGAAGTGTGACACTAAACTGCTTTAACTTAATACACATACATATTACCACATGATCTCTATACTTTTAATCATAGAATTTTTATAAAGGCTGGAAGAATCTTTTACAACAACATTATTCTTAATCATTCATCTGTTTTAGATAGATTATTTTACCGTTAATATTTGTCAACTATTTTTAGAAGAGACTCTTTCTTAACCGTTCTCAAATCAAAATTAGAGTTTCTATCATTCTTTTGACGTATGTGTAGTCTAAAAAAAGGCTTGTGGCTTTCTGCAAAAGCACACATCCTGTAACAACTCTCTGAAAAAAAGGAAGAGATGATGGGCTTGAGCATACGGTGCTGGAATAAACGTTCAACAGGTTCTGTTGTCTGTCCAGAAAATACTATAAGCTTAGATTGTTAATTTCAACAAATTGAGGAGTTTCCTGGATGAATTCTTTTTGCCATGGCTGACACTCACAATGGGACTTGTAAGGACGGTAAGTTTTGAATGAATAGTCATTAGATATGTCATTTGCATGACGTGGGCTTTACAAATTTGGGGTCAAAAGGTAGAATTGATGCAGACTGGAAATTGAAATAGGTATATTCATGAAAATGCTTGTCATATTAGGGATAAAGGGTAAATATAACACATTTCACAATGGTGCACATGCTGGAGGTGTTGAGTGTGAGAGCTGCACAGTTTTATGTCCCAGACGTAGAATCTGAACAGATTGACTGCAGATTAACCATTTGATAGACACACAATAGCTTATCTATCAAACTCTGATTTGAGACTTCTAAAATGGAATTTGCAATAAAAGTATAGATTTGAATGGATATTATTTTAGTTTGGTGATCAGTTAAGATGTTGTAAAACCATTTTTACTAATCTTGATTTGTCTTATCAATAAACTCAACAGTGATGCATAAAAATAAAAAAAACCATAGTATTTTCATCAGTGTTTGTCAAAAGAGTTAGAAATGAGTGAAAAGTCTTCAATCCCCATAGTAGAGGCCCCTTGGTTTATTTTTTCTCTGCTCCAGCTTGTGTTTTTAAATAGGTGCAAGCTAATATGCAAATGCAGATAAATTTAGCCTCTGCTTGAATAATATAGAGACCGATCAGTCCCTCAAGAATTCCACACTTTGATTAGGATTAATTACATATGCATGATGATATGTTAAAAGAAGAAAACCGAAGCATGTTGGGTTGAACTGCATATTTTGATGGAGTTACACATGCAGCATTGGGAGTCTTTCAACTAAAACTAGTAGTCAGTTTGCTTTACATTCAATTCTCTTCTACTCAAAATGCTGGCTAACAACAGTTAAAATTTGTGTGTCGTTAATCATAGCACAAAATAAATCATTAAGTAGCCGACTATTTTGAGAAATGTTAATTGATCGTGTAATAATTTGTAACATTCAAATCGGAATCATCATTGTATGATTCCGCACGGAAAGCTTAACTTATAATTATTATTTATTTAGTTACTTATTTACATATTATCATTATTGTCTTCACTAACCAAACCTTGGAATTCTAATTTAAGGCTGTTTTGATTTTTTGCACATATTACATCAGACAAAGCTTTATAAATTAATGTGATGTCTTTGAATTGGGCAGTGCTGTGGTATCCAATACATGAAATAAAAATCTGCCTACTTATTTGGGGAATTCATCGTTAAGTTAAAAGATTCAAATAGAAGTTTTTGCCACCAAATTCCAAATCTAGTCCAATTCACCAATCTATAAATGTTCTAATCCACTTATTCCAGTAGGGTCACAGGGGCCTGGAACCTGTTTCGTCTGTCACTGGACATGAGGCGGGGAACCAGTCCATCACAGGGCTGCAAAGAGACCAACAAAACACACAACCACACACACTCACTCCTATGGGCATTGCAGAGCATATAATTTATATATATATATTTTTTTCACCGTGGGAAAAAGCCTGCATATCCAGAGAGAATCCATAAATAAACAGAAAGAACATGCAAACTCCACAAAGAATCACTGTCAAATTCACACAGAGGCAAATAAAATAAATGTGTCCAAGCTAAAGAAACCTGCCGATTACAATGAAACTGAACATGCAGGGATAGAGAAGACCTAAGAAGAATATAAACTTTTACAGAGAAATAGTTGCATTCTATGTTGTTATGAATAGTTGTCTTTACACATTTTTCATAGAAATGTTTGACATTACATTTTTTATTTTCCATTTATTTTTGGTGCACCAAAACAATAACCATCTTAACTCACTTAATTCAAGTGTAACAAATCTTCAGTAAAATGTCAGAGTAGACCAAGGCAATAGATCTAACAAAGCTCTGCAAATTGGCTTTGAGGAAGGAAATGCTTCAAACATGCTTTGCTGAGCTTGTATTCCTGCAACTTAAGCCTGCTGTAAAAAGCACTCACACAGCTCACACATCCATGCTTGCAAGAGTCTCAGTGAAACCACATTTTCCACTGCTGACAAGAGAGCATAAATATTGGCATTAATCTCTTGTGTAAGGACACAGGTGCTGACAGCTCACAGTTCAGTCAATCACCAGCTCTTTTTTTTTCTTTTTCTTCCAGTTTTAGCTGAACTGTTTACTGGTTAGAAATGTACCTTTCAAACAGCTGGATTGTGCCTTTTATTTAAAAAAATGTCAGTCTTCAACTTATTTAGAATGTGAGAGTGGACCAAACCAACTCTTGAAGCTTTTCTGTTATAAACCCTATTGTTTAATCATTTTTATTCACAGCCCTTAAGGATTTAATATTTGCCTTTGACAGTAGCTTTGGCTTCATCTACTCTGAGGGGATGTTAGGTGTTAGTGGTTCGTGTGGATGCATGTATTGGTTTATTAGCACTGTAACCTCGTGGTGCAGGTGGGATATTTCTGAATGAGCCCTATTTGCTGCCTTTCTTTTGAATGTGTTCTCCCCTCTGTAAGAGTAACATATGAGGTATTGGGAAGACTACATGGGGAAACTTGTAGGGGAGATGATGGGTGATTGATATTTCACTGTTCAGTGACCTTTATTTTGCACAAGAGGCTAAATTGATGATTGGATTTTCTGTGTGATCTTTTGAGTTTTTCGCTTCACAATCACAAATCTGAAGCTTTAATTACTTTAGCTGAATAAAGTAATCGTAGCTCTTCTTCTCTTTTTCAGGGACTACAGGAAGCACCTTGGATTATATGACAGTATTTTCACAGCCGATTTTCTTGGTTCTCTGTACAATGCTGGCCCTCTCACTGGTTTACAATATTCTCTTCTGCATGTCAAAATGCTACCGAGGTATTCATTATGTTTTTCCAAAAACATTGACAAAAAAACTATTGTCTGGGTCCATCTGTAACTAACTTCCTTTTTATGCTGTCAAAGGAAAATGGACATGCCGACGGAGGACAAAGCAAAGGTAAGTGAGCAGCATTTGTGCTATCCAGAAAAAGAGGACATTGCTTGTTTTTTCCGACAACTCACGCCATATTTTAATCTTTCTTTGTCCAATTCCAGTCAGAGTTCAAGACACATGGAAGATAATCCCATTTATGGAAACATAAGATACCAACCAACAGGTCAGTGCTTTTTGGCTGTGTATGTGCGTGCTCATTCTTTTATCTATATGTATAAATTCAGAGTGTAATGTTGTTCTCCACAGATGTGGGTGTGTACTCAGAAGCTGTACCAACACGCTCATCTCTCATTTCCTTATCTGTGAGGAATCCACAGAGAGTCCATCCTGAGTCACAGGTAGTTTGAACAGATTTGATTGTGACTGTTTGTTACAGATATGAATAATTAAATGAGTAGCAATATTCAAATGATGGTCTATGCGAGATGTTGTTCAGAAACCCACATCCTCCAGTGCCCATGTAAAGCACAGTGTTTATTTTCTTTCTACTCAGTCAAAAACTCAGGACTGCTATGCCAACCTGACGCTCAAGGCTCCCAGGGTGCAGTCCGGCCGGAGCTCGCCCCAGATACACTCAGAAGGGGTGTATATAGGGGAGCCAACAGAGCCGGAGAGGGAAGATGATGAGATCGCAGATGCCGCCTCCACCATGTCTGATCTGTACGCTTCAGTACAAACTCAGCGAAACAAAATCATAGACACCACAGATGATGGAGAGGGCTATGCAAACCATCTCTGACTCAAGATGCAGAGAGACTACGCTGGAAACATTTTTTGAAGTTTGCGTTTCTCCCACAGGATGGCACTGTTTTGTAGTTAAATGAAACAGACCTTGTATTGCGCATTTTTAAAATCACTATTCAGCCCTACACGATTCAGTCAGGCACGGCTCCAGTGTCCACCCTCATAAGTGAATGTTGTTGCTTTAAATCAGAGAGTAGGCATTTCTGAGATCAACCTGTCTAGTTTTGCTTTTGTAAATGATAAGAAATATTAAAATAGTTTAAAACAAACTATGGCTGTTAATGATATATTTGACACATTGTTGGTTAATTTGGTTGAAAACATGGTGTCGCGTTTACTTGAATAGTTTACATGGATCATAAAAGCTTCTTTCAAATGTAGGTATATATGCAGATAGTATTTACTTCAAACAATTTTCGGATCTTTGAACTTTGGATAAGCACAACGAGATATCTGCGATTCTTCTGCACTTAATGTTTGCCACCCGCAGTGGAAGAAATATTCAGAAGAAACGTATGTATCAAACACAATGTGGTGCGTTTCAAATGTGGTGGCGAGGAATAAAGAGGTGGAAGCTTGTAAAAATAATTCAAAGTTATAGTTAGATTTTAATTCAATTTAGATAGATGCAGTTACTTTCCTTCAACGCTATCATAAAAGGCCATTGAATTTCCCTTATAATGATGTCCTAATAGTGTTAAAGTGCTGATTCTCAGTCCCAGATGTAATAAATCCCGACTCCTTCCCCACATTATTATCTTTGCTGAGGTTATTCTAAAACCACTTATCTCTCATATCCTTTGTTTGAACCTGTCAGTGATTTTGAACACCATCTAACCTGCTTAATACAGGTAGCTTAAATCAATTATGACAAGAATATATTACCTGTCAAAAAATCCTCTTTTTTATTTGATTTGCTCTTTAAACATTATCTTGCAATTTGACGTCTCGAAAGGAAAAAGGCTGCCTGTACTTTGTCTCCATCAGGCAATCTTATATGGTGGCAATGATAACTGTTTTGATTCAGATTCAGAAATGGATAGAATGAAAATAAAATCTCTATCAATTGTAAGGTTTTAGATGATATATACCTGTAAATCCTGCCAAAAACAAACATACACAACACCCAAATATCACTGAAATGTAAGCACCTGGATATTAAAACAAGAGGTGAAATTCAGAGCTATAGGTACCTCATACACAACAATAAAAACAAGTAAACACGCTGCATCTAACTAGGCAGCTCACATTCACAACTGAACATTTTAAACACAGGATTGAAGTTCCTGTAATCAGGAAACTATTTGGAATATTAATCCTTATTCCTACAACCATAAAAATGTTCGGTGAACAATAAAATTCCCCAGATTACAGCTACTACTTCTATATAATCACAAAGTTATAATCATTTTGAATATTTTATAACTATGCTGTTGTTTTATATGCCGTTCTAAACGGTGCTTGCCAACTGTTTATCATTGAATTGATTATTTTATGGCAAGTGTTTGATGTATCTTTGGTGAATGGCACTTTCAGAGCCAAAACAAAGATTATTCATTGTCATGTCAGGTATCGTGAACCATGTGAGATATGTGACACCTGAAGTAGCTTGTCACAGCCTGTCTGTCTGTGGTGGTTTCTGCTAAATACTAATAAATACTTATTTATAAGGTGACTTCTGATGGTTAACAGATGTGTAACATCATGAAGAAAATAATGTTTTTCTAATTCTGATCTTTATGCAGATTGTGCCTGATAGAGATGCTGACTTTAGCCTTGATCCTTATTATATGTTGGGTTTTTTTGGACTATGTAATATATACCTTAAACAGAACATTGGAAGAAGTATTCCATTGGAAGGATGATCAACTCAACATCAAAGCTTGTATACTTTCTCAAGGAGTTTGATAAAAAGCAGATTAAAAAGAACTTTGCTTTCCAATCGTTCTCGATTAGATAACACACGTTGTACACTCTATTAGTTAATAATACTGAGTTTGTAGTTTCGGTTAACCTTTGTAACTATGAATTGTACTGGAAGAGTTGCAAATAGCAGGACAAAACAGAACCTCTTATCTGTGATTTATAAGCCTTTTAAGCACACGGTAATCAAACAAGCAGGTTTTATTGACTCCAAGTTTTGTTAATTTAAAAACAAATCTAATATCAAGTACTATTGAGGTTGACTAGTGACGTATAATTAAACAAGAACGAGAAGGAACAATATGACGAGATTAAACCATTATTCTTTATATTTAAGGAAGAAGAGCAGGATATACTTTGGCCTGGCCTTGATCCCGCAGAACATTAGAACATTTTCTTTTTAATGGCTCGTGAGATAGCAATACATATGTGGAATGGTTTATATTTTCTAATCTTACCTGGCCAATTCTTTACCACTACCATAATAAATCGTATCAAATATATTCCTGCATCCACAGTTTTTATTTCCAGTTTGATTAACAAATAAACCCAAATCTTAAATGAATCTGATTATGTATTTATCGTTTACTACACTAATTTTAGGTCCTTAAAGTCTAGATTTTAGATTTAGTTTAGATTAGATTTAGGTAAGTTTTTCTCTGTCATGCAATATAAGTTACTTAAACATTTGAAACAACTTAGTATTACTTATTGTTCGTTTCATTTTAAAGGTTTGAGTTTGTTTTTTTAATGACATCATCCATCATGGAACTACTTATGTGAATTTTTACAAATTATTTGTGATATTGATAAGCCTTCATTTGTGTCTTTTAGTACAGTTTGTGAACATTACACTTGAGAGTATTAAATCACTTTTAGATTAGGATGTAGAAAAGTGCACACCCTAATATTATGTGAGCCATCACACAGCTATATTCTATCAACGTGTTTGTGGCTGTCTTCAAGGCATTGTTTGATATATGTCTGTTTAAATGATGAACTTTATACAGATTCTTGCTCTGGTTGTCAAGAATGGGACATGAGGGAGATGATAAGTGGCATAGGCAGGCATTACCACTTAGCCCACAACCAGTAACTCTTTCTACATAAGAATGTGTGTGTTGAAAATTAAACTAAAATCCTAAAGGAAGGCCGCCCATACTATAAATGTTGAATGGATTGCTCGAAAAAAAAATACTAATGAAATGTACAAGATGAGGACACAACAGTACATTTAATTTATTTATTTAGAATAAAATCTGTTTACATTCTTATGTATACCTCACTGTTAGAAACAGTCATATCTTTACTATTTAAATTTTGAACACAACTTCCCTTTCGCAAGACTTACAGTACATGAACAGGACCACATAAAAAGCAGTTGTTAGAAAAAGCCAGCACATTTGATCCCTTCAGACATAGATAACGATCATTCTCAGTTATGGTTCTCTGCAAACATCAAGATTATTACACTTCTGATGACAATAACCCTGAAATGTAATACTCACGTTTACAATATCTCTTATGTGAGTTAAGTGCAATATGCATTAGACTTTGGAGTTCACTGAGCTCATTTTTACATGTTCATCACAGTTTTCGGAGGTCTTGAACACGTCTGTGCTGTCAAAGTCACAAGGCGTGTCAAAGAAAAGCTCATCATCAAAGCAGTCCTCATCAGATGGCGATGCCATGAACGACAGCTTCATGATCAGTCCAGTAATCATCCCACCAGCTATGGAGGCTGCGATGGTGGAGAAAATAGCTGCGACCTGGTAGAGAGCTTGCTCCTGGGCTGTGCGGCCAAGGCCTGGCTTCAGCCCGGGAATCAGCTTCTGAAGCTCAAGCAGCTTTGGATCTCCCACAGGTGGAGCCCGGTGGGAAAAAATCTGATACATGCTAGGCCCGTAGGTGTCTTCAGTGGCCATGAGGATGGCGCAGATCCCTGCTGTGGACGATATAAGGCCAGTGAGCCCATGAAGATTGTGAATGCCACACTGGTCCTGGATTCTCAATCTTTGGGCCAAAAAAGGGGTCAGGTACCTGTAGCCAAAAAAGCAGGCAGTGCAGCCCATGATTCCGAGGGCATATGCAGCTACAGGTGAAATCATCATGTCCACAGAAGCCCCAACTGTAACACCCCCTGCCAGAGTCACATTTTGAATATCAGCCATTGTCAGCTTGCCTCTCTTGTTGAACACTGCCGACAATGCAAAGGCGGTCAAAGTGGATGAGCTTAGGCCGATAAAAGTGTGGAGTATAGCGCGATGTTGATCGTCACCTTTGAGTGTTAGAGCAGAGTTGAACGAAGGCCAGAACACCCAGAGGAACAGGGTTCCCATAACAGACAGGATGTCTGACTGATAACTAGTGGTCTCTTTGGCATGTCCAGCGTTCAGGCGAGGTCGATACAGTATAAATGTCACTCCTAGACCAAAGTAGCAGGCAAACAAGTGAATAAGAATAGAGCCACCGGCATCATTGATCCTGATATATTTCAGCACAGCCCACTCTGTCACAGAAAAAAAAGGAATCTCGAATAAAGCCATGACCAACAGTTGAACAGGACTGGTCTTCCCGATCACAGCCCCAAAGGAGATGAGCACAACAGCACAGGCAAACTCTGCATTCAGCAGGTTAATCACCCCCAGGTGAATTTTACCATCATAGTAAAACTGGAAGAAACCTTGAACCAGAATTGCCCACTGGATCGCAAACGTAGCTGTGAGAAAGTTGAAGACCATGCCACTGAAGCCGTAGAAGCGGAAAAAGGCCAGCAGGCATCCAAAGCCTACGAAGATCATCACCTGCACGTCGGCGAAATATGGGTAGTCACGATATAATGAGTTCTCCATCGGATTGGTCTGATTGTTCTGCAGCTTAGCGTTGGCATTGTCATCATAGGTGACAAACAATGCATAGAGCACCAGCATGACTACCTCCAACACCAGCACTAGTGCAGGAAGGCGCACCTTTAGACTCGTTGACGCAGTCATGTTGATGCACAAGTCGAGACTGGACACTTGCTCCAAGCACTGCAGAGTCGAACCTTTTATACAATCTTTTTAATCAGATAAGAACAGTTAAAAGCATTGGGTGAAAATACTCCTTCTCCAATAATAGATAACAGGACAACTTTATTTATCAGATCAGACTGTGAGAGAGGACTGCACTTTAATCCCTAAGATTCTTCACCATAACCTTATCTCTTCTCCTGCATTTTTTCATCACTGTGCAATCTAATGTTTGATGTCTGAAAACAGATGTGACATAAGGACACCATAACGGAAATAAATAAAGCGTTAGATAGGTTATGGACATCAGTTCGAGTTCAAATGCATTGTTCATGGGTATGACATAAGAAAGATCCTGATTTAGATTATTTATTGTTTATTTACGTTTGACAGACACACAGAATGTTACAAAACAAACAAACAGTTAAAGAAAGCAAAGACAATGATTTTAAACCTTTTGTCTGTCCCATGGTAAAAAAATATTGACGGTGAAATGGGAAAACCACAAAAAATGCTGAACTAAGGTATTTTAAAGAAAAATCCCTCACAGGAAATGTATCAACAGGTCATGTGTATTATTATTTTGTTTGGTAGTTTTTCCTTTCAAACAACAGGACATGTACGTTTCATTCTGAGAGTTTCTACGTAAATTCTAATGGAAATGATGTAAGAAATATGACTCATAATGTAAAAAAAATAGGTAAAAATCGTTGTCCTGCAATTTAGCCTTCTTTTTAAAAGATTGCAATATCTTCAAGGTCTGCTAAGGGATTTAGGCGTGAGGAGAGAAACAAAGGAGGAAAAACACAACAAGGCAAGTCCATTTCTGTTAATTAAAAGAAAGGCATAATACCACATAAAGCAAACGCAGATTTAACGTAAGTGTAAATTATTTTTTTAGCTCTATGGGTGGCGGTAGCAGGCGCTAAACCTGGTTTGCAGCCGCTAATAAAACTTGAAAGAAGAACGTGGAGTCTTTTCCCAGAATGCACTGCATTGCCAACGTATGCAAACAGGAACATGGCTACCGGTTTTTAACATAGACCATCTTCAATACACTCTTCATATTGTCTTGCACAGCCCGTGGCGAGCCGACACTTGTTGTGCCTTTGTGGCCGAAGGAGGAGTTTTTAACTGGACTCTACAGACTCTAAAAACAGCGTGTCCGTGGTTCAATATTCACATTCAGGTAACGGGCTTGTTAGCTAACGCTAGCAGTGACTCTGATCGCGTCAGTTCGCTTAATTGTTTCACTTCTGTGTTGCATCCCTTTACAGATCACCTTTTAGATATTACATGCTTACATGAGAAGGACTCTTTATTAATAAGAGTGTGATATTACTGCGTAAGGGGGAAATGTACGCGTAAGGATATGTTTGACATGTAGTGATTTTCTTGAGGAGCCGGCGCACGACTTCATTTCCGAGGATAGCAAATCGTCTCATCTTAAAAGAAAATAATTTAAAAGACGAGTTCAGATAGGTGCAGTGAGCACTCATCTGATCTCGTCTTTGATGAAACAAGACAATAATTGTATGTCTCAAACAAGACAAAGAGTTATGTAAGACACAAGTGTAAATGCTGTTTTTATTCCAACTGATTACATATATTACCAGAAAATAATTATTCTAACCTGGTTTGATTTGGCATCCTAGCTCCGCACATGTAATATGTAAATAGTAAAAATATGCGGCTGATTAACTAAAAATGAAGTTACTTACGTATTGGGAGATTTACCTCAGTGGGCTGGTGAATAGGCCAGTGGTATCCTCCACCAAAAGACCTCACAGAAAGTATTTTCTGCTTATTTCCCCCAAAATTATTTTACAAATGGAGGTAAATGCACAGACTGGGATGGATTTGAACCTCTTACTTAATCAGTCTTTATTGATTGTTTTAATCAGGTATCAATGACACTATCATCCTGTTCTTATCGGTGCTTGGTAAGCAGGGGTGTACCAGTACTTTACTATGGTGTCAAAATTAACATTATCACGCAGGCACATTTTCCCAAAGCTAACCTACCCTCTCGATAAAACATACCACGCTCCTTCATCCGCCTTACTCTCTTGTGGTGACTTTTCCAGGCAGGAAAAGCAGCAATCCCGCAGTCCCTGGAGCAGGTCCAGCTCTTTGCTTTAAAGCTGCTGTCACACATTCAAAATATATTGTTGTCTTTCAGTTTGCTGTCATCATGGCGAGTCCAAGAACCAGAAGAGTCCTGAAAGAAGTGAGAACCCAGGATGAGAATAACGTAAGTCTCCCTGGTCTTTCATAATTTGATTCACGTAGAAGGTAGCAGGTGTTAGCAGAGCACCATCTGATAAGTCTTCATAGAATATTTTCCTTTCATCTGTGTTCAAATAAATGGAAGCAGTGATTTTGGATGAGTTCTCTGTCAGTGAATGCCCGTTGGCTTGCACCTTTGGCAGTAGCAGCAGGACAGGTGCAAACTGAGAAAGTAGCATCACATTTTTTTAAGTTTATGTTTATATTACTACAGTCTATTGAGAAAATGCCCAAGACTTTCTGCAGATTTGTATCCAACCATTTCCTAAAATGGTGGCTGTTTAGGGTCAGGCTACAAATTTGTATGAGCCAGTTCATGCTGTGTCTCCATGAATTGTCTGATGCCTGTTTTCTCTACAGCTGTGCTTTGAGTGCGGGGCTTTTAACCCTCAGTGGGTTAGTGTGACTTACGGCATATGGATTTGTCTTGAGTGCTCTGGAAAACACAGGGGTCTGGGAGTACATCTAAGGTATGTTTGTTGGGTTAAATTGTGATTGTATTAAAATTGACACACTTCTAAGCACACATATATTTACTCCTCTGCCTGTAGTTTCGTTCGCTCTGTCACCATGGACAAATGGAAAGATATAGAGCTAGAGAAGATGAAAGCAGGCGGAAATGGAAAATTCCGTTTGTTCCTTGAAGTCCAGGATGATTATGACCCCAACTGGACTCTGCAGGAGAAGTACAACAGCAAAGCTGCAGCACTTTTCAGGGACAAGGTGAGCTGCACAGCCCCAAAGCTCAGTGATCAGAATACACTACGGCTCTACAGTCATCAATGGCCTCTCCATTGATGTTTTCTGCAGAGGGGAGGCAGCATCCTCATACATCATATCCTCATGCATCCTCCTACATCATATAGTATTATTAGTATTAGTATTAGTATTTACATAGATTTGGTTTATTTATCTAACTCAAATGATTGTTTTCATACATTAGTTTTCTAAAATTCTCACAAGAACAAAACAATCGAGTCACATGAGATCGGTTTTACCAGTTTACTGTTAAAAAAAAAACAACAAGAGGGAGTCTTAAGAAGTGTGTGTTTTTACTGAACATATTGATGAAAGTGCAGCAGTGGTGTCCACTCTCAGGGATTCATGCTTTGTCTTGTACAACAGGTGGCAACTTTAGCAGAAGGGAAGGAATGGTCCATCGAGACATCCTCAGCCAGAAACTGGACGTCTCCTCAACCAAAGACCAGCCTTTCTTCCTCTCACCGGTAACTTTGCAAGAAGTTTTGAACATTCTGTGTAAAGGAGCAGCCATCAAAGCAGTGACTGAATATTTATTTTCTTTCCTTCAGCCCAGGTGGAGCTGGTCAGAATTCAGCCAACTCTAGTGACAAAGCTTTTGAGGACTGGTTGAGTGATGACGTTAACTCTTACCAGAGGTACGGCTCTTCTTATTGGTTTTGTTCTCAGTATAAGTTTGGCACTGGCATTATTTATATTGTCATTCATGTTTCTTCAGTGGAGGCGGTTACAGCGGTAATCAGGAGAATCGTTATGTTGGCTTCGGCAACACGGTGACTCCAGAGAAGAAAGAGGATGATTTCCTGAACAATGCCATGTCCTCAATTTATTCAGTGGGTCCTAATACTTGTTTTTGGGGCGAGTTGTACATTTTGTTTGTGAGTCCTTCTGCTCACTGTGTATTTGTTTTTTTGCAGGGCTGGAGCAATTTTACTGTTGGAGCCACCAAATTTGCTTCTATTGCCAAAGATAATGTGAGCCCATTTAAACCAAACAATGAAAAGCCAGCTTGAAAAACTCTGTAAGTAATTGTTCTTTTTTTCCCCCTTCCAGACAACCAAACTAGCAAACCAAGCCACTTTAAAGGTAAGACTAAAGTAACTGCAGATAGCTTGTTAAAGCCAGTCTGCTCTTTCTATTGAGCGTTAACGTTAACATACTCTCTTCTTTGAGTAAATCCTTTAGAAGTTTAAAAGTAACTCTCAACTTGTAATAACTGTGTTGTTACTATTATCTTTTCGCTCTCTCTGGATATAGTTAAAGGGTTATAAAGCACCCCCAGAACCGGTAATGCAATTTCTAGGTGCATGATGCTTTTTCATATCCTATTTTACCTTTTTATTTAATTCAAACACCCACATGTCTGTGAAGTATTTAGTCAGCCTCTTTTGTCTTTTTAAAAATGTTTTTATTTATTATGAATACATTTAGTTAAATGTCAGTCTTGCACATTTATGTATGTTAAACCATCGTTCATTTTGGTGCTTAACTTTTAAGTTTGCGAATAACCTTTTAAAAGGCAACTGGGAGATATATTGTGATATATTGTTTACTCACTTCCATTTGTTATGGGTTATTCGTTCATGCATGGCTGTGTAGTGGTGACTGCTAACAGAGCTGAGAAAGTGTAATGGTGTGGGAAAACTATTAAACCCTACATTGTGTTGCTCAGTTTGCAGATATGTTAGGCCTGTTGTAAGTAAACAGGTCGGTCAGTTATAAACGTTTAGAACGTTTAGGGATATTGCAATGTTCTCTAAATTCTATGAGGTTTCTGGAAAATCTACAGAAATAATTTACTCATCGACAAAAAAAGCGTCTTTGAGATGTAAGTAACAAAAACTGGCAATGCTAAAGCTTCCAAGGTGTGCTAAAGTTTTGAGAGTGCTTTTCTGAGAGTTTTTCCTTCCCAATTTGCCACTTCTATCCCAGATGATATCTCTATTGCTGTTGTGATATTTTGGCCTCTGTTGCATTAAGAAGGCCAAGGGAAATTCTGAAAGTTTGAACAAAAGGAGGCTCATGTGTGATCAAACTTTACATTGAATGAAGTGTTTAAAACTTATGCAAACCATTACACCCTCTTCAGCTTTGTCAGTGTCACCTAGATGGCGAATGGCCAGTGTTCTTATGCATCTGAAGAACAACCATCTCAGTGTTTTTGCATTACTGTGAATGTTTCATTCAAGCGACCTCTCCTCTCTGACTTCCAACTAGGCCACTGAGTTAGGACAGACATTAAATGAGAATGTTATCAAACCTACCCAAGAAAAGGTAACATTGATGTTTGAAGTTGCTGATCATGGTGGTGGGTAGCAGTGCTTTAGCGACTAAAAACAGCTTCAGATGTGAATGTACAATTTTTCTCGTCTGTGCCATCTTATCCGCTCTATGCCAGCTTGCATTAAACGACTAAATCTGTGGTTTCAAAAGGAGGAAAAGAAATGGGCTTACCGTTGCTTGTATCAGTGAGTGACGCAACTAAGAGATTTGGAGTTTTCCATCAGGGAGCTGTCTTATCTGAGGACAGCAGTGAGTCAGTCTGAACTGTGATCAAACTCACCGGATGGAGCCATTAAGCTCAATGAGGCATTATTGGAATGTGCAAATATTTGACGGGCTTTAATTTTTCAATCATGACTCTCTCCTTTCAAACCCCCGCACAACCTTAATTATTTATGGAGCAGCTAACTAAGTTTAGCGTTTTAAAGTCTATTGGCAAAATCTGAGGTGGAACATGTAGCATTTGTTACAATCAGTTTAAAAAAAAAAAATCTAAACAGTGCACCTTAAAATGCACAACCAGGAGCTCCTCACTTGAAATCAAGCTTGATTTTGGCTTGGATTTGTGTCTTATATCAGGGAAAGCCTTATCTTTGTTTTGCTTCATGCTTTAATCAATACCTCACCTCCTGAAATGATGGTGAGTGCTTTCCCACATAAATGATTCTGCATAGCAGCTTTAATCACAACTGTTAGGTGAGCAGCATCTGGATGTGTCTTTTATTGAGATTGGAGCACAAGAAAAGCTTGATTGTTGTAAGGCCCCAAATAAAGAAGGAATATCCAATAATAGGATTTTGTAATTACATTATTATTGAGTAATAAAGAAAGGGCCATTCTCATTTCATACATTTTTTTAACCAGATGGCCAGAGACTGAAACAGACTGGAAATATTTTTTGTCTTTTAATGTACAGCTGGCATGACTGATATTAGGTATGTGTAGTGTGTGCTTTTCTTTCTTTTTCTTACTTTATTTAATCACTTTTCTAGTGCTTTGATTATTGCTGCTGTTCACATTGGCCTAACCCCTTTCTTATCAACCAAATGAACGCTTGGCAAAATGGTCTGTCACACCAGATGAATAGAGATTCTTGTCTTAAGTTTTTAATAATTTGGCTCATCCAGGTGAAAGATGGCAAATTGCTAGATGAAATGGCAGTCAGCATCACGGGGCTGGCAAACAAGGTAGGACGGGCAGACATCTGCCACACTGTGCTGATGCAAAACCAGTCTCCTGATCACTGATTTAGTCTGACCGCCGCGTCCAAGTCAACAGCTGCAGAGGGGCCGCCTCCATAGTTTGACCCTCTGTGGAGACTGGTTTTGTAGTGTTGATGTGAGTTTAAAGAATGCTAATGGAGTATCATTTCTTGTTTTTCTTGCTGCCATTATCGTTGTGGTGGTGAGTACACCTGTTATGATGAGAAAGTGTGAACCGTTTTTATTATTACTTATTATTAGTTTCAGACCGCTCACTGCTCATTGGCTTATATACAAAATTGGCTTCCAAATAATAAGAACTTTTTTTCAAATACCCTAAATGGTGGACTCCAAGTATCCCACAACGCAGTGTGAAAAAAAAAGGTCTCTACTTAAGTTAGGTCGTCATATTATCAGTTAGAATTATCGCTGTATTTAAGTATTTTTTTGGTTTGTTTTACTAGTTTAGCTGTTGTATGAATTATTATTTTATTTCCAATTATATTTTTTTACTCTTAAGAAGATTTTAATTTTCTTAAGATGGGCTAAAAGAGATAAATACTGTAAACAGTGCAGAAAATAAAAGAGCTGAAGGCATTCTGTGGGGGTGGGGGAGTGACACACATTTAATTGCGTAAAAATCAAATTCTTTTGACCTTGTTAACCGTGTGACAGCTGTGGCGTCAATGTAGAAAGCGTCATTTAATTGTGATAATAAGTCGTCAATGGAGTCCAACACTGTCACTCAATCCAATGGAATTTGTAAAAGACTAAAATTTGGCCCTTTTACATTTACTGTAATATAAATCGTGAATTTTTGGTAAAACTCATTAAGTGTCACATGTAGAAGTAAAGGCCTTTTTTAGGCTTCTTGGATTTAGTTGTCTAAATCGTACATGTCTTTGTCTTGTTTTTAATTTAAATAACTATTTTTCACATTGCATAGATCCAGGGAGCTGGCTCAAAAATGACAGGCCTCTTCTCTGGAAAAGAAGAAGATGGGTAATAAAAACAACTGAATCAGACATTGCATGCCATCTGTGATTTTAATGATAGGCTGTGTCCTTTTAAAGCATCTTTAAAAAACAAATGTATTCCTGCTGTTTTCAGGTCTGGTGGAGAAAGCTACCAGAACATGGATAGCACCGAGGGATATCAGGGCAGTTCCACTCAGCCCATCTCAAGGGACTTCTGGGAAACCTTTGGCAGCAGCAACTCCTTAAAGGAGAAGAAGTCTCCCAGCAGTGACAGCTGGACCATTGCAGATAACTCTGCCAAGAAGAGCTCTGACAGTTGGGACAATTGGGGCTCTGAAGGAGCGTCCAACAACAAAAACAGCACAGAGGAGAGCTGGGAGGCCTGGGACAGCAACTGGGAGAATGCGGATGGTAAGACAAAGAAAAGCCCTACAAATGCAGATGGTAAGACAAAGAAGAGTCCCACAAAACCAGCTGCGGAAGCCTGGGATAATGCAGAGTGGTAGTGGTCTCGCAAAAAAAACATCTCCTCTTGTGTTTTTTTGTTTTTGTTTTGTTTGGTCCCCTCCTCTGCCGTTCCCCTGTCTCCCACTATTCATCTCACCGGCAAATTCAGAGAAAGAATTGCTTCAGCTTGTTTACTGTTTTTGTGGTAAGAAAAACTGTATAATGTACACAAGAAACGATTAATGACTCCAGGAATAGGTAGAGCTGACATTTTATTGACTTCCAGAGATGTATTCTATTTCAAATTGCCTCTATCACAGGGAAACAGGCGTAATCAGTGTAGATAGAGTAATAACATGGTATTTAAAACAAACATATTACTCTGAAAGATGAATGGTCCAGTGTTCTGTTTGCATCATGGATGAATGGATAATTATAATTATTAGCCCTCAGAAAATGATGCATTAAACAGGAAATCTGACATTGTAAATAGGAATACTGGTAGTTGTAAATACAAATAATTTCCCACAGGATATTTTGAATGAATTCAGATGAAATCTTCAGACCTTTTTGCACATGTAAAATTGACTTATGAAGAGCATTTGCTCCCATTCCATCCCACATCTGTGCTGGTAAATTCAAATAAAGGAAACAAAAAAACATATTAACAAACTGTCTACCATTAAATAAAAGATCTGTCAATATGTAAAATTCTAATGGAATAATAATTTGTTACTAAATGGCTCTCATAATTGACTTTTTTGTTTGTTTTTTTCGTTCTATTGAGAAACATTGCTCTCTCATAATGTGTTGGAAGATTTAAGGATATCAGAGCTACTAGGACCAGAAAGGGACCCATCTTTTAATAGTTTCATCTCAAGTATTCAATTTTAATAAATGTAGATTCTGAATAGATAAACAATTGGCAAAGTTATTTTGACATTTTCCTAATTTGAAATATAAAACTGTTACATAAGTCTGCTATGCACACAACTTAAATTTGCCCGTTCTCAGTTTTGATTTAGACAAACGTCAGTTCTTTTCTAAAAGTCACTGGTTAATATAATATTCTTACTTTTCCCATCTTCATGTATTTTGTAACAGGAATCTCTACCCATGTGCAGGTAGAACAGAGGGATTTGTTGAAGAATGGTCCTCTGTGTTATGTCTGTAATTTGGAAGATGTCTGAATTGACCTAAAATGAAATGTGTAGGGGTTTCAACTCCACTTACTGGGGATCAGTAAGTGGAGTTGTACTTTTGACAAAAGTACATTCTCTCATGGACATCAGTGAATGCTCTGCTTTATTTAGAGAAGACTTTTTGCTTATTTATATTTCTATATTATATATGATGAATATATGTAAAATTAGCTGTTGATTGGGGGAAAAAAAGAAGCTTTTACTATGAGAGTGAAAGCTGTTTTGGCTATATTTTTTTCATGGTGGTGTCATAACAGCTGACCTGTGAAGTTAATGTAAATTTAATTTACATGAACTGTGTGCGCTCTGCGGATGTCACCCGGACTGTGGTGTCGCACACATCTTCACGCTTGTGTTAACATCTAAATTGTGGGTTGATACCGGAGGGGCTTATTATAAGCTGGATGCTCAGATGGTCGCTGCTCTCAAATGCTTGTTATGAATGAATTTAATCGTCCAGCTGTAGTGCATCCTTCAGTTTAAATGGCTTATTTCACACTGCTAATCATGGATTCAGATACATAATGAAAGGTTGATTGTTATAACGCGTAGAACTGTAATTAATGTGAAATTGGGTGTATATATAATTGCAGTAACGTGTCTTATGTGGCCTTTCATGCCCCGTTACCCTGTGAAAGTGTGGCTCTTCCATTCAACCAACTGCCTGAGCATCTATTGGTTATTCTTCATGAATTATGTAACTAAGTCAAAATGGAGCTGAATACCATTGAATTAATTACAACCCGAGGTTTGGCTTTGATTCTAAAACTTTAATTGTGTTTAATTCTTTATGAGTTAAATATAAAAAGCCAAGTTACTGTGGTTGATTTACTTGAGAAACTTAATCTGCCATGGTTGGCCAGTTTTCCGTCAGAGGAGTTTGTCAATACAATATAGACATTAGGTTGTCTTATAACTCCTACAGTCCCAGTAGGGTTTCAAGATTTTAAAAATAACATCATGCTTTCATGTCTTTTAATGAATGAAGAATAAAACCTGGAAACCATACCCATTTTTTTCTGTTTTTTTTTTTCCTTTTCCTTTTTTTTTTTTACCAGCCTACCTCCACAGTTCACTACCTGCCATTTTTCTTAAAGCTAACTGTTTTCATGTCGACCTCGTTTTCACAGGTTTCATTTTTCTTGCTGTCCGGAAAATCAAGTATACAGTGTATGTGTGTTTTCAGTGACAATGCTGTGCTGTAAAATGATAAAGTTTCACTCCTGTAACATCAGGCTTGCTGAGCCTCTGCTGTCGTGTTCATGTACAGTCAAGTGTTAAAGCCTTAAACAGCTGTGTTTACTTTCTGTGATAAAGACGTCGGCCGCTGTATCTGTCTCTTATGCAGCAGTTGGTCATTTCAGAGATGATACATTGGTATCCTCAACTCTCCTTTTATTACTAAAGCTTTACAATATGTCAGTTTTGTATTTTCCTTTTTTTCATTTATGTCATTGAGACACAGATTATTTTGAAATGAAGGCTTTGTGCTTTGATATGTCGTCAGCGCGCGTCTAAGAAATCTGTAAAAAGCCTTTCATGCAAAATGTTATGTTACTTTAATGTCTCCTAGAGGTTGGTGGTATGCTTGATTAATGGACAAACTACAGAATGATGTCATAAAAGTGAAATGCATCTGAATGATCTTGAGACAAAGATGAAGTTTTAGTTTTATTTCCCTCCCTCTTTTAAATGGAAGCATTTGCATCCACATTTTTGACATTGGATTCAAAACATTCCCAGAGAAAAAAATGTACGCTTAGTTTCTTTGCCTCTGGAACACATGAGATAAGTTCCGTCTCTATTTTTGTGTGAAACTATGTTGGAAATGCCATTTTTGATGTCGAGCATGATGTGTAACGTGGAGCTGCAGTTATCTCCTCAGTGAATTGAAATCCTGTTGTCTGCTTGCCCTTATGAAGTTTCACCAGCAGCCATCCCATGAGGTGAGCCTGTGATACCCATTCCATTCAGGTTGTGGATATTTTTCCTGTACACCTGATTTCAGTGTAAAATAAAAATGTATTGTGAATGACTCTGTGGTGCAGGCTCGAGACTAATTTGTTGACCAGCTACAAGTTATCCTCTTTTTTGGTTTCACCCTACTCCATACCCTTTTCAGGTGCAGTGCACTAGTTGGAAGTTGCCACCAGCACAATGCCACCGTTTTTTTCTGGTGAGTTGTTCTGGTTTACTGTGTCCAGTATTTTGATTATATATTTATTTTGATAGCATTTAACCCCCCAATGCAACAGTTATCCCTGAGGCAGCCTGATAAAGGGGTCTTCGAAGACTGTCGGCGAACGTAGGCCGTCAATTACATAATGCCACACACCGTTTGAGGGAAAATGTCAGTTTTGAGGGAGCCCAGATGATGAGAAGAGGAAGGGTCTGCCTCATTTGCAGACGGTGACATTTACAACGTGTCCCGCCTACAAGGCGTGGAGTCGTGTCTCCTCTCCACAAGTCTCATTAGGGACAGAGGGATGCCGAGAGGACTATAGATGGCCAAAACACGGGGTGAGTAGCACCAAGTAATAACATTTGCCGGCCAATGCTCCTTGATAAACCCTTCTGAGTGAAGCTAAAAAGCATCATCTGCCTCAGAGACAGGGGCTGCATCCAGCCAGCAATGGAGGAGCGGACAGGCTGAAATGGATGACTGAGAAACATGAGCCGCCTTTAAAGGAAAAACGTTGAGATTCTAGCGGAGGGTTTTTTTTTCGCGTTTAAATTTTTGCTTTTAGGTGAAGAAAAGTGAGATTGTCCTGCGTGGGTCGGCTGCTTTGTGAATGTCCGACAGTATCGAGTTGTGATTGATTTCGCCATAGAACACAAGGTTGCAAAGGCAGCGTTTGCTGCATCAGTCTGCGCGCTCTCCCTGGTTTCTATCGATCTATTCCACCTTATTCGATCACCCGCAATCAAGCCGAAACATTGCCACAACTTGGCACATGCGAGGTTTCTCAGGGAAGACATGCTTTGCTAAATGTTTACACAAACGATAAAGCCTGCAAACGATCTTCTAACGCGAGGGACTTGAACTATTGTCGCGCTCCAGGCATAAATCCCAATTTTTTTCCCCTAATTGTACAGTCTTTTGTCATTGGGGGAAATTAAACCCCTTTTCTTTTAATGAACGTCGTGTGACCAGAGGGGGCGCCACTGCGCATGCTCAACTAGCTAATAAGGCTTTATGAAAGTTAGACGCTTCACAGTTTCCATGTGTGTGAATTGCTTCATATCCGAAAGTCTGGAAAGCAGCCCTAAACCACACAAAAAAGAATGCTAAAATGGCGTCGGAAACATCCGGGCTGCAGTGAAAAGCAGCTTGTGGATGACAATACTAGTTCTTTGAGTTGAGGCCACACTTGGATTTCTTTTCAGGCTTGAGGTCCTTAGCAGTTGTTGCTAAGCTACCACCACGGCTCGTGCAGCCCAATAAATGTAAACTGGTCTCGACGAAAACCTCCAGTGCGACGTCCTCCTGTCGGATGACAGGGAATGGGGAATGGTTTATCACTTTACTGTGCGTTTTGCACCAGCTCACCGTGCACTAACACAGTTTAGACACAACAGCTCACATTTCGACCTATTGGGGCGTTCAGATATTCCATTCAGGAGTCCTTTGGGTTTATTTGAAAGATTGGTATCCTCATTGTAAACCTAAAGCATTTAATGACCAAGGGGCATAACCCCTAGCTATATTTCAAATAATACGTTTTTAAAGTTGGGCTTCTGTTCTCAAAACCCAATATGTTTTGTTAATCATGTGAAATGCTAAGACAGTACCCTCAAAGGCTTGGAACATGTTCTTTAGGCTACTTATGGGTATAATTGCTAATAAATGTGACATTGCCTGCTGGCAGTAGCTGAATTACACGACTTTTAAAGCTTCTGCAATCTCCCTTTTGCTTTCAGATTTTCTGTTCTTAACTTCTCCTCTCATTCTGTTATGCACTTGTTTTTGCACTAGTGTTTGTGCTGCCTGCCTGATGACAGATAGTTTTACTTTGTGGCCATTTGATTTGCCTCATTTAGTCACAGATTTTGTTCAATTGTCCCCAAATGAAATTGGTTGATAGCAGATAGCATGAATAATCTTGTATTTTGAAACAGTGCAGATTTAGAGATATTTCTGCCATTCTAATAATATTGTAAATGATTTATTTTCCTTTTTAGATTTATTATGCCATCGTAGCCTTGTTTGTGACATCATACAGTGAGCGAACAAATTTGATGAAAAGAAACAGAGATGGAAACGTTCAAGACATTATGTTAATAAGAAGACGAAACTCACATTAGATTTTTTTAAAAACTTAAAAAATATATGTAACTTTTTGACTGTCCAGAGCTCAAAAGAACAGTTCATTTTCACCCTGTTAAATTGTGGAACTCTATATATCTGGTAACAGTTTGTAATGCCTATTTATGACCATATTGATGTCATGTTATGGTAAGATGAGTCATACAATTTGTCAAGGACTTGACCTAGAATAAGATTTAGTTTAAACGCAGATTTGGATCAAGTGTGACAGTTTAGAATTGAAATTAAGGATGAACATATAATCACAGATATGAGAAAATGCAACAATACTAACAATGTTGCTTGTTGACTACATGTATTCTAATTTTTTATATTGATGATGATTGCAATCCCAGAGGGAATCAATTAGACCCATTGGAGATATATATATAGATAGAATTGAATGTAAAATACTGTTTCGATATCACACAACATATTGTTGCTTAAAGATGTAGTCTGTAGGGGAACTTTCAACAGGGCAGACGTTGTTTGTCATGTGAAGAGCAGGCTGCTTGATGCGGTGATGGTGGTTTAGTCTCTGCTATCAGATGGCTGGTTGGAATCTGATTCAAGTGGTAGTTTTCACACACTGTCATATTTAAGATTGATGTACACCACATGTACTGTATGATCCAGTGTCTGTTTGTTTTGCACTGCTGTGATAGATTTAGCAGAGATCACGATTCAGTCCCCCTTTGGAGATCAAATGATTCAGGCGTGCTTAGTCTCAGCTCAACATCTTGACTTTTTATTCCAACTTTTGAGATGTTTTGATCACAAGGAGCTAGAATCTGCAGTGAAATGATGCATAGACATCTGACACTGTATTCCCGAACGAATAAATATCTGTTTTAGAGCAAAATGTGCTTTCATTTGATGACGGATCAAAGGATAACACTGTCAGATGTCAGTGCCATTGTTAGTATGAACGGGTACGTGAACATATACGTATTTAGAACGAACATTAAAAGACCTCAGAACGAATGGTGCAGAGCTCAACATACTGCATCTATGAAAAATCTCTCGAGAAGCATCTTGTTTCAAGGAGGGTGTTTTTTCCCCCTCACTTCTTACAGTATTTTTCATGAGAATAATCTTCAAATGAGGGTCTGTAAGCTGTACAAAGTGTTTTCTCTTCTTTTATCCTGAAAGCTAGCTGGATGCAGAAAGCCATTTGGAAAACAGCAGTGCATTCATTCTTTTCCAAAAGACAGCCTTCAAATCATCAGCCGAGCCTGTCAGCCAGCTTTCCACACACTCTCTGTATCCATGCAGAGAGACATCTCTGTTTGATGCCAAAGACCAGGCTCTGCTGTGCTCTTCCTGCTTCTGCTGCTGACACTGACGATGACTTTAAGTTCTACTTAAATGTAAAAGAAAGAAATGCTTAGAGGAATTTGCCTTTGCGAAAAATTAAATACCAAAAACGTTTTCAAGGAAACTATGTGAATTGGAGTAGGATCTTTACTTGTGTTTGACATCAAGGGGTATGTTTTGGATCAATAGTAGTATGGAATTGGAAAGTTTTCTGCATTTCTGCAGTGTCCACCTGCATGCTACTGCTTATTCATAAGGAACTTAGATATAATTTAAGATAAATTAATGGAACAGATTATTATGTGTTGGTATCGAACAAAAATATTTAAATCACGGGCCAGCTTTTGAAATCCATGTTGAAAAACCATCTCCACTTATGGTGTTATGTGTCAGAGGGGGTTTGATGAGCAGGAAATACTTTGTGATAGAGTATTCATAAAGTATCTACCAATCTTGGCAAACTTAGGATCTTGACCAGTTTTACAAGTACTTGTTATTAATAAATTGTTAACGTGTAGTTATTTGGACTAAAGTTCTGTTGGAAATCCTCTGTTGACCTATCCTTCTCATACTTTTCTACTTTGAACTGCCAGGTTGCTACAGTAGCCCAGAGGGTGCAAACCTGGATTCTTATGGGATTTTTTGGGAGATTTGTTTGTTTGTATTGAGAGATGTACTAACGTAAATGGTTTAATAAAAGTAGCTTGTGTTTTATGTCTTTCTTTTAATGCGTAAGTAAGTGCAACACAAATCTGTGGAGCCAGAATCCAGTATGATGAACCAGTTTGATCATGTGACTGCGTGTGTTGATCTGGCCTCTGACAGATTCAGTTCAGTGCAGAAAAAAGGAAGGGAAGAAGCTACCTGAGCTTTGGGGAGTCAGTGAAATCAAGATTTTGCACTTGCTTGACAGGTGTGTGTGTATTTTATCCACAGCTGACACACGACTTCATACAGCAGGGCTGTGAGACTGACTGACCCAGCCTACAGTTATCCATAAGGTAAGGTACCACCTCAGGATCAGCCATTTGCCCGGCAGAAAATAATGCCAACATGTTTTCAGTTTGTATTGGCTGTAAGGGTCAAGTAAAGCAACTGTTTGAATTTGTTAATATGACGCACATTTAAAAAATGGCATTTAGATATAATGAACTTTTGATCAAAAGACATGTCTCTAGATTTTTATCATCCCGTTTGTTTCCTGTAGGGACTTAACGGTAAAAGAGCCATGCCACCCCCAGCTGACATTGTAAAGGTTGCCATTGAATGGCCTGGTGCCAACGCTCAGCTTATAGAGATGGACCAGGTGGGTACTCTATGTAGAATTTCTAAAAGTGTGTGTCCAATTTGTCTCTTTTGCTTGTCATTATGGAGTTATTTAAATGTTAAAGGGGGGAAATTATACACCACTTAATGTGTTTTTAACATAAAAGGCATTAGTAATGTTCAGGAGAGGGAAATGGCAGTAGTTGCAGCTAAAATAAGTTTAATGGATTTAGTAATTACGCTGAGTTGTCATAGTTCTATTAAAAAGCATACATCAGTGTTGTAAGGATGATTTACGTTTCATTTCAGACCTTTAGAGTTTTTGATGTTTTGTGTTTTGTCTTCGCAGAAGAGACCTTTGTCCTCTATAATTCGGGAAGTATGTGATGGGTAAGCCTCACGTCACACAATATTTCTGCCTTTCCCTTGGCACATGAGCTTGAGATTTTTTCTGTAAAATCTGTAGATTATCTCAATGATAATTGTGTTTTAGTTACCAGATATGCACATATTCATCATATAGAGAGACAGACCGCATTTGATGTTGATTTACAAGCAGTAATGCAGTCAAATCTTTTTCTGTAGAGCGGTACGGCGTAGGAGGGTTAGGGTTATATGCTTTTTGAATAAAAAGTGTAGGAATTTTAAAATCTTCAATCGGTTGTTAGTCTTCTAGCAACACACTTGAAACTCAGGATAATCGTACCACTCAGGATACTGTGGTAGCTACTGGGTAAGGAGAAAACAGGGGTAGATGGATATATGTTTCATTCAGAGTCAATTGCCAGTGTTTCCCAATATTTCCATTTTGTCATTGAGTACAAAAACAATGCAGACTCTTTTGCTTTGTGATTTTTGCATCCTTTGGAGACTTTTCCTTGTTCTGTCATATACTTTACTTTAGCACATAGAGTATTGCACATTTTATCGCCCATCCATTTCTTAACAGAAATGCATCTACCCACTCCCTCACTTTCATTTTTTGAAATAGAAAATTGTTGCACTCCGTTGGCACCCTCTGAATAACTCTCCTTCACTATCACATTCTTAGTTTTTCCACTTGTGTAAATACATCTGCTGGATCTAATGGTCTGGCTTTTAGCAAACTTTTTTTTTTTTTACCATGCATGTTGGAGTATGCTGCTTTTCAAAATTATCTTATTGTGGTCCCTCTAGTTCGAATGCATATTATTTCATTGCACACTCTCCTTCTGTTTGCATCCCCAGCTGGTCTTTGTCGGGCTCTGAGCAGTTTGCTCTGCGGTATGCTGATGGCCCTCAGCTTTATATCACTGAGCAGGTTAGTCAGATTGCCCTCCCTCTCATCTTGTGTTGAAGATACAGCCAATTAATGTTGAACTGAAATCTTTATCATCTCTCAGAGCCGAGGTGAAATTAAGAATGGGACCATCCTTCGATTAGCAATTTCCCCAGTAAGTTGGCTTTGGTGTTCTTTTTCCTTTAAAAAAAAATCTTTTAAGGTAAAACCTTTTTTACACTAACCAGACTCTACATTTTGTTCCTTTTGAAATGATGTATTCAGCAAAAAGACCTGCAATCATGCTGGTCTGAGCAAAATCCTCACTGTGTCACAGGGGGTGCAACACTGCCTCTAAAAAGACTGAAGGAGTGGATGTGATTTGCCGTGTTTAATGGCACCACTGAGAATGCATGATAATCTGCTTTCCTAATCCCACCCTGCTTCCAAATGATCTGAGAGGGCTGCTCATACCTCCCACAGCAAAGAATCAAAAGTGCCAGCAAAGCACAGTGATGATTACCAATTTTTTATGCTTTGGCTGTATTTCCTCCCCCAATTTAATCATCAAGTTAATTTCTGTGCACTCAGAACTCAGAACTTTTTAACTAAATAAATGAAAAAACAGGGTTTAAATGTTCCCATGTTTGCCCTATGTCTACAGAACATTAGACAGAAGGAATCTTATCTGATCCGCAATGTGTTACAAGCATCTATTAATGTTTAAGGACCGACATGACGGTTTAGCTTTAACTGTCAGGGTCAGTCTGGTGGAATCTGTCGAAAGTGCCAATGAAAGTGTCCTCTATATCTTAAAGCTCTCCAGATTGCCTTTTTTTTCTGGCATAACCTTGATCTGTGTCAGGATTAAGATGAATTTCGGTGATTGGATGGAAGAGGTGAACGGTATCAGACAGTGATGCTTTTTGTCTGATAGGCTCGTGCTGCTCGTCAGCTCTTGGAGAGGATCCAGTCCCATGTTATCGACGCTCGCCTGGAGGCTCTTAAAGAGCTTGCCAAGCTGTCTGCAGACCCTACTTTTGCCGCAGAGTTCATCAACATGGAGGGCATTGGCACTCTGGCTCGCCTGGTGGAGAGCGGCACCCAGTGAGCACTTATTTAGTTATGACAGACAGTCATTGAAATCACTGTTAGTAATGGCTAAAGATATTACATTTCATAGTTTCATAATTTGCATAACTGAAAAAAGGTTGTGAAAATCCTGATACTAACTGTCCCCTTTTTTCCCATGAGCTTTGGGGAAATGTTGGCCTTCACTCTCACTGCCTTCCTGGAGCTGATGGACCATGGCATTGTGTCCTGGGACCTTATCTCCCTGTCCTTTATCAAGCAGGTATCCGTATGCACCCCTCTAAAAAAAGAAATAAACATTTACACTGACGTTTCTCTCCCCTGATTAAATATCCCTTTCTTAAAATTTCAAATTTCAAGGTTTGTCTCTTTTTTTCCTCTTTATTTGTACTACTTTGTTTAATTGTTTGACCTTTCTTTCTTCCCAAATGCCGGAAATGCGTGGGAGGTGTTGCCTAGCAACTCCCCTGCATTATTTGAAGCTGCTTCGCTGTGTGTGTGTGTGTGTGTGTGTGTGTGTGAATAGTTTCCCTCTGAAAAACTTCATTTCTCAGCCTTGTCCTCTCACGGAAAACTTGTAGAGCTCATAATTTTCCACTTCTAATAATATTCTCTCACCATCTAAACCAGATTCAAATTGATTTTTTTTTCTCTTTCTTAACTTTCAAGCTTTCTCGCAAGAACTTTCAAACACAACCTGAATAATCAAAGAAATGCAATGTTGAAAAAAAAAAAAACTTGTGTGTTTTGGCTTTTGTTCCTTTCCTCAGATTGCAGGCTATGTGAACCAGCCCATGGTGGATGTGTCCATCCTGCAGCGCTCTCTGGCCATCCTGGAGAGCATGGTCCTCAACAGTCACAGCCTCTACCATCGAGTGGCCCAGGAGATCACCGTGGGACAGCTCATCGGGCACCTGCAAGTGTGAGCACACACACACGCACAGGGGCGTCCTGCACTCCTGTGGAGAGAATGCTGGGTGGAATACTGTTAGGAAGAATAAAGGATACGTTCTAGATATTTGTTTCCCTGGGATTTCTAAAGGAGTGATTTTCAGATGCCATGATGACACCAAATATGTCTTTTTGTTAAAAAATCTCTCTTTTACTGACTTTATGGACAAAATGTTGGTGTCAAAGAGGGGCCTCTGAAAATCCTGCACTCTTCCCATTATTTATACTGATGATGATAAAACTAAGATGATTATTTTTTTAGGCTCTGTGGGTAGAGTAGAAGTTAGACTGTAGTCTAAATTCTGAATATAGCTGAGCACGATGCTTCTAACTGGTTGTCGCACGGCTGGACATTTCCTCAGGTCAAACCAGGAGATCCAGACCTACGCTATCGCCCTCATCAATGCTCTTTTCCTGAAGGCACCAGAGGACAGACGGCAGGTCAGTGTACTGCATTAAAGGATTAAATGCTTAGAGCAAATAAACCTAACTGATGTACTAATGTTCCATCCCCATTGTACAAGCCATCCACACACACAATAGGCTGCTCTTTTTTTTGGGTGACACAGAGCTGCAGACATCAGGTCACTGTGGCTCCTAAAAAGTTTGCAGCTGTTGGATAGTTAATCTTCTCTATCACATGCTTAGATGTCTGTCTGCAAGCTGTCATCTTGTGGGTTCTGTCTGATAAATGTTGCTGTACTGACACACTCACTCATCAAACTACTCACTTTTCTTTGCACATTGTGCATTTGTTATGTCTCTTCTGTAGCATAGTGACATCCACAAAAACTAGTAGTTTTAATGGGTTGCACCCAATAAATCATGAACAGGGCAGTTTAGCTATAGGTTTAGCTGTAGACTTTGAATGTGATGTGATAGTTAATTGTTAGGTTACATTGATTATTTTGGTATCTTCGTTCACACAAGCAAAAACAAAAGCGACACGTATTGCATGAAAAATTATTCAGACAGTACTTAAAATGAAACTAAATCAAAACATTTAATATCATGATGACGATGGCAGTGTTTTCTCTCCTATTTCTTTGGTAATGAGAATTGTAAGAATATACATGTAGCAAAGACAAATGTAAGTGTCTTGTTTTTCTGTGCTTTTCTTGCTCTCCTGTGGCAGCTTTTAACCTGATTCATGCTGCACTGGAGCATGCTTGAATGTTTAATCTTGTTTCAAGCATTTCTCCTGCACATTTCTTGTCTCTGTATTCTGGCTTTCCATGTAAACTTAAATTTGTTAAACACTAAATTTAACAATGGTAGTGCACCCTGAAGTATTGTTATTTGACTCAATTGTTCTGTACAAGCGCAACAAAGGACTTAACAGTCACTGCATACACAGAAATAAAGTACACCAGTAAAAACTCACTACAAAAAACTTTCTGCACTAGATAAAGTTTGATTTTGATTAGACTGTTTAGAGTTTTATTCTTTCTTACATTTCATACATTATTTCTGTTGTGGTTTAAGGATCAATTTTCCATGAGCTGTAAATGTTAAACATGGTATACACATGGTAATTAGAAAATACACAGAGTAACAATCAGACCAGACAGGGTAAAGGACTGATATGCAGCAACTAAACATTTGTCAGTGTAGGTCATTAATGCAAACTACTGTTATGCATATGGGGACAGAAGTCAGCTGCAGATGCACACAGAGGACAAATGTCAGTGAAAATCTGTGGGTTTTTCTCTGGTTGAGAAGGGCGATACATGTTATTAACATTACCAGGACTACATTAAGTCTTAGCTAATTAGTTATTAGTTAAATATATGTATTCTACCATCATAAAAAAAGAGAAGAAAAAATATTAAATAACGTCATAAAAAAGAAGTAAAATTTGGGTAATACGTTAAAGAAAAGAGAGAAGGATGTTTGACTATCCGAGCTTCACGTTCACCTGCTGTTAGTGATCACTAGAGGGCGACTGAGTCAATTCTAGTGAGGGAAATCCAGCAGAGGAATCAGTTCAGACTTCATCTGAGGGAAACAGAGACTCCTTTCAGTAAATTAGGCTGGAATCATTCTTTAAAAGGTGGCATTTTAGACCTTGTCACTACAATCTTGTTGCATTTCCTTTGCACTTTTTACAAGTTATTAATATAGCAAAAAGGGGCAGGAAGTGTTTATGTTATGTTATATAATATATTACTATTATAATACAGGTAAATCCTTTAAAGCCTCAGACATTAGCTATGTAGGGTGAAAGAGCTGCTGTGTAACAACTGCTCAATGTTCTCATGTGATATGATTCATGTCCCTATTCTGTTGCATGCTGTGCCAGTGATGTAAATCTGTATCTGTGCACTTTTTGTTTCCATTACTGTCACGCCCATGTTCCTCCTACCTGCCGTCAACTTGCAGGAGGAGTGTTCTAACCCTCTGGAGCAGCACCTCACTGTGAGTACACATCCCTCATATTGCATTTTCCGCTCCGCAGCCCTTCTCCTTCCCTCTGTAGCACTTTTTGTGTCATGAGCAGGCATTGCATAATCCATCCAAATTGAGATAGAACCATAGCTTGCGGCAGCAGCAGACAGACTGTGTGACGGATTGAATTTAGTCTATCTTGGCTTTTTATTTAGAAAATGCTTCAAAGGGTGAATGTAAAGCCATGATGAAAATCTTGCTTCAGGATAACTCTGCGAACATCTGTATTCATTGTAGGTAGACTTTGTAAAGTTGCTATAATGTCACAATAGTAAATCATCTTTCCCCATTTGATTTGTTTGTTGACTAATGTGTTTCTTCAGGAAATGGCCAGCAGTTTGGCTCAGAAGCACCTGCGGTCCATCATCCTCAATGTAAGTAACATGTCTGCATACAACCTCATTTTGTGCTAAAGTCTTCTGTCATCCCCCATTTCTTTATATTTTCCCCACAAATGTTTATTGAAACATCTATGAAATCAAGTGTAATGTTGTTAGGGAATTATATGTTTCGGTGTATAAGCAATTCCCAGTATATATCGTGCTAGTTTTAGGTGCCTTATTCAGGGCTATAATCCATCTGAGAACCTGCACAAAAAAGTAATTGTTTCTACTTTGAAAGTCTACCTCAATCCATATTTAATTTTCCAATCTTGAATTGCACAACGTTATATTGCAGTTATAACATGTTTTTGTACAATTCCATGAATCTGGAAAAGTCAGTGTTTGGTACAACTGCCAATGCACAGCATCAATTCTCTTAGACAAGCGTTATGTCACTTCTTTAAGTAGTCACCATGAATACTTAATAACACTTCTTGAAAACATTCCAAAGCTCTTTTTTGGATGTTGGCTTTTTTTTCTGTCATGCGCTGTCAAGATGATTTCAAACCACCTCAGTAGTCTTGAAGTCTGGGATTTAGAGAGGATTCATCCCTCCATAAGACCTGTTGCCACTGACTCACATCCAAGTTCATGAGTCATTTTGGATTTTCATTTTCTTCCAATTTCCCATCTTCAAAAATGTCTTCTTGACACCATGTCTAATGAGCCTTGTAAATCAATCAAGAAACTGGCCACATATATCTCTCAGGTCCCGAGTAAGCTTTTCGGTGAAATCATTCTATTTCTTAACCACTTTCATTTAAAGATACTATTAATCATATTTTATGCCTGTCAAACGATTCTATCTTGGCATTTTACACATTGGTGCAACAGGAGAAATATAAAAAAAAAACTTTTATTTGTCTTTAACTGACTTTAAGCTTGTTAAAGATGTCATTTTAAATTTAGTTCTGTGTTAAGTTGTCAGTTATGTGAAGACACTGGTCCATTCCAACAGACATGCACCTTTTTGTGCTGGAATAATTCATGTCAGTGTTAAGTGGATTAGCAAAAGCATAAACACATTGAGTGGAAAACTGCAAGGAACAAGGATCAGTATGAAAATGACTGAAAAGGGGGGAAAATAGCCCAGACAAACTATTTCTAAGAAGTGGCACAAGACTTTAACATAGTTCTGCATGTTTGCAAAGTAACTATGAGACTTATTTTTGTCCCCATACCAAAATTTGGTCAGTATTTGAAAAAAGGAAGCTTTACCAATTCAGAAAGCTGTGACACAGAACAAGCAAAGTTAATATGAAACCAAGTCCATAAAGTGGAGCAGTCTGCCTGGAAAGTGATTCCTTTTGGCACATACCTGGAAGTTGCTAGTTTTAGTACAGTGCAGTTTAATACATTGTGTCTTGAATTTGATTGAATGAAGTCGAATTAAAGTTGTCCTTTTTGGTTTTGGTGTCACTGCTTCGTTTGTTGTGCTGTGCATTCACAAATTCATGAAGTTTTGCTCTAAATACATTGGGCTCTTCTTTTCCAGCACGTCATCAGAGGAAATCGACCAATCAAAGCAGAAATGGCACATCAGCTGTATGTCCTGCAGGTATTGACCTTTAACCTTTTGGAAGAAAGAATGATGACCAAAATGGACCCCAATGATCAGGTAAAATTAAAGGTTACATGGCTTTCTATTCCTTTTCATAAATCTTCATAAAGCTTATGAAATTCCATCACCAGAAAATTAAATTATCAGATGTTAAAAAATACAACATGTAAGCAATCTTCCACGGTATTCTTAATGTTTAACATGCTTAATTGAATGGAAACACACACCATGGTGAGAGGGGATTATAATCAGAGACAACCTCCTGCCAGGAGAATTTAGTCTCCAATAGATCAGCTTTTAGTGTAACAGGTGAACCAGAAAATTAAGGTTTTCCGATTTTTGCCAGTGTCTGTTGAAAGCAATCCGCTCACTCCTGATTGACCTGTCTGTTTTATTTTCTTTCTTTATTAATTTGCTGTTGTCCTGTTTAATGTTATTCTCTTTACACTAATGAGTTTTTAATATGCTGGTTTGCTCTCCAAGGCTCAGAGAGACATCATTTTTGAGCTGCGCAGAATTGCGTTTGATGGTGAAACTGATCCCACTGGCACAGAGAAGAGGAAGGCCATGTACACCAAGGACTACAAGATGCTGGGATTCACTGTGAGTCGGCGTAACCGATTCAGCTTTTCTTTCTTTTAAAAAAAATCTGAGTTGTCATCACTTCGCATTCATTTTGATTTGTACTTTTGTACATTTGTACTTTGTAATTTTTTGTTTTTTTGCTCCGTCTATTGCCTCATTTTCTCTCCATTCCAAATTCAGAATCATGTAAACCCAGCTATGGACTTTACCCAGACTCCTCCAGGGATGCTGGCTTTGGACAACATGCTATATCTGGCCAAGGTTCATCAGGATACCTACATCAGGGTGAATTGGTCTCAGACCTGATCTTATTCTTGTCATAGAGCTGGAAAGTCCTCTCCACCTAACCTGTCTCCCTGATGTTGACAGATTGTCCTGGAGAACAGCAGCCGGGAGGATAAACATGAGTGTCCCTTTGGCCGCTGCGCCATTGAACTCACTCGGATGCTGTGTGAGATACTCCAGGTTGGAGAACTGCGTGAGTTGCTTTATGTATTTTAGTCATGTTTTAACTTGTTTGATCATGCTGAAGAAGAGCTGACAAATCTTTCATTTCATATGGCTAAACAAACATTGGAATGGATTATGTTGCTCTCCTTTGTTTAGCTAATGAGGGCTGCAACGATTATCATCCAATGTTTTTCACCCATGACCGAGCATGGGAGGAGTTCTTCTGTGTCTGCATCCAGCTGCTTAATAAAACATGGAAGGAGATGAGGGCCACAGCGGAGGACTTCAACAAGGTGTGAGACCACAGCACGTTCACACACATCAAAGTTAGATTCAGGTGCATTTATTGACATTTCTCACTTGAGCTCAATCTTGAGTTGTCTAAGCGTTTCATGCTACTTTGACTTGTATGCCCCCTGGGACCCAGGGCCTTTCATGTTAGACCTAATGGGCAGTGAATTTATTTTTCAGTGCTATGAGCTTCAGTGTACAACTTTTACAAACAGTAGAGTTCCAGTCCTATAATGCTGAGTAGCTGTGTTATTTACAGAAGGTAAACCTTATTAGCAGGTAACCAGAAACTGTCCAGATGAGCTCTGCCCACTATGAGTCCGCGCTGACCAGCTGAGACATTGGTTTGTTAATTTGGAATTTTGTAGAAAAGGCAAACAATGCTTGTCTACACTATTCATTCTTAAAATATGATGAGGACAGTTCAGGCTATCAAAGGGTGATAAACAGCAACAGTAACTGATCTGATGAGTATCCTATTTCATATAATTCTCTTTTAAATGTATACATCTGTGTGTATCATCCTTCTCCAGGTCATGCAGGTGGTCCGTGAGCAGATCACCAGAGCTCTGGCGATGAAGCCGTCATCGATCGACCAGCTGAAGAACAAACTGCGAGGACTCAACTATTCCGAGATTCTGCGTCTGCGGCAGTCAGAGAGAATGAGCCAGGATGATTTTCAATCTCCGCCTATTATGTGAGTCTGTCTCTCCCCATTTTATATCTGAATTCTGTGGTCAATAGCGTGCAGAATCATATTCACTGAACATTTTCACACAGCTATTATTCTGCATTACTAAACGCAAATTCAACCTTTTTTTTCCTGATAATACTATAGACAGCATAAATTCCCTCACATGTGTGCTTATGTTTTTGTTCCTGTCGCTCATGCTGTGCTCGTGCTGCAGTGAGCTGCGGGAGAGAATTCAGCCTGAGATCTTAGAGCTCATCAAGCAACAACGTCTAAACCGGCTGTGTGAGGGAAGTTGCTTCCGTAAACTTGGGAACCGCCGAAGGCAAGGTACACTGTGTTTCAGTACGATTATATTTCTCTCTGCACAAGAAGCACTTCTGTTGTTGATTACCAGCTAAACACCATGTTCTCTGTTTTTTTTCTGGGTAGAAAAGTTTTGGTTCTGCAGACTCTCTCTGAATCACAAAGTGCTGCATTATGGGGACTTGGATGAGTCACCTCAGGGTGAAGTGCCTTTTGAGCTACTCAGTGACAAGAGTAAGACACATTTCTCCTTGTGCCTCTGTTTTGTATTTGATCAATTTGAGAAAATCTTATACAAACACATACAATGCCTCTGTCTCTGGCAGTACACTCTGCACCAGCAGTGCTTGCAGATGAAATGCCTCCAAGTATTTGGTTGTTCACTCTTATTTTCCCCCCTAGTCCCCGTCTCAGATATCAAGTCTGTGCTGACAGGGAAGGACTGCCCTCACATGAAAGAGAAAAGTGCTCTGAAACAAAACAAGGTGCTGCTTTGTGTTGGATTTTTTCTGGCTGATGTAGTTATCTGTCCTTCATGTCTTTTTTGTTGTCTCATAGTTTTTAATTTAACTTTTACTTCCCCATTAGGAGGTGCAGGAATTGGCTTTTTCGGTCCTTTATGATCCAGATGAAACACTTAATTTTGTGGCACCCAACAAATATGAGGTAAGCAGACATGTTCCCAACAACACAATAGCTGTTCTAAATCTGTGTCTAGTTGAGATTGGCGGATGTGAATACATTTATTATTATTGGTTAAATGTTACTGAATTAAGTTTGTCTTAATAGCTGTCTTTCGACCACTCACATGATTGGAATAATTTCATTTATAATGATGAATATAAATGAGTATTAATGCAAATACGTGTTTTTCATTTAACCAAAAATCTTGATGCGGGTGCTCTTTTGTTTGATAAATAAATAAATAAATGACCGATCTGTCAAAAACACAAACAAAACAACCAGAATTGACACAAATTTTCAATAAATATTCTATGCAGCAAACTTAACAAAGACATGCACAATTTAGAGGGCCTGACGGCTTCAAAAGAGTTTTCAGGACCAGTCGTTTTGACTTCTGAGTGTCCCACTGTGTGTGTGTTTGTGTGTGCGCACACCTGCAGTATTGCATCTGGACTGACGGGCTGTGTGCGCTGCTGGGCAGAGAAATGGGCAGCGACCTGACACGCAGCGACCTAGATACCCTGATCAGCATGGAGATGAAGCTCCGCCTCCTTGACCTTGAGAACATCACAATCCCAGAAGCCCCGCCCCCTGTGCCAAAAGAGCCTAGCTCATATAACTTCACCTACAACTACAGCTGAGATGTGTGTGTGCGCGTATGTATGTATGTGTTTGTAATGCATGCATGTGTGTGTGTTCCTGATGGTTTTATGTTTTCTGATTTTAGCTGCATATATGTAAAAGAGGCTTCAATTATTCATTCTATTCTCCCAGAACACACATGTTTATGTTGGTGTAAGGTGGGGGGGTTTCAGGACAGCACAGTGTGAATGAATCTGATAAAACAGAGCATTCTACAGGCATCATACAGGCTTCATTTCCATTCCTCGTTCCTTTTGGTTCAAAGGTATAAATGAAATATAAATAAAAAAAGCCAAAATCTTCAAGTGAACTTTTAACGAAGTTCACTCTCCAAGTGAACTTTTTTCCTTTCCTTTCAGGAAAGGAAAAACTTTTTTTTTTTTTTATCAAGCTATGTGAGTAGTCTCCATGGCAACAAAGAGTAAAGTAGCCATAATTCTACTTTAAATTCACTCTGCTCAGATACTACTAGCTCCCGCACATGTGCAGACATACAGTACAAAATAACTGGCTCTACATTATTCTGTTGTGGTTTCATTATTTTCTATATTTGATTATATAACATTATTTACGTTCTATTTTAATGTATCAAATTCGCAATGTACGGAAAAAGCAGTTAAGTTGGAAGGATATCTGTCACAGTCTTTTTCATTACTGTGACAAATGTGGTCGAGTAAAGATGTCAACATTTTTGATGGAGAATTGGCCCAGAAATGGTCTCATATCTTGCTGCTGAAACAGAACCAGGTCTGTGTCATTCCAGTGTTCAGATCACTGCACGCGGTCTGTTGTTGATCTACATGCTGTTGTCTGCACTGGCTCCACGTCAAATCTGATTCAAACCACCTCTCTGAAACCCAAATGAAATTGGGTAACCATAACTGGATCAGAGCTTGCAGCGAGCAGGCACCAGTGAACAGCCAGGTTTGCATTCCAGTATTACTCACCTCCCTTCTCAGACAAATGTACCCCGCCATCTCAGAGGCTGGGAACAGAATACAAAATACATCACAGCAAATGAATGAAGTGATCTGTGACAGTGATTTCTAACCGGCTTAAGTTAGTGTGTATGCTTCATTGTGAAGATCCTAAGCTGTTGTGTTTGTTTATGTTGAGCGACTGGAGGAATACAAGTCAATATTTTATGAACCTTTTCCTCAAGTCAGGGCTTGCATTTCTGTTGTCCATCATGTTAAAAAAACAGGAATGATAATGACTCATAGTCACTGCATTGCCTTATCATTAATAGATTAACTATCGGTTGCCATTAGCCATCACAGGATATGAAACATATCACATCATTGTATGATGTAGTTGTAGCAGATGTAAAGTCATTTAATTGCTCCGTTATGTTTCTGAGAAAATACAACTTGCTTTATGAATCTCTTCATTAATTGTGATATTAGTACATTTATTACCTGTTTGATACATACGTATGATTTATGTACATATTATGTACATGTACAATAGAATGCAATTGCTTATATGCAACATGCTGAACTTATTTAATAATGGCTGACACCAGTGCTATGCTTGTGTTTGCTTTAGGACTGAAGTTGTCACCATATATCTAAATACACAGAGAAATGTGTTTAAGCCAGCTACATCTTATAATTTCATGTCAGACATTATTGCTTTTACACTATGTGCTGCAATAGTAACATGTGAACATCACACTCTAGTGTTATGTAGGGGTTTAGTTTCTAAAATACATATTGTACATTCCAAAAATGGAGGATTTTCTCTCTTCTTTTTTTTTTTCCAAGAAACATTGAAGATCTGAAGTCTGACTTTAAACATTTGTTCACAATCTGTTCATAAAGCTGCTCAGTTTCTCCCTCGTGGGTTTAGTGCCAGAAAAGTCCTTCACTATTGTAAATGAAAAAAGGACAATTATAAAAATCTAGTGCTGCTGGTGTACGACAAGAGCACATTAGATTGTGTAATTTTTTTTTTTATAAGCGCAATCAAACATTGTCCTTTTAGCTTGTAGACCAATACTAGTCACCCCAACAGTTTATTAAGTGCGCTATAGAAATATATTTTTGTAAATGATGTTAAACCTTTGTCAGCTGTAAAGTGAGTGAGAAAAAGTCATTTTCACTTTGCATTGCTGTGTACATACAGAACCATCCAGCATCCTCACCCTGAAACAGGATTCTTTAGTATCCACTACACTGTACTACTTAGAAAGAACCCCTTTCTAGCACCTAATTATGATGTCAGCTTGTAACGTAATGTTGAAAATTGCTCTTACTATCAATGTTGTTGGTTAAAACAGGAGATGCTTTTCCAGAAAATGTTTGCTTTTTAACTGATGTTGGAGTTGAAAGTGGTTAAAAATAATCCTACCGTGACCCTATAAGTTTCACAGTAATAAAGAATAAAAAAACAAACACACAAACCAGAAAAATGCCTCTCCGCTTGTTTAACAATGCCAATTTAAGTGATGTTAGAAAAGTACACACAACCACAGAAAGACTGTGGTTGTTACCAGATTGTGTTTACCTGATGTTTTGCCATTAGAAAAAATGCTTTTTTTGGTTTTGTTGTATCCAGTGATATTTGTGTCGAGCTTTGAGCTCTCAGGGCCACCGTGATTACTCTTTATTCATTAAAGTTACTGAACCAATAATCTGTTTTCAGACGTCAACTGCAGTTAAAACAATTAAATAACTACATGTAATGTTATTTAGTGGATTGTTGTCTTAAACAACTAACAGGATGACTTGAATTTTATCGCTTCTGGCACTCTTTTTTATGACTTGCTTGACTATTTATATACACTTGGTAGTGCTACTAAAGAAGACAGAATGATTTCAACTTTTAAATGGTATACATATTGATAATTGTATGTATATACAGTATTGTGTTGCCTTATTGAAAATAGTTTTGTGTGAATAAATACAAAGCCCTAACCAATGCTTAAGAGCCAGTGTCCTTTGTCTAGCTTTTGCATTAAAGGCTCAGTCAGTACATTATCCACCCTGGTATTGCTAATAAAATTCAAAGGAAACCAGGATTAGTGCTTCTCAGACATCCATCCATTGGCCTTTGGGTAAACTCAAAAGCAACGTTGCCTGGTCACAGTCGTGGAGCAATTGGCAGTTGCTTGCATGTCATAACCATGGGGAGGAAGTCTGAGCCCCCGGAGAACATTCTTGACGGATGAGAATCAACTCAATATATAAAAAATCTGGGCAGGTTTGTATAATTTTTTTAGGCGATTGTGTGAACAGTTGCGTGATGTGACAGTTTTTCCGTTTGTCATAGATGATGAATGACATAGTTTTACTGCAGTGCTCATTGTAAGGAAAAGAAGTGAGGTGAGATCCATTTTTTCTCCAACAGTTTTGTATGCCACATGTTGTCTGGAGTAGGTATAGGTTAATGTTATTGGTTTTATTGCTCTGCTGACAAGATTTATATAAATGTTGCTGAAATTTTTCTTGTGGGACTACTACAGAAGACATTTTGAGTTATTATAAATCAGTTATTCAAGCTGAAGTATTAGGGGCGGCTTTTTTCCCCCTTCAAATTAGTCTAATAGAAGTAGGATTCTCTGAAAATTGAAAAATGGCTTTGATCTGATGAATGCCTATTTGACTACTGATCTTTGGCGTTTATTTATACATACCAGCATGCTTCTTACACAGGAATCACATTAACATCACGCCTACACTTCCTGTACGGAGTGGAAAAGTGATTCAGTAGCAGCGTAGGCATGTCAGATTTGAGGTGGGTGCAGCTCCTGCTCAGTTGCTTGTCTCATCCAGCAGGGGACACACTATCTTTTTTTTTGGTGGAGTAAGAGCTGAATGTCAAGCGTGATTATCTATCTTTTTTAAGTGCTCGGAGAAACGTTAAATGTACACTGACACTGATGATGTTCTGGCTGTAGAATACTGCTTATAGATAATTTAAGTAGCATGCTTTGGTATGCTTACATGTTTTTTCATGATTGGATCCCCTGTCATATAGTTAGTGTACTCTCAATTTATTGGAATCCGTTTGGAAAGAGAAAATGAAAATCGTCTTGCTGAAAAACACACCATTGCACTGCAGAGATATTAAAACATACACATCACTTTTAGATGAGTTTTATTTTTAACAGAATATCAGGTGTTTTGTCAAGAATCTGGATGAATATACTGTATATGTACTGCACGATGGATAACCTCATCAGAGGGTAGTGAAGCTAAGCAAAAGGGCTGTTTACATCAATCACTTTGACCTACATAGTCCAAACGAGCAGAAAGTTGATTCCGCACAAGTCATAAGGCAGATTTTCATCAGCGTGGGGAAAGTTTGCTTTAGTCTGTAGAAACACAAAGACAGTAAACAGAAGAACACCCTGGAGGTCTGAGCTGCTCTCTTCTGTAAATATCTTTTCTTACATTGCATCAACTTCTCTTTAGCTTCAGTCCAGTGGACATAGGCAGCTCAGGCTCGTTTGTGTCTCCTTTGCTGACCCACTGCAGCAGGAGTATGATTGTCCAGTTTTTTTCCTTTTTCCCTGGTCAGTGGATAGGCATTCTTTACAACACATCATAACACAGAGACAATGTCAATATATATACTTTATGCTGTATAGAAAATAAATACAAATCTCTATCTACATCATCATCTCTGATTCCCCTCTTCTTGATGTGAGCGGTAAAGTGTATACTTGTCATGTTGCATGACTGTATGTTTGTCTGTAATCATGTGTCGACTGAATTGGAATGTGCACATATATTTCAGCAGATCTGATGTAGTACCAGTTTTTCACTCTGATTTGGCTGATTATTGTAATTTATTTTTGTCTTTTGATTGATGATCACAGTCTGAGGACCCTTTATGTCGTATTGGAGGGTGTTGTGGTGTTTTACTTCTCCCTCACGGGGCTCGGTGTCCCAGCCCTGGGCTGCCAGCAGCAATATAAGTGCAAGGAGCAGTAGTGTGACAGCCGTGGAGGTCATCTGTGGGTTGAGCTGCAGGGTAGGCTGGAACTCCTGGTCATCCTTTGTCCTAAATGAGATGCACTGAGGCTTTCTGCTGTCTCTTGATCTTCGATTTATGTGCTTGGCACCCTGGCTGATCCCCAGATGCAGACACACTCTGTAAAATGTCTCCCCCTGCAGGTGAGTCAGGTTGAAGCTCTGCGTGCCGGCAAGGATGTGAGTGGTGTACGTTGGTGCGTGAGTGTTTGGGTATAATGCCTGCCAAGACAGGCGGGTTGAGGGGAGGTTGTGTCTGCTCTGCCAAGACAAGATAGCATAGTGTTCTCCAACCTCTTGCAACTCCAACCTGGCATCTATTCTGATTGCTTGAAATTTCTTCTGTTTTGTTGCCACCCCCTTCTTTCTATATTTTCCCCTGCTATGCACTCCCACAGTAACACTGCGTGTATCTGCTCCAAGTACATTCTCAGCCACACAAGTATACAGCCCTGCATCTCTGGGGGTGATCTTGCTGATCTCCAGAGTTCCCTCTGGCAGAAGCTGGTAGTTTTTCAAAGAGTGGCAAGAAGTATGGTTTTTAGCATGCTGGACATGGACACTGGAAAAAGATGTGTGACGGGATGCTTCAGAAGTTGTAACATTCTTGCAGAGAGCAGGGGCAGATGAACTTTTGGACGATTGGCTTTGGGATGGTCCAAGCTTCAGGCCAGAGGGAGTCACCCAGTACAGTTCAGGCTGTGGATCTGCAAGTGCTCTACAGTGCAAAACCAGTTTCCCTCCTTCTTGAACCCCTACATAGGAAGGAAGGGAGCTAACAGGAATACTTGGCAGGCAAGAGGCAGACATTTCGCCTGTGGATACCTCTCTAACCCTGCGTGCTCTCAGTTCTGGAGGCTCAGAACACAATGTTGCCTGTGGCTGGATGAAACGCACCAACCGGGCTGTTTGTACATCTTTTCCCATCACCTTATCAATGTAAGGATGAGATTTATCCTTGGCAGCCCAGTGAAAAAGGCAGTCACATCGCAGTGGGTTTGAGTGTAAGCTGACCTCTTGAAGACTCGGCAGGGAGAGCATGATATTTTGGTGCAGAGTGCTCAAAGAGTTTGAGTTAAGCATTAGACTTTCTAGCCTGCTAAGCTGGACGAAAGCTTGAGGATGAATGTATGACAAACGGGGGTTGTTGGTGATCTCCAGCTTGGTGAGTTCCGGGAGGTTCTCCAGGCCAGATTTCTCAATGGACACAAGCTCCTCCATATTGTTCAAACCAAGCTCTTTTAAGTGGGCCATATTTTGGAAGTCTCCTGTGTCAACCAGTTTGATGTGGTTCTTATTGAGATCCAGAAACTTCAGTCCTGGGACTCTCCTCAGGGCTTGAGATGGGACCTTGGACAAAAGGTTGTCATAAAAGGAGAGACTTTCCAGGCCCTCGAGACCCTCCAGAGCCTTTTCAGCGACACCTCTTAGGCCCATTCCACCAAGCACAAGGCTCCGGAGGGATTTTAGGGCCACAAAACCCCTCTCAGGCAGGGATTCCACAGGGTTTCCTCCAAGCATGAGAACCTCTAAGCGAGGCAAAGACCTGAACCACCGAGGGTCAACAGTATTGAGTCTGTTGTTGTTGATATGTAAACGGAGAAGAGAGTCTAGACCACCAAAGGCCCCAGGTGCAATCGAGTGGATGTTATTGTGGCTGAGAAAAAGTTCTTGCAAAGCTGGAAGTGAGGAGAATGAGGCCTCAGGGAGGTGACTGAGATGGTTTTCCTCCAAGTGTAGGGAAAGCAGAGAAGACAGGGTGTAGCTCTGAGTAATGGTTCTGACACTACTAAAACGGTTCTGCGAAAGGTCCAGGTCGGTGAGGTTGTGGAGTCCATGTAGCAGTGCAGTGTCCAGGACTGACATTAGGTTCCTCTGCAGACGTAAGGTGTGTGTGTTTGGGGGTATGGGCAAGGGTAGTTTGGTCAGTAGCAGGTCACTGCAGTCCACTGTGGGAGCTTCATGGTATACAGAATCAGGGGAGAACCATGGCTTGATCTGACACACACACCTCATCGGGCAGGAGACATGCCATGGCAATGCTGGGGGTAGGGAGCCCAAAACAATGGGCACAAACACACCACTAAACACACACAAAAGACAATGTGACTGTAGAAGCACTAAAGTGGGCCTCATAATCTTTTTGAGCCACAGAGCTGATGCAGACAAGGTGAGGAAAACTTTGTTATGGAGATGCAAGACTTATCATGTGGACCACAGATGCGTGAGGAAACTGCAACTCTGTCAAAAAGATAGTTTTTAGCCATTAGTCATAACATCATGTAGGGGAATTTGTTTCACCAAAAAAGTAGCATATTCCTTCTGGTTTGCTAAATTGCCTCTATATGAAGTGCTTATTTTGTGTATTGTGGATTGCCGTGGAATGAACACAGACTGCTCTTCGGCTGGGGCTCGATGATGTCCTTTGTTGTCTCAATGCCAGTTTCACATCTTGACCACTTGTGGAGAATTCACAACTTGGGACGTTGCAGATCACTGTTGTTGAAAACACAAAAAGAGATAGACAAAGATTCAGGGTGTAAAACAGAGAAACAAGTTAAGTAAATAAAATCTGCCGGCAATTTATTATTCACTCACATATAAGAACATTACATATTCCATCATTTGAGAACTTTTCAAAAACATCCTTAATAGATCTGGATGCTGCAACTGTTTCTATAATAAGGTCACAAAGAGTGCTGAGGATATGTTATGGAGAATTCATTTGAACGATTAGGATAAAAAGTAATCACAATATCGCCCAACCAACTGAGGACCCAATTACAGGTCTAGACTCAGAACAGTGTGCAGAGGGGATCTTCTTTGTCTGTCTTCGTTTGTTTGTCTATCAGAAGGATTATAAAAAAAAAAACAATCCAGACTGAATTTTATCAAATGCTGTGGAGAGAAGTAGGTAATTGGGAAATTAAGTCTGTTCTTTATTTGGATCTGGATTTGGATCTTAAAGAGAGACAGGCCATTGGCCTCTGTGTTGAAGTGTTCTACTCAAGTACCCCTCTAGTCTGCTATTGGATGAAAATCAGCACTGACTCCTTTGAAGTCGAAAGAGTACCAATTTAAAACATTAAAATGATTTTTAAGTGGAAGCATCTGGAAAATATTTGCATACTTCCCTTGGATTAAAAAAAGCATACATTTATGCCAAGCACATTTATCACACATTTGTGTGTGAAATGAAAACAGCAACACACCCCTACAAACATTCAGCAATTCATTTAAAGGTTAAATTTAATTGTTTTAAAGAACTGCACACTCAGCTCTGGGTTTTGCCTCTTCTTATGCAATTAGCTGGCACATTATCATTATTAATTTAAAACCTCCAGGTAAAAGATTACTTTAAATTAGTAATTGAATAAATGAATGGCCTTCCTCATGACCTTCCTTGACACCTGGGAAGCATTCCACCTGTGTGCAGACACTCTGCCTCTGCAGCCTCCACAACGGGTGGACGGTAATGTTCAACCTTTGAAGCCTTTGAAGTCATTTGTGTTGTTAGTGGGAAATGGGAATGTTCGGAGAGATGCTTGCTGGGTTACTATCAAGGGAAAAAAAGGCTGTTTTTGCCATTTACGGTGAGAGGTTCAAACTCTGTGTGATTGAAGCAGTGAAGAGATGGATAGTGGGACTTAGAGATGATAGCTGCATTAGTTAAATGTGTGACTTAAAATGATATGAACACAAGAACATAATCTCCTGGGGCTCATTTTACTCTATTATCCATTCACTTTTATCTAATCTCCTCCATCTTTTCATGTATCCTAATAATGGATTAATCATTTAAGTTTGATGTTCTCCACTTTTATCATCTGCTCTCAAAAGCTTATGTAGTTTTTGGTCATTTAAGAGACACACAACAGTGTGCTGATGTGTGTCAGTATTGTGTTGCATTGTAATTGAAGCAGTCACTAAAATGAGAATAATATCTGTATGAGTCAGTGACCACTTTGAAGACTCTTAATATTTTTTCAATTTGATAAAGAAAATATTACTCTTACACTTGCACACTGCAGACTTTGACTCAGCTTCTTGTGAAAGCTGCGGAGGGGTTAGGGTTAGAAAATCACACAAATTAACCACAGCCGATCCCCAGCACAGCCAATGCATCTAGTAAAAAAATAAAGTTCTTGGTGACGTGTAAAATATCCAACCAGCCAATCGCTTTTGGAAAGACAAACGAGGATGACAACATCTTTGCATCTCTGAGATAAAATGTTCAACATGAGGCAATATATCATCTATTCTATTTTATTCTACACATCCATGCTCCTTTGCAAAATTAAAATGACTTATCCCAAATTTATCTCTTTCTCTCTCCCTCTCTCTCTATTATATATATATATATATATATATATATATATATATATATATATATATATACGTGTGTGTATGTTCTTATGCAGCTGTTTCTGGGTACACAGAATGACAGAATGGTCTGTGTACCTCGTCTTTAACCATTAACCATTCTTCACCATTTGGGAGAGCAAAGGTACCCATCTGTCCAGCTGCCCATCAATCCAGGTCTAAACCAAACCATAGATAGTCTAACTCTCTGAAGCTCCGGAAGGACTTCCTGAGTACTATCAGAGAAACAATCGGAAACAGCATATATACTGCATCTTGGTCTGCCTGGCCTTCTCTTCAGCGAGACATCCTCAAAGTACCTCAGCTGGTTGACACTTGGCAGACGACCCTAACAGATGGATCTCATGAATGACTGAGCTTCTGAACCCATCTCTAAAGTTGTGCTTGGACACTTGACATGCGGACATGCTCAGACATACTACAAACTGATTTCCCCATCTCGTGCCTTTATTTCCAATAAAGTCTGAAGCTTTGATTATAAATCTACAAAACGTATACTTTTTAAAACCAGTTTTCAATCTTATACTTGCTTGCTCATTACTTTGCGATGAAAGAGTGACACTGAATACAGAATTACTTGACTGCATGAATCCATTTGTTAATGATGGGGGTAAAAAGTATGGTTGACATGTTAAATGTAAAGGCTAATAGTAAATATGAACAGCTCTTGCACTGTGGCTTTGCTTTGATCACTGTCCTTGAGAGGGATATGGTCATGTCCATGTCCTATCAGGAAACCGTTATGTTTTTAATGACTTGAAACTGCAAACGAACTATCTCAACATCTATACAAAAGAGTCAAGTAATAGTCACATTGTTTAATTCAATTGTCTTTCTCTATTGTCTTTGAAATGTTAGAAAAGGAGATAAGCAGAAAGAGACAGAATATAACCAGAAACCTCCCCAAAAATAAAAAATGAGGAGAAATGGTCTTTAGCATATTGCTTGTGTGGGCTGTGCAGCTACGACACAGCAACAGGGCAGAATAGAGAGGATATTGAGAGCAGGGGAGCGGGATGGTATGACAGAGATAGAGGTGCTGGACGCAGATAGGAAAAGAAAAAAAAAGAAAAAACAGACGCATTGCTCTGCAGCTGAATCTGTTCGAGCATGCACACAGACACACTCTGACACATATATTTCTTCCAGTGGGGACCCTGCTCAGTCTCTGTTTCAAACACGGACACCTGCTACCATCATTTTTAAGTGACTGCGCATGCATGCAGAACTGCTTCTGTGCACGAGTGACTACATTTTGTTTGTGAGAGCTGCAATGTCCTATTAGCTTGGAAAAATCTGTCAACATGTTTTCAGTATCTTACCGCAACAGAGGCATTGACTACATCTCTCTCAGCCGTTTCTCCGTTCTCCATTTGTTGTCAGTCTTTTCTTTGGAAATTCTTCACATTCCAGTGAGCTTTTTCTTCTCTTTCTCTTTCTCTCTCACTCTCTTGGTTATTTATCCTTTTAGATTCATGAAATAACACTTCCCTGGCTCTTCCTCTCTTTTGGTGGTGCTGAGTAGAACATTGGCACAGGCTGAATCTTTTTCTCCCTCTATCCCTCCAGCTAAAGAGGAGATGAGGTGTGTTCTGCAGCAGCGCTTCTCATCTCTCCTCCTCTCTTTCTATTGCCTGCCTCACTGTCTGCCTCGTTCTCTTTTCCAATTTCACAAGCCAATAGAAAACCTCTTGTGCTCAGAAGAACATGCTATTCTTGTTGGCTGAAAGGTTTTCCATGACTCTTGGTAGCATTTTTAGTTTTTTTGCCATCACCTGTGCTTTTATGCCAGGTCATACATACAGATATGGACACAAAACAAGAAGATAGACACCGAGGTACATGTAGTATTTGTAAGATGACCGATTACTATGCTGTCAGAAATCAATGCTGACTTGATAGTTACAAACCTCGATATAAAACTAAATCATCAGACCAGATTAAAGTTTGTTCACAGCTAAGACCTTTCTTGAAATATTTGTAAGTGATCCTTTGAGAGGTTTCTTAAGGGTGTACAAACTAAATTTGAGTTTCATAGTTAGATTTATCAGTTTTTCAACAATCTTTTGAACAGTATTTTGATTCTCTATTTCACAGCCAAAAGCAGCTGTCAGATTCTGTATAATTCCACTCTAGCAGGCAGTGGCTACTGGTGGTAATTTATGTATGACAGAACGGCAATTTAATACGACTGCAGACATTGAAATGCTCTCATTCATACTGCGGCAGGTACAGCTGCTGATATAGATAATATATATAATATCATCTATATCAGCACCATATGTCTGTACTGAATAAATAATTCCACTCCTATTGCTTTTGTATTAAAAATCAATCAAGCAGAGCCAAGATATAACCTCATCTATGTGGGATGTTGTAGGCCTCAACATTTCATCCAAAATTTTGATAAAAAACTATAATGCAGAAAAGCGCAGAGTCCCCTGTGGAGATTAACACAAGCCACAGAGTATATAAATGGTGTGAAATCAGAGCAGGTGAAGCTAGAATGATGTTTGTGCACATCTGCATTTCCCGCAGCAAAGGGTAAATCTCACTTGACACCTAAAGCAGGACAATGGAGCCAAATTAGTTGAGTTTATCCCTCACTCACATGTGAACCCATTTTTTATTGATACAACCTGAGATTCCATTAAAACGATGAAAGGTGAAAAGCCATGCTTTTTTTGTGCCTCACAAGAGCAGCTAAACATTTTGATCATTTTTTTAAAGGAAGCTTGAGCTGATGCTATCATGTTCAGATATACAGTGCAGTGTTTGCTTTTCAAGACATTGCCTGACACATATACAGTAGTATGTATGTTATAATGCAAAAGTCCAGATTATTTGCACATTAAAAGAACAATGTGCAGGATTTGGAAAGAAGTCAAACTGCTGACTGGAATAAAATGAATATGACCTTTGGGGAAGAACAAGAGTGCTTGTTAAAATGTAAAAAAAACAAAAAAACAGGCCCTCTATAGATGTAGTATTTAGCCTGTTTGTGTTGGTAACTGTAGGAACATGTTAATACACCATTTTATGGTCAGTAACTTGTAACATATCTGTTTAAACTAAATGCTGTTGTGAAATTCACATAAACGTCATCAGCGCTAGGTCCGTTAGGTGAGCCCACATGTGTTGAACTGCTAATTGTTGGCAATGCCTTCCGAAATTAGAACTAAAACCTAACAGCTAAAGATGAGTTAATTCAAACTAAAATCTCTGACTGAAGACAATAAGATGTAACCTTCTGGTTAAACAGGACCAGAACCCCTAGAGGCTCAGCCCTGGCGCACATTACATTTTAAAAAAATCATATGGTTACGTGCACTAATCTTCGAATACTTTTCTCTGGGTTGAAGGTAGACCAAGCTGCACGTTTCCCTTTATGCCGCCCTCACTGGCTTTGTGAGCTGCTGTGTTCAAGCCCTTCAAGTGTATGGGGCTCACAGCGTGAGTTTCAGAACACAGAGGTAAATGAAAGAAGTGCACCGTATTCACAGGCTGACTTTGGTTTCTTTCAGAAGCACATAAGAAAGTAGATTTGTGACCTTGGTCGCTCCTCAGTCAGCCATACATTACTGGAAGGAGAGTGCCAAGTGCAGCTGGATGGATTTGGATAATGGAGTGTTGTGATGTACAGTGCAAACAGCCTTGAACACCTTGAACAACATCTAAACTTACAAATGACATTGACAATTGACAAATATTCTTTAGCAACAAGTTGAATTTTTATAAGTTTTAAAGATTGAAGAGTTTGAAATCCTCTGGAAACTGGAAATTCTTTTCTCCTTCGGCTTTGATCCATTGTTATTGCTAATAGAGAGCATAAGAGAGTGTATTTACAAAAAGATTTTTTATGAAATTTGCACACTGCCAATTTTTAATAACAATTAAAATGACTGATCTGTAAACCAGAGCTGTGTGAATCTTTGTTGTATTAATTTCTCAGATTCTGTTTTTTTGTAGTCTAACTACCATCACAAACACTTTGCACAGGACAGTTTTTTTACAATTCTGTACCAACTGTTATTTGATTCTATGACTCAACAGTGTGTGTCTGGTCACAGACTTGCATGATCACGGATCAATTACACAAACACTTTAGAGATTTTCTGCAGGCAAGTGAAGGTAAGATCATTTATCAAAAGGGCAGTTTTGAACTGTAGGGAGTTATAAATGTTTTGGATTGGTAAAAGAAGTGTTATCTTTGTGAATGGGGCTTTCAATTTCACTGAAAGATAAATCAATGACAAGTGCAAACCTTTGTTTAATGTATAATTTACAATAATTAAGATAATCTAAATCGATATGATATCCAAAATTAATTAAACTGTTTTTTTTTTTTTGAATTTATCAAATGAAGAAGCACATTGAAACATAACACCTGGTCAGTGTTGGGAAAAATGCCTCAGTTCTGATGTTGAGTCACGATAAGTTCAGAAGTTCCTTCACAGTGTGAAAACATTAAAAAAAACAGTATGTTGGCATCATTGTGTACTTGTGCAACCTTGCTTCAGGCAATGTACAGAACTTTGAGAACCTGTGTAACTACTATATTTATTCTTTTCTCTGTTGGTTGCACAGTGAAAACACTTTCCAGCAGCCGTGTGGTGGCATGAGGATTCAGTAAGATGCCCATAGATACTTCAAAACTATGATTTGAGGTTATACTTTTCAACAGAAAACACTGTTCTTCTTATTTATTTATTTTCTTCTTTTACTGTAATTTTTCTCGTCCCGTTGCAGACAAAGAGCGATGTAAATGCATTGGTCTTTGTCAGTCATCACTTTGTCTACATTAGTATAAAATAGAGAAGAAGACAATGTGAGGGTATTATTATTTAGCTGCGTAATAACCATGACATTAGACAGATGGCTGTGTAAGAACAGAAAAGAAGACAGAAGATCTACTGCCGAGTTTAATATGATAATGAAGGAGCAAAGTAAATAATCAACTGCTTGACAAACAAACCAAAACGGAGAAGTCAGATGAGTTAAATTAAAAAAACTGCAGACTCTCTGATGGCTCTGCCTTTCATTTGCCCAATTCATTTAAGAGCCAGCACACAAAGGCACACACACCCCCATGCCCCGCTGACTGAAAGGCAGCAAGGATAAGTGGTAGCTCCATCACAGGAAGGAAGAGAGAGAGAAGTAGCCATAGCAACACTTGGGGGGTTGTCGCTTCTATTGGAGAAAAAGAATCAGCTTTGACTATCACTACCATCTCCCTCTCCTCCCCTTCTAATCAGTTCTTTCTCTGTAAAACCTTTTCTTCCTTTCTGTGTATTCCCTTTAATCTTTCGTAACCTTACTTTAGTTTCCTGGGACTTGAATGTGTACATTCAAGTCACGTCTGTTGCTTCAATGTTTTCATGTTCATACAACAGTTGTTTCCAAGAACGAATCTGTGCGTGGAGGGGAGACATCAAATTCATTACGTGATTGTTGCAGATATTTTATCTGGACGTGAGACAAATTTTTGAATATGCACTGCCAGTTGGTGAAGCCTATTCGTTTACATTGATAGCAAATTAATTCTAAGTCTAACTGGTGCAACAAGTTAACAAATAAATTGAATTTACGAACACAAACGTATGCACGTATACACAAAAGTGCACACATCTCTCTCACGAACCATCGTCACGTGTATGAAACGGAATGTGGTGGGATGAGGCAGAGCATTTCTTCCTTGTCGCCGCATTAGAATTCAGTTCACAGGTGGGTTGTTCCCCAGCTGGACCCGGGAACACTCAAGAACTCAAGGGCAACCCTCCCACCACATCACGGTGAAACGTGATGTGGGGTGGGAGGTTGTGTACGTGCGAGTGTGTGAGGATGGAAACATGGCACAGAGAAAATGATTGAGCTTTTGCTGCCATGGTGACAAGCCCAGCAGTATCTAATGGCAACGGGCTGTTGAGAAGCCTGAATTATCTGGGTGGGTGGGTGGGGGGAGGTGGGGGGAGGTGGGGGGGCGGCTGGAGAGGCTGGACAGAGAGAACAGTGAAAGATGTGGATAGCAGAACTGAACACTTGGTTTACTTTTTTTTTTATTTTTTACAATGTCTACATTTTGATCGTGTCTTTATTCTGCTGAAAACATAGATAGAGTCTCGTTCAGTTTGATCTCTCTTTGTCAAACACACACTCTTACATGCCTGAGAAGTTCACGAAATGAAGAAAGATGAGACATCCTGTTGAGAGAGATTGCTGACCGTACTCCTTAATCATGCTGCTAGCCTACGAGGAAAGACCTGAAAGACCAAAGGATTCATCATCATTACAAACCATA